TGTATCGCAGTTTTGATATCTTTCTCTGTGTAGAGGGATGAAAAATTGCAAGAGCAGTTAAGCTTAGATTCTGTTATGATCTGGTCAATGGATCGGTATTCAGAATATTTCCTTGCCATAAAATATTCTTTATCTTCAAGAGATTCAACTGCTATTCTGATTTTATAAAGCTTTTGGACTCTGTCATAACTGGTATTAGTTTCTTTAACTCCATTAGTTCTTTTCCAAAAATTTTTGATAATGTGTGTAGTATACTTCATCATCTCGTCATATGATGAAGTATGATATTTGAGGGTGTGTTCAGCTGGTGAGAAATTCATAGGAGTCACAACGTATTTGAATGGACTGGAGTCTCTTGTTGATTGTGAGTTTAAAATTCCCAAGGTTGATACATAATCTTCATGATTGTTACAGACAAGTTGGAGTACGTGCGTCTTGTCGTTAGGTATGTACCATGATGTAAGTTTTTCTTTGACTGCATCTGTAATAAATTCAGTGATGTCTGAGTCGATATGCTTACTGAGGTAAATAGATACACAGTGAGAATAGTTAATTGTTTTAGCTCTTTTAGCAGGAGGGTACATGGTTGTTGTTGTATTGTAGGATTTGATTTGCGGAGTTTTTTTTGTTGGATCAAATGTAATGTTCTTGGCTGTCTTGGCTATTTGCAAGTATGACGATTGCGATTCATTCAGGTTGAAGCTGGTGTTGATAGGTGGGCTCTTAGATTGAAGCTGGGGTTGACTTTGGGGCTTTGAAGTTGTTTCAATTGGTTTGATGAGGTTTGTGCTTGTTTCAATTGGTTTGGTGAGGTTTGTGTTGGTGATGAAGTTTGTTGTCTTATTTTGATTGTTGATTTTCGATTTGTTTGTTGGATGTGTAATATTTTTGATTTTAGATATTTGGTTTGATGGTCCATCAGTTCGATAAGGATGTGCAGGGGATGGAGTTTGTTCTATGAGTGTTGTTTTTGGAGGAAGAGGTTGTTTAGGTTTAATTGGTTGGTTGCTGTCGGAGACTAATTTAACTGACTTTACCTTTTGTTTCCGATTATTGATGTGGTTAGATAATCCGTCCAATGTTTTTGAGAAATTCTCAATATGTTTAAAGATGATTCCGAAAGCTTCTGAGTGGGTCATCAATGTTTGGTTGATACTATTCATTACAACGTCTTCATTTGTGTTCATTTTTTTTGCGTCGGCGTCAACACTTGAAAAAAATGGGAGAACTTCTAGTGGTTACATTGCTTCGTCTCTTGAAGAATGCAATCATTTTAGGGTTTGATGGTCTCTCCATTCTCTTCTACCTCCCTGTGAGCATGTTCTTATTCATGCAGAGTAAATTATCGGAATTATTTGGATACAAAGCAAGAATTCACGGAAATCATCATGGATCACTACTCTCCTATTATTTGATATTTATTATCTTTTATTTGATCACTACTGTTGCAACACCCTCTATTGTGTTATATCCAGTGTTTGTAGTATATCAAACCTTTATATGGTATATTAGGAATGAATCGAATACATTTTGGATGACTACTGCCTCTATTGGAGTGGTATTCGTTTGTTCAGTTGCATTGTCCATAAGAGCTTGTATTTTATTAGAGAGAATGAAAAGAGTATTCGAAGCAAATATATTTGAAGATTGGATCCAAGTGCAAGTTCATGGTATTTTATATGTCTTGTCAATCATTGCATTCATTGTGAATCCAGTGAGATTGGTCGTGTTTTTGAAGGATGCTAAAGGAAGACAGGCCCACGAGTATGTGAATGTAGTGGGAAAACAAGCTCGGAGTGCCATCTATGATCTTATTTGCATTCCTTTTGCTGTAAGTATCTTAATTTAATCAAGATGATGATGATCGTGATGGAATGACTAAAGTTCTTAATTTTGGTGACTGTTTGGAGAATTCCAATCATAAGGAGATCAAAGTGGACTCATCAATTATTTATTGATAATGGTCTCTATGTGCTCATGGAAATACCAGTATTCACCATTTGCATTCCAATTAGCCTTATTGCCTTTTATAGAGCTAAGTACTTTATTCAAGAGTTTGCCAAGTTGGACTCTGAAAAAAGTGACCGTATGAAGTTCTGTATAAAACAAGCATCTGAAACCTTCATCGACATTCCATTCATTTTGATGGGAGCGATACTAACTTGCACGATTTATAGATTCATCCCAGTGGTAAAACATTATTTTTCAAAAGATACAGAAAACAAAAAGTCTCTGAGGAGAATCATTTATGAACATTTTTGTTATTTCCTACTGGACATTCCTGCAGCTATTTCCTATGGAATAATTTTCATGCTTCGATACAGACTGCCGATTGTCCTGAAAATTTCAAATGAGGAAAAGGAAAAGGGAAATTTCCTTCACTTCCATCAAACTGCCCTAATCATGGCCTGGGAAACACTTCTTGATATTGTGCACATTATTCTTTGTACTTCAGTGTTTGTCACTCTTTGGAGAGCCTCACATTTATATTCCGCCATCTTTATCGATGTATTTTACACTCCAAAATTCTTTGAAAATCAAGATGAAGACAATATTAAGAAGATGACTCTCGTCGAGTACGAAACATTCAAAAAGAGAAGAGCTATTGCCAGAGATATTCTCAAAAATTGGATCATAGATGTTGCCTTTATCATTCTTGGCATATTGTCGGTGTGGAGAATTCCAAGAATTGCTCTCCACTACATGACCATCATTACAAATGAAGAAAAGGCCAACTCGATGAGAAATAAGGCCATGGAAGAATTTATTCAGTCCATTCTCGATGTATTGGCCATCTCGGGTCTATGCATGGTATTGGTTCCAACTCTGTACCGACTTCCTACTCTCATCTCACGACTCAAGTCAAAAGAGGACAAACTTTATCAATTGATTGTGTTTTCAGAAATTTTGGAGACCCTGAAAGATCTTCCTTTCCTTGTGATGGGTCTTTTCTCCATGTGGAGAATTCCAGTGATTGTTCTCAAGATTTGGCTTTTCAATCCTCAAGATTACGACACTGCTGAGAAACGAAGAAATTTAGCAAAGGAGCAATTCATAGATGCCATGTTGGACATTCCATTCATTGTTTCATTCATACTCATGATACTCTCCATTATGCACATCTTTACACTTTACATGTTGACTCGAAAATACTTTAAATTCAAGAAAGAAGAAACGGACATGTCCAAGAAGAGAGAATTGTTCACCTTCTTCAGAGGCAAAATTTTAAAACAATTGTACCTGTTACCTTTACAGATACCACTCATTATTTGCACCTATTTAGTTACTTTCACTTTCTATAGAATTCCAATCACAGTCACCACCATGAAGAAAATTCCTGGACAAAAAGAACCAAAGAAACTTGCAGCCAAAGTAATTGCCTCTCAAGCACTGAGTATTCCATTGGATATCATCACTCTCCTCTTCTCGACCATCATTATGTGCACCTATTACAGAAGTGGTGAATTAAGAAATGTATTCAAGACACATTCGCTCTTTCCATCAACTTTTGAGATGAGAGAAGCTATTGAGGCTCATCGATTAATTGCTCTAATCTTTTGGGATCTCATCAAAGATATTCCTTTGATACTGTTATTTTTAATTTCGTCCATTACAGTTTGGAGAATTAAGCACATCCTTCGAACATTACAAAATGAAAAAGACTACAAAAAACGACTCATGTTACTTGGGGCTAATGCTTTGTTAACTATTGGAGATGTTCCATGTGCTATTTGTGCAGTCTTGGTGTTTTTCAGTTGGAGAGCTAAGCGAATGATTTCCATCATCCAAGGAGCCTATGTGGCTGGCAAACTTTCCCAAGTTCACTTTTCAATATTTTTGGAATTTTATGAATATCTGTTGGATTTAATTCACATCATGTTAGTACCTCTCTTGCTGTGGAGAATACCAGTCTTGATTAGAAATGTCATGAAGGTATGTTTTTTAGTGTTATTTGGAATTGATGAAATTGATCCATCATTATTCCTAAAGATGGAAACCATTCCTGAGATGAGAAAAGAAGTATTAGTACATTTGAAACAAATAATTTTAGACCTTCCATTCATACTGTGTACCATTATTGTTTCTCTCTCAATTTATAGAAATGTTGAAATTTATCATTATCTCACCAAAAAGAAGAAGAACAAAAAACCTTATAGAGAATTTATTGTCATACAGCTCATTCAATTGTTGTATGACATCCCATTGGTAATAACAGCAATAGCTACCTGTGTCATTATCCCATACCGAGTGTATCACTTAGTGAAATACCTCTTTTTCGTAAGTTGAATGAACAATATATTGTGTTCTCGAATTAATTTTCGACTACAAACGTTCAACAGTATCCTTTCAAGAAGGATCGTGATAATGAAAGAAGAAGAGAGCTTCGAGTGTTGATCGCAAAAACATTGGTCGACTTGTTGACTCTTATTTTTGGTCTGGGAGTGTTGTTATTGTGTTGGAGACTTCCCTTCTTTATTCACAGGTATCTCACTGGAACACCTCTCAAGAGATCGCTTTGGGTTGAATTCAAGGCAGGAGTGTTGGATGTTTGTTGTTTATTCATGCTTGCAATTAATTTGGCTCTATTCTACCAATTTCCATACACAATTCAAAGACTCTTTTACTTTACCATCACATGCTGCAAACATCTTTTCAAATATTTACCAGAATTATGGAATAAGGTTCGAACACCAAAGTCTACACAATCCTCTACTCCAAAAGTTATTCCACCTAATAATGGTGAAATCCTACCACAGGATATGCTCTTTGAGATTTTGACATTCCTCCCACCAGAAGAAAATGCTCAAAGTTTTGATCGTGTTTGTAAACATTGGCATGAACAAGCACGACAAGATTCAGTCTTGTGGAAATTATATCTTGATGCAGATAGTTTGGGACAATTCATCGAGCAAAAGATGGCAAGAAAATATGTTTCTTCGAATAATAACTACAATGGCCATAATTATTATGGATATCCATACAATAGCTACCCTAGGAATTCAACTCTGAATGAGAAATATTATAGTGCAATTGGTACCTATAAGAATGAAGATTTTTCACATATTTTTGCCAAAGCATTTTCAAGCGAATCCGAAAACAGAAATCATTACGTGAAACGATATTTGTCCATCAAGGAGAGATATGTGGCTAAAATGTGTAAGTAAGGCAAACATGACTAATGGAATTCTAAATAATATTGATATATGAACGGTTTGATAGATTCTCTACAAGATGCCCTAGAGGATGATTATCGTCTTGGATATCATGCAATTGTTGTTAATGAGCTCAAACATACCATTTCTCACATTTACAAGATCTTTTTATTGCGTTATAAGATTATTGGTACATTGCTATTCCCATTGTCCTTCGCAATCCGAAAGATTTACAGAAACCAGACGATCATTAATTATTCATGGGATTGTGCAGAAGAGCATCTGATTGATATACTTGCAAATAGCGGTCTTTTTATACTCGATGCCATGGTTTTTGTGGTGATGACTGTTCTCGACATTTTCCCTTTCATGGGCTATCGATGGTGGGGAAAACAAAATATTGAACTGTACAATTATTACAATTACAGAGGATGGAACTATTTCAAAGTAGTTTGTCTCTCATTTGCCTCCCTTATTGCCACTGTGATTTGCATTATTATTGCATTTGCTATAGCGTTTAGCCCATTCGTTTTCAATGTGAGAATTTGGCTATTTGGGGTGATTATGTCGATTGGAAAGATATCGGAAGCGAGTCAGTTCATTCTGAGCTTTTTCAAATTTAACACTGTGGTCTCATGGTTCCTACTACCTCAAACTCTTGCACTGGGCCTTCAAGACTACATTATTGGATTTGTTTTCTACCTGTTGGGTTTCATTTTGAATGCTGAATCTGGATTTATGTACTGGATTAATGTGGTCTTGTTTTACATACTATGGATATTTATCATGTTTTGGTTTTTCGTTTTTACCACTCCAATTTTGGAATCCACTCCATATTTCAGAGCAAATTATGCTACGAGAGTCATGGTGGATGTGTATGCAGAAATATTGAGCATTTCGGCTTCTTTTTGTAAAAATCATTTGGGATTTTTAGGCCAATTAGTGATCATTCCAATTACTTTGGGTTGGCTCGGTTGGCCTCTCATGATTTGCTTCTATTTCAGATATATTTACATCATGATTCCTGGAGCGTTGTTGAGCGTGTTCTTTGTATTTTTAGCTTATTCGACCCTTAAGAAAATCGGTTAATATCCTGAAATGAAAGAAAGATCTTTTTCTGAAACTTGCTCGATTGAGGAATTTTCAGAAAATATTTGGCAATAAATTAGAACTCCTTAGAGTCAGACAAGTTGGCACGATCATTCGTTTGGATTTAAACATTCATTATATTTTCTCCATAATTAATGGTTAGTCTTATTTCATCCAACTTCCATCTCTGTCATCATTCTGTCCAGACCATCAGCTGAGGAGGCTCATAGCGCAATCCCAAAAAAATCTGCAAACCTCTGTTATTCCCTTCCCGTTCCTCTCATCCTCCTTCATCATCATCATTAGAAAACTTTCGTTGTTTTCTTCGAACTGAATTGTCTGGAGTTACTTGTAGTGTGGGTGGACTCAATTTTTGATTATTTAAATAATTTGTTTTATTCTTGAAGGAAAATCATTTTGCCAAGTTGTGTTGATACCACTGATTGTATGAGGAGTCAATTCATTGAATTTATCAAAACGCTTCTTCTCTGAAGACCGAGCATATAATGCTGCAACAACCTACTCTCAATACCATTGCACAATCCAATTTCAATAACAATCCGACAACAAATATTTCTACATCAACAACACCAAAACCTCCTCTAAACAATTCAACGAGCACAGGAAACTTATTGAAGAACTTTCCACCATTATCAGTACCAACTCGTTCACTTCAAACACTTTCAAACCGATCATCAAGTTTACCCGAGCTTATTTCTCATCCTCTCCCAACCAACACAATGAGCCAGACATCAAACAGCTCTCATCCTCTCACGGGATCATCTCTTCTCTTCGATAATATTCCCATAAATGATTTGGTTTCATCCACTCCCATGTTTCAGGGTAGCAATGTTGTAAACAGCAAACATCAATCTCATCCATCAAGTTCAAACAGTACTCCAGTGATTCCTGGTAGTGCTTCTACCACCTCGAATTCGAGCTACTCTACCACAAACACTCCATCCCTTTCTTCTCCTCTCTCTATTGTAACAACATCAAACAGTAATGGAGTGAAGGTAACTTCAACCCCAACTCCGACAGTCAATGGAACACAACTATCTTCATTATTATCAGGCTCTGCGAGTGTGAATACAAACAACATCAATAGTCATGTCTCACAAAACTCAACAAATAGCACAGGAGGCACACAAGAAAAACCAACACTAACAAGAGCTTCTTCTTCGCTTTCTATCTCTCGAGATTCAGTAGGAGCTGGCTTTTCAGTCGGTGCAGCCGCAGCACTTTCTCCAAGTGTCAGAAGAGTTTATCCAACAACAGCCGACCAGTACAAGTTGTTGGATCCAATTGGTTATGGAATTAGTGGCCCAGTGTATGAAGCAGTTTGCATTCCATTCAATGAACATGTGGCCATTAAAAAACTTGACCTTGAAAAATTAGAGGATAATATTCTGCATACGATAACAAAGGAAATTCATACTATGGTCACAAGTTTTCATGAGCATATTGTAAATTATTTGACATCCTTCACACAAGAAACAGAATTATATCTTGTCATGGAATTGATGGAAGGAGGATCCATATATGACATTATGCGGTTTAAATATCAAGACGGCCTTCCATCGGAAGAATTAATTTCTGTGATATTATACCAAGTTTTGGAAGGACTTGCATACTTTCATGAGAATGGTCAAATTCACAGAGATATCAAAGCTTCAAATATTCTAATCAATGAGGATGGAATTGTAAGAATAGGAGACTTTGGAGTTAGTGCAAATATTATTGAAATGTCCGGCGACAGAAGAAGCAAACGTCAGACATTTGTTGGTTCTCCATGCTGGATGGCTCCTGAAGGTATGTAGAAAATGTCGATGGACAGTACTTAATTTTAAACATAATGATGGATTACTGCAATAGTCATGGAACAATTTCATGGATATGACTACAAGGCTGATATTTGGTCATTAGGTATTACTTCGTTAGAATTGGCATATGGAAAGGCTCCATTTGAAGGACTACCTCCTGTTAAAGTGATGTACATGGTTATGGAACAGGATCCTCCACAGCTTGTTGACACTGAGACAAGAAAATTTTCTAAAATTTTTAAGGATTTCGTTTCGCTGTGTTTGCAAAAGGATCCATCAAAACGTCCATCTGCAGCACAGTTACTCAAACACAAACTGGTCGCTAAAGCTGCTAAGCAAAAGGATTTGATTAAGAAAATAATTTTAGCTGGACTCCCACCTCTGGCGGAAAGAGCTAAGCTGTTAATGGGTTTCAAAAGATCCAACAGTCAGACTAAAATTACATTTACAATGAGCCAACCAGAAGAACCTTCTCCATTTATGTCCATGACAGATTCTACGATTCCATCATCACTCATGTCAACCACAGTTAGTGCACAAAACTTCGATACAGATTCTGCTCCTGGTACTCAAAATATAGATGAACAACAGTTAAACACCTCTGACGAATTTTTATCAACAGAGAGCACAACAAAGAAAGCAGTGAGCCGCTGGAATTTTGCTGAAGAACTTAAAAAGGAAGAGGAAATTTCTACTGAACAAAGCAACCAAGGTGGTTCGAATCAAACAAAGAAGGTTGAGAAGAAGGGACGCTTCGAGGTTTCAGAAACTGATGAAGACTCAGTTGAAAAGATGACATCTGAATCCCCTGTTAACTACGAAGATGAAAAATCTGCCTCTAAAAAGGGACAAACAAAGAAAAGAAACTTTGAAGTTAAGGAAGTCGATGAAATTCCAGAGGAAGCGGTTGTTACTACAACTCCATCAATACCTAAAAGGAAGAACTCTGTTTCTGGATTGAATGTTAAGGATATATCTCTCGCTTCTCTTTCTAACCAATTGCAGATGTTGCAAAATCAGCAACAGTTAATAGTTAATATGCTAAACGAACAATCTAAAGTTAAAACTTCACAGACTGAAAGTATACCTGTCCTTGACTTGGTTACGAAACTTGAACAAAGGATACAAGAGCTGCTGGAAGAAAATCAGAGACTGAAAAAAGAAAACGAAATTTTGAAGAGCAAGAGCACAAAGAGTCAAGCAGCCGAAAAATAAAAACAAAGGCACATTCTTCAAATTAATGGAAACAATCAAAAAAAATGTCCAGCATCAGATTGGCTGATCTTTCCATCTTTACCGATAAAGAATTGCAGGCTCTGGCGCAAAATGGAATCATCACAACACAGCATTTATTGTGTGTATCGGGTTCACGATTGAGATATATTCTGGATACCGATACTGTAGCTTCTGCGATGGAACTTGTCCGAAAAGTAATTTTTAAAACCAATCTTGTATCGGAAAATGATGTCAAGAACCCAAAAACAGCGCTTTCGTTATTACAAGAACGTAATGCAGAGAAATTGTATTTGCCTTTACAATATATTCCATCATTTAACGAATTGTTTCATGGAGGCCTTTCTTTAAATTCAATCACTGAAATTGTTGGACAAAGCTCTTCAGGCAAAACTGAATTTTGTTTGACTGTTGTGTGTGATTTACTGGTTAGCAATAATGATTTTGGATGTGTAATTTTTGACACAGAACAAAAACGCACATATTTATTGACCCGAATTCTAGAAATTTTGAGAAAAAGAAATCCGGATTTGACAGACATAGAAATTGATGAAAGAGTTACTAACCGTTGTACAATTATAGATATCACCAGCTCCAAAGAATTAATTGATAACTTAGATGATATGGAAGAGTTTATATTTGAAAAGAATATTAAGCTACTCATAATTGACTCTTTAGGAACATTGGCCTCAAAAGAGTTCATGGGTAAAGAGGGAGGAATATTTGAGCGTGCAAGTGCTTTACAAACAGAGGCCACCTTGTTAAAGCAATTAAATGAGAAATTCAAAGTTGGAGTTATTGTAACAAACACGCTTTCCCAAGAGAGCGAACACGCACATCTGGGAGTGAACTGGTTTCATTTTGTTAACCATAGATTGAAAATATCAAAAGTGGAAGAGACGAAATTGATTCTTAGCATTCAAAAGTCGGCTGTAGTGAGCAACAGCAGCATGTGTTTAGCGATAGATGGGGTTGGACTCAGAGAATTATCTCACGCATCAGAACAATAGAGAATGATCATTTTTACTGAGATCAAACATGTGCTTACTTATTTCTTACTTCGAACATCAAGGACAGCAATACCTTCAACCAAAAGTCTCGTTTAGAGGGTTGAGTATCGTCAATTTCAATATTAATACAACCAGACTCTAGAAGAATGCACAAAGTGAACATTTCTTTCTTGGCATCTCCTTTTTCAATCATCATTCTGGTTTGGAATCCCGGTAAAACATCAACAATATCTCTAATGTCAATTTCAATTCTTCTCTTGGGGTGCTCAATAAAGAGATAATTTCTGTCGCTCCTGATGCTAACCTGTGTCCTTGACAATGGCAAGTCTGTTTTCTGAGGTTCTTCCACCATGAAAAACAATTGGGGCTCGTCCAGTTTGTCCACATACTGAGCTCTTTCGGTGTCTTTTTTTTGGATTATGTAATGGAAGGGAGAAGAATAAACTGTTTGATATCCATAGTTCAGCTTCTCGGGATTTGACTGTACTTCCTCGAATTTTCTTAGGTTAGGAATTACATTCTTTGTGTAAGCCTCCAATAATTTTCTCTTTGTTTCTAGCCACTTCACTTCTATATCTTTTTCTTTTATCAAGCTTCCCATATTGAGAAGCTTGTCGATGTCAACCACTCTTGAAAGCTCGGATGCTGGCTTTTCATTTGGAAGAACATTTTCTAATCTAGATTTCGACAACAGCTCGTCGTCAAATGGCCTGGCTCTTGTTGCCGTTGATCCCTCTTGCAAATCAAGAGGATAGTCATCAAATGGATTTTCTTCAATCATTTGTACAATATCGGTCACATTTTCTCCAACCATTGACGAGATCTTTTCAATTGCTTTCTTTAAAAATTCTTCTTTTCTCTTATTAACCTTCAAAAGTCTCATCATTTCCACATAGTCGTACAATTGTTCATCCTGTTTTAGTTTATGTTGCTCACTTTCAACGATCTCCATGACCTTGGCGTTGATGCAATCCCTTCTAACGATTTCAGTAGGTACAGAGAATGTTGGCACAGCGTTTTTAGACAACTCTATCCATTGATTCATCAAATCAATTTCTGCCTTAATCTTTCGTAACATGAAGTGTTCAGCTGTTCCATATCTGCTGGTCTTCTTTCTTTGAAGCAGCTTCTTCTTTTCTTCCTCAGATGTATTCCTTCTCTCGGACACCTCTTGAAGATCAATTTCATGCTCCTTTATCAGTCTAGCCTCGTGGGCTCTCAGTAGCTCTTCGGAATGTTTTAAAAAGAACTCCTCTGCCAACTTTTGCATTTCCAACAGACCTTCTAATCTGTAAATTTCCTCAATCAGAAGATCATGTTCCTTGTATTTGTCATCATTAAGGGTAGGACCTCCAATTTCTATATCTCGGGCCTTTCTTATTTCATCAAATTCGTTTTTGGCTTTGATATATTGTTCTCTCGCTTCCTCAGCCTTAGACTCGGTGTTCTTAATTTGTTTTTCTAGTGCCTCTTCCTCCTTTCTAAACTGCTCTCGGAATATTCCGAGATCAGCCTCCCATTTTTCAATCTCCTTTTTTAAGACTGCTTCTTTCTCTAGATATTCTTTTTCTGTGGTTACTAATTGCTTGGATTTGTGGTTGAATTCTTTCTTCTTTTCTCTTTGTACTTCGAGAGCCTGTTCTTTCCTTTGCTTGAGGGTCTCAATTTTTGCCTTGAGATTTTCGATATTGGCGAGGGCATCCTTCTTTTTTGATAGAACTACCTCGTACTCTTGTTGAGCAACAGATAAATCTTTACAACTGTTCTTGTAGTGATCCTTGATCTCCTGGGAATTTTTAGACAATTCCTTCTCCTTTCTTTTCCTATCGGCAATATTTTCCTTTGCAATTTCAATCTCAGCTGTTAGTTCCTTCTCAATTTTATCATTCTCAAGCAACTCTTTCTGTAAAACTGCTTGATGTTTCTTCATTTCGGAAATCTCTTTTTCTTGCATTTCAAACTCATTCTTTACTTGAATTTTCTTCATCTCCAACTCTTTTTTTAACTCCTCAAGCGTTGTTGCTTGAGAACCAAAGCCTTGCAGTAGTTCAGACATTTTTTGCCTTAATGATGTATATCCAAACCGCCAAAATGTGAGCCTGTTGAATAGCGTTTCTCTTCGACTTGTACAAAAAACACACATTCAACAAATTGTTTTTCGTTTAATAGCGTTAAACAGGCTCACTTTTTGGCGGTTTGGCTTTACTTCGCGAGCTGTTTAATAGCGTTTTGAAGAAGCATCACATTGAGCCATGTTCCAACCAAACTCAGTGGGTGGAATGATGTTAATAGTCTTTACAAATAAAATCTTTAAATCTAGAGAAGCAAAAGCTCTGAAGCAATCCTTATTGACATCAAATTTGATTCCGCTAATGTCAAGGCATAATGAAATAAGTTTATCCAAGACCGCGGGAGTAACACAAATTGGAACTGTCAGATCAGCAATTGTCATGTTCTTTTTATAAATTTCCATGCCATCATAATCAATTTCCACAAGAGCCCACTCTGATTTCAAATCAACAATGACCGAAAAGGAAGCGTTGAAATTTAATTTTTCTCCAACAATGGTTTGATTCACTAAAGCATCGCATTCAAACTTCTTCTCGGATTGTGTGGGTGATGAGTAATGGCATGAGAAAGAGTCTTGTTTTACAGTTAATGTTCTGCCACTATTTGATGATGGAGGTCTGGCAGCTTGTTCAAATCTTGCTAGTTCTGGATCTCTTCCGATGGTCATGTATTGTTCTATTTGGGCTATTTTAGCCTCCTCCTTTTTCTTGGTGTTTGACAAAATATCGAGAGCAAGAGACGAAGTTGTCCACAGTGCCAACAAAAAGACAACCGAACAAGAAACGAATAAGAAGGAAGTCTTTCTGATCATTTTTTAAATGGTGATACCAGCAACCAAGAATTAAATTATATTAAGACGTAGACAATTTCAAAAATTCCTTTCAAAAATGAGTCATAACGACAATTTCTCGTCATCAGCTTCATCATCGCTGAACCGAGAGGATGATGAGACTCTTTCTTTGGAAAATAGAGATCGTTCAAATACACTCATCAACAGACCATACCACAATTTTAAACAACAACCAGAAGAAGAAGAAATTATTTTAGAAGAACAAGCAACGTCGGGAACAACACATCGAGCAGAATCTGAAGAATCAAATAATGACAACAACAATATCTCACCCACTGATCCATCACACAGCCATACAGAGAATAGAAGGCAACAATTATTTTCATATTTATGGAAATTATGGGAAATTACATATACAATTATTCCTCTCGGAATACTTAGTTTCGGAGGCCCAATGGCTCATATTGCTTTATTACAAGACAATTTTGTTACTAAACGACAATGGCTCACAGCAGAAAAATTTGCTGAATTATTTGCAGTTTGTCAATCATTACCTGGCCCAACCAGTACGCAGCTAGTTCTTACCATTGGAACCATGCATGCTGGTTATTTAGGAGGTTTACTTGCTTTTCTTTTCTTTTCAATTCCAACAGCAATTGTTATGGCTGCAGCTGGAATTATGTTAAAAGATGAAAAAGTAACAGAAAGATTTCCCTATTATCTGACAGTGGCATTGAATGGATTTTCATGTTCTGCAGTGGCAATTGTCGCTCATGCTGCATATACATTGTCTAGTAGACTGACAAAAGATGTTTCTTCAAAAACCTTATTAATTGGAGCTTTTGCCACATTTATGATTTGGCAAAAATGGTGGGTCGTACTTATTGTCATGATATGCGGCGGAACTATTAATTTAATTATTGATTATTCCTTTATTTATTACCAAGCAACGGTTAAGGAGTATGGTCTGACAAAGCCAAAAGGAATTTTTTCCTCAGTTAAATTCTATGGAACAATTGTCAAAATCAATCTCAAGAAATTCAAAACATTTTTGAGTCATCTTTTCAACAAACTTAGAAGAAGACAAACAGCTCCAACACGAATTAGCTCTGGGAATTTGGATGACGCTGATGCTCCACAGCTCTTAGACGAACATGCAGCTGATCAAGATTTGGAATTAAACTCTCCCAATGAAGATGATGATGAAAATTCAAAGAAAGAACACGAAACAATATCCACCAACGTTGACACATTGCATCCAAGTAGCAATCAAAAAGTTCCTCTTCACATGAGACCTTTTATGAGTTTTATTTTTATTGGATTGTTTGTAATCATACTTTTAGGATTGATGATAGCTCGACTGATTGTAAAATGGGCACCTTTGGAATGGGCAGAAGGTTTTTATAGAATAGGTTGTCTGATTTTTGGAGGAGGACATGTTGTTTTACCAATGATATTGAATGAGTTTTCAGAATTAGGCTATCTTACTGAGGATGCTTTTGTGAATGGTTTTGCCTTACAAAGTGCATTACCAGGTATGTATGCAAGAATAGAAACATGTTGCTTATCAATTTAAATGATTCACATGAAATTATTGAAATGATCATATGAATAGGACCAATGTTCAATTTCTCTGCATATGTAGGTGGGATCATGGGTGGTGTGGCTGGAGCTATTATTTGCTGGGTAGCACTTTTTCTGCCTGCCATTTTGGTGGTGTTGGGAGCACTTCCTGTATGGAACAAGTATAGAGAAAGGCAATTCGTACAGAGCTTGCTGAAAGGTGTCAATGCTACCTCTGTTGGATTTGTTTTTACAGCAGTTTATATCTTGTGGTTGGCTAGCGTACCCAATCTTCATGTGGCGAGTGCTTGTTCGGTCGTGTTCAGCATTCTCTTCCTCAGCGTTTGGGATCTTCCAGCCCCACTTGTAATTTTGATGGGAGGAGCAGTGAGAATTGCTCTCGACGGATTTGTTCCAAAAAATTAAAATTTCAGGCTTGTTGAACGTTTCTTAAGAATAATAATTCCTCATTCCCGAATGACATCTTTTGTCACAAGAATTTCACTACACGTTAGAAAAATATTTTGTTTTAATATGGTATTCAAAGATTTAGAACATTTCGAAAGCCTTCTTTCCGGACTTTTGATCAACCTTGACAACGTTGAAACGGACAGTCTTTGACAATGGTCTGCATTCTCCGAGAACGACGACATCACCTTCACGAGCTTCAAAAGCAGGGGAAATGTGAGCAGCAAGGTTCTTGTGTCTCTTTTCGTATCTGTTATACTTCTTTTCATACTTCAAGTAGTCTCTTCTGACAATGAGAGTTCTACCCATCTTGTGGGATTTGACAACTCCTCTCAAAATACGTCCTCTAATTGAAACGTTTCCAGTGAATGGACACTTCTTATCAATGTATTGTCCGTGAATAGCAGACTTTGGTGTAGCAAAACCAAGACCAATATTCTTGAAGAATCTAATCTTCTTTCTTTCTTGTTCGGTAATCTTTCCTTCCTTGAGCTTCTTCAACAAGGCTCTCTTGTTTCCCAAGAAGACAGATTCTTGCTTTTGGAAAGCTCTTTGGTTTTGTACGTTCAATTCAACTGTGGCCATGATGAGAAAGAGTGGAGTTTTGGCGTATTTTTTTTCAACAAATTTTTTTAGTTATTCCACTCAACCAATGTTGGGATTTTACAATGACATACAAAAAAAATGTTACAGAAGTGCTTCTACGCATCCACGTTCAATAATGGCTCCACAACAACAGCTTCGTCATGTAAATCTCTTTCCGCTATGTACACAACACTCTGTATTAAACTTGTCCCAGAAGTAATCGATTTTTTGAAATCGAACATCTTGTTCGGAATGTAGGATAGGAGCGTCGGATGAAGATGGGGAGGAACAAGAAATGGAAAAGCAACAACATTCGACAGCTTCCCACGGTAGGCCTTATGTACCAATGAGAACGGATGAATGAACCTTGTTCCAATATAATGTCCATATTGATCTCTATTATTTTCATCTTCGCTTAAAATCTGATGCAATTTCGCTTGAAAACCTTCTTTTCGGGAATGTCGTTGTTGGTTTTGGTGGTTGTTGAATGACAAGGACAGATTCTCAAACACATCATCATGATTATACATGGTATTGAAAAAGAGCTCACATTCTAAATTACCATTAATGAATAGTTGATTGTTTGTGCTCTTGGGTAAATAGGGTTGCATGTTCTCCTCCAGGAATCTATTTCTAACCGTGTTGGTGGAGTCCCATTCAGATCCAAAATCACTTCTGTGTGATATTATCTGATTGAATTTCTCTTTGGTCTTTTTTAAATTGTTTTCAGAGTATACCATACCAGGAAATATTCCAATAACTTGACCTCGTTTGCAACGTCCTTTAATATAGAGATGATATTGTTGTGAATCTTTCCAAAGTATTGGACACCATCCCAATTGATTCTGAACTTGCATTGAAAGTTTTGACAATCGATCCATTTCCATCATTTGCAAAGCTTCTAATTGAGAACGTGCTTCAGAGCTCACTTCATTAAATATTGATGCAACTTTAGACGAGTTCAAAAGAGGGTGATTTAACTTCTCCGTTGTTTCGAAATCATCCTCCGAGTTTTTATGTGCTTCCTTAAAATAACATGCATCCACTTCCAATTGTGAATAGACTCGTTCTTGCTGATTCCTCTTTAAAATTTCAGCTAAATTCTCTAAACTTGTTTGATGAGAAATATCGATTTGTTTCCATTCATTCAATAATGTATTCACTTGTGAAAAGACGAGATTTTGGGAATGAGAAAATAGAGTGGACTGGGATGTTGGAAAGTCATTGTACAACACATAGGAAGATGACGTTGTTTTAGAATTTTTCTCCAGTTCATATAATTTCAATAATTTAAATGCTCTCACGAAATGAAGACGTTGAAGCAATCCCGATGGGGTGTAGAGAAGTCGGAGCAGAAGAGGAAAATTGGACGAAGAAGCAACATTGAAATGACGTAAAGACATTTTTTTCTTCAAAGCACCCAAAGGACCGTGTGTGTTCTCGCATTAATGGTTCTTACTCAACTGAAGGGATTTTATTTCAAAATCTTGAATCATTCAAACAGTAGTCACCCTTTAATACGTACCATAGCCATGAAGGCCGCAAATATGCTTGTGAGTGTCGATTTGGTTCAAAGACAGGAACTACTGAGAATGAGATCTTTAATCACCTTGTCACTTGAGTTAGGAAATGTTTCAGCACCTTTTTTTTGGAATCCGCGCTCGCTAGAGAACTGAAAAGAGAGTTTTGGTGGTGTGTACAAATCTTCAAGACATTTTATTTACAACTAACTGCCTCTCTTGGATCAGCATTGGTCAGTCTAACGTCTTCTTTTGACATCATAAGTAGCACTCATACCACCATCAATATGATCATCAATATGACAGTGGAACATCCAACGTCCAGGATTATCTGGAATCATATCAACAATTGTGTTTTGACCAGGACCAACCAATACAGTATCGGTTCTATGAATTCCATTTTCAAAACCAGTATTACCATGCCAATGCGCAGGGTGAATATCCATAACACTACCAACACTCATAATGTACCATCTTACACGTTCTCCCTTCTTCATGACAAGTCCTTTCAAGTTGTGATAACGTAAACCATTAATGGAATCTTTGGCTTGATCATCAATGAATTTTGGAGTATTTCTAATTCGATCAAAAGTCTCTTGAGAAAGTTGACCAGATGCATTCAAATACTTTTGAACATTGAAATTGAAAAGAGCAGACTTGGTTTCATCAAATACCTTAAATAAGGCAAATAGTTCACGATCCACATCTTTTGGCTTTCCATTCTTTTTAGCAGATCCTCTTCGAGTGACCACAATGAATCCCATTAATCCTGATTGAGTCTCAGCTGGTTCAGACAATGCATGTGAGTGATACATCCAACCCAAAGAGCTGACTTTTTCATCTGGACCTGGTCCTGCTCTTTCTGGAACTTCATATTCATAAAGATAGGTTTGTCCAGGCTCAATGGCGTCACCAGGACCTGCTGGATTAGTACCAGAAGTTCCATCCAAATAAGCTGCACCTTCACTAGTCTTTAGGTAGAAAAATCCATGAACGTGAATGGAGTTGGTGAATGTTGCATTATTTCTGTACAAGACTTTAATTCGGTCACCGACTTCTGCTCTAATCACTGGACCCAAAATACCCAAATGTTTTGGTTGAGGTACTTTGGTGGTGAAGGTTGAATCTGTGTATTGAATGTAACGAGCTTTTTGAACCTTATTACCAAGCAAGAATTGAGAAGGATTATTCACATTGTTGCCAGAGAGTGGTTCACCAGTCATCAAATCCCTTCCTGAAGGAGTATAATCCCATTCCACTTCCTCTGCTTGAATATAATAGTATCTGGTACGACATTTGTGTTTACGTCTTTTGGCTTCATGAACTGAAACCATGGTACAGAGCATGAGAGTTGCCACGATCAATAGTGTGAACAAGGCAAATCGAGTCGATGATTTAAACATTTTTTGTTTATTCTTGGATGAACAACATTCCACATATTATTTATTGTAGATCTAATGGAATCTCATGTCAATCCCAAAAATTACACGATCCATTTATGTGACATACTTGTTGTCACTCTCTTTATAAAAAAGAATTCGAAACAATACTATCTGGTGAAATGACATAGCTTGCAAGTTCAATATCTTTTTTAGTGATGTGCTCATTTAAGATCCTTTGGTGTCAAGTCAGCAAAAACAACGAGAATGTTTTCGTTACGACATGACTACCATATTTTTTTGGTATTTGTTTATTTTTGTTGCGACACTTGAGATTGTTATAACAGCAAGTATATAGTTTGAGGTCATGCTTTGACATTTCCTGTCTGGCCACCCTCTTAGGCATTACATTTAAATCATTGAATATGTGGCCTTCACATTCATTGTATAAATGAAAGCAAATTGTAAATGGAATGTTTCAAATGTGTCTGCGTACAATCACGGATTTAATGATCAGTTTCATATCTTTCCTTGATCTCATCATTGAGGTAGTTTAAATAACCAAGATCGATGGGTTGGATCGGATTGCTCTAGCGACTGAAAATTCCATCCGTCAATCCCAAAGTTCGATCTATTTAAATTTCCTCATTGAAAGATCCTTTTATGTTGTTGGTGGAGGCAGTTTTACATGAATCACGAGGGTTGATCAAACATGAGCTCATGTTCAATCAATGTTGTGTGATAAAATTTATAATGATTAAGGTTACTGTTCTTCACTGAACATGGACTTTGAATGAATCATAGTACTTGATATGTTCTGAACGTAGTGAAGGGCATGAATGTTTCGATTGTAAACAATTAAAGAGTTTGGTTGAGCTTGAAAAATTTTTTCCATGCTCAAAAAATTTTCTGCAAACGAATTTTATTGTTTACTCTTTCGAAACACACCAATTCTTTTATGAAAAGGATGAACAATTCAATGTGAATAATTTTATTTCTATGGTTCATCCAAATGAGATCCTTCTTTCTCCTCCTCTCCCATATTCGTGGATTCGTTTGAAAATTCATAAACGTAATCGACGATAATTTCCTTGGCCTCCTCAGACATGAATTTGGTGATTAACTTCTTGTCCTCCTTTGGAACTTGTTCCCATTCCTTTAAATGTTCCTTTTGATAATCTGCCAAAGCATCCTGTACAAGCAAAGCTAAACACTTGTTCCTCAATTTAAAACTATTCATAATATCACCAACTTTGGAAATGGCTGATTCCAACCTTGAGGGATTCATGTATTGCATTAGACCTTCGAACACTGGAGTGGAAGCTTCTGAATATTTAAACTCTGGCTTTTTGATCGTCTTTCTCTTTCTTGGTGGTTTCTTTACAGTGGTCACTTCCTTAAACGCCTCATTCTTCTTTTTAATGAGAAATCTTTCTTTTTACAAGCTGTGACCAGTTCTTTAACTGGTTTGATAACCACACCTTCACAAATATTTGAATAATCTTTTAGAGGTGGCAATTGGAAATATTCAGTTGGAAGTTTGGTGCTAAATTGACAATCAAAATTTAAACATTCTTCGAATGAACCTCTAAATAACTCTTTCGCAAAGAGAGTAAATTCACATTCCTTCAAAGATTCGATCATTTCATCATATGGAACATAAAAACCACTTTCTTTTTTCTTTTCCAATCCCCAAACATAAATATCGAAAATATAGAAATCATAATCTGGAGTATAATAGACATGTTGTTGAATGACAGATCTTCCTTTCACATTTTCCACTTGTTCATGTGGATATTTTCCTCCAAATCTGTGAAAAACAAACACACCATTGATTTGTGAGAGAGGGTATTTGAAACATTTCACTGAACACTTACAATTCACCATATACATTACATCTTCTCACCATAAAATCATCATTTGTATACTTGTTCACCATCATATCAAATAATTTCAAAATTCTCTCCTGATATCGTTTTTTCACCATTTCCACTGCTTGAGGGAAAAATTCATCGTCCTTCTTTTTGTTCTGTGAAGATGATGAAACAGCTCGATCATTGCCATCCAATATTTGTCTTCGAGAGGCCACAGTAAATTGTGTCTTGTTCTCTTCCTTCCATAATATAAAACTAATAAGGTAATGTTGAACATTATGGATCGTATCTAACGTCATGATTCTCCTTGGAAAGCCTTTTATGAAAATACAAACCTCAAGTTACATCCATGGATCTTTTCAGAAACAGTCCAGTGCACGGAAGGATCAAAATTAGGATCCAACGGCAATTGTTGTGCAAAGTGTTGATAGTGATTTTCAATCGAGGAATATTGTTTAAAGTGGTGTTGTTGGTGGTGGTGATAGGACTTGTGCATTTGTTTTGAGTTGTTGAACAAGTCTTCTTCATGAGGGGTTTTATGAAAAGAACACTTGTGAACATTATAAAAGATATATGCAATTTCATACATGCATCATTATGCCCTTCACAATCATGAGAACATTTTAAATAGCTTAAAGAACATTGTTTCTCTCCTGAACACATGGATCGAAGGGATTGATGATTGTGTTCTTTTATCATTCCATTTGATCTCATAGTACTTGCAATGACAAGCAAAAGTGTTTGTTATGAATCATTGGATTGTTTTACTCATTGGGCTCTGTGAGACTCTCCTCTTGATCATTACAAGAAGTTGCAACTTTTGGAGTGGTGGTATTGCTGCCGATGGTAGTACTCTCTTGCAATGCACCTCTTGCATCACTGGTGATTCCACTCGTAGGAGTAGTTAAAGATTTTACATTCGTACTACTACTACTCTCCGAAATGTCCTTTGTTTCAGACAAGACCAATCGCAACTTGTTATTTCCTTTCGACCAAGAGTCAGCATTGGGATGAATCATTGGTTCCTTTAGATCTTGTCTGTTCTTGATTAGAGCTCTTCTATCCACCAAGTATTTGGCATCTCGATCATGAATTGCTTTCTGAAAACAAGGATCCTCTTGAGTGTAGGCCATCATGATATTGGGCAAACCAATAGGAATATCATGTCCAAGATCCACCTGCCATGTATGAATGGTCTTTCCATAACTCTATCCAAAGATTGATCCGAGAAATAGATCAGAGGAGTGAATTCAAGGATGCTTCATTATATCCATCACTTACCTTAATTAGAAATTTCATAATTTCAGTCTCTGCCATGGTTGGAATATTTGGACATGTAATTAATCCACCTTTGACTTCATAGACATGAGAATGCCAAAGTTTTTGTTCTTCAGGATCCAATTTGTTGTATAATTCTTCAGATATAATGTATTCAATACCAATCAATCGAGCATCTTTGGTGTCATTGTCATAAATGACACACTGACAAATATGTTCATTTGGATGAGAACAATAGTGGTGTGCTGTCACCACACGATTCATGTCTTTGGATTCCAGTGATTTCATCAATGATTTCGCATCGAATTGGTGTGTCGTTTGATTGAATTCAAAATCAAATAGTATTTGTCTTTAACACCTTCAATACATACCATAGCCATAGCCATGAAGGCCGCAAATATGTTTGTGAATGTGTCGAATTGGTTCAAAGCCAGGGTCTACTACTGTCTATCATTCAACACACCATGTTGAAACTCTTTGACCACACATTCACACGTGCTATTTAACAACTCACCTGAATCGATGGTCCTGCATTAAGATAGGTGTACAATCCTGCAGCTCCAAGCACAGTTCCCAATATGGGGGCCCAACGATGCAATTTCATTGTTTTCTTTCTTTAGAAAAAAACGTTTTCATCGTTCCAAGATTGCCTCTTTACGCCATTTGGCAACACTCCAAACATCTTGGAACTTTTTGGAAAATTTCTATCTGGGCAAACAAAAAAAATTGTTTCGCCCACCGTGGGGCTCGAACCCACGACCACAAGATTAAGAGTCTTGCGCTCTACCGACTGAGCTAGACGGGCGCACACCTACAAGTGGTATTATAACTAAATCTTTTTTAATGATTTTATCGAACAAAGCACCCCGCTTAAAATTTACAACAAATCGAATTCAATTTAAAGATATAAAAAAATGGCAACTCCGTCAAACAATGAATCTTCCCAACCGTCTTCATCTGTTGTCGTCAATGGAAATACTATTAGTGATCCGAAATCTTTGTTCAAGTATCCGACCTATGAGGATTATTTAGACGAGAAAATCACGACCAAAGATTTATTTTACCTTGAAAATCAAGACCTTGCCAGAGCAATCATTGAGAACGAATTCAAGAGATACAATATTTTGTCAAGAGAACAGTTCGAGGAGCAAAAAAAAAAGTACATGCTGAGCTTGACTGTAAAAACACCTTCACTGAGCAACTCTGGAATGGGTAATGAGACGAACAAGACTGACCGATTGTGTTCTTTTGGAAAGGATTTAAGGAATTATCCTCTTTTGAATGAGTTGGCCAAAAGAGAAGCCAAAGTTAGGAGTGGAAGATTGAACACCATTATTTTCATACGAGATTACGATAAGAAAGGAAATGAAGTGAGTGGATATATTGATTATGGCCATCGATTAAAATCAGAAGATTTTGAGGAGTATTTCAGTTTAAAAAAGAGACTCATGCCTAAAACGTCTGATCTCAGTTATTACAATTGGAAAACACAAACCGTTTCATATAACAATAGCTCAACATTTCAGGTTATTGCAAACAGCGAGAATGGTCTCTTCTTTAGGCACAGACGAGACAGAAAGGTCATTAGTGTGGATCCAAAAAGTAATTCTGATGCCACCTTAAATGGTGACAACTCAATTCTTCAAGATTCAAGTGTTGGAGACAATAGTGAGAGAAGAGTGATCAAGACCGACGAATATTTACAGGTGGTTCTTTATGAACATCGACCTAGACGAAAAAATTAATCTATTTCATAGTCTGCTTTTTCAATGATATCTGTAAATACTATTTTTTTATAAATCAAAAAAAGAATTATCCTCTACCATTTTGCGTAGCGTTAAAAAGTTTTTAGATTTCACCTCTGGTACATTAGAGCCTAAATTCCCATTATCATATTCATCTACATGATCGTGTGCAGACGATGTAGAAGTTGAACATCTCTTATTACTAGATTTCAGTTCTTCCAGTTCGCTAAATCCAGGAGCATATTTAATATTTTCTGTTGACATGATATTTTCGGGAGCATATAAGATATTTGAACTGGTATCATGGAAATCATCATGAATATGTTGGGCTGATGAATGACCAATAAGTTCAGCCAAATAGGATGTGAATGACGGAACAGTATCGGGAACTGGTTCATTGCTTTCTACCAATTCCTCTTGTTGCTGATGGTGATGATGAATTGCTTCAAAATGTTTCTTCATAATAGATTCTTCAATCTGAAGTTTGTGCAGTTGTTCTAAAAGTTTCTTATGGACATCATTTAGGTAATTACTTTCTCGCTCCAGTTCCGAAAGTACAAAAACATATTGGCCGTGGATGTTTAATTTATCATAAAAATCAAAAGGTAGTATATTGCTATAGTTTTTTGGTTCTGTTTGTTTTTTGGTTTTTCGTTTTTTTGATGATGACGACGTCGGTGGTGGCATTAAATTATTGTTTGATGATGATGATAAAATGTTGGGTTCCAATGTTAATGAATTCATAGCGGATTCTGAATTATTTAAAATTTGTCTCTTCCTCTTGTGTTTACTACTATGATCTCCGCCGCTTTGGTTCATCTCAACAACAATGATCAAACTCGTGAATGCAGTCAATGCAATATTTTTTTTGATTATTGTTTCTTCTTCGTTTCTTGATTTCCGAGAGCAGAAACAGCTTGTTCTTTTTTGAACCTGGTGAATTGCCTCATGTAACTCATCTTGTCAAAGGATCCAGAATAAAATTCTTTTTCTTTTTACATGAAATAAGGTTGATAATGGCACACATCAAATTCATCATACCTTTTTGAAAGGATAGCACTATTGCTTTTTTCTTATTGTTGGTAATTTTTGAATGAATTTCGATAAGATCTTCCATCATCTTTTGTCTCACGTGTGTTGGAGTGTGATATGAGAAATCAAAAGGAATGAGAGGTTTATCGAAATTAACTTTTTCATACTCAAGTGGAATTTCAAAGGGCTCTTTTGTTTGTTGTGGTTGTGATGGTGTTGATTCCTCTCTCAATTCATTGGATAATTTAATTTTCTTGGATTTTGGTGCAATTTTTGCTTTTTGAGGTGAGTTTGCAACTTGTTGAATTTTCTTTGCTTTTTTAGAGAGAGAAACATCATCGGAATTAATTGTTGTTGATGATGCTATTGTTTCATACTCAAAAAGAAACTCAATATAATTGACATTCTTGATTGCATTGTCATGTCGAAATGTACATTGAGATCCTTTCATACAAAATCCATCTTCTTCAAAAGCTTTGCATGGTTGAGAAGAATTGCTTTGCTTCTCTTCCGATGATGAGTTGAATTGGAGAGAATTAATTAATTCTATGGATAAAGAAGAATTCATGCTCATTTTTTGTGGATTGAACACAAACAGATGTTTGGAAAATGTCACTCTCTCATTTTAGATATCGTGTGTGAAACAACTGTGTCATGATGATCAAGTATTATTTAATGTTTGTAATGATACAAAATTAGTGCACTAATATATTAAATGTTCACATCGTTGATCAATTACTTGTTTTCAGAAGACAAATCTTCATCCTCTTGCATTTCAGTTCCTGAAGTACCAGTTTGTGAACCAGTTCCTGTCTTTTTAGTTTGATCCTTTGCATATTGATTCAATTGTTCATACAATTCTCCAGTAATTTTACGATGCTCATTGTTAGTATCGGCACTGATCCAACTCAACTCTAACTCCATTGGTCGATCCTTCGTGTCATCATGAACATGATAAATGATACGAGCTGCTTCCTTGAGAGCATCATTAATTGTAAGTGTATCTAAATTCAACTTTTCAAGTTCTGATTTGGCTGCTTGTCTTCCCTTTCCAGTGGCACAAGCCCTATATCCCCAACTCTCTCCACTTGGTTCAATTTGATATAATTGATAACCATCAATACGATCATAAGCTGCTAATAATGTTGTAATTCCAAGTGGTCTGCTTGACATGTACAATGTATGAAAATGAACGCTTGCACTTAATCTTTCAGAGAGTACTCGTCCTGGAATACGATGTCCGAATTGATCCAAGTATCCTCTAGCTTCGGATCTGGCTTTATTTACAATTGGTCTTCCATCAGGCTTCCATCCAGTAATGCTCAATCCAGCTGTTCTATCAACGTTGAAAATTCGAGTATTGGTGTGTTCTTCTTGAAGCTTGGAATCCACCAATTTTTCAACAGCTAGAACAACTCCATCTTTACAGCAAATACCGATGGCTGTTCCGCTTGATTCAACAGCCTTGTTGGCATATTCAATTTGATAGAGACGACCATCAGGAGAGTAAGTGGTTACGGCCAAATCATAGCCAGTACCCATGCCAGACATTCTTTAATTTTTTTTGAAAGTTTTTTTTAGCACACGATTCCTCTTTGAAAAGGTTGTGGCCAAAGAAAATGCATTTTGTGAATTTTTCATTATTATCATTAAAATTATTGGTACATGAAACGAAAATGAAAATGGATCATGATCCATTCAGGACTTTTTTGACCCAACTTCTCTTGTCTCATCAAAATTTATAATTGACTACCAAGTCAATTATTGAAATAGTAGAGAACGTGATTTAGAAAACCCAAGAATGATATGGCAGCTATTTCTGTTTTTGCTCATACTCTTGTTCCAGTGATCTAATTGTTTTTTCCTTAATTTTGCTTTTGAGTGTTTTCCTCATTAATTTTTCTAAATCAAAATCTGTGTCAATGAGATGGTTCAATAACATGGCTGATTCGTCACATTTTGATTTGTTGAGTTGTCTCTTAAATAATCTCATGAATGCAACAGTAACACTGTGAATCACTTTGTTTCCCTCTGATAGGAATAAATCCCACACTAACACGGCAACGTCAAAATGAATTTGTGTAAGCATGTTCAGCATGTACCATCTGGTACAAAATGCATCTAAACGAATTCCATGTTCATTATTTTCAAATGTTTTCATAAACTTCTTCATCCTTTTTGAAAGAATATGAGAAAACACATAAGTCGCCTTATTCACTCCTGGTAGACCAGAGAAATACATCTCTTGCATGTTGTAGTGGTCACTCTCCATAATTGAGCAAAACGTCCAAAATGCATCTTCTTCACTCAAGTACATCAACAACATGGCTGCAATGGAAGACATTCCTTGAGTGTATCCCAGTCTTGTATTATAGTTGCAATAAGCTCTTAGTAAATTGAAAAGACTCACTTGATGTTTGCTGTATCTATAAGCAAACAATCGATGTTCACGAAATTCTCTCTTAATATCTACATCAATTTGTTTTGCATCTTTGGCTGAGAGTGGCTTCTTTTTAAGTCTAAAATATTCACCTTCATTATTTTTTCTTCAAAATGTGAGCATGAGAAAGATAAAACCATGCTTCACCTCGAGCTTCATTTGGAATACCTTTCCTCACTCTTTCTTTAAACTTTTTTGGCAAGTATTCTAAATCTCCTTTTGTATGTTTTTCTTTAATTTCAGCAAACATTGATTTCCACTTCTTTAAACGTTTTTCTTCTTTCATTCTTCTCTTGTATAATTCATGAAATAGAGATGGTTGTTTTACTGAATCTATCGAAACATATTCAGTGATCGGGTGTCCCTCTTTATCAGTGATGGTCCATTTGTTTTGGGGATTTTCTACAAAAAATCCATATCGATCACTGGGTTTTGATTCAATATTTTTCAACTCATCCGTGTTGACCATCCTTATAATGGAATCATCATACATTTCACAAATATCACCACCATATTCACACATACTGTGAGCGATTTGTTCTCTTTCATATATTGCTGCTAGTTGTAGTGCCGTCCGACCTTGAGCATCGGGAATGTTAAATGCTTTGGATCCATTAAGAACTAAAACGTGAGCAATACTGGAGAAATTTTTGAGAGTGGCTATGTGAAGAGCTGTTTCCTTGTTAAAGTTGTATTGATCAATATTCATAAAATCGGAATCAATTTGACCATTTTCAACTGACGAATTGGTTGAAGTGCTTGGTGAATCGCTTCTTCTACATTTGCATAATAAACTTGCTGTAGATGTTTGATTTTCTAAAAGAGCAATATGAAGAGCAGTATTTCCAGTCTCTGGATCAATGGCTTTGAGAGTTTTGATATGTGGTTTGACTATTAACCTGGCAAATACTCCCTTGTTCATGAACTTGTTGTAAGCCTCTTCGTAGAGAGAGTCTTCATCTTGTGATGTACTCTTTGGTGCTTCTCCGTTTGTTGACGTTAGCAGTGATGTCATTTGCGATAAGTCAGCTAGATATTTAAACAACTCTTTATCCTTTCCTTGTTTTGAAAGATTGAATATATCCGAGTACATTGGAAAATCATTGATTGTTATAACTTGTGAATTTTGTTGTTGAGTTTGTTGCGTATCCTGGTGTGACTCCTCCAAGTTTAATTCTGAGGAGGAGTCTGATGATATCATTTCAATTGGTTGTTGCTCTGGTGGTTGAACTAAATTATTTTGGATAATATCTTCCATGGTCTCTTGTAAAAGAGATATTTGATGATTGTTATTATTATTACTATCTTCCATCGGAGCCTCTATAAAATCAAATGGTGATTGCTCATAAGAGTTGATCTGATGAGAAAGTGAGACCGTGAGTGAAGATGATGAGAGCAAGGATGAGAGAGGCTCGTTTTGAGTTGTTTTGTTATTTTTGATTGGTGACATATTTCCGTTGTGTGTTTCATCTTTTGAAGCGTGCCTTCCAGTCTCTGAATGCCTCATCATGGACGAATCTTGTTCCTTGAATAAAGAATATTTGTTGAAATTGCTCTCTACTTGAGCTTGTGGTTTTTCATCTCCAGAAGAAGGAGCCACCACTCTTTGTCTGGGCTTTGGAATTTTGCTTCCCGTATTTGCTCTCGGTTTGGAATGGGAGGTATTCTCTCTGGAAGACTCTTGCCAAGTCGTGTGCGCTTGAACCGAAATTCTTCTTGTTGAGGCTGTTGGTTTGGGAATTTTTGAAGGTCTTGAAGGAAAGCTCCCCATCCCTTCTTTCCTATTCGGAGAGGGATGTTTAGATTCAGTTTTTTGTTTTGATTTTGTATGACCGTTGGTTATTAAGTTGGAAGGATCGCTCTCTTTCCTTGCAGAAGCATTCTGACCAGACTCTGATGTACGTGTTGAGGATGTTGTTGGTTTTGTCTTGATGTTTTTGTTCCTCGACTCGAGACTGGTCATTTCTTTTGAGGGTTCGGTGTCCCTTATTTTTTATCTTTGTCACAATAATAAACGTTCTGCTTATTAACGAATAATCTAATAAGAACGTTAACGAATAATAAATATAATTGTATTATTAATAGTTTAATCTACATCATTTGAGACTGGATATGTTGGTTTGTCTTAAACTCAAGATATAACGTAAATAACACATGGAGAGACTCAATCAAGTGTCCTTCATAGACAGGAATGTCTAATAAACTGCATATTATTTTGATATATTCGTCAAGATCCACATCCAAATCTGCTCCCGGAAGATCCGTCCTTGCCAATTCTTCCTCAAAAGCATCAGGCCATGCTTGAATGAGTTGTGTAAAGTCAACATTCACTTTTGAATACTGCACGGTTGGTGGTGGTTTCTTTTTGTGCAATTCTCTGATATCGTTGATCCATTTTTGAATCAGTTTGTCATTTCCTGACTCTACGCTCTTAATTATTGTTTCTGGTTTTTTCATTGAAATTCCTGATGACAGAACGGATTCAGAATGAGTATTAGAGGTAATATTTGCTGCAGTCATATCCCCTTTCATTTGATAGGTCAGATCTAAAGTAACCACTGTAGGATCAGATTGAATAGGATTTGGTTCATCGATAACTTTTAAACCAAGATCATCTAATTCGTCTTCCTTGAGGTCTGGCCTTTTAATTTTCAGGAAAGGATCCAGCTCACCCACCGAGGCCATATAGTCAGGAATAAATGGCTTGAGTTTTGTGTCAAGTTCAATTTCATGGGGTTTGTATCTGTTAATATATGTAAATAGCTCCTTAAGCTCATTCGAAATGTTCATTTTGCTTAGTAACAAGTTAGATTCATTTGCATTATATGATGAATGTTGCGATCTTGGTTGTTGTGACCTTGCGTTGGTAATGTTACTCGAATAATGATCCTCTTCCTCTTCTTCCTCATCTTCTTCCTCATCTACGTCTTCTTCCTCATCTTCCTCTTCTTCCTCTTCTTCATCTGATTCCTGTTGCATTCGTTTGTTTGGAGGTTCGCTCTTTGTGGAAACTGCAATTCCCGATGAAGGAATTGCATTTGGGTTTGACGCTCCGATTTGCAATCGTGGATCTCTTGGAGTGTGTTCTGGAGATGGGATCGAATGTACCTCATCTTCATTTGTTTCAAAAACTTCATCGTAATGTTGATTTGGCACAACTTTGCCTTGTGCTGAAGAAGGTTTTTGGTTCGTTGATCCGGATGACGTTCTGTTAGTTCCACTATTTCCTCTTTCATACCTATTTGAAACTACAATTCCCTTATTACTTGATGAAGAAGAATTTCCGATACTAGTGAATTTACCAGTTGAATTTAAATTATCAGATTCTTCTTCTCCCTCTTCATCATCGGAAGGCAATCCAAAGTCGTCATCTTCCTGCCGTCTGTTAACCAATGATCGTGTCATCCCTTGGTCATGTATTGTTTCTTCCTCATCGGTTTCGTATTCGGTTGATTCACCATCATCACTTCCACCTTCCATGCTGGTGTTCATTTTTGTGTTTGGGCAATTCTTGAATTTTGTTTTTGTAGTTTTTTGGCGCGAGCAACACGATACTCTGGACATCTCACTATTATGTTGTATGGTGATCTTCATCACATATGGACAAGATGGATCTCTCATTTTCCTCATGGTGTTCCTTGAATTTTCAAAGCTCTCTTATTAAATGGTTATTTGAAAGTTACTCTTTCGTTTTAGTCATGGTTTGTTTGCAAAGTTACGATTTTCTCTGGGACACTGGGAAATTGTAATGATGCTTCGACCTCTAATGCGCTTTTCAAAAAAATCGTTAAAAATGCCACACGCAGTACATTCATCTTCGGCTCCGTCGATAAAACCTGTCTTTCCTCTTGCTGTAAAGTTAGGAGTTGGAGGAGTTCTTGGTGTGGTAACTGTTGCTTCATATTTGAATAGAAATGCCATTAATGCTTTGATTGACAACAACATGTCCAGATCGAAGGACCTCCTTGAAAGCAGAAGAATTAGAATATATGAAGAAGAGGAAAGAATTAAACAAAGAAAATTGGAATGGCAATTGCTCTCATTTGCTTCGTATGGAAGTTGGACGAAAACCAGATCTCAAGTTAAATTCTTGCAGGATAAACTTGACCGCAAAGATAGAAATACATGGCAAGATTTACTTCAAGAGTTGGAAGAAAACAACAACAAGTCTTCGTAATCATCATCATTTAATTTTCTTAATTTTCATCATCACGTGGAGATTTGACCCACAATGCGTTTGTTGTAAATGTTCACATAAACCTTCTCTTAGCTTTCAATCTTCGAAATTTATTGTTGTGGGCATTGAACATCACCTTCCCTCTATGGTTGAATAGTGTTGTGTGGTGCAGAAGAAATAGACAGTTCTATCGCAAATAGAGAGTCAAAAAAGTCGAACACTTACCGGTGGTTTTTCACTCTTCATGGCCAGCAACTCGACTTCTTTAGCTCTTTCCTTCTTGATCACAACGTCGGGTTTTTGATACTGTGAGAGGAGTGGTCAATTCCACCAATGGCTGAGCCAAACAATTTGGTCAATGTTGATGATGATTACTTACGGAAATAATGAGAGTATGGTTGTCCAACGTCCAACTCAAACATTTATCCTCGAGTTTTATGGAGGGTGTGTATTCTCTGGTGAGTTCTGGAATGTTGAACCTCTTGTAGTACTTTTTGTTGGTTGTGCTAATGACAATCTCTTGTTTTTCATGGTCAATATGCACCTGATAAATGTCCTTAGTGAAAAAGCAATTCCTGACTCTCCATTGGAAGTGCGTTGGGGAGTCTTTTCTCATGAATATTGGCTGCACATCATTACGGAACGAGAAGGAGATTCGAGAATGTATCATGGCCATTCATTCCCACTCGCACCCACTCACAACAACACCATCACACATTCCGAATACTTACATTCGTAGTGGAGGGTGCAATCAAATCATTGAAAGGATTGAATACTCTCACATCTCCTCCAATTTCAAATTGCCATTCACCCTCACCTCCTAGTACGGTGGGTCTTCTTCGTTTCCGTACAAGTAATTGATTTGTATTAAGGTCAAACTCTTCCACCATTTCTTCACCATCCTTGTAGGTGGTATGAAATTTTCTTCTGCCATCGGCCACGATGCTTGTGGTGTAGGGATATTTGGTGGTGGATGATGACTCTTTCTCTGTTTCCGATGTTGATGACGACCTGTTGAAAAATTCACTCAACATGTTGTTGTAGTTGTAGGGTGAGGTGTCGAGCTCGAAATCACACAAGGTTCAACGTTGCTAAATTTAAAAGTTTTTTTGATGAGGAGGAGGAATCAGTGTCATACAACGCTGTTGATGATGAAACTCTTCTTGTCATAGGAAGGCCCTATCCGTGTGCACAAATGCATTTGACAATACTTCAGTAGTGATGATGCTGCTCTCACTTGATACCGTATTCATGAAAGCAACAATTTCAGCAAATTCTATCAGAATGAATATTGTCCTTTCTGCGCGTGGAATATGTTTTTGAGCACCTTATCGCTTACTCTCCAATTATCTTTAACGAAGATTTCAAGATCGATTTGTTGAAATTGTTCAAACTGTTGATTGAAATAAAGAGCAAGTCTAATAATGACTCCCACATTTGATGTGTGTTGAGAGTCAGGAACTTATCTCAATAGAAACAATACATTCTTAAATTTGAAGAACATTTTCTTTTCTGAGAGTAATGTCAAATGTCTCACCTTAAATTTTAATTTGCAAGGAACTCTCTGCAAAGTGGACATCAAAAGGAACATATTCATACGCAAAGGTACCTTCTGATTTGGAAGGGTTGTGTATTAATTGTTGTGGATGTGCAACAACACACGTTATTTAATCATCAACAGAAAAAGTGCAACAACAACGTATACACTCTCTCTACCTTAAATTTTGCGGATCAACGAAATTAAATCTGAGAGATTGATCCATCATGCATCCTTCAACCACATACTCCATCAAACGGAGTTTTCTTCAAGCAACAACAGCAACATGGTTTTGTTTATCATTACTTTTGTTCAACGCTTTATCAAAATTTCAAATAGGAATCATCCAAACAACTCGATTCCTCTTTCCAATCGTTGTCAGCATCATGACCGAACCCACTCTAAAGACTTCTTCTTCATCATCACCACCATCACCTCTATCATTCATCACTGTTGTACAAGCCTCTACTCTCAATATTCGAGTACAAGGTGGAACGGTTGCCTCTCCTCGACAATTTCCTCATATCATTTCCATACAATATCAAACACAGCCTGGAGCTGCCTTTGAGCATACGTGTGGAGGTACCATCATTTCATCCAAATTCATCCTCACTGCTTCTCACTGCAATTTTGAATCCGATGGATCCGTAGTTTCTCCCTCTAAACTCTCCATTGTGTATGGCACCAATGTATTGAGTGATTGTCCATCTTCACAGATTGGAACATTTCCAAAATGTCAGAGAGTAGCAGTAAAGAGAGTAATGAATCATGCTCAATACAATGAACAATTAGTAGTGAATGACATTGCACTCTACGAATTGGCAACACCCATTTCGAATTTACCTTTGGCTCACATTGCAAAAATTCCACGAAAAAATCCTCAATTACAAACACCACATTATATCGTTGGATGGGGAATTACAAGTGATGCGAGTGGAGTGGCATCGAATGAACAGAGAGTGGGTGTGGCACCTCTTGTGGATGATTCCAATTGTAACAAATTGGGACTTGGCATGTCGTCCTCGAATGGACAGCTCTGTGCTGGTAATGGAGATGGTAAGTTTTTGAATGCATGTTGTAGAACTGGACATTCCTTACACCTTCTTTTTTGATTTTATTTGAATGATATAATGATGTAAAATACAAAAATATATATGAATGATCTAATGATGAACCATTCGTGGAAAAAGGTGTGGATGCTTGTGTGGGTGATTCTGGAGGTGGTCTTTCATTTAAACCAAAGAATGATACCCAATTTGTAGTTTCAGGAGTTGTTTCCTATGGACCAAGGTATGTGTTGTTGTTCTTCTTTTTCAATTTCTTCAATGATTTGGTTGTTATTTTTCAAACACACCAACCATTCATGATACAACGACTGTTACTGTGTTGATCATGTGTGAATCACTCATCAACCATGTCATGCATATATGGACACACATATATACTCAACAGTGGATGTGGAGTTCCCTCATCAGTCTCAAACCGAGGTGTCTACACTTCAGTTGCATACTTTAGAAATTGGATTGAAACTCAAGTGAATGGAACGTCTCCTCTTTACTATTATGATGGAACAGGAGGATCCGATGACAGTCCTGTGACTGAAGGAAAAAATCAAATCAATGAGGGATCTATCCATCATTGGAGTTGGATGTTGATGATTTCTGTCCTGTTTGTCTTATTACACACCAATTTCTAATCTTTGACTCAAAATCATTGTCTGATAGAGCAATGAATCAAAATAATCATCATCTTTGCCATCATTGGACAATTATCAATTAAAAAAGAACATGTACTTTTAACTTGAACGAAAACTGTTTCTAATCAATTCAAACTTGTCAAACCATCTTACATGGATTGTTTTGGATTGGATTCATAAAATCAATGTTTGCAACATTTGTGTTGTTGAAATGGGAATGATCAAGTATTATAAATTAAGTTTCGAACGTAACAACCTGTCAACTTTGATTTCTTTTCCAATCACAGAGTGGAAAGAATAATCTAACTCATTCAAACTCTTGATCAAATTTTAAAAGAAGGAACATACTATTATATTGAGGACAAATCAAATCAAGAGTTGAGCAGCTCCGGATTGAGGAAATTTAAATATTGACTGATAGAAAGTTCAAAAATAATCGCTGGAGCAATCCGATCCAATCCGTCGATCCTGGTTTATTAAATTACCTCATTCTAGCTTTCGGATCAGATTCGATTAATCCTCATGAGATCAGGATTGGAAAAATTTCATACCCTTATTATATCACTTCAATCATTTCCAATCAATAATTATTCTCACATCATCTTGAATGAGTTATCAACAAGGGTTGACTTTCAACAATACTATACCTACTATACCTATGATTGGTTTTATTTGAAGGACTGAACCATCTAATGTGGTCTTTTGATAAATGGTAAATTATTTTTACAGCCTTACATATTCTCATAAGGTGTTTTTTCTTAAATATAAAAAATGCCAACTCTTCAACATTCCTGCCGTCCTCCTGAAGAATATTGTACCCTCGAAATTGTTGCTTCATTTAAAGCCTACAGTTCTGAAGGTTCAATGGATGTACAAAAGAAAAAGGATATAAAGACTAAGATTCAAAAAGAACTGCAAAGGTTGAAGGAACAAAAAAGCCTTAATTTAGGTTCAAAATTTAAGCCTTCACCAACCTATCGGAAGGGGTTTTCTTTATTTATTCAGACAATGAAACCACTCACCAGTTTAAACGAAGTACTTAATGATGATTTATTCTCCAGAATTTTGAATTTTATGAAAAACATAAAGCAAATTGGAGATGCTAGATTTTGTCTTTCAAAGATCCCAGTTGCTCAAGGAACAGATGACCCTCAGCTTAGCGGGGAGATATTGTCTACAACATCAAGAAATGCAAGCCTGTATTCTTTTCATTCTACATTTTTTCCAATAATGTCATCGCCTGAAGAATTAACAAATGTCCGTTCACCTCCAGAAGATGTCACAACTATTAAGTGGTATGATCAAGAAATCAAAGAATTACGCCAAGAAAACAAATATTTGGAAGTATTTCGTCAAGAAATCAAAGAATTGCGCTAAGATAACAAAGAATTACGCCAAGAGAACCTTGATTTGCGTCTAATGGGAATCAAACAGCAGGAAGAGATTTGTTTTTTGAAAAAGCAAGTGGACAACCTGACATCATTAATAATTGTTCGTGAAGTAAAAACCCTCCAACATTTTCCGTTAAATTATTCGTAAAAAAATGTTCCGGACCAGCATTAGCAACACACAAGCGTCACAATTCTATTCCTCCGAGAACAATGATTTAGATTTTTCAAATATTTCTTTTGATGATGAAGAGGAGGCCGAGGAGCTGTCTCAAGTGAAGAGTCAACCAAAGAAAAGCATCGGAAAAACTATTCAAGACCTTGTTGCTGCTCCTCCTTCTAATTCCAATCACAATATCACTCCCACGAACCAACAACACTCCGAACTGGATAATACCAACACCAACAAATCTGTCATCAGTAATTCCACATCATCGACGAGCACTGCAACCACTACTACCAACAACAACTTGGGAGATTCACCAGTTCTCTCTCTAAAATCAGTCTTATCAATGACTACCAATAACAACAACAACAAGGCTTCTTCATCATCTCCTGTTCATCCTCTGTTGAGAACAAACGAATTGGAGGTAATGGAAACGGACGATGAAGAGGATCATGATGAACAACAACATGACTCCAAGGTTGCAACCAACTCAAAGTGGGCGACACCTAAGGCTCAATTAGGAGGGACACACTCTTCAGTAGCAACCACCACCACCAACAACAACAACAACAACTCGATCACTCTTCAAACAACCACCAACCATAGTAATGACGTTTCTCCACCTCTTTTAATGAAATCAAGCAGCACTAGTACCACCACCGCCACCAATATTGCATTGAGTACAAACAAGACAACAGTAGATCAATCCACCTTTAAGTTACAAGCTCTTCAACAACCACCAACAAAGACTCTCAATCCTTCCAAACAATCATCCATCAAGAAGACGACCATTTCTTCTTCTTCTTCTAATACTACTACACAAACACTGCAAGATGAAATCAGTTCAGATGAAGAGAATGATGAACAAGCTGAATCATTGAAAAAGACAATCTCTTCAAAAAAGATGAATCAAAAACAACTCCCTTCCACCAAATCTAATTCATCCTTGGACAAACTATTTAAGGATTTAAGATTTACAATCACTTCCATATCCACACCCACTGAAAGAGAACGTGTGATTAAAGCCATTCGATCCCATGGAGGTGAAGTGATTGAAACTCTTGAAGATATTCAAGAAGAAGAATTGATAATTCTCATTGCAGATGATTGTACCACAAAACCAAATTATTTGATTGCACTCATGATGGAAATTCCACTCTTGAAAAAGGAATGGATACATGATTCTATTTCTGAAGGTCGATTACTCATTGATACCATGTACAAGTATGTATTGAATAGAGGTTCATTCCTTGTTCGATCCACAAAACAGAAGAAACTAGTGAAACAACAAGTCCTCTCGAAACTTTCTCCATGTGTTCCAATGGAAGAGAGAATTTTCAGTTCTGCCAAAGTGAGAATTATTGGTTCAAAAGATTTTAAGGAAAAATGGTCACCCATTCTAAAGGCTGGAGGTGCCAAAGTGATGACTGTCCTCAAATCACAAACAGATCATCTTTCAAACTTTTTATTGGTTGAAGATTATGACAAGTTAGATGCCAAGGTAAAGAAGGAGGCCAAACAACACAAATTACCAATTTTGGATAGAGATTCTTTGTTGGAAATTATCGTAACATTGGAAAGGAAATTATCGTCTGATCAAATCTTAAATTATTCTGACCTCAAGACAGCTATTCAAAAGATGGCAAAACAACAATCAAAGAAAAGAGCTTGTCGAGATGATCATGAGGAGGACTCTGAGGAAAGTGATAGCAGTGAGGAAGAAGTTGAACAACACAAGAGAAAAGGTTCAACAGAGGAATCATCTCAAGAAGTAATGCAAAGAAAGAAATCAAAACCAAGCCCAACAGAATTGACATCACCTGAAACCAAACAATTATCAAAGACACGTTCTGAAACAACAGACACACTCCCAAAACAAGAGAATGTATCTGAATTGAAAAAGGACAAGACCGAAGATAACACTCAAAAATTCACTACTACAAATTATCCTAATGGATTTTACTTTAGAAAAAGTGAATATGACTCTAATTCATTCTCACAACTCTTGCAAATCCAAGATCAATCGATGGAGGTCATTTGTGTTGGAGATGTGATTCAAACACTAGATGACAAGTATTACCGTGTGGATTCGTTCGGATTTTCACGACTACTTGCAACAGAGTACACGTTAGTTGATGTCAGAAACGATTCACAGCATCAAGAGACTCAACGATTGTTACAAGCAACAGATCGAAATCATGTAGAAGTTCCCCTTTGCACTGTCAAATATAGAGTGTTGTTAAATAATCGTTCAGGAATGGGTGAGAGAATTTTCTTGATTGAAAAACCAGAAAGACTATCCATATTAGATGACACTCCTTTAATATCAGTGGAACATAGGGCGGTCAATATTTTGCACTTCAACATTAGCCACGACTTTCAGCAAACCTCACCACACACAATTCAAATCCTTCAATTTAACAATATTTTGTTCCAAGAAAATGACTTTGTCAAAATCGTTCACACCTCAGACGAAGGATCTCGACTGGTTTGCATTGGACGAATTAGATTTGTGCTTGAAGACCGTCTTTTTATTGAGTTATTTCGAAGGCATCCTAACAGCGAAATATCAGATCACTATGTGACCAGTTTCCAGGTCATTCCATTGTTCCTTAATTCCATTTCGATTATTGAGCCTCTTCAGAGCTTTAACGACCTTTCTGCTTTCACTATTTCAAAAAAACAGACGCAACAAGTCCAATCGATTTTTGTGCAAGAAGAATAAAGTTTAATCTCTGCTTGTGATTCTTGGCAATAATTTTCGCCAATGATTTGCTCTCTTAACACTTCCTACGGACAACATGACTTTGATCAAGTATTGAATGGTCCTGGACATGGTGTGTGGCTCCACAAAGTTGTATTTCTTGTATGCAGAAATCATTTGTTCCATCAAATTTTCAGCTTCTTCCAATCTTCCAGTTTTCAATAAACTTGCTGCTATGAATTTTGCTCCTGGAACTGCCTCAGGATGATGGCCATAATACTCGATTGCTTCGTTCATCTTTCCTTGTTGAATTAAGCATTTGATTATTAATGAAAAGGTCCTTGCATTAGGTATCAACTTGCGTGTTTCCATACTCTTCAAAATAGCATCAATATCTTGTTGGGTATAATTTTTAGATCGAACTAATCCAATCAACAAAGAGTTGTATGTCGCTGTGGACACGGTAACATTCTTGCTGATCATTTCATCAACCAATTCATATGCCTTGTCTAGTTTTGAATCCTGAGTAAATCCAACAATTAGAGTATTATAATAACCATCATAATCTTCAGTACAATTTTCTTTGAAAAATTCATAAGCTTTGTCGACATTTCCTTCTTTGATATAACCTTCAATAATAATTTCTTTTGTTATTACGGGTGGTTTCATTCCATATTCAGTAGACATTTGATTATAAAGTTCCATTGCCATTCCCATATCACAAATCAAAGCATATCCTCTGATGAGAGCTGTAAATGTATATTCATCAGGTGGTACTAAAACTTCATCGCTCTCATCCATCCAATTAAATAATTCCATCGCTCTCTTCATTACAACAGAATTGTGTTCACAAGTAGGTTTGAACACTTTAATTTCATCAACAAGTCCATTCAACACAACAGTAAATGCACTTGTTCCAATGTATGGTGCTGTTTGACCATGTTCATTCTTTGAATTACGTAAAAAGGCTATAGCACCAGCGACATCATTACCTTGTGTAATAATGACTTGTAGTAATTTTGTAATTTTTGGTTTCAATTTGAGTTTCTTAACCACAACTTCTGGAGAGAGACCCATATTCTTACAATTATCAATTCGAGAGGTCAATAAACTTAATAATGTTCTTGCTGTTTCAACATCTCCAACTTGTTGAATTGTGTCCACTAATTTATCTAAGAGAGCTCCAACCACTCCGAGATGATAACGCTCATTGTCATTTAAGAAAAATTTAACTTCCCGATAGACTTCAAAGAGTGGTCCTCGAGACTTGTCGGTGGAAGGAGACACTGGAGTATTCTTTTTTTTCATTTTGGTGTAAAAATCAAGAGTGTCCATAATTTCATTTTTTCTTTTCACGGCCTCTTCGTAGGTTGGAGGAGACTTTTTGGTTGAATCATCTTCTCCAACAACAACAACTTGAACAGTGGAGTTGTTAGAGTTGTTGTGAGAGTTGTTGTTGCTGTTGGATTTGTTGGGAACAGTCGTGCTCTTGTTAGAGTTGTTGTTGGATTTAAAGTTGTTGTTGGATTTAAAGTTGTTGTTGGAGTTGTTGGGAGCAGTCGTGTTCTTGTTGAAAGAAGAGGCAGTGCTCTTGTTGGTTTTGGACTTGAAAGTTTTCTTTGATTTTGTAGTATCTTTAAAAGATGTTGAAAATGAACAATGTTGATTGTTCATTCCATTAGGATTGAATTTGGGATGAAGATTCAATGTCGTTGTTGAGTGGACTCGAGTCGAGTATGATCGATCAATTAATGTACCAGTGGAACCAGTCACTGAGAGAAGACCGAGTCGGAACATGGCATGGTAGGAAGAAGGCTTGTGAGTCATCATCCTGTTGCTGCTGAGAACGAGTGCTCTTGATGTTCGGGCGGTGTGTGTCAAAAAGAAAGACATTTTTTTTTGTGTTTTTCCGAAATTTTTTTTAAATTGATTGGAAAAAAGTGAAAGAGGATGCAAAAGCCTTTGTGAAAAGTTTTGTCATTCAGAGAGAGATGGTTGCAGCATCATATCATATAATATTAATTGGCATAATAATTCATGCATGGTCGTCTCAATTCTTGTCATTGATTTCATATTCAGAGACATCATCATGACCTTCTTCATCCTTTCTTAAGAATGGACTCAGGTTGGTCCATATTCTAAGAGTAGATCTTCCATGTGGACAATTCCATGGTTGTTCTAATTCATCCAACTGTCTCACTATCTTCTCCATTTCCATTCGATTTAATACTTCAATACATCATTCGTAGTAGTAGACACAACATCATGTGAATCATCATTGATATATCGAATTCATTTTCAACAACAACAACAACACTCAAACATCATCCAACAAACAACACACCACCATAACATCCAAGCACACACTTACCTTGTCCAAACATGACTGAAGATCGACATGCCTTTGATGCCAATATTCGATTCACTTTTGATGGTTTCAATTCTTCCTTAATACTTGATGGCATGGAAATATTCTCTGAAAGTATTGAAATGAATTCTTCAAAATCTTGATATGTAAAGGTAATATTCTTACAATGAGGAAGAGAGGTTAAATAAAAGGTGGTGGTGGTGGTGGTGGTATGAGTAGTAGTACTACTATTATTGCCATTATTATTATTATTACCATTATTATTATTATTACCATTATTATTATTATTACCACTACCACCATGATTGTCATTATTATTGCCACTACCACCATGATTGTCTTCTCTTTCTTCAATTTTAAATCCATTCTTTTCAAATAATTTTAAATGATCTCTCACAATGAATTGTTGTGATAATGTTAAATCTAATTTCTGAGGTACAATTAAAGGTTGTGTGAATATCTTGAGAGAAGATTTGAGTTTTTCATAATTAAATTTCTCATCACATGCATGTTGATCCAATATGATTAATTCATTGTCAAGTAATGCAATAATAAAACTCTTATTGAATTGTCCAATAATATTCATTTTAGAGAAATCATCTTTTTTGATGAGTTTTGTTAATTGATTAGAAGTAGTTCGAGTTGTTGTTGGAATGAATTTCATTTTCTTTTTTGAAATGATACTTGTTGGGTCGAGAGGATGAGTGTTGTTGTTTTGATTGTTTTGGTTGTTGTTGCTGGGTCGAGAAGTGTGACTACTACTAGTAGTGTTGTTATTACTAGTGGTAATGTTGGTGTTATTACTAGTGGTAATGTTGGTGGTGGTGGTGGTGGTCAGAGTGGTGATGGTAGTATGAGTTGAGTGTTTCCGATTTCTTTTCCTCACTCGTTGATATTGTTCAATAATTGAATGTTCATTCCAATGAATGTTTGAAAATAATTCCACAATGGAAATGTTGAATTGTGGATCAATAATGGTATTTTCTTGTTGTGAATGAGATTTAGAGTTCACTATAGATGGAGGAGTTTTAGAAATAGTCATCATTGTCATCGTCTCATTCCCATCATCATCATTCTCCATTTGATCATTAGACACTTCTCCAAAAATGATTCTTTTCACAACAGCTGGTGAGTGTTGTCTTTGACGTGTTGTTGTTGTTCTTGTAGTACTATTCCCATCACTTGATAATTGTTGTTGTTTCAATTTCTTTGAATCCTTAGTGTTGTTGTTGTAATTGTTGTTGTGAATATTCAAAATTCTCTTCTTGCTGTTGACAGAAGTGGTGGAGGAAATGAAGGATGATACTACTCGTTTGTTATTGCTGTAATAATTGGAAGAGGATGATTTCTGATCAGAAGATGCATTCAATTCATCCATATTCACTTCATCATCTTCATCATCCATATTTTCATTCACATTAATATTCTCATAAATATTCTCATTTTCATATTCATGATCTTTGAGTAATTCATAGAGACTTTTCTTTTCAAGTATTTTTGGATGATTTGGTGAAGTAGTAGATTGAGATGATTGATTGAATAAGGATGATGATTCTATCAAAGAGTTCTTCTTTTCATTTCGAGTAGTATCATCTTGAAAGGGTGAGATGGATCGAGTCATAGTACTAGTAGTATTACTTGTACTAGTAGTAGTAGTAGAATTGACAAATTCCTCTTGTTCCATTTGTGTCATGGGTACAAATATGGAATCATTTGGATCATGATTGAGAATTGGAGACAATTTCCTGTCATTTTGTTTGTTTTGTAATAAATGATTAGAGACACTTGTTGAATGATGTAATTGTTGTTGACTTGTTGAACTAGTACTCGTACTACTACTACTCAATGGTGATGATAATTGTGAAGAATCTGAAATGGATATTTTCATTTCATTGGTTTGTGAATATAATTTCTCAAGTTCATATTTCATTAATTGAATCATATAAGGTTCAGAAAGTAAATAAATTTTTCTCTTATCAGGTGTGACATTAATATCACATGTGGATGGATCAATTTGAATATTTAGAATATAAATTGGATATTGATTTCTACTACTGAATTGTTTGTAAATGTCATTAATACAACGAGAGAGTTTTGGTAAATCCACAGGACCTTTAAATTCAATGCATGTATCATTTAATATTCACATTGTTCAATGCATGCATCATTTAATATTCACATTTAATATTCACATCACACACATGGTTATAATTCCAAAAATAGACATAATCAAAAAGATATTATAATCATATATTCAAAAGAATATTCTAAATCATGCAACAATTTCAAATGTGTACCTACGTTTGTTAATATATAAAAATTGTCGATCGGATGAACTTCTTCCACATGATGCATCTTGTCTTGAAATATATCCATTCACTTGAATAGCATGTGGTTCTACTTGTTCCACATGAAATTCCACTAATTTTCTAAATTCTTTCAATGAAAATATATTCACAATATTATCTTTCATTGATTTACCATGAGTGATGAGAAGTTTTTGAGAAGAAGTAATCGAGATGGAATGAAGAATAGATTCTTGTTGAGGTTGTTGTGAATAATGTTGTTGTTGAGGTGGTTGTTGAGGTTGTTGTGAGAGGTTGAATGATGGTGTTGTTGATGGTTCTCGTGTTGTTGATGGTGTTGATTGAGAATACATGAATGATCCAATCTCTGATGAGAGTGTGTTGTTCTTGTTGGTAGTATTTGTAGTGGTGGTGGTGAAATTGTTGGTATTGGTTGTGGTGGTAGTGATGGAATTGGTGGTATTATTGGTGGTATTGGTTGTTGCTACTGCTGTCATATTCACACAATGAAAAGTAATTCCTTCACTTGCCAATGCATAACTTTGAATCATATTCATACATTTAGAGAATTCTCTCTTAATATTTCTTTCAAGTTCTTTAAATCTCACTGGAAAGTTTTTAAATAATTCACTCACTTTCACTGTAGTACCATATTGAGATCTATAGACTCGATCTTGTCGAATTAAATTTTGAGAATGATCAAATTGTAATAAATAAGCGAAAGAGTCAGAAAAGGATGATTTCATAGAGTGAGGAGAAGGATGATGATTCAATAATGATTTCATAGAGGAAGAAGTAGAGTGACAAGTAGAGTGAGAAGGATGATTCAATAATGATTTTAACTTTGAATTAGTGGTACTTGTCATCGGAGTAATATCATTAAAATCATCATCCTTGGTGGTGTCATCAAGAATGGGTCGAGTACAAATACTCAATTTACTCATACAACAAATACTTGAGAGAGCCTATGTGAAGAATATGTTTAAATTCATAAATGATCATATCAATTATATATCACACCTATTCCAGTAATAGATACTTACTTCACCTCTAAATCCAAACGTTTCAACTCCATTCAAATCATGAAAGGATGTTATTTTAGAGGTATGATGTTTCTTCACAAGATGATTAAAATTATTTTTTGAAATTCCAATTCCATTATCAATGACTTCAATACTCTCCAATCCCATATTTACAAATTTAATTTCAATAAATGTTGATTTAGCATCAAGTGCATTTTCAATGAGTTCTTTCACTACACTTGTGAGTGAAATGATGACTTGTTCACTACATAATTTATGAATGGAAGATTTTGATAATTGTTGAATGGTTTTAGGAGAAGTGATTGTTTTAGGAATAGTAGTAGTAGTTATAGGAGACTCTGGTTGGAATTCTTCTTCACAACTCTCGCGGTATTCTTCTTCTTGTTGTTCATCATCATCATGACGGATGATCGGTGCAGCACTCTGAGAAAGTGGTGGTTGGAATGGTGGTGATGATGTGGTCCTAGTGATGCTACTACTACTACTCGGATCAGTACTATTACTAGTTGCATCTGTAGTAGAAGTATTCAAGGAGGAAGAGGATTTCTTCCGAATGATCAATCGTGCCGTACGAAAGACCGCATTCGATGACGATGACGATGGTTGTTGTTGTTGTTGTGAAGGATCGCTCATTTTTCTTGAAAGCGCTTGTTGCAGCTTCTTAATGACAACAATCAGTACCGAAATAAAGGATACATTAATTAATTATACAGAAAGAACTCTCTTCCACAATAGAAAGCTGTAACATTCTATTTCAAGTCGTCTTTGCAAGATCAAAAAAATGTCACCATCCAAACAACAATCTCAGCAACAAGCACCATCTCCACCAACATTGACCGTTTTATCTTCCATGTCCTTTTCTTCCTCTTCCGAATATATTCGTCATTTAATTACAAAAGCAGAAATTAAATTTGTCATGAAAAAAGATCCATCGAATTCATTTTCTTATTATTTAAAAGCAGCAGAAGATATTATTCAATCTGTAGGTGTTGTTGTTCACAATAGAATATATGAACACCACTCTCTGAATATTCTGAATATATATATATATATATAATCATTAACATTCGTTAACACCACTCTCTAAATATATATATATTCATTAATATTCATTATTTTCTGTTTGAAAATGATAATAATTATATTATTTACGACTCACACATTTATAGGCCAATTCCTATAAACAAGAAAACAAAAATGAAGAATCATTTATTCTCTTCACTCGATTTATTAATTTATTTGTAAATATTATTCAAAAGGAACATGTCCAAGTGAGAGATCAAATGATTTATAAAGAAAGATTTAATAATTTAAAGAAATATGCATCCTATGCGATGGATCAATGTGAACTTTTAAAAAAGAAATTACAAGAAAATTATCAAGATTGGTATCACCAAGATCAACTACCATCCTCCTCACATCAAATGACTCCATCACTTGAAATAACACCACCACCATCACATCGAATGACTAGTAGTAGTCTTGAGTATACTATTAGTACGATTCGAACTCCTCCTTCAAAAAATACTCCTTGTACGTTTGGTTTTACTCAAAAGAATCTTGTGACTCCTTCCACACAACAACCAAAACAACCAAAACAACAACAACAACAAGATTGTTTGGAACAAAACACCACCACAGAACTCCTTCCAATACGAATTCACTCTTCACTCATTCAACAATTTTTACAAATTTCTCACTCTCATTCTCAACAGAATTTAGAATTTTGTGGAATACTTGCTGGATCTTTGTTCACCCTTCATGAACATTCCTATTATCAAATTTCACATTGTTTCATTCCAAAACAATCATGTACTTTTGATAGTTGTAAAGCTCTCAATGAAATTACTGTATTCAACAAACAAGAAGAATTAGGATTAATTACATTGGGTTGGATTCATACACATCCTACACAAGATGCATTTCTTTCAACTATAGATATGAAAACTCAATATGGATATCAATGTGGATTAAAGGAAGCCATTGCGATTGTTTGTGCACCACGAGCCAAAAGAACACCTTCGATGGGAATATTTAGAATTACTGATGAATATTCCATTAAATCTAGGAGAGGAATTGGAGTGGTGAATGGAATGGAATGTATTCGACAAAAATTTAGAGAAAATATTGAATGGGGAAATCAACATGAAATTGTAAATGACAAGTGGTTTGAAGAATGTTCTCATGTGCATTTGATACAAGATGAGAGTGAATGGCACATGGTGGATTTGAGAGGTAGTGTTATTTGAACTGTTACATTCAATTTGATAGTCAATATTGAGTATTGTTTTTCTCGACATCCTTCGAGTCCTGTCATGGTGATAATGTCAACTGCAATTTCGAAAATTCAAAAATAAAAAAAATAATGAAAGGCTCTCGCTCTCAGAACCACCAAAAAGAAGAAGAAGATCAAGCCTCTTCCTCATCCTCCTCTTCATCATCATCGGAACAAGTCGTTGAAGTTTCTGAAGAGGAACAAACACTTGATCAACAAGCCTTGAAATTATGCGAACATGCACTAGCTGGTCCTATTACTTTTCATATTCATACTTGTTATGTAGAACCAATTCCATTACATTTCAATGATATCAATGGAATGACATGTTTGGAATTTTACAATCAAGTCATGATGAAATTGGAGAAGGAATACAAGGAGGAGATGGAAGAGAATGAACCATCTTCCAGTAATAAGAATCCTAGTAGTAGTAGTAGTTGTAGTAGTAGTAACAGCAACAACAGCAACAACAACAACAGTAATGATGCTAGCATTTGGAATCAATCTCACGATCGTTCATCTCCATGGAGCATTCAATTATTTTTGAAAGATATTTGCATCAATGATTATATTCACGACAACAACAAGACACTTCTCATAGAAAATGAACATGATATCATCCAATCATTATCCAATGAAAAACCATTAAGAGAATTCATTTCTGAATCTCTTTTAAAAATTGAACAAAATGTCTTTGATTTACAAGTATTGTATCAAGATCATCCTCCTCAATCTTTAGAATTACAATTACCATTGCATGTTAAAAATAGAAAAACTCAGTCCATTGTTGATCAAATTGAACAATTCATGTCATTGCCCTACGATTCAACAAAACCCATGCACCACACTCCACAATTATCCTCTTATAATTTTTCAACTGAAATGAGTGTATTGGATCGAAAGTTTATTCATGCCATTTCATCACTGTATGGAGTTTATCACAAGAGTGAAGGTAATGCCAATCAGAGATTTATTAAAATCTCAAAAGAGAGTAGTCTCTCACTTGCAAAAAAGAAAAAACGTAAAGAACCAAATTTTCCAAGCGGAATGAGTACAGTGATTGAAGACTTTCTATATTTGGGATCTGGGTTGGATGCCAATGATGAAATTCAAATCAAATTGAATCAAATTGAATGCATTCTCAATGTCACTAAAGAATGGCCAATTGGTAAATCGATTCCATCCTATATTGAGTATAAAAGAATTGCATTGAAAGATGAAAGAGAAGAATCTATTTTGCCATATTTTGAACAAGCTTTTGAATTTATTGAACAAGCATTGAAAAAGAAGAAGAGAATTTTAGGTAAGTATTGTGTGTATAGACATGTCGTCGTGCGATGGTTCATGGTGCTACTATTACTACTATTATTGTTGTTGTTATTATAATAATGTAATATGATGTATTTGTTGTGAACACAACATGACCATTTGAATGTCCACTAAACTCTTGATTCATACCTTGAATATCCACTAAACCTGGAGACTCTTACAGTTCACTGTGTGATTGGAAAGTCTCGAAGTGCATCTTTTGTATTAGCATTTCTTATGAAACATTTTAATTTTAATTTGAAACAAGCATATGATTATTTAAAGGAAAGAAGAGAATTAATTAGACCAAATGATGGATTTATCATGCAATTGATGGAATATGAATACAAATTGCATCAAGGACGATTTACAAAAGTGAATATTCATATGGAAGAAAAGGATGGAACTGTTGAGAATGTTGTTATTGATCCTAATAATAATAATAATAGCATTAGCACTACCATTAACACCATCAATAATAGCATCAATAATATTGCTAGCATCAATCATGGTACTGATAAAGACACCACCAACCAAGTCATTCAATCATCCTCTCCACCACCAATCCACATGCCTCGATACCTTTCAACATCTTTAGAATGGGAATTTAAAGAAACCAAACAAGAGAAGGCAATAAGAGAAAAGGAAATGCGAAAATCAAAACTCAATGAAGAGGAAGAAGCAGAATTAGAGAGAACATTTTTAAATGATGAGAAATTGAGAGAATTATTGAACGAATGTTTTCCTCCTTTATCATCCATACAACAACAACAAGAGGACACTTTGACCACTTGCTGCATCCAAATGGATCACAATAAGGATCATCTGAGAACCTTTTCAAAATCTCAAGTACAACAATTTGTCAAGTTTGTGAATGCTCATCCTGATGTCACCAACCATCCATTATTTGCAAATGCAAATTTTGTTAAATTTGTTCACAATCGATGTGCCAAATGGTTTGTTGCTCAATGTCGACATTGATCGAATGGTATGATGATTGGCACTTTTGTTTCCATATTTGAATAATCTGATTCATATAGATGCACACTTTTGTATCTTCCTTTGTGGTAATAAATAATAAGGATGAGTGCGATGATGATTCAATCATTATCAGCTGTTGATAAGTATTAATATTGCACATCATCATTCTTTGGATGCAATAAGACTAAATGTGTGTCCTACAACAACATGGCTCATCAAACACCAAAGAACAGGAACAAAAAATTGTTGGTGTAGTTTGTTGATTTGTAGTGAGGGTTGAACATTTCATAATGACAGATGTTCAAGTTGGGATCTATCACGCCTTAGATATAATTGGGTTTGGGAAAGGATAAATTCATCTCTCGTCATTTCTCATTATTGAACCTCTCTCTGCACAATTATGATAGTATTTCCAACCGCGTCGCGACGCGGTGCAGTATTTATCCGTCAAAAAGGGACAATGATCAAGGCTCCTATCAAACGCAAATCCTCACCACAAAATCCTTTCACAACACATTTGCGGGAAAAAAGCGCCCATTTAAAAAACTCTTTCAAATGCTGCTGCTGCTGCTGTTGCTGTTGCTTCTTTCTGCAATCTCTCCCATCGTCCAGACGTCCAACAACAAAGTGACATTTTCCTTCGACACTTCTCTCATGTTCGTATTCTGTGGTTGTGTTCTATGGTTTCTTGTTCCATGGTCGTACGACCCGAAAGTATCAGCAGTGAGTGCAGCAACGATTACTGCATCCATTTCACAAGCCATTGACACTGCTGTGCAAGAGGTAGTCTCTACCACTGAATGGGCAAATCAATATTCCAAGTAGGTTATTGTTCCTCTATCTCTCTCTATCAATTAAAAATCACATGTTGGCTCGTTGTCATGACTAACCCCTATCCTCATTCATTCATTCCTACACACACACACACACACCTCTTGATTAATGAACCCACCCATCATGACTCACTCACACACACACACACACACCCGTATGTACTCCCACAACTATGAATGAACCCACTCACTCACACACACATTCCCAAATGATCATCAAAAGATATGGACTAGTCTTTACCACTATTCCCATCTGTCCTCTCTCTAAAACATTTTATCCTTCTCAGAATCCATTTCCATCTTTTAAGAGTACCTTCAACGTGTGTTATGAAAAACCTCTTCATCCTTGGATTTACTTGTATCAAACACTTGGTCAAATGGTTGTGGATCGACTCAATACTCACTATCGAATTCAAATGGCAGTCAATTTTACCATCTTGCCAGTGACATCCACAAGAGGATATTTCGATACCATGCAATACTATGTAGATGATGGTTCATGTGATCTTGTCACTTCACATACCATATGGACCGATGAGAGAGCCTCACGAGTTCATTTCACATGTCCCTATGGAACGAGTAGTTTGGGTTTTTTGAGAAGTGCTTTGGATCCCCAATTGGATTTGGATACTGTTCAAAAATTGAATTCTACTCAAAATGTGACCATTGTCACTTATACAGGTTCTTATTATTATACAGTTTCAAAGAATTTATTTTCTAATGCCAATGTCTTGTTACCCACTTATGAAGAATGTTTCAATTATGCTTTACAAAAGAAAGCTCATGCAGTGATTGGAGATGCCATGGATTTGAATTTCTTTTTACAGGCCAATAAGGATCAATGTTCATCATGTTTTGTAAAATCTATTGATGTTCCATTTCAATATGGTGCATTAACCACAAGAAATATTATCAGCAATCAAGGAACAAGTGGAATCTCCATCAATTTAGTGTGGAACACTCTGGTTATTTGGATGCAATTGTACTTACTTGACAAGTTGACAGTTTGTTTAGAGAGTCAATAACTCTCTAAAAAAAGAAATATTTACGATAGCCAAAAATATCTCTATAAATGGGCAAATTCAAGTGACAGGTATCCATCAAAAAAAAACAACTGCTCTCAACAACAACAACAACAGCAGTCATCACCACAACAACAATTCTGATACCCTCTACAGTGAACCAATCTCTCAACAATGAAGAAACTTGCCACTCTCTTCATGGGAGGAAACAACAATGAAACAACAGCCGATGAAAAGAATAAAAAAAAATTACTTGAGAAGGGAGTTCAGCAATGGACAAAAAAAGATGTGTCACTCTGGTTGAAATCTTTAGAATTGACTGACTATTGTAAAGAATTTGAAAAAGCGTAAGTGTAAATACAGTGTGTGGAGAGGACAATATTCATGTCTGTATGGGAATATATCGCACCCTCCTCCTCCTCCTCATCATCATCAGTGATATTACTGGTGCAGAATTATTAGAGTTGACGGATGATGATTTAATCAAGGATTTAAAAGTTACCAAATTAGGTCATCGTAAACGATTGAGAAAGCACTTGGAATATTTGGTACAACATCATGATTTTCTCAATGATGATGAGGAAAATACACTCTCTGATCACTCCAATGTACTTTCCAGTAATAGTCAATTCGTGTCGCAACAACAACAGTTCAATTCTTCTCCAATTGGAACACCACCCTCTTCCATCACTTCAGTGACTACTGGTCAAACTCCTTCTACTCGATCATTGAATCATCACTTAAAGTCATCTCCATCGAATTTGAGTCATCAAACCAATGGTATCAGTAACAATCACAGACAAGAGACATCCTTGTATGGTGGTGGTCAATATGGTGATACAGATTCTGTTTCTTCTTCTTCTTCCTCTTGTGTCAACATTCTTTCGACAGATGCATTCTCTACTTTATGGATCAAGTGTTATGAGTTACCACAACAACAACAACCAACAATGATGGGTCAACAACAAGAATCTCCTCTCAATGAGAGTAGTAATAGTCACCACAACACTATGATTTTAAAATTTAATTTAGGTAATGAAAATGATGGAATTCAGAATACAAATTCTTCCATGAATTCCATCTTGTCACAAATTCCTTCCTTAGAAGAGGTGAAACAAGAAATTCTTTCAAGACTTGGTCAAAAACAACAACATGTTCCGTATTCTTCTTCACAACTTCAATTGAAATACAAAGATGAAGATGATGATATGATTGCATTGAAAAGAGATGAAGATTTCAAACTATGTGTTCAACAATATCTACTTGCAAGAAATAATTTCATATCATCATTGTCGAGTACTAATAGTCGACATACATGTCGATATTTAAAGCTTTACATGAGCTTGCCATCATCAAGTAATGGTATGATCAAGATGAATATTCCTTCCCAGGTTGTTCATTCTTCCGTGAACAATCACCACCTCAATGATGAATTGAATCATTCCAAAAAGACCATTCAAGGTTGTTCGATCAATAGTGAAAGTGAAGAATTGGTTGAAATATTGGATGGAATGGTTGAAGCCATGATTGTCATGACTGCTCATGATAAGCTCATTAAATATGTCAATAAGGCAACAGAATCACTTTTACTCTTCACAAGAGAGGAATTGATTGGATTCAATGTCACTAAAATAATGCCAAGTGCATATCGTCAACATCATGATGAATATGTTGATCTTTATTGTAAAACAGGAATCCCAAAGATTATTAACAAGGGAAGGATAGTACCTGTTAAAAACAAACATGGAAAGGTATTTGATTGTTGGTTGAGTGTGAGTGACAGTACATGGGGTAATCAGAGAGCATTCACTGGAACTTTGAAAGTGATTTACTCGTCAGATTCTTCGAGTCCTTCTTCCTCTTCCGTCAACACTACCACCACTCGTCCTCAAGTATTTCCTTTCTTAGAAAATATGGTGGATGGTGTCATTATTATTTCTGGTAACGATGATATTGTGAGATATTTCAACAAGTCTGCAGAACAAATGTTTGGATACTCCAGAGAGGAAGTGGTTGGTCAAAAAGTTGGAATGCTTGTCTATGATGAACGTGTTCGACAATGTCACAACCAATATGTCAAGAGATACATGGAGAGTGGAGATTCTCACATTGTTGGAATTGGACGTCGTGTGGAGGCTCTGACAAAGGATGGAAAAATGATTCCCATATTCTTGTCAGTGAATGAAACCAAATGGAACAATGGTCTCAATGGAAGATGCTTTATTGGTACCACCAAATTACTCGATCAGAACAGTGCCATTTCAAAATATGTGTAATACTACTAATATAATTTGACAAATCCTCAAATAAATCCTCATGCAATACTCATTCTCATTTCATCCTCTGACCATTCTGAAACATTCAGATTGATTACAATTCATTGTCATTATAATTATCAGATTTATTACTACTACACTCGACTATTTACAAAAATAAATCAGAAACACCTTCACCTGAATCCATTTCAAACATAAAGTCATCATTGGTTGATGGTTGATGATGAGTGGATCCGCTTGATCCAACAATACCACCACTACCACCACCTCGAAGAGAATCATGATCCATTAAACTAGCACCATGTTCAAATGGTAAAGAAGCATGAACTGCTGTGGCTGTTGAAGAAGAAGAAGAAATACCCATCTCTTCATTTGAAGCTTCCTCTCGATCCACCAAATAGACGTCAATAGGATCTGCAGGTGATTTTAGAAATATTTGATATCTTCTCTTTCCCAATTCCATTCCTTCATCAGGATCAGGAACTGTCAATGTAGTACCTGATGGAGCCTTAATTGCAATAACTGTTCTGTCTTTTAATGTTGGAATATCCAAAACATCATCATAGGTTACAAATGCTAATCTACGATCTGTTTCGTTTAAACATCGAAGTGATTCTTGAACATGATAAATCAATTGATCGACTTGTCTTTCTTGAAATTCAATTTGTGCAATTTCATTTTGAATAATTTTAACTTCTTCACAATTTTCAGGTGCATTGACTGCAATTCCTGTTCCTAGCCATTGAATATTATTTTTAGATTTCTTTTCAATTAATCCAATTCCTTCTAAAACATTTGTAATGTCATAAATTCTTCGTTTTTGTACAGAGAGAGTCTCTGCAGCATGATTTAAATCTAAAACACCATCTTTAGCCTCTGCAATGAGATGAATAAATTTTCGAGTGAGTAATCGGAGAGAAGAATCATCACGACAATTCTTGTTGGATGATTTTGAAGTACTTGTTGTTGAAGAGGAGGAAGTGGTAGTACTTCTTGTTTTTCTCTTCTTTTTGGATGTAGATGTGTCTTCTTGAGTTGTTGTTGTTGTACCACTACCATCACCACCACCACTACTCATTATGGATTGATCCATGGCATTCGTAGTATTCGTAGTGTTATTATTATTATTATTATTGGTAGTCGTTGGTGATGATGACTCTTCTTGATCTGCTGCTGCTTGATGTTGTGAAAGAGAAAGAGCCGAGATCATGGATTGATAGGATCGTTTTTGAGAGGAAGAAGATCGAGTTACTGTATTGTTGTTATTGAGAGGAGGAGAGGCATCATCGTTGGAGAGTGATGCTGAAGAATCATTGGGTGATGATGGCATGATTCTCGGACGAACAATACACTGTGATGATTCAAGAATACAACAACCAATAAAAGGCTTTTAAAAAGAATATTCGGAAACAAAGTGACACTTTGGAATTTTTTTTTTGAAGAAATGCTTTAAATTTGGCAGTCCACAAGGAACACATGATGCACCAATGAGTTGTTATCGATTTATTTTCATGATGAAGAGGGTCTTCAATCTCTTGTCGACTCCACAACAAGGTGGAACTTCTTCAATTTGGAATCTGACGAAAGAAGGAATGGATGACCTATTGAAGACATTTGAATGGATTGAGGAACTATTCGTCTCCAGTGTTCACTTTGAATCTCAATATTCTCTGCGTACTGAAAGATCACATTGATTAATAGGTGTAAGTGCATGGTTGTATTAAAGGTCACAAATTTCATTGTCATTTCCATTAAAAAAATTATCCTAATATGGTGTTTCAAAGGTCAGAAGGAAAAAGGACAGTATTGTTTTGCAGGAATGACTATAGTGCAGCGTATGTATGGATCAGTACTGTTCCGTATCTGATAAACAATGGTCTTGAAATTAAGCTCATCAAATGGTTGCCAAAACTTTCTTGCTTCCTTTGCTTTGTCTAATTCATTTCTTGAAGAGGATTGAAATTTGTTGCAAGAAGCCCAATAACAAAATGTCTTCAATAACGCTTCACAATCATCCGTAATTACACTTTCTGTAATGTTTTTGAGCAATGAGAAGTGTTTGTAAATATGAAATCATTTGGCCCAAACTGCTTGCGTTTTCGATACTTTTACCACGAGCTTTTATGTCACCAATAATATTTGCAATTTTAGTTAGTAATGAGTGATTAGATAAATATTGTTTTGGGCTTGTGTCCTTTACCTTCAAATCATTTTGTGCCATTTTTTTCGAGGATTGCACTCATTGCGTTATGGACCTCACTCTCCACTGAACTGTTTATAGGCGTGAAAAGGTTTAATATTTCATCACTAACCTGGCTAAATAATTGGGCCTGTGCATTAAAATTCCAAAAGCTTTGATGTTTTCAAATTCTTCAAGTTTTGAGTTATGCTCGATTGAAAGAAAGGACAAAAATGAAACAATTATGAAAAAAACAAATGATTTGGATCAAATTCACACATCGATGTTGAATTAATTTCCCTTGTTTTTGCTTAATAAAATATTTTCCAACTCTTCAATAGAAAACCAACAGATATGGATCCATGGAAGAAACGTAATTCAAACGCCTTTCATTCACCATTAACCCTTTGAAAAGTGTTTTGTGAACTTCTTAATTATCAATAATGGAAGCTGAAACTTATTGTTTTCATCGTAGTTATAAATATTTTCACAATTTGATTTCGGCAATTATTACCATGTTGGTATTTATCAATTCTCAAACGAACTAAATATAAAAGAGTTGGCTGTAATATCGATACACATTATTAAGCAACTTGCACTCGTTATTGGCTACACTTTTGCTGTATAATTTGAAATATTAAATATTTAAATATAATTTATGTTCAATAGTTTATTCGTACATTATTGCAAATATATTAAACTCCATTGAGAGTAAATATAATAAAATTATCCAAATGAAATAATAATATAACAAGTTTTTGCACACTTAGCAATGACTATACATGTTGGCCAGTTGTTCGAGATTGCTTTGACGACGGTAGTGATGCAGAATCTAGAATTGGGAAAATTCGAGAAAAATTCTTATTTGCTTCACACTTGTTAGAAATGTAATTCATTAAAGTTTAAATTTATTTAAATTAAATTACAAGAGCGCATACGTCGTCGGATAGATTCCTCTGATGACTCATGGGATGATAGAATTAAGGAATTTGAAGACAATGTTGAGACAAAAGAGAAAGCGAAAGAGAGATATAATCCGCTCTTAAGATCTTGAAGATGAAACAATAAAAATTTTCTTTTCTTGGTATTTCTAAATTAAGTTGTCCAAATAAAGAAGTCTTTTTATATCTTTATGATTGTGTGTTTTTTTCGAAATTTTGGTCGATGTGGGTGTACAATAGTAATTACTGAGATTTCTCATCTACTTCTTGGGAATCATTGCCTTCTTGACCACCTTGTCAGACTTTTTGTTAAATTTAGATTCATCCTTTGCAATTTCCTTGGCAAATTCTCTACCAGTAACAGTAGCATCATAGGCACAATCTTTCAATTTCTTTCCAGTCAAACCTCTCTTGGCACAAGCCTTCTTTGCCCATTTAGGAATTTCAATTTCTTCCTTTTCCAAAACTCTTCTTGGTTGATGAGTTCTAAAAAGGTTAGCAGCTCTGCCACCATCTTTACCATCCACAATTAAACCACGAGAGAATTCAATGTGATCTGGTGCATCCACCTGTACATCCATATAAGATCGACCATCATGTAAAGTAAATTTTTCACCAAACAATTCCACACCATCATCCGATTTGACTATGAAAGTATTTTTAGTCTTTCTCTTTAAGAAACCTCCATCCAATTCATATTCTTTACCAATAGCAAAACGTGCTCTCTTCTTATTCAAATAGAATTTACCACTTGATGAACTGTATTCAATAATATCAGCACCAATCTTGACAGCGATGGCCTTATTGACTGTAGCAGTACCTCTCTCTCCTCTCCACTTGGAAATACGAACATGAGCAATAAGGGATTGATCTAAAGTTTCAGCCAAAATGAAATCACCAACACCATTGAAGAGAATGTCTTGTCCTTCCAATGTGACATAGTGAGGATCACCTCTTGCTCTACCACGTGGACGAGGTCGAGGTTGTCGTGAGTGTCCTCGAGGACGTGAACGAGGTGGTCTTCTTGGGGTGCGAGGTGGTACTCTTGCTGGTCTTCTTGGCACACGTGGAGTTCTTGGTGGTGGTATTCTTCTTGGTGTGCGAGGTGGTACTCTTGGTGGTCTTCTTGGTGTTCTTCTTGGCACACGTGGTCTTCTTGGTGTGCGAGGTGGTACTCTTGGTACACGAGGAATACGTGGAGTTCTTCTTGGCTTTCTTGGAAGACGAGGTCTCTTGGTTTGCGAGAAGGTCTTCTTGGCTTTCTTGGAAGACGAGGTCTTCTTCGACTTGGTTTTCTTGTTGGTACTTCAGGTCTCTCAGAAGGAGGTCTTGTTGATTCTTCAGGAGGATTCATTGGTGTCTCTGGTGTTGTTGGATTTTCTGAAGGTGTTGTTGGTGTTGGTTTGCGAGAAGGTCTCTCAGGTGTTGTTTGTGTTGGTGGATTCTCAGGTTGTGAAGGTTGTGAAGGTCTCTCAGATGGATTCTCAGGTTGTGAAGGTGTTGTTGGTGTTGTTGGTTGAGAAGGAGGTCTTCGATGTCGTGGTGGACGAGGACGTCTTGGTGTTTGCTTCTCAGAAGAAGGTGTTTGACGTCTTTTGTCCGTTCTTCTTCTATTGTGATGAGTATTGCATTTGGCTAATTTTCGAATCTCTTCCACAGTTTGCCAACTAATTCTTCTCTTACATTTACGAGGAATTGAAATAGAGAATCTTTTTGCAATTTTACGAATACGTGATGACAAGTACAATCTTGGATTCCATTTCTCTTTTAATTGTTTTTTCAAAGTCACGAGACGAGAAATTTCATCCTTGAGGTTTTCACTCGTTGTCGATGATGCCATGATGATGGCTGGAATACAACAAATCACAAGTAGGGAAGCAAGAATGAATGTCACTGCCCACCCTCCTCTAATGAGGGATGATGATCTCTGTTTCATCATCATTGTGTTCTATTTTTTTGAAAGTGAGTGTTAAACAAAATCAAATGACCTGACAGGTGACGAATGAACCGAAAATATATCCAGTAAATACCACCACATGCGGTAGTGTGAAACCCCTCCATCTACTACTACTACTACTACTACTACTACGAACCTACTATGAAATAGTGTCAGATCAGTATTCAAGTGTATCATTGATAAAACAAATATTTGAAGAACCCAAATTGATCTTGTTGTTATTAATTTTAATCCTTTTGAATTATATATTCTCAACAACTACAATTCTTCTTTCAGTTCTCTTGCAACTTGATAGATAGCCTTTCCAATTCTCTCATAATCCTTCAATTCATTGTAAATCTGTGCAGATATTCTACAATACATTTTAGAATCAAATTCAAAGAATACGACATACGATCTATACTTTTCTAAAAGTATATTTTGAACTCGAGTCCAAAAAGTGACATCTTCACCAAATTCTAATGGTAATTTAATATTCACCATTGCACCACCCCATAATCTCTTATCTTGAGTAATCACATGAGTTCCAAATAATTTTGAATACAATTCACCAATTTGAATGGCTAATTGAGAATTGTAATGTTGAATCTTTTCTTCACCTCCTAACCATTGTCTATATGCAATAGCATCTTGAATAGATAAATAGGATGAATAATCTCTGGTTCCAATATATGAAAATTCTTTTTGATAACTCTGTTGAGGAGTATTTGTGTAATAGAAACTAATGACTGTTGGATGTATTTGGAAAGATGCTTTTGGATTTTTCCATATAAGGCAACCAGTCTGTGATTGATATACCATTATATTTAACCATCATCATTACCATAGTAATAAAATTATATTCATCGTATTATCATCACCATATTAATAGAATATACAAGTACACCTACCTTTGGTGTGAATAACCATTTGTGAGTATTTGATAAATAATAATCAGAATCAATTTCAGAAACATTGAATGCAATGTTACCAATACTATGAGCACCATCCACAATGGTTGCAATGGAATGTTCTTTAAATATTTCCACTAATTGTTTCACTGGTAATGTAATTGCTGGTGTTGATACAATGTGACACATGACAGCAATTTTAATATCATGAGTATTCAAATGAGAGAGTGTAAAGGACTGTACTTTTTTTAGAATATTCTCTTCACTTTGAATATCTGAGAGTGTGAAATTCAATTCTAATAATTCAATTCCATAAAAATCATGAATATATTCCAATGTTTTTTTAACCATTCCATAAGCAGTATTGAAATAGAGAATGGTCAGTGGTTTCTTCAAAGTATCTTGAATCTTCTTGTTCCAACTAGTTGTTGGAAGATTGTTGTTGTGTTCAAGAAATGGATAGGATCTAAAAATAGCATTAATCGCAGCACTTGCATTCTCAACCAATACAACATCATCTTCATGTTGAGAACCAATCATTTTAGAGAGAATTTGACGAGATTGATTATATTTTGGAATGACCTTAATTCTGAACCATTCATCGATAGATGTTTCCATTTCAACTGTTGTGAAAGTAGTAGTATGAAAGTAGTAGTAGTAGTAGTTGTAGTACAGTACACAGAAATGGTAGTGGCAGTGGTATTCACAATGTGTGTGTAATAGATTCACATCCATCAAACCACAGACGATCACAATTTCGAAAAATATAGGTGGACAATCAACGATATCATCTTTTGAATGTATAAACTTACCTTGATAATTAAAATTAGCTTGTAACACTTGTTTAGGTGTAGATCCATAGGAACCATGATTCAAATTGGTATAGTTCAAATCGGTATAAAATTGTTTTTTCATTTCAAGAGAACCGAATGAAGGAGGAGAAGAAGAATGGTAGAACTTGTCGTTGGACAACATGCTATTTGTGTGCATGATGGTATGAAGAGAGGGTGATGATGATGGTGAGCAGTGGTTAGAGTTGGTGGTTTTCCAATGATGCATCAAAGGATTCTGTTTCTGAATATTTTTGATCATGATGGGGTGGTGGTGGTGGTTGAAAGGATCTCGTCGTTTGGTTTCATCATCATCATCACCACTCGTCGTCGTCGTCGTCGTCGTCGTCGTTGTTGTTGTTCTCCTAGTATTATTATTATGTATAATGATCGCCATATGGCTATTAGAAGCATTTAATAGGATGATGATGATGGTGATGAATACTGTAAATGACACTACCAACATGATTTTCTTCGTTATTGGCCTCATCATGAGTTTGATTGCCTTTATTATTATTATGAATAACTTGTAACTCTCAAATTTTTTGCCGAGCGCGCTCACTCGATTATTGGTTTCCTTAAGATGATCATCGCCATTATTGAGATCACAAGTTGGTGATCGCGCGTGCGATCAGGAAAAGCTTTAGAAAAAATATTTGTGTGTTGTTCTTAAGGTTGAACCAAGAGAGAGAGAGAGAGAGAGATATCAAGAGTCACTCCAAGTGTGGGCAGTAATAACCTCATTGACATTCCAAGTCATTCCCCTCCTCATTCTCTGATCCTATACCAAGATTATCCTAGATCATCACCAACATTTGAAAATACTACTCCACAGATCCTACTCCTTATGGCTCATATAAGCTCACCAAGAAACAAACACCTTGAATTCCTTAGGAAGGACGTTGTTGAATCAAAGAAGAAGAAGAAGATGTGTGGTCAAAATGTAAAGGATCACGATGATGTTAATGATGGTGATAGGGACCCAAGTTTAGGTGATTTCGAATCGAGTCAGAGAGGTCCACGTGGAACACTCAATCATCCACAACAATCTTCCGAGCCTACGATGACCACCAGCACCACCACCACGAATATCACCACACAGACCAGTGGTGGTGGTGCTGGTGGTGGTGGTAACAGAGTTTCGAGAAGTACAACTACTACAACTACTACAACTCACACACCACTCTCATCCTTTATGAATTTTGCAAAATCACCCAAACAAATTGTACCATCCTTAGCCTTATTCCATCTTTTGAATCCTCAGGATGACCATCATCACCACTCGAATCAAAGTACTGTACTTTCATTGCTATCGGCTCGAACATCATCTTCACTCTCTCCAAGAATCAAGAACACAGGTCGAGAGAATTCCACTCTTGGATCACTCACAGATCGACCTTCCAACAAGAATGTTACAAAATCTACATTGACCAATGTGCATTCAAAAAGTGAGTCATCCTTAGAACTTTCCAAGACCCTTCCAACTTGTTCGACTGAGGTTGGAGGAGTGGAGAATGATCATTCTCAGGTCAAGACAGATCAAACTCTGAAATGTAATACTACCATTAGCAGCACTACACTTGATCACTCTACTAAAACTACCACTAATACCACTACTAATATTATTACTAATATCACCACCACCATTCCAACTTTGAATCACACTCATTCCAATACTCCTTCGACACCTCGAAGATTTCCAAGAGTGGAATTCTCCAATCATGCCATCAAATTGGAAAAGAAAATTCTCGATTCCACTCAAACCATTCGAATTCATAAAGAACATGAAGATCGTGTGAATTTGGTTCATGAATGTATCAAACAAATACATTCACCATGTCAAGAACAAGTACAATTAGGAATTGCTGCTCTCAAAGAAATTGATGCCATTGATTATTCCATTCGTTATGATGAATATCAATCACCTTATGAGAAGAAACTCTCTTCTCCAAGAATTGCATCATTTTCAAATGTTCATTCCAAATATTTAGAATCAAAAAAGAAACAAGTTGTACCCAAACAAGAAGAAACATTTTCACCTCAATTGATATCCAAACAATTCAAAAACACATCTCCTCGTTACTTGGATTATATCAAGAATGAACATGTTCAGAAATCCAACAAGGAAATTATTGAACAAATGAAACAAGAAGCATTATCCAAGAGAATACAATCTCCAAAGAATGAATCAAAGCAAGGATCTTTTTCGAAACATTCCACATCAGATATTAATGAGGCATCACCTGTTTCTTCTCCTCAACGATTTTCATCCTCCAAATTATATCCTCAACATCATTCACGATACCATCCATTGTATTATTCACCAAAGAAGGGAGTGAAACTAAGTGAACAATTAGTTTCTGAATCAACACCACATTCAAAACCTTCCTCTCCAATGAAAGGAGTTTCATCTCCTATTGCAAGCAAGTCACCTCAAATTGTTCCAAAAGTGCATTTAATACGAAATGATGAGAAATCAAAGAAAGTTAATGACAATTTGAAATTGTTAATGGAATCTGGATCACTAGATGATTACAATGATGAATTTGAGATTCTTCATAAATCAGGTTTGGAAGATTCAGAAATATTGTCATATACGCTTGAAAACAATACTGTGGAGGATGATGATCTTGTTGTAACAGATCCGAATATTACAAACATGGAGCTGTTGCGTGCCCTGTCACCTCCTCCCATTGAAGAGAACACTACGAATACTAACGAATCAATGATTTCGTTCGAAAATGACAAGTATACAACTTCAAATAAGGAACAAGACGTTTCAGTCTCTCCAAAGAACAACCAAGTAGAGACAATGATACATCAAGAATTGACCCAAGAGATGTCCAGTGATACAACCATGATCACACTGCCAGATTCTGACATAGATGTTGCAAGTTCTCCCAAAACCCAAGATCATCAAGATGAAATCAAAATGGAAAACACCACCAGTGAGGATGAATTCGAAACAATGGATGCTGATGAAATGTCCATGAAAAAAGAATGAGTTTTTATAGAAAACAACTAAATTTTAGGAAGTTCATTTCTGTGAGATTTGTCGTTACTGCTTCTTGAAGATTTCATATATTGTGCAGAATCACTTGGTTGAAGAATTGAAGAAATGTCGCTAGTGGCTGTGGATCCAAGAGTATTTTTGGAATCTGTCGTGAGTGAAGTATTAAACTCCATGTTGCGTGTCATTGATATGGATAACTTTTTCCTTAATCCATCGATTTCTCTTCTCAACTGATGAGTTTCTTTGTTGTACCGCTCATTCAAATTATTGTACAAAGATTGTTGTGTTTCAATAAGCTTTTCGAGAGAGGATTTCTCTGCATCTCGATTCTTTAGATCTGTTTTCAACTTTTCAATAATGATCAAATTCTTTTTGTTCTCTTCTTCAAAGTGACTGGATATGCTTTGATAGATATCAGATTTCGCGTTTTTTTCAAATTTACAAGTGTCAGATAAATTTCTAATTTCGATCAAGTTCTTCTCTCGCTCTTCTTCTAATCTCATCTTGTACTGGACGAATTCTGATCGAGTACTGATGAGCTCGTCTTTTATGGACTCGTACAATGTTTTATATTGTTGGATTTGATCTTTCAACTCTTTCACTTGTTTTGATAAAGCCACTTCTTTTAAAGCATTAATGCTTTCAAGTAACATTTGATGTTGCATCTTTTCATTTTCACTTTCAAAAAACGTTTGTGTGGAGGCATTGGATGTTGTTACACAGCTCTTTGATAGCATTTGAAAATCAGAAGAAAACGGAGAGTTTGATTTTGTTTCATATTTCATTAAGCGAGAGGTCATTTCATCTAAAAGTTCTTCAGAGTTGTCCTCTTCAAACAATTCATCAATTATTTTTTCTTCATTACAATTTTCCCAAAGAGTTTGAGATAATTCTTGTGATGGCTCTAAGGATGGCCTTTCTCCTCCATGACATCTATGTTTTAAGACTTTTTGATACATGTCATGGGATATACGAATACTTTCATCTTGTTTTCTCACGTATTCTTTCAAATCCTTAATAAGCTGTGATTTCTTATCAAGTTCTAGTCTAAGTTTTTGAATATATTTGCTATAGAGATCCAATTTTTCTTGTTTTGAAGAAGATGTTGAAGAATTGCTCACAATGATACCATATTGATTAGGAGTTGTTCGATGATGAAAGTGGGTAGTTTTACTTGCATTGGGTAGTGGAGATTGAGCACGTCGCAAGAGAGAATGTAACTTGACATTTTCGGACAATTCTGTGGTTGAAAGCCTTCTCTGCAATAAATTAGAGTTTGGTGAAGGGGAATGACGAAAAGAAGATAAGGGTGAAGATGATGATTCAGCAAATGATGATAAGTGGAGAGGAGGATTTTCTTCATATGCAAAAGTGATCGGAGGAAAGTTGGAGTGCAAAAGGGAAGATGAATGATTACCACTTGGTGGTGGTGTTTGAGAATGGATACCAGTGCTGGTGTAAGATCTCTTCTTTGCTGGCTGTATTCGTTGTTGTAATGATGATGATGAGTGGTTGGGATCGGACACAACAGCTGATTTTGTTCTGGCTCTTGTCATCGATGGAGTTTCATTATGATTCATTCATTGCATAAAAATCATATTCTGGATGTCGTTTGGCCAAACAAAAAGAAAGTGGCGCCTTATTCCGTTTTTTTTACGGTGATTCGACCCAAACAACAACAACAACAACACCACACTCGAGGATTGAGCTCAATCATCTTTTGTTCCATTATTGTTTGTTACTGATTTTAAAAATCAATGACAATGAAATTTCTGAACTTAAAGTTTAATCTTCAGAGTTGATCAAATCTAGTTCTTCTCTCAATAATGCATTTTCCTTCTCCAATAGTTCATATTCTCTCAACAATTTCATAATTTCGCTTCCGTGATGATCATCCAACTGATCAGATATCCATTTCTCGAGATAGGGTATAGAATTATTACTGAGAAATACTTGATTCATGCATTCAGCAATAGGATTCTGTGATGATGACGACGATGCCATGAGATCACTAAATGTTGTGGAGCTGGTGGCAGTAGTACCTGAAGAATGTGGGACGTTCCTCATAGAATGATGATGATGAACAGTAGAAGTTGTTGTTGTTGTTGTTGTTGATGAAGAAGAAGAAGAAGGATCAAAAACCTCCAAACTGTGTTGCTCATCACTCACACACTGAAGATGCATCGTCGATGGATCATGCCATGATCGTATTGAATGAGATGAAATGTTCGCAGGCATACGATACATGGAAAGAACATCATTGGAAAATTGAGACAATTGTCCAGTATTAACTACCAAATTAATATCTTGTCTACATGAGAATTGAAAATCAATGGGATCATTGATTGAACACAATATATTGCCATACAGAGTTTGAGTGTAAGAATTCTGAATGTATGGAGAATATACTTTGGTGTTGTAAGACAATAATTGTACAAATACTTCATCTTCACCTCCATAGATTTGATCTTGAATGCAATATTTGATATTTAAACCAATATATCTTTCTAAAATAGATTTAAAATTAAGTTGATGTAATTGATTGGAATGAGTACTTGTTGAATTATTGTTGTTGTTATTATTATTTAAATAAACTTGTTGATAGATCAACCAATAATGTTTCAATACCGATTGATGAAAAAATTGAAATAAACCTTTCAATTTAGCGATATTAATATATTCATCACATGAATGAGAAGAAAAGCCTAACAATTCTAAATTATTTTCATCGTGATGTGTTTTGATGTATTCATTGAATATGTCAATGTTGTAAATAATTTTAAAAGATTCAATATGAATATTCTTATTTTGATACGTATGAGTCCTGTATCCAAAGAGTAATACGTAGACTTGTTGTTGTTGATATTCGACTTGTTGGTTTTGATTAATAAAAAAATTGTGTAAACGCATTAATAAATCCTTGTGGATATGGACAGTTGCATTTGAATTGGATATATTTAATTTGAGAAGTGATGGTGATGTTGTTGTGGGTGGATGTGTAGGAAGGTTCGTTGTGTTCAGATTATGACTGCTCGTTCGATCATCATTGATGCTCCTCGGAGCGGAACGAGAAGGGTGATTCACCGTTGATTCACCGGTGAAAGAGGGAGGATGAGGATGAGGGGATGAATCGCTACTGCTGCTGCTGCGGGGAACACTCATTTTTTTTTCAAACTAAAACTCGATTCGAAATGCACACCATCATTGTGCATTCAGGGTTAAATGAATGGTGGTCTAAAGATTGGTCACCAGCCTGATCATCTTCACTTTAGAGCACAAGTGCTGTTCCAAAAGTGCTTTTACAACATTCATTGCCGATATGGGAAATTTTATTTCGTCGATAGTTTCTAAAGTTTTCAATAAGGTGTGTTCCTTAATTCCCTTCTTTGTTGCTGCTGCTGGAAGGACCTTCTAGAAGAAGATGGCAATGAAGAAGATCTCTCGAGCCAAGTGACCAAGAGGAGGAGGAAGAGAACCTGATTATTAATTCATTCGAAACATGGATCGTGCACGAGTACCATACTTTTTCTTAAAATCTTTTCCAACATGAGATAAATAATCACTCACAAACACTGGTTTCAAAATACTCAAACTATAACGCCCATCGTGATCATCATGAACTAGGAACTTGTCCCACACTCTCTCGATCCAAAGCAATTTGAGCACACTTCAAGCCTTGACTTGCATTGGGTAATGGTTTCAAAAATGTAGATCCATCTTCACACGCCTGTGAAATTTGGAACAAGGCAATCAAGAGTGAATTCACATCTAGAAATGCATTTCCATGAATTTGAGTGTAATGTTCATCCTCTGAAAACCATTGATCCATTGTAAACATTGGTAATGTACCAAACAATTTGTGAGGTTCACCTAAACAGAATGGAGCATGAATGAATTGTGAAAGTTTTTGATCAAAATCTTCCATTCGATCCATCATGTGAAAGAGTGATTGAAATTCAAAAACATTCCTTGTCCAATAATATTCTGATTTTCTTGTAAGACTAAGAGCTTCATAGAATTTGACTTGAAATGAATATTCTAATTCTCCAATACGTTTCAGTGTTTGAATATTTCCTTCATAATGTAATACTAAACCCTCATTGGTCTTGGGATTACATAACAAGTATAAAATACCTGTCGATGGAAATAGATGACATGTCCTTTTTTGGAAATTGAAGAGAGACAATGCAATTTCATCGTCGTTCTGTTTCATTTCATCAATGTTAAGTTGAAGAACAAGTTTCATATTTTGCAAGATGTTGATATTTCCATAGGAAATGGTTGAACATGGAAGATCAATGTTACCACACATTTTCGTTGAACCAATGGGAATGGATTTGTCCAAAACCAATTTTGTATCAATAAATAAGGCTGATGTAATGCATGATTTCAATTTGTTTTCAAGAATGACTGAATCATCGAGAGAGTATTCAGTGTGATCTTGATCATCATTGAGAGGGATATCATGTTCATGGTCATCATTATCAATATATTCATCATCCTCGTGTTCATGGTCATCATTATCAAGGTATTCATCAAGATCTGTCATGTTGTTGTTGGACGAGCCAGCACTCGATGTATGTGCAGTCGTAGTAGTAGTAGTAGTAGTTTGACCAGTAGCGTCAATCGTATCGACAGTGGTACTACTACTATTCTTGTCAGTCGTAGTAGTTGTAGTATCCATCATAGGATTAGGTAATAATAGACGATGAATGATTTTATAATCAACGAGTAATGGATGAATATAATTTCTATAAATCACATAATAAGGTATTCGTGTTAGTGTAGTACTATTACTATTATTATTACCACTATTATTACTACTATTATTATTACCACTATTATTACCACCATTACTACTATTCATCACAGTTGAACTCTTCATTGAATGAATATTTGTGGTTGTTGTTGTTGTTGTTAATAAAGGATGAAGAAATGAATAATGTTTGGACTCTCTCATACAAATTTCTTTCCATAGAATATCTTGTAGACACATCATATTCGCTAAATTATTCACCAATCGAAATTCCAATAACTCTTGGAGAGATAAGAATTTGAGAATGTGAACAATCATGTCTTGAGGTAAGAGAGGAGAAATGATAAAGGAAGAGTTTGAAGAAGGGTCTTGTGAAGAATTTGCAAAATGAGATTGTAATTCTTTCATCATGGATTGATTGGATTCCACATACAATTGTACATTTTCTATTAAATGTCTCGTACGCTTTCTAGTTTCATAGATTGGGAAATCATGAATATAATTCAATAAATTACTTTGTTGAAGTTCCATACAACATTGCAAGGTATCGTTAAAGTGGCATCTTTTTCCTTGAGAGAATGCTTCTAATACAGAACTAAATTTGTACAAGGGATTTCTAGTTGCAAAATGTAAGATGGTTGTTTCTTGCAGAGTTAAATCTGTTGGTTTTTTGAGAGTAAAGAAATTGTCACTAACCACAGTGACACATTTGTCAATGTGAATAGGTGTATAAAAGTGAGGAACAATGTGATCATCTTTTTCATCATGATCATGTTTCTTCTCATGATCATCATCACTCTTCTCATGATCATATTTCTCATGATCATCATGTTTCTTCTTTTCATCATTATCATGTTTCTCACATTTCTCATATTTTTCATGAATATCATCATTACTCTTCTCATCATGAGTGATCATTGATTGATCATCATCCTCTTCAGAAATTTTTGATGATCCAAAATGTTCCAAATCCAAAATCTTGACTTGCATATGTTTGAAAAATTCTTCCATTTTCTTCTTACTTTCTTCACTTTCATACAATAGAAATACAGAAGAATTAAAATCAAAAGGATATGCGAAACGAAAATGATTTTGTGGATCTAAAGCCACAGAATGTACACTTGAATTTTTCACTAAATATAAATCAATAAAATCAATGCTAGCTATAATGCCATGAGTAGAGTCCAAACAATTCGTAAAAGCACGAAACAATTTCAATAGTGGAGATGGATGTAAGAGATCTTCTCTTGTACATATTAGAACTAGTGCACTATTTTCCATTTCAAAAGTGGTCATTCCATTTCTTTGGACTGTCAATACTCGATTCTCTTCTTCTGTTAAATCATTTCGACATTCTGATTCTGGTTTTCCATTTTTCAAAAGTGATTTAAAATCAAAAGATGGTCCAATGGATGGTCGATGAGTCTTGGCATACATTAATACTCTAATGAATGATTCGACATTGGATCTAACAACACGGGCACCATGTTTGATTAGTTTTTCAGTGTATTGACTTTTGGTAGTTTCATCAATCGAGTCTGCAAATAGAAAATAGTCTCTATCGTAAGGATTCCATGAGAATGAAGATGATGAAAAGAATTGAGGCTCATCTGTATTTGTGATCTTCATCTTGCATAGAATCTTCATCATCTTCCAAATCATCTTCTTCATCATGCTGTTCTTCCTCCTCAACATCATCGTTTGGTTTTACTTTCTTACGTCTATTTTGATCATCATCGTCTTGATGATTGGAGGGTGGTTGGTTTGGCGTGTGTGAGGTGTCACTCATTTTTTTAATTATGTCATTCGCCAAAGAAGGAACCTATCCAAAAACATGAATAATTTTCGTGACACAGTTTAAACACTTTGGCAGACCTCTTCCTGATTCTTATTTTCAACTCATGACATTCATGAAAAAACCTTCTTTGAAATAAATACGTATAATTAATATAATGAAATATAATTAAAAAAAATGTCTTCAAACACTGCTGCCACCACAAGTTCATCCGTAGACACAGCAACTCTCCGTTCAGTCCGTTCTCTCTACAATGCCAATGAAATTAGCGTTGCAATGAATGTTGCCAAATCGCGTGAGAGATGTCGATGGGCAGCAGGTTATTTTTGTTTCCTTTCTCTTGGAAGTTTAGGCTATTGGGGAATTGCAAAACGTTTTCCTGTCGGAGTGTTACTTCCATTGAGTGCTGTAGGAGCCTATACGTTATGGGAATATGATTTAGGATATGGAACAAAATTACACCGAATGAGTCAAGAAGCACAAAATATTCAAACAAAAGAAAGGTACAAGTATTTTGGAAAGTATTAAAACAAAAGGAAACGAATTGTTTCGGAAGAAGAGAATTTTGATGAAAGAATTCGGGAATATTTGGTAGAAATATCAGGATTGTTATGATGATCATCCCATTCTGAAAATTTTGTCTCGATTTTGTTATTTGAAATAAATGGATGGCATTAAGACCTTTGCTTAATACAACCAACTGGTGATGATGAAAGTGAATACAACCAATCGACGACGACCACGACCACGACCACGACAACTAGATACCTCTCCTATCCACTCCAAGTATACGCTTGCACACATTCACTCAAACTCATACATTCACTCTTTATTTCTCTTTGATTTCTCTTTGATTTCTCTTTAAATTCTTCTTAATGGAATAACATTTTACTCAATAAATCACAACCATACTCTTCATAATCTGATCTCTTAATCCATCGATCTTGGAATGAACTCAAACTTGAAATAATACTTCCTCCAATCCAAACTGAATATTTACGTTCTGGTGGTGCAACAATACGCAATCTCACAGCACCACCGACCATTCGAGACATTTCTCTGGTGAGTCTCTCTTGAATTCCCTTCACCAATGTATTACCACCACTCAAAATGATATTCTTGTACATGAATTTACGAATATCCATATTGCATTGATGAATGGATTGATTCAAGAGTTGATGAATACCCAACTCTTCAGAACCAATCAAGTTGGGTTGAAAGAGAATTTCACACGATTGGAATCTCTCTCGATCAATATCAATGATGGAACCATCGGGTAATTGGAATTGAGCATTGAAGGAATCCATTCCCAATCGACTCTTCTCATCATTTCTACCATTATTATTACCATTACTACCACCATTATTACCACTTTGAGTATCACTTTGAGTATCACTTTGCTTTCTCTTCTTGATGGATTCTTCATATAATTTCATGGTATGATCATAATTCAGTGCCACATAACATGAAGATTCTTTAACATCTCTTACAAAATCCAATGATGCACTATTATGTGTAAAATCATAACCCGAATGTTGAAGCATGAGTTGAGTGAGATGATGTGTAATATCACATCCTGCCAATTCACCCTTTGCCATGGCATAGGTTTGAGGATATCCATCAAATACTGGAACTACATGAGTACTACCATCACCACTGTCCAAAACAATTCCATCTAAATCACCACTTGCATAAATGGATAATAAACCTTGAATGGTAAAAAAGAGAGAATGTGATTGAAATTTCTCAAACAATAATTCGATATATTTCTGACGATGTGTCACAGATGTGAATGGTTGTTCAGTCAATAAAATTGGATGTTCTTTTGGATTCACACGTAAATGGAAATGATAAATATGTTCTAATAAGAGTTCAATTCCATCCCAATTGTTGTGAATGGATTTACCACCTCGTTGAATGGGATGTGAAAGTTCACAAATTCCTTTCCGATGATGAGATTCTAATCCAACAAAATGTGATTGATGTTGATTCATCTTGTCTCTAGCACCAAATAATTTACGAGTATCAACATGTTGTTTTGGTTTTCCAATAATAGTTGGAAAGACTGCTTTTGGAAAGGATTCACCAGCGAGACCTGCTTTGACCATACTACTACCAAGATCACACACAATGGCACCATTATGATCTCGAATGAGATTCATGGTATTGATGTGACCAGAGTGAGCAACAATGGTATCTTCATTGATGGCTTGAGCACGTTTATTGTATGGAATAAAGTTGTTGGGTGGTTGTGGTTGTGAGGAGGAGGACATGTTGGGTGATGTTCAGTGTTGAGAGGATGATGTTGTTGTTGTTGATAGAAGGAAGATGGAGTTGGAGGATAGAATGAAGAGACAAGCTAATGAATCAGTTTGATTCGAATGATTGGAGTTGTTGTTGATGATGAAAATAATAATTTGGAGTAGTGTTGGGGTGGTTGTGATGATAGGGTGTTGTTGCAACGATGTGTTCAATGATGACAGGGTGGTGGTGGTGGTGTTGATTGGAATGAGGTTTGAATTTTTTTTATGGGTGTGACAGATGAATGGACTGTCACAAACAGAGCGCAGTGTCAGTCGACTGATTTTTTCCTCATTCAAAACCATGCAGATACGGTATCCCTCTCACAAAAATTTCATCAATTTATTTTGTTATTATTACATCATTATGGTGATTCAAGAGTTCACTCACAGCAGTACATAGTTTAATCCTTCTTCAAATGAGTGGCTGTTACTGCTTGGTCTTTTTCGTGATCCCTCTGAGAGTGGTGGTGATGATGGTGGTGATGAGTTTCATCCTCCTCAACCTCCTCTTCATGATCATCTTCTCGAATATCGGTCAAACTCTTTCCAGCCAACTTTCTGAAAATAATCTTTGAAATCAATGAGAACCAGAAAATATGAAGGAACACCAACACCACCAATAAAGCAACTAATAACCAATACGTGCTCACACAATATTTGAATGCACACACTCCATAATCACTCACTTCCAAAGGATAGATTGCATCATTGACAAATCTCACCATATAGTATCGAGAGGGATAATCCCATCCTTGAAAATTCTCAAATGCCCAATAAATGAGATTTGGTAAATACATTAACCTTAATACAAAATAGCTAATCACAAACAACACAAACAAAACCTCAGCGATCAATCCTACACCCATGTGCTTGAATGCTTTGGCAGAGTACAAGAATATATCAACAATATCATGTAAAATCAACACCAATGTTCCAATTCGATGATAGTGCGAAGTAATACAAAAAACAATCAAAGCAATAGTCACAAAATGATGAATCAACATTTCAAGGAAATCTTTCAACTTTTCATCAATAAATAATAGAGTAACCAGTGCTTGAACATAAAATCCACCTCCAACAAGTAAATACAATCTCACATAGGAATATTCATATCCTGTGTGCTCTTCTGGATATCCATACACCAAGTGAGCAAAATCCCAAAACCAAGGTGTATCTTTTAAAATTAAAATTCCAGTAATGGATGAACAAATATAATAGAGAGCAAACCAAGCATTTTCTTCAACTCTTCTCAATGCTCGAGGATCTTGATTTTTCTTTTTTCTTCCTCCAATAAATTTAACGAGTGCAACAATTCTCTCAATCAATAAACGTCTGATAACGAATAAAACAATAGCTGAAATGAGTATAATGGTTGTATCTTCCCAATGCCAATTAATTCTTCGGGATGGAGCATTTTCATCACTGCCCATAAAGAGAGGGAATGAATGCGGAGGACCATTGACGAGATGAGGCTTTCCTGTATAGTAATGGGAATTGTTGGAACCCATTCTCCCAAATAAATCATCAATGATATGATAGAAAATTGGAGAAGAGGACATATTTCTGATGATTCACGCGTACAATGGTACTACTCGAATGATGAAAAATGTTTGAACGAACGAATTTAAAATTTCGTATTTTTGGGTAACGAAAAGGCTGTTAGGATGACACAATGATGATGAGCCTTTGATGATGATGACGATGAGGATCAGTGCGGCTACTGTAAAGGCTGCTACTACTACTACTACTGATAATAATATCTTAGAGATGTTCGTAAACGTTTCCAACAACAAGGATACCACTATTAACGCGGCAATGCTCTGTCTTGGAATTCCGAGAGGGAGGAATTGAAATTTCACGACGGAGAGGGAGCGAGGCTTTCCAAGCAACTCACACTTCTTTTTGAAATTTTTTCTGTTCAAGCTGAACTTGATTCGTTCGTTCAGTGAGGAAACATGCACTCCTTAGAATTGTGCACAATTCATTCCAGTAAAGTAACAGAATGTGAGCCATCTTTGACGATGACCACAGTATGTACTTAGGTCAAAGATCAGCAAACTCTTACTGTAGATGACTCCTCTTCTTTAATAGACGATTAAGTATCAAATGGTTTCTCGAGACAAGTCGTGCTATCTCACAAATGGGATCATTGGTGGTTGTCATGAAACACATTCAGAATTATGACGACTCAGATGAATGGTACGCGTGTCAACCATCATCAAGTTGTTGTCGCGGTTAAAAATTTGCACAGTCAACCTTCTTGTTCCTTTTGTGTGTGGTCATCATCGTCACAACAACATAAAAAATGTCTTCCAAACGCCCGTTATCCACCGAAGATAAAACATTCATACGGGAATGGTTAGAGACTGTGACAGGTTTGAAATTTGTAGATCCCAATAACTTTCACACTTCTCTGAAAGATGGTGTCATTTTATGCGAGTAAGTGGTGGTGGTGGTGGTTGTGTTTCAATCATCTCTTATGATATACGATTCGAATGACTCAACGTTGAACTCACACCTCTGTATATGGTGGGTTGACAATGATGAAACACAATCGTCATGACACGATGGTGTGGATGATGATTGAATTTTGATGATTCGATCCTTCGAACAAATTCACACACACACACACACACACTGAATGATGTTAAATATTTGAATGTTATTATTATTTGATGATGATTCGATCCTTCAAATTCACCACACACTCTCACACATACTCTCACACATACACTCTCACACGTGTGTATTTGTTTTGAATCATTATCTACTACCTACTTTGGATTAACTGTGTGTCATACATGATCAACTGTTGTGTGCACACTGCGTGATGATGGTGAATTTTGATCTCAACGTTGATGGTATTCTTATTTTGAACATCTTTCACAATGTGATGACAATGATGATGGTATTCTAATGTTGATCTCAACAATTACTTCTGTATGATCGATTTCGTAATATGTGATCCATCTCCATTGTACTACTACTACTACTACTACTCAAACTCCACGTGATAACTAACTACTACCACACTACTCGGATTCACTTGTCTGACAATACCTTTTATATGCATACACACACACTCCCACACATTCACATCTTCCTTTCATTCAAATCCATTCACAAATCATTCCAAACTTCTGAATGGATCACACCATCTTCCTCCTTTGATTCCTTTCTCAAACAGATTAATTGTAAAATTACGTGGACTCAAATATGCAAATTATCAAAAAGAAGTGAATGGTGTTTCATTCAAAGAAATGGAAAATATTGCCTTCTTTATTCAAAATGTTCAGAAAATTGGAGTGAAATGTGAATGGACCATTCGTGCTCTTCATAAGAATTCTGATCTCGATGCAGTGTTGAGAACTGTGATTGATCTATCAAAACATTTTGAAAACAAGTATAGAAATTCATCAACCATTTCGAATACTAAAAAGAATATTGATTCAACAATGACATCAACTTTTGAAGAGAATATTGTCTTTACAGGACCATTTCTTAAATTACCAATTATATTCAAACAACCTACCAATCAAACTGCAGAAGTGAATACTTCAGTACCATTTGGAAGATCCATGTTGAGAAAGGTGATGAACAACAATATTTCAAAACCTTCACAACCACAACAACCATCATCATCATCATCTTCTCATCAGGATTCACAAGTCAGTTCACATGATCCATCATCAACCACCAATCCTACTAGTAACACCAGTAACAGTGTTACTACAAGTGTACCATCCACAATAACAACAATAACAACAACAAGTACAACAACCTCAACAACCTCAACAACCTCAACAACCTCAACAACCTCAACAACATGTGGTACCACAAATTCTTCAAATGTAAACACTCCTACATCCTCCTCTTCTTCACCACCAAACTCAGTGACTACTCCAAAAACACCTCGGAGTGCAAGTGTGACAACAAGCAAGTCTTCAATCGGAGTCGGAGGAGGAACCACTCCTACTGCCACCACAACACCCACCTCAGAGCAGTCCTCATGGACCTTACCAAAATTGAGACCAACCCACTCAGGAACCAATCTCAAAGAACAAGCCAATGCAACAACAACCAGCAACAGCAACAACAGCAGCACTCAGAGTTCATCTCTCCATCAACCTCAAACAACGTCGACTCCACAAGAATTTAGTACGAGTCGATTGAGACCTGTCTCTACACGAGTCTCTGTGAGTCATGTCAGTGAATTACATTCTGCATTGGATTTACAACAACAAGGCTTTCCAACTGTTGTTCAATTGAAGAGTACAAAACCATCATCACTCACAACAACCACAACGTCGAGTAGTCCGACTTCAAATGATGTGATGAGTGGAGGTGGTGGTGCAACAACGTTTAATACGACGAATACGACAACGACTACAGCAAGTGCCACCACTACCACTACTACTACTACTCCGGTGGGTCAAGGTCAACAAGAAATGAAATCATCCACCACCACAACCACCTCAACAACAACACCAACAACACCGAATAGCACTACTACGACAAGTAACACCACTGCTGCAGGTGGTATTCATGTGACTCTGAAACCCGCCAAAGATGTCTCAACAACAAATGCTTCCTCTACTGCAACGACTACTACTACTACTACTACTGGATTCAAATTACCAACTTTGAAACCAGTTGTGAAAGACAACAACACTTCAACGACGAGTCATCAATCTTCACCCTCATCCAATACATTACCATTCACAGCTGCATTAAGAAAAACAGATTCACCAATTCTTCTTTATGCTTCTGGTGGTAGTAGCAGCACAGCAGCATCTCAACACGAAACTACCACCATGGTGATGTCACCTTCATCACCCATGCCCATCAAAACCAATTTCACCCGAGTTCAAAGTTCATCTTCCTTGTCGTCTTCACCACTCTCTTCTTCATTCTCTCTTCATGATGAAACTTCATCCATTTCTGAAGAAGACTACTCTGATGATGAAGATGATATGAGTAATGAACAAGGCATAGCTTACAACATTAAGCGATTGAAAGATCAAGTCAAAAATCAACATCCCTCTATGGAATGGTTATGTTCGCTCTACGAATTGTTAGAAAAAAAATCGGAACGATGGTGCCACCGATTTGCCAATCAAGAAAAGGGTGTTCAATATTTGGGTGAAATTATTTCAAGAATGAATCAGAATCGATTCCGTAGTGTGAATGAAAAGTCAGTTCAAGAACGAGCTCTCAAGTGTTGCCATGTACTCATTGATAAGGGTGTGTTGGAGCCTTTCATTAAAATGCCATCGACCGTTGCTGCCATCACCATGATGATCGACTCCAAAGATGGCGCCAAAATTCGAATGATGGCACTCGAAATATTGAGTCTCATCTGTACGCATGGAGAACAAGGCTTTTGGGTCGTCTTGGAAGCCTTGAATCGATACAAGATTGAAAAGAAAGAACCCAAGAGATTCCATGATTTGATTGACTGTTTGAAAAATGAAAAAGATGAAAGACTCAAGACCTTCTCTCTCATGTTATTGAATTCTCTTATCAATACTCCACAAGATTCCTATATTCGAATTCTCATTAGAAATGAAATGAAACAAGTGGGATTGGAGAATGTCGTCGATCAATTAAGTAATGATTTACAACATGATCGAATCAAGGATGAAAATTTAAAAGAACAAATCAAAGTCTTTGAAGAAGAGATGATGATTGGAATGATTGAGAGAGAACAGGCTCAAATGTCGGAAGAGGATGATACCCACAATGGTAAAATTGATTTCAAGAATGAAAGTGATCCTCTCAAATTATTGAAATTATTGATTTTGCGTTTGGGTGCAAGTACAGGTACTTCTTATTTGGTGAGCATTTTGCAACAATTTTTAATCTTCTCGATGCGAGAGTCCACTCCAAATGATCCCAAATTTGAGAATGCACTCGCAACCAGTTGGAAGAATTTAGAAAGTACAATCAAGACGATGGTTCAAGCTTGTACTATGAAAGGAGATGCTGGTATCATTGAAGATATTGCCAAGAAAGAGAAGAATGCCAATTTTGAGAAACAAAAACAAACCGCCAAAATTACCAATTTGTCCAACAGTTTGGAAAAGGCAAATAAGGAAATTGAGGAATTGAAGAAACAAGTGGAAACATGGAAGGCCATGAAAATTGTCAAGTCACAAGTGTCTCAAACAACACTTGATTCGAATGTTCCATCTAATGAGGTGAGCTCCTCTTCTACTGTGTCGAGTAGTAGTGGTGGAAATAGTAATAGCAGTGGTGGTAATAGTCATTCTTCGACCCAGATTGGAAGTAGTAACTCCTCTGCCACCACCGTTCCTCCAAATAATAATAACAACCATGAATCATCCATCGATCTCGATATTACTAGTAATCAAATTCATCACGCCACTGAACTATTCACCAAAGAGATGGAAGAGTTAAAGCAAAACATGAAAATTCAATCCGATCAAATTAGTGCTCTCGATTCTGAGAATTCTCGTTTGAAACAACAACTCAAAGAATTGGAAGAACAATTGGAAGAGGCAAGAAGAGTGAATTTCAAAGCATCCTTACAGAACAGTAGTAGTGGAAGTGTTGTGGGTCGTTCTCCATCCATTATTGCACAACTAACCACACAAGAGGATGAGTTGCATCATCTTTCAACCACCACTGCGGTTACAACGAATAGTGTGAGTGCAGCTACTCACAAAGAACAAGACTCCTTACAGCCACCACCACCTCCACCATCATCATCATCAGCAATGACCACCTCCAATCTCTCTCCTGGTGGTTTTGTGCCACCCCCTCCACCAGCCATTGCCACCTCTTCTTCTTCTTCTGGTTATTATTTATCACCTTCCAATCTCTCTTCAGGTCACAACAGTCTTGTACCTCCACCACCACCATCACCGATGGGTGGCGCTATTCCATCTCCACCCTCATCCTTCTCTCACCTCTCTCACTCGAAACGAAATCCACTTCCAGAACTTCCAACTCGCGCGCCAAAATCAGCCGTTAAAAACTTTTACGGTACGGCCATTAGTAAACAAAAAGTCTCTACCACCTGTTGGGTAAAGAGTGGAATTGCAGCCAACTCGAAAGACATTCCACTCGATACAGATGAGTTGGAAGAAGTGTTCTCCAATGCTCCACGTAAGAACATTTCCGAAGAAGAAAAGAAAAAAAAGAAGGAATATGTTTCCTTTGTAGAACCTCAAAAAGGATCTGCTCTTAGTATTTTGTTGGGATATATTCGATTGGATTACTCTGAAATTCGGAGAGCCATCTTGGAAATGGATGAAGAGGTATTGAATGCTCAAGTGGTGGACACTCTCAAAGACAAGATGGCTACCAGTGAGGAATTATCCTTGATTGAGGCTTATCAAGGAGATGCAGATTTATTGTCTCCCGTTGATAAGTTTTATTTAGCCCTCCGAGATGTTCCTCGACTTGAAGGAAGACTCTTCTGCTGGGCGTTCCGATATAAATTCCAATCGGAAGTGTCGGAGGTATTGTCAGATTTGGAAACTGTGTTGTTGGCATGCGCTCAAATTTTACAATCTCAAAAATTCAAAAAGTTACTCTCGGTGGTGTTGGCCATTGCAAACTTTTTGAATGCCAATTCAGCATCTAAGAGAAATGCCTATGGTTTTACATTGGCAAGTTTGTTAAAGCTACAAGATACCAAAACTTCTGACAACAAGTCCACACTTTTACAATATATTGCTGGATATTGTGCAAAACATTTCCCAGAATTATTAGAATTGAAAGATGATTTAATATCTCTTGAAGAAGCAACAAGAGTATCTTTGATTGAATCTGATAATGAATATAGAAAATTGAAGAATGGATTTGAACAAATGGAAAGAGAATTACAAAATGAAGAATGGGACAAGGTGTCACATTTCAAAACATCAATGAATGAATTTATGGAAAGTGCTTCTCGGTTCTTGGACGATATTGATTCCATTCTATCAAAGATTGATGAAAAATTGAGACAAATTGCTGAAGATTTTGCAGAAGATGAAAAGACTATTTGCAAGAATCCAAATGAACTCTTCTCCCAACTCAATACATTTGTGAATTCATTTAAAAGTAGCTACGAAGAACTTGTCAAGCAAAAAGAAGCAGAAGAAAAGAGAAAATTGAAAGAAAAATTGAAAGAAGAAAAGAAGAGACAATCTGCAGCCTTCTTTGCCAATCACACCAATATGATGAAATTGAAAAAGAGCAAAGCCAATGGAGCTGTTGCAGGAGGAGTTGCCATTTTCGATCAAAAGGTGGATTCACCAACGTCAACCTCATCGATGGTCACACCCACTCCTTCACTCCTTAATGGTGGTGGTGATATGAACAACAATGGCACAAGTGATGGTTCCAATCGTCACCATGATGAGTCAGCTGCAGATGTGGCCACTGTCTCAACTCGTGCATCTTTGGAAAATTCTCGAACCAAATTGGATGACACAACAGGAATCCAAGTGATTCAACCTGTTGCAAGTGTCGATGATTTCAACTCCACAACACAAAACCAATCGACAGATCAGGACTCCTCATTCATGTCTGAGAGTGAACAAGCTCTTTTACAAAGCAGAATCAGAGATCGTAAAAAGAGTATCATGTCTGGTGCTGCATTTAGAGAAAGAAGAATGACCAGAATGTCAGTGATTGAGAATAACGACAACAACAACAATTAACAAAAGGTGTAACATAAACAATCATGCTTTATACATATTCATTATTGCACTCTCTTTTTTCTCTCTCGATATTCATCCAAAAGTTCTGTAACTTCTCTTAGTCTTTGAGAATCCTTAAAGCACTCAACGATGCTTGTCTCAGTTACTTTCATTTCAGGATCTTCTTTGATCACTTTCTGGAATGCACTATACATGGCATCAGCAGTCACTGTAATTTCTTCATATTTTGTTCCTCGTAACTGAGCAATAATTTTCTCAAATTCCTCTGTCGTTTGTTGTTTCCAATCATTTTTCATAAGCATACCAGCAAGGTTCAATGTAAGAGCATTCACTGTTTGAGTTTTAGCATAACTTGTTAACACTTTTGCTATCCTTAAAGAACAACAAAATCTGTAAACAATAGCTTCTCTCAATACAGCTAAGGCACTCTTTGTAATTTTCAAATCTCTCACATCTTCGTCGTCTATTCTTAGGAGGTGTTTGGCTCTTCTTGCAATCTCTGCTCTTGAGATGGGTTGTTTCTCACCAACAATACTTGGCAAATACTTTGCAGAAGAGGCTAACAGTTTTCTATTCTCAACAGAAACAAATCGCTTGCTCTTTTTCTTTTCTTTCTTTTCAATCTTTTCAAGTTTTTGTTTGAGTTGAGAACGTGTGTTGACGGTTGTTGTAGTTTTACGGGAGGTTTGCTTTGTTACCATCTGATGTTCATGATCAAGCGTGATGATGAGTGTTGGCGACAGCCCGAAGTGATCAAGACCAACCGAATCATCGATCATGTGAATGAATATATTTAAATCCCAGCAACAATTAAAACAACATGATTCACTCTTGGTGTTGCTTACCTATGAGTGTGTTGTTCTTTCTTTTTTTAAAAATGATTTGTTGTTGATGGAGGCAACTCGGCGTGATGGCAACTTTTCACAAACCGTCAATACAAAATTTTTTGGAAGAACTTCACAGAAAGATACAAATTAATTTTTTTGTAACAGCAGTCCCTAGTATTAAATTAACCAAATATTTCGTTGCGAAATTAAGAGTGATACACAGTGGTTTAACTCGAGCCAAAATTTGCCAGCGAGTTTATTGGTGTTTTGGTCGCATGTGTCATTATAATGTTGTAAAGATTTTGTTGTTTATGAAATGATACATTTGGATATAAAATTGGAGGATTGTTTGTTCTTTTCATTTTCCATATGTTGGATTATAAAACTCTCTGCTCTTGTGACCGCTTTTTGAAGCAAATCAAGAGCCATACTTTCAATACTCACATTCTTTTGATTCCATTCGGTATAATTTTGAATGGCATGAACATCCTGATATTCCAATTCAAACATTTGTACAAGTTGAGTTTTCTTAGTGTCATACAAATGAGTGGCAGCATATAAATCTCCACTTCCATGTGCATCAATTTTAGTGACAGCAAATAAAGGCTTGTATCCATATTCTAAGAATAAATTAACAAAATCTTCCAATTCACTTGGAACATTTCTTTGATTGGCTGGTACAACAAATATCACTGCATGCGGTATGTCTTGCACCGTCGTGTTATTTACAAGACAGTCTGGATCTAAGATCGCGGCTGGATTTCTACTCAATAATGAAAATAAATAATCCCACAAAGACCAACTTGATTTCTGTTTCACTTCTACATCATCACCAGCTCTGCCATCTCTCATTGCCTTCACTTGCTCTAATTCTAATTTCAGAAATGTTTCAAGACCTCTTGTATCGTGAGCATATATTGATTCTGGAATATTTACAGCATAGCCTTTCTTTTTCTTTGTAAAAGCAGAGGCTCTATTTTCACCAATTGCAGCGATAGGTGGATCTCCATAATTTTCGAATAACGATCGATGAAAAGTGCTAATGAGTGAACTCTTTCCTGCTCCTTTTTCACCAATCAAGAGTATATTTAAATGTGTTACATCGGGAAGAATGTCGCTGTTGACTTTGTATTCGTTAAGTTGTTTTTGTCGTAATTTTAAGCTGTTATAATGTGAGAGATTGTGTTCCATGGTTGAAGAAGATTGTGTTGGTTTGCTACTACTACCCATATCAATTGAATTTCTATGATGATCATATTTCCGAGAGGAGGATGAGGACACAGTGTTGCTGATGCTTGAAGAGGCTCCAACAGGCCGAGAAGTTTTGGAGGAGGATCCAGGTCTGTTTTTTTGAGTTGAATTGGCAGATTGCAAATCTCGTGAATAGAAAGGATGATTGACCATGTAATTATTATCATCTTCATCTTCATCAAAGGAAGGTTGTTGTTGCTCTCGTGAGGAGAGCTTCTCGCCCGATGATTGAAGTTTTTTCATTTTTATTTTCCAAAAGTTTCAATTAAAACACACTTGTTATTGGTGAATATTTTACAACCATAAAAAATACGAAAAAACCGTTCTCTCTTCTTGTTCCTGCTACATGTCATTTCATGCGGATTGTCGAAGCCTGTGGAGGTTGACTTTCAACCAATGTTGTTGTTGGTCCCAACAACATGTGTTGCCATGATGAAAACGGATAAGGTAGCGAACCTTCCAATTCCACAGACACTTCGGAGATTGATCTTATCATGTATGACGACTAAAATCCGTCCAAAGATGGCTGAACAACACAAAGTTAACTTTTTTGTTAGGTGGAAACCACAATTAAGACCCCCTACAATTGCAGAAATTCAGCTTTTTAAGCTGCTCTCGGTTGGCATGAGCTTGCTTTCTCATAGGTCCAAAGAATTCGTTCTTTGAGAATTTTTATTAGTAGAGGAGCTCTCATCGTCTGATGTGGAGCACACTCTCCTACCTGATGAATATATACTATCAATAACCAGCTGTGATATATTCATCAATTAATTATTGACAAACATTGATGGCCAAGATACCACCGTGGAGCCTCACCCCAAAACCAACCGCATCCCGCCATGAATTTACACCTTGAAGAAAATGCCAAAGCATCTTCATTGGTGTCGTATCATCACCATGATGCTTGTATGGCTCTTGATCAATGGTCATGCCACCTCTTACAATTTTGAATGCATGCAGTGTGTCCAAATGCAGAGAATATGGTGTGGCCTCTCACAAACATGCGTTTCAAGTGAAACAGAGTGCCATTCACCTTTCGGAACAGACCTCACGAACCCGATGGATTTTTCATTTTCTAATGTGACATGGATGATCCAAACAACTAATTTATATAACCTCACGCAAAGTGGGACGAGTGATTTTGTCAAGAGATTATTTACAAATAAGAACCACAGATCTTACAACATTTCCGATATTCGTCCCTTGTATCAGCTTCCATCCTATTGCTATACGGGAATAATAACACAAATATCCCAATGTTCTAACTTTAAACGTACGTATTTGGTTCAATGCATTCGTTATTTATCCGTTGAACTTTATCATAGTGGAGATTGATCGAGATTATTCGCCGTATGTTAGAAATTACATATACCCAATGTGGTATCAACCTCGCCTTAAATTTAAAAACGAGAGTCGTTTATCCTATTCAATGGAAAAGATGGCAAAAGCATTTCAAGTTGGGTATTATTTTGCTCCTATATTTCCCATATCCTCTCGAAATGATTCATTTCTAAAAAGTTCTTTAAATGGAGAATATCTCAACAATTTGTGGACATCCTCAAGTTACAACACAACCCAAAAACTTGTGCAATTTTCATATCTATCGGGATATCAATTTTCAGGATCTTATTTATTTTCTTATTTACACCATGTCTTCAATACTAAAAACTTTCGAACCTATTTTAACTCAGACAATTCAGAAAACATTCTTCAATTCTATGATCTCTCTATCGCTGGAAAACCAGATCGATATTATAGGTTAGGTTTTGCATTGGCTTCACCTAAACAGGATTTAAATGATTTTATTTATGCGGAACACAGTGGCACTGAACTGAATTCTACAGCACTGGAATCTCAATTCCAATGTACTTTTGTATTAGCTAATCAAATACTTTATCCTGAACCAACGTGGAAGTTTTCAGTGACTGGTCCTCACATCTATTTATCCATAGGCCTTACTGTAATTATATCTCTGTGGGTTATGTTAATTATTTGCGGAAACTCGAAACTTTTTGAGGCTGATGGCAAAGATAATATGCCACGAATTTTTGATCGCATTCCAACCACTCCAAAATCAAACTCATTTATTCACAAACGATTAGCTTTCGCATATGATATTGTGAAAAATTATTTTTTGACAAATGATAATGACTTGTCAAAGGAGATTGGTTCAGAACCTTATTATTATTTTTGGTTTTATCGATACATATTTATCTTTCTTGCAATTTGTGGATTTTTCAATATAGGGATATTGATACCAATATTTGCAACAACTCCAAACGATTTGTCGTTCATGGATTTTTCTCAATTTACAGCAGCGTCCTTAACTGTAGGCAGGAATAACCATCATGTATTTTTCCTATTCATCATTGCAAGTAATTTTTTAGTTGGATTACTCTCATTACTTTTAGTGACTGCCCTTAAATATGAGTCGAGAATGTACATGATCGATGAAAAAATTAATAGCGAAAAATTGACCACAACAACCATTAGACACTTTGGTAGCCTTTACACGATCTTGGTGAAAAACATTCCAAAAGAAATCTTGTCGAATGACGCGTTTGGAAACATGTTCAATGAATTGATATTGAACGGAAAATACAAGGGTGATGAATGGAAAAATTATTACACAACACATGTGGCAATCGATTTGAACAGAATTTCAGAAATCACACAGAGATTACACAAATTAGAGAAAAAACTCTTAAAGATGGGAAATGAAAATCAACCAAAAGGATTCCTCTCGCATTTCTCTCCGTCCAAACAAGTCATGCTGGAAGAGAAATCGAAATTAGAAAAACAATTGGCTTTCATTAAGAGACAATTCTATTTGAATGAAGAGAAGACACAAGAAAATAATTCAATAGAACTCAACTCGGACTGGGAAATTAAGGGCACTGGTTATGGATTTGTCACGTTTTTCTCTCTCGATGATGCTCATGCTGTTCTTACTGAATTCACAACAAAACAATCCTTTTGGACTCGGTTCTTGGAGTTTGTTGTTCCATTTTATTCTCCCTCTGGAGTACAATTAAGACGCGCTCCCAACCCAGATGATGTAATTTTTTCTAATTTTGTGATTGGAACGAGAGAACGCACACTGCGAATGTTCGTATCAAGTGTGGGACTGCTTTTTGCAATAATTGTTGTATTCGCAATTTTGGGCGTTGGAAGTGTCATTCAATGGCTAAAGCAAGAGTTTGTTGCAACTATTGATGTGGCCAGCAGTGTGAAAGATACTTCTTTGTCTGATCTATTTCGATTTTTAGTTGACTTGTTGATGGAAATTCCAGGTTTATTTGTAGAGTTATTGAAAATGATGGTCGTTGCTCTTTCCACGTTTGTTCGATACTACTCAAAAGCTCACCAAAGTATTTTTATTGCGGGAAAAGTCATGTTCTTTATCATTTCCTCCTTAATAGTATTTCCTGTTTTTACGAAATATGTATTTACGAACATCATTATCATATTTAGCGATTACACTTCTCTTTACCCTCAATTTGACAATCTCTCCATGTATGGTAATTTATTTGGCACGGATACTATTTCCTTACTCTTAATTTTATGTTTCATTACCAAAAGTTTAGAATATGGAATTCTTCTGATAGGTTCTCTTGCTTCTCTCGTCTTTACAGGAAAAATAATGCGACCACCTTTTGATTATGAATCCAGTTATGGCTTCAAATGTAAGTTTCTTTTCATCTCTTTTACATACAAATTGACATACAAAACTGACACACTTGTTATTTGGAATTCAATAGCTGCTATTCTCATTATTATTGTTCTCTATGGAGGAATTAATCCATTCATTTACATTGTTGGGCTCTTCTTCTTTCTTCTTTCATACTTTTTAGAGAGGTTCTTTATCATGTTTTTATTTCAACGAGGAAGACAATCGAATGGAGATTTATTATCACATGTAGCGAGCAATATTGTCAATTATTTCTCACTGTTACCATTGACATTTATCGTTTTCTTTCCATTTGTGATCAAATACTACAAGGATGATTCATCTGAAAAGTTATCATTACCGCCCTATGTGCTGTTCTCTCTTTCTTTGTGTTCTTGTGTGATCTTGGTGATCCTTTCACGAGTCATGATGAAGTATTTTCAGTACAAAGCCTCAACTGTCTATTTAAAGAAATTTGAGGAAACAAGACAAAGTGGTGTGTTTGAACATAAGGCAGAGAAAATACTGAGTGTTGAGCCAAACTCATTGGAATATCAAATTGCAAAACATACAACGACCCTCAAGAACGTTTTCAACAAGAAGGCGAAAAAAAATCAAATTGAACCCACCACTCTTAATTCTGTCAAAGTTAAAGAGGTAATGAGACCAATCATGACAGAAATGTTAAATTTTGGAAAGGTTGAAAGCTTAGAAAATAATGATATTGTCAATCATGTACACAAGTCCCATCTCATGGATTTGTATCGACATCCTTATTTCATTAGAGAGGCCGAGCGACTGAAAAAGAAAATGGTCAATGCAGCCCGAGCAGTTTTTTTCATTCAAAACAATCAACCCAATGCTACTGGGAGTAGTAGTGTAAACAACAAACCATTCCATGTCCTTCTTCAATAAACCACACACAACAATAATTTCAGAAAGACACCGGAATGATCATTCCGATAAAAACATTCACGCAAAAAAAAATGTCTGAAAAAATCACAGTGAAAGTGAAGGCTATGAATGGCCAGCAATTGGAACTTAAAGTTGATCCGAATGTATGTAATAGTGCTTGTTTATGTGAATCAACCAAACACCTATTTATATTTGTACAAAACAATAACAGATGGAGGTTGAAGATTTTAAAAAATTGATTGCAGAAAAGAGCAATGCTGCTCCGAATCTACAACGACTTATTTATCAAGGAAAGGTACTCAAAAACGGCTCTAAACTATCTGATTACAGTAAGTTTTTTGACTTTTTTCTCTCATTACGAATTATTCTTCTTCGTCGTATTCATGATGATGATTAGAAATTGTGAATGATCATGTTATCCATCTTGTTAATTTACCCAACGAGAATGTCTCATCTAGCTCCGAAAGCAGCAGCACTCAACAACGAACCCAACCCTCTCATACTTCGTCTCAAAGTGCAACTCAAAACCCTCATACAACAGGATTTCATGCTGCTTTCGGTCCTGGAATCACTGTGGTTAGTGGAATGAACCTAGATAACCCCAGTGGTGCTGGTGGTAGCACAGGAAGAATAGATATTGGATCTTTGGTGAACAATGTGTTGAGTGGAATCTTTCAACCTCCTTCTTCTTCAACCCAAACTCACACACATCCTCATCGTCAACATGGTACCAATAATACTAGTAGTAATAATAATCAGGCTTCAAGAACTGCACGAACTCCAGTTCCATCTAATTCAATTCACACCAACGAAATTTTAAATGGTGGACGTGAAGTTGTCAATTTTTTGGACGGGAATCAAAGACAATCTGTGGTTAATGATTTGAATCGAATGACATCCTTATTTCAATCTTCTGCATCCTCAAGCAATAGACAGGAATTTTTGCAAATCCGACAACATGTACTACCCAGCTTGGTGCAATTACAATCGAATTTAAACATGCTAATTTCTGGTTTAAATGGACGAACTTCTACCAATGTATCTTCAAGAGAAAACAATGGAGCTGCTATTACAAATGTTAATTTACACTTACATGTTAACTCTAATGAGCTTGACGCTCTTCCAAATCAACTTCAAAGACTTCATTCTATGATTAATGCTTCTCCTCTTGCTCCCAGAGATGGTAACTTGGAGAGGCCAGTTTCTGTCACTTCCACTACTCAACCAATTTCAAATCATGATGTTGTGAATGAAATTTTTTCTGGCAGCCGAGGTAGCACACCATCAAGCACTACTGCTGCTTCTACATCACCCTCTGCTCAGCCATCATCAACAACAACAACAACTCAATCTGCTCCATCGACCAGTTTGCATTCTCTGATAAACAATGTTATGGGTGCTTTTGGAGTTTCTCAGCCTCAAGAAGCCGAGTCAGAAAGAGGTTTCTTTGATAGAATGATTACTATTGCAACTGATTCTCTTCAACTTCCAGATTTATTTTCGGTAATGTCTGGAAACTGGGCTCCATTAGATGCCACTAAAGAAAAATTGAAGACATTTCTAATTAATGATGGTTTACAAGGAGATTGTTCACATCAAAGCAGACAACGAAAGATTGAAGAGCTAATGGCTGAATTTGAAAAATATTTAGACCAAAATCATGATCTACAATTTGAGATTGCTTCAAGAGCAAATAATGAAAGTGATGTTTTAGGACAGCTTGTAGAGGTGGCAAGATTTTATATAACAATGCTTTTCAATTTAATTATTGAGGATGTATCCATGTATCCACACGTTACCGATGGAGCTATTACTTCTTCTACTTTCTCGGCAGCTCTCAATAGATTTACAACATTGTTCTTGGGTGAAATTGTAGAGTTATTCGAAATGGAGTGCATCTCTGGATCTTCTAAGGTTTTAATTCCCCTTCTTTTAGATTCCATGTTCAAGTCCCTTCCGAACTCTGTACAGACTTTTTATAGAAATCAAGGAGGTTCTTTGATCTCCAGTTTTGCAGAAAGAAGACATCAAGAATACAAGACACAATTTCCAAATCGACCAATTTCAAGAATGCCAAAACCAGTTTTGGATAAGGTTGAACAACCTTCAAAAGTAACAAAAGAAGAGAAATCGACTACCAGCAGCAGCACCAACACCACAACAACAGCCACCACCACATCATCGAGCTCTGTTGTCCCACCTGGTACTCAAAGTGATTCTGACAAGCTACTTGAAGAGTTAATGGCTAAAGATGCTATGGACTTATTGGAAGATGTCATGCCAACAAAAGTGGACACCAAACCATCTTCCGTTGCATCTTCCACAGACTCTTCTCGATCAACAACACCAGTGACAACGAACGCTACATCCACAACAGCAGCAACAACATCAGCATCGAATAATGATTGGAAGAAGGGACTGTCTGAGGAGGAAATTAAAGAAATTAATGACACCATCAATCAAGATGAAGCAATGATGGAATTGAATGAAAATGACAAACCAAGGCTTAGTGATGCATACAAATTGGTAAGTTACATTGAATTTTAACGTACATTACTCATGAATAGTCATCGACAATTGAACTGCACCATCACTCCATGCATGAAAATGAACCAAGTCCACCACACAGTCAGGATACCTCAAAAAAGAGAAAGACTCATCCGAACTCTCTTCATCAAGACGAGAATCAGCAAGAGACCTCCACCAAGAAGACGAAGAAGATGTAGAATTGGATTAAACGTCCCAATAGTAATATGTAATAAATAAATCACAGTCATAAATTGTCAAAATCCAATGATAATTTGATTGAAAAGAAAAATGGCCAACAACGATGACGGTAGCAACACAGAGTATTTGAATCCTCCGTCATCTTTTTCATCACCAATGATGAACAGCAGCAGCAACAACAACACCACCACCACCACCACGACGACCTCCTATTATTCACCACCTACCATGTCCACGTTCAATCCTCATGAAATTTATTCGAAACAACAACCTTCACCGGTGATGATGATGCACCAACAAGAACCATCCAACTCTATGTACATAAACCTTCCTCCCAATGCCATTCCTTTTCATCATTCTTCCTCCTCTTCAGATAATAATATCCCATCCTCCTCCTCCTCCTCTTTTCAACAACCACAACAATCACAACAACGCATCATTCGACCTCCACCCATGTCTCTCTTCCTAGAAGGAGCAGATGCTGCTGAACAAATTCAAAAACAATTGACCATTAAGAAAGCCATTGAAACCATGACAGAGTCTTGTCTTTCAAAATCCGTATTTGCAGCTGTTGCTGGTACTGTACTCGGAGGAGCCTTTGGTATCATTAGTACCAGTTTTACTCTCGAATCTACTCTCATGAAAACACCACAACAAATCATTCGGGAAGAACAAATGACTTCCCGAGAGAAGATTAGGGAATACTTTAGAGAAACAAAAACAAGAAGTGTTTCAATGGCCAAGTCATTCGGAGCAGTCGGTGCTCTCTACAGTCTATTTGAATGTACTCTTGAAAAAGTACGAGCAAAGAAAGATGTTAAGGGAAGTTTAATGGCTGGATGTTTATCGGGAGCAGTATTGGCAAGAAAGGCTGGTGTTGGAGCCATGGTGTTTGGTTGCTTATCATTTAGTGCTTTCAGTGGTGCTATTGATTATTTCACTGAATATTCATAATATGAATCAATCACATCTGAGTACTGAATCTCCCAATTACAATTGGGTCTGAAACCTGTTTGTCAAGTCTCGAGACCTATTGTGTGTCAGCCATATATATATATATAAATATATATATATGGTTGATATTCTCTTGTCTGTCATATAGCTGTGGTGGTGGTGGTCTGCATTTCATCAATATCACCACCACAGTCCAATGAGTTGTTGTTGAGATCAGTAAAATTGTTTATTTTGGGAAAAAAGAGCACCTCATTATGCAAAACGAATTTGTCACCATTTTCTCTTGTTATTGTCATGATTTCTTTTTCTAACCCTATCGGTGTTTTTTCCAACTTGGAAAGATTTGAAGAAGGGTTTCCAAAATGAATGCAAGGTCAAAAGTCAGTCACTTGAAGCATTGAAGATACGATAAATCTTCATCAAAACACAATAACAACAACATTTCCTTCTCTTGTCACCCTCAGCAACATGCTCTTGCATCACCTCTTTCGTTTCTTTGAACAATTTACCTATGACCATCAACGCCTTTATGACCTTTCTTCCTTACCAACCTCTTCACACAATAATACCTTTTCAAAATCCCATCAGCTCTATAACAACAACAACAATAATGAGATGAGTATTGACAATTGGGAGTATGGCTTTCGTCAAGTAATTCATCCACCAAGAATCTTTGTGGACGGATATGCCAACGTTTCATACACACACTATCTTCCTGTATGGGTCAACTCACTCTCCATGGCCAATTCCATCTGTTTTGGAATTTATTACATGTGCATGGGAATATTCTTTTATAAAATTAAGAGTAGAAAGATTGAATTGAAAAGAATTCACAAACTCTTGTTTGTGTTGGCCATTCTATTTGTGGCCATTCAATCAGTCACTCTGATCGTTCGAGTGGTTTTTGATGCCATGCATTTGTATGCAAGAATTTATACCGAATCCACTGGTAATTTATTACGAATGGAATTTCTGATTGCATTGAATGTGATGGGAGCTTTGACCATCTTTTTCATGTTCTCAGACTTTATCTTTTTATTTATTGTCTTGTTCTTTTTCCAAAAGATATTGTAAGTGTTTAAGACTATTGTTGTTGTTCTGTATTGAATCATTCTTGATGAATTATAAATTGAATTGCATCATTCTCACACCACAGTTGGACCACTGCCAAAATGATGGGTGCCATTTCAAACAAAACTCTTTTCAGAATTCAAATCATGCTCAATGTGACCACAGTCGTCTTTTCCTTCACAAGTTTAATAATGGTCATTCTCGTCGCTCTCTTCTTCTTTTTCCAAAAGACAGATATGGTTGGCAAACCTCCAACCACAGGTGTCTATGTGGGTTGTTTTGTGGTGGTCTTTTCCATGCTTGTCTACGATGCCAATCCTTTCAGGAGTGGTGGTGTTGAGATCGATAAAGCAAACCACCAAAGCTGTCATGGCTAGTTCACAACGTTATGCTCAAAGAAATTATCATTCCACAACCTCAACAACAACAACAACCTCAATAACATTGAATTCCTCATTCATGACCAATCATGGTGGTGATAATCACCACACCAACAATAAGGACCAATCGAACTCGATCATGACAGAGGTCGCACATCAACAACAATAACAACGAACACTCCAAACACAACACGAACCTCCATCGATGGAAGAAAATTGGAACAACGTATTCAATCTCCTTTCAAAGTGACATTTGGTTTATTAATGGGATTAGTCGCTTGTATTTGTTTTCAATTGTTAGCAGCAGGAATTGCCAGTGGAGCAGTAGAGATTGATGTTGTCAAGATGATTTGGTACTTTTTTAATTGTTTGGGTGTGTTAGTGTTTGCTGTGATCATTTTGTGTCTCTTTTATCCCATGTTTGTGAATACTGAAATTTCATTTAAGGAAATTGAAACATCGAAGGCCAATGCTTTAAAGAATCATCATGAACCCGTCGATGCATCTTCTTCAAACACCATGTTGTTCACACGTGTATCGAGTGTGGATTTACACACAACACCTTCATCACCAGTTCTTAGTGGAAATGACACAAGTGAATGTATTTCTGTCAATGTTGAACATTAACTCATGTTCTCATAATATATATTATTATTATACTCTGTTTCTCACATCAGCAACAACAACAAGATCATCCTGTGAGGATCAATCTCTTTGTACCATAGTAGGTATGTGGATGATCACATTCAATATGAATGAACATGCAATAAAAACTATTGTGAATAATAAAAATTATTAATCTTTGATCTTATCCATAGCGGCAATCATTTGCTCAATCTGGTCAGTAATTTTGTTAATCCATTTGGTGATTGCTTTAAATTTTGGTTTCATCACTGTAAAGGAACGTAAATCCTTTTTTAAAATATTATAATAATCCACTCCATGATGTACAAAATCATTTCGACCACAACCGAGTGAATGACTTTGTAATACAAGTTCATGACAAATTTCTAAATGAATATTCACTGCTGGTTTCACACAAAATAGAATATCCACTGGAAAGAGAGGATAAAGAGGATTCTCAGTGAGATGAATAATATTCAGTGCACTCTTTTCAATGAGTTCTTGTGTGATGGGTGATTGAGATTTGGAAAGTATTGCAATCCTCAAACTGTCAGATATGATTTGATAAATGGGTTCTACAAAATCTGCTCGATTTACAGTGTCAGGAATTGTCAATAGTGTTGATTTTTCTAAATTTTTGAATTTGTTCACAAGTAATTCTACAATACTCCAAATCTCAAAGCAATTTTCATTGGTGACTTTTTCCTTGGTTAATCGATGAATCCATTCTTGAGGTAATGGTTCTTGACAAAAAAAGGAATACATTTCAGGAAGTCGAATCAATAAATCTTCCACCGTGTGTTTCTCAAAATCTTCTGTAAGACCAAGTTTTAGAACAGTGTCATAATAATACATCCAACCTTCCAAATTCTTTTCATAAATTGTTAATTTGGATTGTGTTTCACTGTCAACACCTGATTCTTCTGATATTGAAAATAATTTCTTTGTTAAAAAGTCAAGAATTGTAAAATAGAATTTTGCTTGTTCTGTTTTTCCATTATATAATTCATAAACAACTAAATGAGCATACACAGCAGCAACAGAAGAGCTTGATATTCGATCAAATACTTTGGAAAGACAATCTTTAGCTTTTTGAATGGTTTTTTCTGATTGTTCAATCAATCCAGCTCGACATTCACATAATGCTCGAATGCTAAAGTACATGGCAAACATTTCACAATTCACTTGCAAGCTACTAATTTCAACATCATCACAATTAGGGAAATAGGTTATAAAGTTTTCTAATTCTTCACGTGACACGAGTGGATAGCCGTCACATGCCACATCAAAGTAATAATCAATGACAGCTCTAGTGCTTAATGACTCTGAGGTTTGTACAAACTCTTCATTTGACTTTTTTCCAAGTGGATAAGGAGAGAATAGAAGATGAAAGGATTTGCTTTTAGATGTTTCCAAGTGGACAGTAGAATGATTTCTCAATTGTGTTTCTTTAGAGTTGTGATCATTTCTAGAAACATTGGATTTTGTTGGATGATTCATGTTGCTGGTGGAGATTGAATTGTTTTTCTTATTTCTTTTGGATTCTCGATAGACACATTCAATACCTCGTTGAGTGCATGAATAACACTTGGGAAGTTGTTTGTCACACTTTCTATGTTGTTGTCGACACTAGAGTGTTGAATTTAAATAGTTGTGATGGTGGTGATGATAGTGTCAATAATTTAGTGTGAGGATTTTGCATATTCCATATTATAATAGTGTCATGAATAAAAGCATCATCATTTAAAAAACAACCACTCATACCTGTTCGCAAGCAATTGGGAAATATTCCACAACATGATTCACTACTTTGCTATGAACGTTCTTGTTGTTGTTACCATTGTTGTTAGCATTGTTGTTATTGGTACAACTATTACTTTCACCACTGCTACTGCTACTGCTACTGCTACTACTATTGTTGTTGTTGTTACTATTATTGGATCGAGTCGATTGAAGGGCAGGTGAAGAGAGAATTGAATGAGTGGTGGGTGTTGTGTGATTGTTGGTGTGGTATGGTACTTGGAGGTGATGAACCTCCTCCGAATGAAATGGTTGTTGTAATGAATCTCTAAGAGTAGAAGAATTCATCCATGATGAGGATAAGGATGATGAAGATAATGACAACTCAATGTCATTCATGGATGCAGGTAGGATAAAGCTGTTGAAGAAATGATGCATCATCCACTGAGAAGATGAATCAATATGGTGATGATGGCTGTCATTCTGTTCGGATGATGATGATGGAATTGCAAGAATGGATTCATTCCTGAGAGGATGATTGTTATGAAGGAAGGTATCCAACAACAACAACATACTACTACCACTTTGGTCCGAAGTGAAGGATGATGATGATGATAGTGAATCATGAGGTGGAGGAGGAGGAGGTATTCGTGAAGCATTGGTACCACCACTACTACTACTAGACACGCCCTCAGTTGGGGTTGTTGATGACAACTGAGTGTTGTTGTTGATGATGGATGGTGGTTGTTGTTGTGGGTCATGACGAGTCATTCCTTGTAGTAGAAAATCTTCGAACTGTTGGAATAATTCATCACCACCACCACTATGAAGGTGGTCAAGGCTTTGAGTGGACGTGTTTGAAGTGTGGTGGTTGGTTTCTTGATGTGTTTGGTTGGTACTGTCCACTCCAGTACGTTGTTGTTGTTGATGGTGGTGGTGATGGGATGGATTCCAATTGACCACGTCATGAGAGGATGAATCACAGCATTGGTTGTAGGGAAACATTTTTTGAAAGGTGTGCCATGAAAGGTTGGCCAAGAATGATTCTCCAGTAAAATTGAAAAAAAATGTCCCACTCACAAACTGAGCAACAACAACTGCCAATAGAAGCAACCCGTGATGAAGAAGATTCTGATTCTTGGGAAACAGAAGAAGAATCGGAAGAAAATGAAGATGATTATGAAGAAGATTTTGATGATGAAGAGGATTCCGAAGACTATGATGATGAGGAAGAAGAAGAAGATTTTGATGATGGTGAAGTACATGACGTCATTTGCTTTTCCGAGTCTATGGATGCAACTGAATATGAACAAAAAATTAAGACCAAAGGAGCCATCATCTTGCAACACCCAGAGGAGTTTTTCAGGATGTGTATCTTCAACAATGAAGGAAAATTCAAAAACGAAGAAGAACTTGTTCGATGTACCACCTTACTCAATAAGAGAAAGTCAAAGGAAGAATGTGAGAATATCTTGAATGAAGAAGAAAAGAAAATTATTGCAGCAGATCCTTACTCGTACACCATTGTACTTGTAACTTCGAAAGAGGATTACAAGAAGAAAACGCCAATTACACAACTAGCCTCATTCTTGCTTGAATACAGTGATACCTTAAATGGAGCGATTGTGAACGTGAAATTTCTGGATGAGTATTTCGACTCTCGTCACCATGCTGATCATATCATTTATTCAGATGACAATGATTTTACTATTGGGTTACCTTTTCAAAGTTATTCTCATCCAGTGCTATTACTCTATGGTAGAGAACAATCAAAGAATGAAATGATTGAATATTTCAAAGAACATGAAGTTACAGTGCTTAGTAAGGAAGTTTATGACTCACAATCAGTACTTTTAGGGGATTGTACAATTATCTTGAGCGATGATTTCTTTTTAAAGAAACCAGAAGAATTAACATTGGAGGAGATTGATATATTACATTTCTATATACACACCAATGGAATTACATTTTCTAGAACCAAAGAATTATTTGATGAATGTAAAGATGTTAGCACGGACGATTACGACTCCTGTGAGGAAATGCTAAGACGATCCGGATACTTTAATCAAGTGTACAATTTTTCTGTGTTCAAAAAACGAAAAGACAGACGCCATTTGCTGGACAACAAAGAAGTAGAAGCCTATTCTCAAGATCTTGCTTCCCTACCAGCTGTTCCTGAGCATCAGCGCCTGAGTATCAAGATTCCTAATGAAATTTTTTATCACATTATTCAATTCATGTTGCCTTCCGAAATTTTACAGTTGAGATTGCTGAATAACCTCTCAAATATAATGTGCCTACAAGACTTTGTATGGAAGCAAGTATGCTATCACACAGCCAAACGATTCAAACAATTTCTATCTCCATTCTTAGAAGATAAGATTTATGACATGCCCTATTTTTTGATTTACAGAAATTATATTAATCCACTCTTGATTGATCTCAAGTACATTCATCGAGTGTTTGATTTACCATTGGTTGACAAGAAACTATTAGAAGAGTCCATATCAACTGCATTATTTATAGACACAAGTCTATGTAAAGATGAAGACATTCCTATTGGATCAACAAAAATGGGAGGAGCATACGATATGCCATCAAATTTTGATACACAAAATATTGTTGACCACTCTTTGCTGTTACAGTTGAATTTGGAAGAGGATCAGAAAGGTGGTTTGTTTGGATTGTCTTACCACAATTTGTCAAAAAGACTTAAATCGAACACTTGGATTCCAAAAACAGGAGTCATGTATTTCTTTTACAAGATGGATAGCGAGGCAAAGGTGTTTTATTTCAATGGCCCAATTTCTAAGCTTACAAGGTTTGGCTCTGGACTTGAAAAGAGCACCTTTAGAGTAAAATTTTATGAGGCTCTCGAAGTGAAGGACTATTCAGAAATGCAATTTACGACTGATTTTTTGAAGTTTGAAGAAGAGTACAGTGAAGATTTGTCATCTTCCCTAGCTCAGTTTATTCATGCTCCCTACATCCAATATGAACCCCACAAACTCTTTGGACAATGTCCTGTTGTTCCAAAAGAAGATTTCTCAGACTATGACAATGGAACTGACTCATCGAGTGAGGATGATGAGGAAGAAGACACTTACGGCTATTTGGACTTGAATGAGTTTTTATTTCCCTTGCTGCAACTTTCAAAAGATTCCAAAATTCAAGAAAACAATATTTTGGCATTTGAAGACCAAGCTGACATTAACTTCTTGGTTGAAGGAGAGCCTGAGCACTTTGTGTTTGATAAAGACAGTTCATGGAAGAAAGTACTGGATTGTGGAGATGGTCATGGTTTATTTCAGCTCGATGAAACCTTCCACTTTAGCTATGGAATCACTGAACGAATTTTCAACAAGTTCAAAAAACTTGGCAAAGAGAAGATGGTGAAAAAGCGTAGCGAGATGTAACTGATGAACTTAAAAGTCGGCAATTTATGAACGCGTCGGTATGAATCAAATCTCTATACCAAATGTTGTATGGATCCACGCAATGGTTGATGAACTTTTTCGCGCCTCATTTTTTACTGGAAATTGTGTCGCATCAACTGATCCATACACAACAATTTAAAAAATGGCTGATAGTGTAAAGGTGGCAGTGAGAGTAAGACCGTTCAAGGATTACGAGATCCAGGGTAATGCAAAATGTGTTGTACAAATGAATGGCCCTCAAACTATTTTAATGTATGTTTCTAGGCAATTAATTAATACGGAGTAATCATCGCAACATGATACAGTGAACCTAAAACCGGAAAAGAGAACAAATTTACATTTGATTATTCTTACTGGAGCTTCAACAAGAGCGATGCAAACTATGCCGATAATCAAGTATTATGGAATGATTTGGGAGAGGCAATGTTAGCAAATTGTTGGCAAGGATACAACACATCAATGTTCGCATAGTAGGTTTCATTGTTATATTTAAAAGAGCTCAAAATTGCGACATGAACTATTTAATTAGCGGTCAAACAGGAAGTGGTAAAAGTTACAGTATGGTTGGGTATCCAGGATTGGATGAAGGATTGATTATTAAAGCCGGAAACCGCATTTTCCAAAAAATTGAAGAATCCAAATCCCAAAACGACGTTCCCATTGAGTACACTGTGGAAGCGAGCATGTTAGAAATATACAACGAAGAAATTAGGGATCTTTTTAATCCAAAAAACAATCCAAATGGAGGATTGAAAATCAGAGAAGATCCAAGAACCGGTGTTTATGTGGGTATGTTTTTATTGCAATGTTTAGCCAATGATAACAATAGTAATTAGAGGATCTTTCAAAGCATCTTGTTGCCGATTACACTGCTATTAACAAGTTGTTGGAGCAAGGTGAAAAAGCTCGAACTACGGGTGCCACTTTGATGAATAAGACATCATCCAGAGCCCACACTGTTTTCATGCTTTATTTCAAGCAAACCGTTACACATCCTGAAACCAAGCAAAAAGTTCAAAAGGTTTCCACCATCAATCTTATTGACTTGGCAGGTAGTGAAAGAATGGCCAGAACCGGGGCAACAGGGGCTCGTGCACAAGAAGGAATTAATATTAACCTTTCGTTGACCTGCTTGGGTAATGTCATCAAAGCATTGGCAGACAAATGTTCTGGAAAAAAACCTACGAACTTTATTCCTTACAGAGACTCTAAGCTTACTTATCTCTTGAAGGAATCTCTTGGAGGTAACTCAAAGACAATCATGATTGCTGCCATTTCTCCAGCTGACGTCAATTTTGAGGAATCTCTGTCAACTTTAAGATATGCCGATAGAGCCAAACAAATTGTTAACAAGGCTGTTATTAATGAAGACCCGTCAGCTAAAATTATTAGTCAGTTAAGAGCAGAAATAGAACGACTTAAGGCCCAACTTTCTGGAAATGGAGAAAATGCAACTGGAGATCAAGCATACGGTACCACAACCAATGGCATTTCTCAAGCTGAATATGATGCGCTCAAAGAACAGCTTGAGCAGTCACAAAAGCTGATGACTGACATGCAAATGACCACAGAGGAAAGAATTAAACAAACAGAAATGATGGCCAAGGAAAGAGAGGCTTTCTTAAAGGATCTGAACGTTGACTTGAATTTTGATAAGAATAAGTCACACATCTCTAATCTTAACGAAGATCCTTTGCTTAGCGGTAAACTAAATTACTACATACAAGAGGAAACAACTATTGGATCCAGCGCTGAAAATAGTGTTAAGATTCAAGGAGTTGGAATTTTAGATCGACATGCTACTTTCAATAATGGCAATATCACTCCTTGCATAGGGGCCAAGATATACTTGAATGGTGTTGAGATTAAGGAAAAAACAAAAATCAAGAATGGAGACCGGATTGTGTTTGGAACACATTTAATTTATCAATACAACGATCCAAAGGAGGGTCCTATTTGCTTAGCAGACTGGAAAACAGCATTTGATGAAGTTAGTAAGGCGATGTTTGATGAAAAAGCGGCTGAACTTGTAAAGGAGCACAAGAAGAGAGAGCAAGAACTTCAAGAAACAATCAATTCAGTTAAAAGCGAAATTGATAGACAAAGACAAGAACAAAAGCTTCTGATCCAAAAGGAAATGGATGCTGCAAAGCAAAAGGAGGAGCAAATGAAAACGGAATTCTCTAAGAAGGAGCAACTATTGCTTGCTGAGTTACAGGCTGCAAAGAATGATGAAGAGAAGAAAAAACAAATTGAAAAGATGTTGGCTGATGAAAAGAAGAAGAATGAGGAACAAATCGTACTATTTCAAAAACAACTTGAACAGTCGAAGCTTGACATTGCCTCCTCCTATCAAAAGCAAATCATGGAGTTAGAAGCAAAATTGATGGCAGAATTAGATCTTGGTAAGAAACACAAAGAAGATCTGGAACGTGAAAACCAAAAACTTCAACAACAAATCAAAGATAAAGAGCTGGAGTATGAAAAGAAAATATCCGAAGAAAAGGAGTTCCTCCAAAAGAAAGAACAAGCCCTTCAGGAAGAAAAACAAAGAAGAGAGGTGGAAATTACAAAGATAATTGCAGAAAACCAACATAACTCTGCATTAGTTGCGCAATACCAAGAAGAGTTAGCAAAGGAGAAGGAGAGAATTGACAATTTGATAAAAGCCCAAGTTGAAATGTTCCAGAAGTCAGAGGAGAGAATCAGATCTCATATTAATTCAGAAGTTGAAGAGTTGAAGGCCCAGCTTGAAAAGTCAAAGCAGGCTGAGGAAGAGGCAAGAAAGTACAAGGACCAACTTGCAAAAGTTGAAGAAGAAATGTCCAGAAAGTCAAAAGAACATGAAGAACTAATGCAAAGAGAGAAGGAAAAGTTTTCCATGAGAGAAAAGGAGCTACTCGGTACTCTTCAAGCGCGAGAGAAAGAACTAATGGATAAAATACAAAAAGGAGCTTCAGAAGAGGAGATCAATGAGTTAAGAAAGCAATTAATTCAAGAAAAACAAGAAAAGCAGCAATTACTTGAGCAAGAGCGGGCTGACTATGAAAGAAAAGTGCATGAAAACAGAATCAAAATGACAGCTGTACGAGCAATTTTCAAAACCCAAATTCAAAAATCTAACACAATAGCGGCCGCTGCATCATCTAAGGCAGAAGAGAAAATTACTCTACTACAACAGAAGTACTTGGAAGAAAAGCTGGCTCAACAAGAGGAAATAGAGCGTCAAAAGCAAGAAATGGAAAGACAACAGCTAGAAACACAACGACAATTAGCTGCAAAACAAAGTGAGCTACTTTTGAGCAATGAGCAAAATACTAAAGCCATGCTTGAGCAAATGAGATTGTTGGAGCTGGAAAAAGAAGAACGAGAACGTGATTTCCAAAGAAAAGAATTGGAAATGTCAATGAAACTCTTTGATATTGAAACACGGCTACAAAACGAGATGGCTGAAAAGGCGCAACTTATCATTGATAAAGCCGTGAAAAGCACAGTCGTTGCTTCCAATGAAAGTGCTGGGGCTGTCAATGTACTGATACCTTGGATACAAGAAGCCAATTTGATGCTCACAGAGTTGAAAAAGGAGATTACTTTGGATCTTAGATTGGTAGGATCTGACATTAGTGTTGAGGTAACCGATAAGACTAGTGGAAACACTGAGGTTTGGAGCCGAGACAAATTTGAAACCAAGCTCGTTGAAATGAGAAACTACTATTTCAATATGAAGAATGGAATTTGGATGGACCCTTCCCAAGATCCATTTGTTTCAATCCAAAAAGTTTCTATCATTCAAAAAGAAGACCCATCTGCTTTAATGGAAAGAATCAAGATTTTAGAAGGCCAAAATCAGCAGTTACAAAATGAAAAGGCTCATATTTTGGTTGATTTGAACATTGCTCTTGCTGAAAATGAACAACTCAGGGCAAAAGCAAAGAAAACAGGCACGAAATCAACAAAGAAAATCAAATCCAAGATCAAGCACTTGAAAAAACAACTCGAAGAAATTGCCTCTAAACACAAGGTTGAGGAAATACTATCCACTTTTGACGAGCTTGTTGGAAGTGACAGTGACAATGATAGTGACAGCGATAGTGACAATGATGACTTTGACGCTATGATCAAAAAAGCAAAATCTCTAACAAAGACTGTTGTTAAGGGTGTCAAAGAAATCAAACAAGAAATTGAAGCAAACATTCCACCTCCAAAAAGTGCTGCCAAGAAATCAAGAGGGGATGGAAAGAACCAATCTAGCGTCTGTGTTGTTCAATAAAAACAACAGTGTAAATATTTGTGTGTGGCATTTCGAGAAGTCGTTTTTATAATTCTTTTTTATGTTTTGAATTTTTCGAGTTACAAGAGGATGTTGAACAGGAAGAAATATGAAATGTCCACATTGGGAAATTAAATTGCATTGCTTGCTGCTTTTTAGGAATTTTCTTTCTTTTAATCTTCTCAATCCTTTTTCCATTGCTTGTAAATATCGTATTAATGAATTGAGGAGAAGCAGAGGTGGAGGAAGAAGACAATGACTTGAGAGATTGATGAGAAACTCCAGATGCGCTCAAAGCATCCAAACTATGGTCTGGTTGGATCGCTGGATCAAAGTTTGAAAAAGGAGAGAATGGTTGCTTATTGGTACCCTTTTCTAAGGTGATGGAGTTGGTTTGGTCAAGAAGAGAGAAGGAAGTGATTTCATGTTCCTCTAAAAATGGAGCATCTAAAGAATGATCATCGAGATTGCACATCGAAGTGGATGCCTCTTCAAGAAATGATGAATTATTCGAATCAGATGAGGAAGGAATTAACATGGACTGTGCGATGCTTAGCTGAGCTTCGTGTTGTTGATGGTCTTCTCTCAGTTCCTGACATTGCTGAACCAACAATTCATAATAGGATTTGCAAAAATCATGTAAATCCAGTTGAAGCATTGGAGACTCTTCTTGAAGCTGTCTAGTGTTGTCTTGCTCTGCCAGATCCAGCATGGTCATTAAAAAACAGTTATTATGTACATTATGATTGGTTGTTGTTGACGGCTCAGCGGTTGGTTGGTTTTGAGCATCCAACATCATCATCATCTTGGAGGGACAGGATGGACTTGTCATGTCGTGAGGTGATTCAATGATACGAAATATCAAAAAGCAACAGGATTAAAATCTTCGGATTCTCTGGGTGTTCTTCCGTTACAGGTGGTTGCAAAGTGGAAGTTTCGTCGTTTTGTTGTTTCTTGTTATTGTGAATATTCACTCTCTGCATCATCAAATTAAAGCTTTAATTCAGAGTTTGAGTTTTTAGAACTGTGAGCTTGGCCGACAGAGACTTTTCATAGATATATCGAAACAGCAACGTTCATTAATGGTTCATGAGAACGGAAAGACTCCTTTCATGTAATTGGATGGACTAACTATTTGTGTTCTGTGCTGAAAATGAGTGATTCTCAACATTCAGATTTTGTGCTTCGATTAGTATTTAAATGATTCCTCTAAATATATCTACTTACTGTTCTTTGAATAAAATTCAATCGGTGTTGTATAATACTGGACATCAGAGAAGCTTAATGGAGAGGACGATCACCGCGCCTCTCAAGGAGAAATCGACGAAATTCTCTAAATCAATAACACACCAATCAAGAAAAAGAAATCATTTATTTTGAGAAAGAGCGATGAATGTTTAGATTTGACTTTCATCGTTCGGAGGGTCATTGTTTTTCTCTCGACCATCCGTTTGACAGGAGGCACAACAACAGCAACAAATCTTTCATTGGAAGTTGAAAAGTCATTCATGAATATTCAAAAGAATCAGTGACGAACGTGTTGTAACTGGAGAGTTTACAGCAACAGAATCTATGGTTCTGTACAGTATTAAGTTTAAAAGTTTTTGACATGTTCTTGTCCATTAAGGTTCATTGTTGAAAATTTTCAAAATGTTTGCAGAAATTCAAAAGACATTGATTGTTGTCTTTTGGGTATCTTGGTCTTTAGTTTTCGTCCTCTTTTGTGAATTTGGAAAGATGAATAAGTGAGAGAAGAGACATGTGAGGGATGTCGTTGGGTATTGGTGGTTGTTTTTGTGTGGTTGGTCGATGATGATTTTTCATTCGTTCGACGCATGGGATCCATGTTCACGACTGCAATTTCTGAAAGTTGTTTTCTTGTCGATGTTGTGAAAGGTCGACTGTTTCCTTTTTTGGGTAAATGAACATTTTGAAGATTGGTTTCTACATGTTGTTGTTGTTGGTGAGAAGTGTGCTGAAGATCATAAACATCACCATTGGGACTCATAGTGTCTTCAGCAATAAATGTCTCCACTTGTTGAAGCTTTAACTTGAGTGCATGATATGATTTTTGAAAATCGTCAATATCTAATTTCAGAAGGAGGTCATGAAATGTTGTTGTTGTGGTGATGATGTTCTTGACAGGGTTTGTCTTTTGACAGCAATTTGACATATTGAGCTTGTTTTTTTGAGAGAGTGTTCGAATTTACTTTTAGTTGGATTGAATATTAACATCGTACGCACAAATAAGTTCACATTCTTATTGAACAAAACAAGGCTTCAAGTATCGTATTTGGTGTTTCAATACGCACTTGAACGCAAGTGAAAAGGATCATTCTTTTATTGAAAAGTGACACATCCATATGGAATCAAAATGGTTGACTGTTGCGAATACGTTCCCCAATTGTCGTTTCCAGTATTTACAAGGAATGAAATGGAGAAATTGTTTGTACCTTAAATTTAAATCCGTTATTATGAAAATTCTTCTCACTCGAACTTATGGTTGAAGTAGTACTTGCAGCGGTTCCCATTGTTATCAAAGACGTTGAAGAAGAGGATGAAGATTCTCCATGAGATGAATTCCTATCTGAGGAGGAGGAGGAGGAGGAAGGTGAGAATAAAGAACTTGTTTTAGATACATTCGATTCCTCTGGACTGGTAGATGTATCAACCAGATGAAAGGTCCAAGAAGGAAATGTAAATTGCATCGATTCAGGATTTGGAGGATTTGTTGAGGAGTTTTGGCAACGAGTAGTGTTCTTCAATGAGGGTTGTTGTTGTTGTTTCGAGTTGGCATGGACGAATAATAATTGACTAGTTTTGGAGGTTTGTTTGTTTTGCGAATGGGCTTGTCCTCTCGAGAAGGAGGAGGAGAAGGAAGGTTTTGATATTTTCACAGAGTGTTTGTACTTCTTAAAATGCAGCTTGTAGGGTTTGTTCTCTCGTTCTCATTGAATAGTGACGGCGCAGAAGGAGACTTGCAAGATTGGGAGGGTGTTGTTGTTGTTGGAATTAGTGTTGGTACAGTGGAGCATGAAGGTTTGTGTGGTGGTGAAGTCAAGAGGGTGGAAAAATTCTCCATATTCTTAGCGGCGATGGTGGTGGTTGATGAATTTTGAGCGTTTTGGATGAAGAAGAAGTTCAATGTTGAGCAATGAGTAGTGGTAGTAGTAGTAGTAGTAGTAGTAGATGTGGTATTACTACTACTCTTCATGTGAAGATAACAAGTCATGAAATCATTCACATCCAAATTCAACATGAGTGATCCTTCTTCTTCTCCTCCATGAGAAGGACAATCACAGGAATTTTCGCATGAAGGGAAGAAGGAATCAAGTGGATGTGAAGTGTTAATACCAGTAGAAGAAAATGACAGACCATATTCATCAAAAGAAGAAACGAGTTTGGATGACGATTGAGAGGAGCTTTGAATCATGTTCAGCAGCAATCGAAGATGATGAACGGAATATATGAATTGAAGAAGAAACGCAGAATTTCACAAGTTTTGCTCTCTTTGAAGAAAGTACTGAGACTTTTGTTTTTTGAATCAGCGCACCATGGTCTGCCATTACGCAATATTTCGTCATGATGGATCTTCTTGTTGGTGGTGATTGGTACAATGAATTCTTTTAAAGAACTAGATTCTGTGTTTAACAATTGACATCGCGATGTTTGAAAATGCTCATGAAGTGCGAAATGTAGTTCGACACAGAGATACAAATTAGAACGCAAGGAAGACGTTCATCGTTGACTTTTTCGCGTCAATTAGTTTTGTTTGATACCAAAATATGACGAGTGACATGAATCGACCCATTTGTTGGTCGTTGATATAAATAGAAAATGGCATTCGAATGGATATTGGAGAAGATGTACAGAAAAAGAAATTCTACGACCAATTTTCAAAACCCTGTCGGAATCTAAATGTGATTGTTCACGTTAGAGCTACAAAGGTGAACGAAGTGTTTCGTCGTTGTTTATTGTCATTACAACAAGAGCAACAAAGCAAATGGGCAGATTGACGACAGGTCCTACAACACTCCTCAATTCTATTGAACGATGCCAATATTTACAAGGAATGAAAAGGAGATATTGTTTGCACCTTAAATTTAAATCCATTCGAAGTATTTTTAGAGGTTTCCTTAGAGGAGGAGGAGGAGGGCGGAAATGAAGAACTTGTTTTAGAAGCATTCGATTCCTCTGGACTGGTGCTTGTATCGATCAGATGAAAGGTCCAAGAAGGAAATGTAAATTGCATCGATTCAGGATTTGGAGGATTTGTGGAAGTTTTGTGGCCTTGAGTGGTAGTGGTTGTAGTCAATGAGGGTTGTTGTTGTTGTTTCGAGTTGGCATGGATGAATACCAACGGAGACTTAGAGTTTCGATTGTTTTGAGAAAGGATATGTCCTTTCGAGGAGGAGGACTTTGAAATTTTCATCAATGAAGCATCTATGGATTGTTTCTTCTTCTTCTTCATCATTGACATCATCTTTAAGGATGGACTAGACCTCTTAGACTCTTCAAAAAACAATGGAAGAGAAGGAGATACGGAACAGAATTGGGAGGGTGGAGTGGTTGGGGATGAGTTCATTGTCGCATGAGGTGGTGTTGTCAAGGTGTTGGAGGTGGTGTTGGTCAAATCCTCCACATTCTTGATGTTCATAGTATTGGTGGTGGTGGAAACCATACCCATTAATGGAGAGGAGTGAGAGTGGATCGTTTCGTTCTGTGGTTGGGAATGGTGAAAGAAGAAGGATGATTCATTACAAGTGGCCCTCATCATGAGATCTCCCAATTCATTGGTGGTTGATGAATGTTGAGCGTCTTGGATGTCATCTGGAAATATAGAGTAATGAGTAGTGGTAGTAGTGGTAGTAGTAGTAGATGTGGTTTTTTTACTACTACCCACCATGAGCAAATAACAAGTCATGAAATCATTCACATCCAAATTCAACATGAGTGATCCTCCTTCACGAGTAGCACATGCATTGGAACGATTACACAACGTTGTGGTATGATCACTCGACCAGGAGAAGCAACATGTGTGTTGTTTCATGTGATTACTTGGAGTGTTCTCATTCCATAATGGACATGTTGTGGAGGAGTAATGATGATCTTGCAGAGTGTTGAACCCAGCAGTGGTGATGGTGGTCATGAGAAGGGAATGGTCGCATGAAGGGAAGAAGGAATCAAGTGGTGATGGTGGAAGATGATGTGAATCCATCGTGGAACAAAACCCAAGGTCATGTTCTTCATACACAGGGAGAAGGAGTATGGATGACGATGGAGAGGAACTTTGAATCATGTTGAGCAGCTAAATTGACGATATCACGAATGGATGGAACTCCAATATTGAATGAATGGAATATCCAACAAGTGTACCACAGAGTGAGATTTTGTTTTTTGTTTGAATTCAAACGATTGAATTTCAATCTCGACCGAAGTAAAGTAAATTGGTTGCATGCAAAAATAGGAACGGTCCCATCTTTTAGAGAACTAGATTCTTTGAACTTTACTTGAAAATCAAAGGTGAAAATAACCTTTTCGTTCACAAATTTATGAAAAATTGACATGTTGAGTTGTTGTTCAACAGCAGAGATACAAACGATACGATCTATCTCTTGTTAATTTCGGAGCGACAATGAGTTTGTAGGACATGAGTGACATGAAATTGATATAATGAGATTATATCTTTCGAATGGAGATATCAGAAGAAGTTGTGCTTACCATTGAAATAATTACAAGTTGGTGAAGTCTGACACGGGTCGGAATCAATGTATGACTGGTGACTTTAACCTCGTACATATTAGTCTCACAAAAAGCACTGATCAGCGGACAAACGATATACGAGAGAGATGAAGAGATTATTCATCCATAATTGTAAATATTGAATACAACCATAGCAATGCAAAATTTCTCTTTACGTAAAAGTACATAACGCACGATCCACTCAATGATTACTTGTTGTTTATTGGTCAGTTGGTACATAGACAAACGACACATTATGAAATTTATAATTATTTCCACTCTTTGATTTCTCTTTGGAATTACCTTCTACAAAAGCTTGTTCCTTGTAGAGGGTCCATGAGGCAAGATTTCGTTTCAAACTACCACCACCACTTGGTGTACCAGTGGATGATGCTGAATGGGAGGTCGCAGCAGTACTACTACTACTACTACTACTACTACTACTACTAGTGGTGGTGGTGGTGGTGGTGGAGAGAGAAGTCGTTGTTGGAGAACTCAGTGATCCGTTCTTTAAGTCTGTATCCTCATTCATTGCATGGTGAGGTGATTTTGAACGAGTCGATTTGGATGATGCATGTTTCTTCAAAGAGGGAGGAGAGGCCACAAGTACTGAAGCGGAGGTGGAATGGGAATGAGGAGAGGACTCTTTCAAAAATTCAAAGGAGTGTTGGATGGAACTGGCAGTGGTGGTAATGGTTTCAGTGAGTAGACGTCTACCTGTTCTTGTTGGTTGTTTGTGGCGATTAGTAGTAGTAATACCCTTGTTCTGAGTCTTGGTCTGTTTGGTAAGACCTGAGTTCTTGTGGACGCTGAGAGGAGGAGAGTCTACAGACGACTGCCTGTGGTTGTTGTTGTTGTTGTTGTTGGGTGATGAAGAGGTTGATAAACTTGTGGTGCTTGTGGTTGAATTTTTCCTTTTTTTTCCGTTACGGTTGGGTATCACATGTGAGATGTTGTCGTTATTGTTGTTGTTGTTGTTCAGGTGAATCATGTTGGGGGTAGTAGGAGTGGAAGAGGGTAATTGGAATGATCGCTCTTTCTCCAATAACAACTCGGTCTCTTCTGCTGCTGCTTGATGGATTGGAAGTGATTGTTTGTTGAATGATGGTGAGCGATCACTCATTGTTGTTGTTGCTATTGTTGGGAGAAGAATGGGATGATGATGTGGAGTGATTGTTGTTGTCATTAGGGATGATGACAACGGGCAGTTGTTGTAAGAGGATGATGTTGGATATGCTCCCGAGTTTGAGTAGTTGTCAATGTTATTGACCGGTCGAACGTGTAGGAGGGAACTTGATTCATCCTCGCATCTGAGGCTGCTGCTGTTGTTGTTGTTGATTATTGAATCATCCATCATCATCATCATCGCCACCATGCTGCTTCCCATCACGCCACAATCACTCTTCTGCGCTGAAAAGCCATTACTGCTTACTTCCAGCAGAGAAGCATCATTCCGATTCAGACCTTTCGTCTCTTGTGTTGTTGCCATCGATGACGAGAACTCGGGATAGACATGAAAATTATTTTGATCACAAGAATTCAATTCTTTCAATACTCCATGAACATCTAATCTGAGAAAACATGGAGTGGAGGGTGTGATACATGAGAGAGCTCTATCCAAATCAGCATAATGCTCTATTGGTTGTTGTTGTTGTTGTTGTTGTTCTTGCTTACTAGTAGTATCAGCAAAAGTTGAAGAGTTGTGAAAGGTCGACAACAATGAATACATTGGAGGAAGCGAGTGGAAGGAAGAGCTGTCTCCGAACGAGTAGGAGGAGGAGGATTCATTTCCACAAGCGTGTGCATGGGAATGATCATCAAGTGTTAGGGAGGATGGCATCGATGAGGATTAGCGAATTCGATCTTTCAAATAATCTTAATGTTGGTGTGAGTGTGGTCAGGTTGAGATGCAATTTGTTTTTGTGAAAGTTCTTTTGTGTTGGTCTGTGGAGTTTAATACTTTGTTCTAAAAGTCATCCGTGAAATCAACTTCCTTTCATGAATGGTAAGAGTTTGATAAAGACATCAAACTGTCACTTGTCAAAGTACATTCAACACAAAACAAAGATAATCAAAATTTCTTGTACTGTAAAAATCGGCGATTTCCTCAAGTTCAGGTTCTGTGAGGGGAGTATTTACGCATCCTTAGCCTTGCCACTGGTTAAACTTGTATTGTCCTAACCTTTAGAGAGCTCCAACATACCTTTTGACGGTTGACATCACTATTTCCTCTGATGAAATGATTCGGGTTTGCTAATCTCCCCAACACATGATGAGTCGATTCATCTCCAATGTTCGAGTGGTTAATTACACGACTATTTCCGCATATTTGCTACATTAATAGGAACAGAGGAAGGGAAGCAAAAAAAATGAATTCATCACAAATTGAATATGTTTATCATCTTTTTCCAAATCCTTCCACAGTTGAATTGAAATTTAAGAGATCGGGTGATCATTTGAGCCTAATCATTCATCAAAATATCGGAATAATATTCTTGCATTATAAAGGAAAATCTGTAAATATTTTAGATGAATATGTTTTGACTGAGATGGACCAGGTAAGAGTTGTGTGTGATGATTACAAGTTCATCTCAATTAATTGGTCGTATTTTCTTTAAAATTGATTTTGTGCACAAATAGATGATCGGAGAAATTGAAAAATTAATTCTTAATGGTACCATACACGGCATCATGTTTTATAGTTTGAAAAAAGATAGTTTTATTGTTGGAGCTGACGTGAATATGATTTACACCATCACAGGTAAGAGTTGTGTGTTAGAGTTTCAAAGATTTATTTTCTTTCACAACAGACAGTCGAAAAGCCAAAGAGGTTTCCAAACATGGACAAGCATTGACCCGAAGAATTGAATTATTACCAGTTATTGTTTTAGCCGCAATTCATGGTACCTGTCTTGGAGGAGGTTTTGAAGTTTGTCTTGCAGCATCTCATCGAGTGTGTTCTTCTTCAAGTAAGACTGTTGTTGGATTGCCAGGTAAGTTAGAACTCTTATTTGTGTCACAAATATTAGTGACATTCATACTCTTCGAACGAAATAGAAACCAAACTTGGATTGCTTCCAGGATGTGGCGGCTGTGTTAGGTGAGTTGATTAACATTGTCTTACATCTGAACACTCAATGATTGTAGATTACCGAGATTGGCTGGACTTGAAAATGCATTACAATTAATTTTACAAGGCACTCATGTGGAAGCCAAAAAAGCTCTCAATATTGGAATTATTGACAAAATATTTCCATACTCAGCAGACTTGCCACCAAAGCCACATCTATCTCAAGAAAAATCTGACGGGCCTTCACAAGAAGATATTGATTTTTTCCAAAGATGTTTTGATTATACAAGGCAACTTGCAATTGAACATACACAAGAACGAGAAAAAATTGTTGCAGAAACTGTTAAAAATATTTTGGAACTAGCAACAAAAGGAACAGCTGTATTCAATCAAGAAGCCTCCTTCCAATTGGGAAAATACAAACGAAGACCCATTACATTTTCAGAATATTTAAAAGATAATCCAATCGGAAGACTTCTGATTGGATTTTTTACGACTACAAGTATTCAGAAACAAACAAAGGGACATCCTTACAAATCGCCTTTTCTCATTCTTGACACGATCATGAATGGTTACACAAAACCTATAGATGAAGCTCTAGAAATTGAATCAACAAATTTTTCTGAGCTTGTTATTGATCCTGTCTCTAAAAATTTGATTTCTCTATTCAACACAGTCGAGTCAGCAAAAAAAGCTGAAAACTTTTGCGACCCAAAATATTGTAGTGTGAAATGTAAAGACGTGATCAAGAAAATTGGAGTTGTTGGCTCAGGAACTATGGGAGCTGGCATTGCACAACTCTGCCTGCTAAAAGGTTATAATGTATATTTAAAGGAAGTTGAATTTCATTATTTAGAACGCGGATTAAAGCGCATTAGAAATGAATTATTCGGAAAATTGGTTGAAATTGGTAAAATGACTGAACAAGAACGAGACGAAATTATGCAAAAACAATTAGAATCTGGATTGGGTATGTATCATCATTAACAATTATTTTGTTTGACATTCCAATTTAAAGAATATGAGCCTCTCGAAAACTGTCAAATGGTTATCGAAGCTGCATTGGAGAGAGTGGATATTAAAAAAGAAGTATTAGAAAAAGCTCAATCTCTAAATAAGAACATTATATTTGCAACGAATACTTCTTCCATTCCTCTCACATCGATTGCAGAAGAAAGTGAATTCAAACAAAATGTTATTGGACTTCATTTCTTTAATCCTGTACACAAAATGCCTCTTGTAGAGATCATTTGTACTCCCTATACCTCACAAGAAGTATTAGCTCGATGCTATCAGTAAGTAGTTGGTGACAATCGATGTGAAATTCTTAATGATTGAATTAAACAAAAACAAGGCTTGCATTGGATCTTGGAAAACTCCCAATTGTTGTCAACGATAGTCCAGGATTCTTAACAACTCGATTGTTTGCAGTGTACTGCTTAGAGGCTACCAGCATTGTGCTTGATGGAGTACCTTTTGAAGAAATAGATAAACGATTACAACAATTTGGTTTTGCTGCAGGTCCTTTAAGCACCCTCGATCATAGTGGTCTTGATATTGCTGTTCATGTCATGCCTATCATTGCAGGAAAATTAAATCTCAAATTTGATCATTATGAAGCGTTGAGCGAGTTAGTGAAAGGAGGAAATGTTGGAGTCAAGAATCACAAAGGATTTTTCCTTTATGATGAGAATGGAAGACAATTAGGTCCAAATCCAGAAGCATTAAGAATTATTGCAAAACATCAATCAAAGAGAGAAAGAAGAGTTAATATGGCTACCATTATTGATGACCTTATTGACAGATGTATTTTAACTCTGATCAATGAGGCTTCGAAATGCATTGAGGAAAATATTGTGTCATTGCCAGAAGCCATTGACTTATCCCTTATTCTGGGTTTTGGCTTTCCTCCTTTTTTAGGTAAGTCTAGTCCATCTTTTCTTCATAGAATATTCGTTTGTCATGATCATTTGTTCCACATAGGAGGTTTATTAAACTTTGCAGATAGGTTGGGCATTGCGAACATTGTACAAAGGTTGGATGAATTAACAGAACGATATGAAACTGTGAAGGCTCCTTGCAGATTATTGATAGATATGGCAAACTCAAATCATCATTTCTTCCCTGAACGAATGGTGATTCATAACATCCTTGACAGCCAAAGAAAACAACAAAACATTAGTAAACTTTAAACTATTCTTCTCCTAAGCCTTTTACTCTTTATTAGAAATCCTCACTTTTTAGAAAAAATTAAGCCATGTGGATCTTTTGTTGGAATCATCTCTTGAATCATCTGTGAATACAATGTCAAAAGGAAAGCTTTTTCCATTCACTGATGATAAATTTTCTTCTGTAAGGCCAGGCAAATGCGGTATATCTTCATGTGCTGATTGTATTATTAATACCAATCGCTTCCTAAGTTGTTCCTGTAATTTGGAAACATCAGGAGGAAGAGTAGGATTATTAGGACTATTTAACATTTTGCCTTGAATATCCGATTCCTTCTCGTTCGACATAACCTTAACTAGAGGAAATCCTTCAAATAAATGATTCCATTGAGTGTTCCAAGAAATTTTGAATGGTATGTTCCATGATTCAAAAGGGACCTTCTCTTCTCTCTTTCCTCCGAAAAAACTATAAAAACTAGAGTCTGCTTTTTTAAGAGTATAGTATTTAACTTCAAAATTGAAGGACTTGTAAAGAATGCTTTCTGGTAGTTTGATAATCGGAGTGGCGGATGGAGTTTTCTTGGTGTTTGTTGTTGGGGTGGATGGAGTTTTTGTACAACTAGGTGTGGAAAAGAAATTTTCAGACAAATTCATACAGGCCTTGAGAAAATTCTGAAACGATTCAATGACTCTTTGTGTATGTTGTGATATCGTTTGATTTAATTCCTTTTCATCAATACTAGGCTGTTGAATTAAAATCGGAAAATATCATCACGATGAAAAATAATCGAGTTGCCTTTCACAACAACTTACATAACTAATTTGGTCCAAAACTTCACAATCTGTTCCGAGTGGGTAAATTTCTCCAAGAGCTCTATGAAATGTTATGGTAGATAATATAGACTTGATACAGTCTTTAATAATTAACGTTTGGTCTGAAAACAGCAGTTTTCCCTTGTGTTTATGATCCGGAACTACTAATGGTAATTGAATATTTAGCTCTTGAGAGTTGTGTACTTTTCTGTTCATGATACAATATTGTACAAAATTATTGCTAATTGTTTTTATATTTACAAGGATGACAAAACGGTCGGTCGTAATTTCTCTCAAAAGTTTTCCTCAATTTGTTGCAAATAAATTATTGTTCTATTCTAAACGTGTTTTCGGATGCGTATACGAATTCCGAAAGCAACGTTGTTGAGCCGAGATTCGGTTGAAGCAAATACAAAGCGCTTGTCGTTTGTTGTTGTTAAAATTTTTTTAGTCTATTTTTGAACACAAAAAGGAGGCAAACAGTTGGCCAAAGAAAGACGGATGGTCGAATTTCTCAACTCTTAGATGGGAATTTTGGAAGCTTTTTAAAGAATGGCTCGACATGGACGTGATTATTCTTGAACAGAGATTCTTCCTGGTTGAATTAAACCTGAAGCAGTTCAAAATGTGTCTGAAAAGCTTTTGCTCTTAGCTGTCGAGATGCAGTTCATCTGATCAGACCAATGAGTCAAAATGAATGGGTGGCCATTCTCAAGTTTTCAAATTCCAATTCTTTTGGAAGCTGGACTCTCATCAGACGAAAAGAAGAACGTCCTAAGAGCTCTTTTGCCATCGATGCAAAGTACGTATGCAACATCAGCATTTTGTTCAATTTTATCTTCAAATAAAATTGTAACTGTGCACAAAATTTGTGACCTGGTTTACAAGTTCCAGTTATTTTTGAGACATGACAAAAAAAAGCCTGAACACACCTCTTGCCATCTTCTTCTCTTACTACACAATGCCTCTTAGGACGGTGAATAGGCACGAAAAGAAGAATAGCAACTCCGTGCTGAAGCGAAAATACTCCGATTTTGAAGATCATGATGAACCATGTGATGATATTATGATGAACAATTGCTGGCTTCCGATTGCGCAATATCAGCCACTGGTAAACACAGAATCGGAATTTCCGGAAATAACACCATTTAACGAGCTGTTGGACACCACCACTGAATCCAGCTTGAAGAAGACTAAATTATGGACAACGGATGTTAAGTCTGCAGGAATAATCGAATCAATTTTTGTAAATAATAACTTTAACACGAATAATGCTAAGAACACACACAACTCCGCAACAAATATAATTAGAGAACACTTGAAATTGAATTACGAACGTTTTGAAGAAGTTGAAGTAACAGAAGAATTCGAAATTTTCAAAGCAACAAGAAAATGTGACCACAAATTTTGCAGAGTAATCGTTTCAAAATGCGTCTATCCACATGTGGAAAAAGAAAATATTATCAAATTGATGAGTCACAAAAATAAGCACATTACTGAGATTACCAATTTTGGTTTTATTCAGCAATTTCCTTGGTTTGAATGCAAATGGTATAAGGATGGATGTTTAGCCAACATTATCAAACGAGGAGAGTACATCTCCGAGGTCAATATAATTAACATGATTTATGGATTATTAGACGCTATTCTCTTTCTAACAGAAAATAGAATTTTATTTAGAGATTTAAATCCACACAATGTCATGATTGTAAAATCAAAATTTGAATACGAAGCATTTCTGAGTTTAGAATATCGAGGCCACGACCCACACTTTACTCAACCTTTATCACCAAGCATGAAGGCACTTGGAGAAATAATTTTTATGCTAATTTCTAGAAAGAAAAGCCCTCCACTCTCAATTCAACGAGAAGACCTAGTAGAGAGTATCTCGGGTCTCTACAGTGAGAAAATTATTGATTTATCCCTTCTGTTGATGTTTTCTGACCTCTCTGTCTATGAAATCTTGCAGCTCATTCACGAAATGAGGACTCTCAAATAGTTTACAGCCTTTCAACTGAATCATTAATTTTTGCCAACATAAAAGTCAATAATTCCATGTTTTTCACAATAAGAGATACAAACTAACATTTTTGTAAAATTCCTCTTCATCCATTGCTAAATGAAAACAAAAGTATTTTTCTATCCCACAATGGCAATAACCGTGCAATAGCTCATTACTCGTTAAAAACTGATAGTTCGTACTTGAACTCGAGCAATGCGACATTTTCCAATAAATCGACATTCAACGGATGACGAGAAGCAGCAGGGCTAAAGGAATCAACGACTTGCTCAGCGATACAGCATCCAAGATATGACAAGTTCACAACAACAATTTTGTATGAACTTGCTCCAAAACAACACATTGGGTAATTCCAAATTAATATTTTGTTGACGAGATCGTTCTCTTCAAACTTGGGTTCATTACAGGAAATCACTGAAATGTGCAGAAGAAGCCACTTGTTGGTAGTCAAATTTTTGGTTTTCAGAATCACGTAAATGAAAGACCCTATAACAACGTGGTTCACTTTTAGCCTTATTGCATGACACCGCCGTTCCAAAAATCGCTCAGATTCAAAGCCCGTTCCAAACCAAGTACAACGTTCTTGATTCCATGTGATTCGATGAATCAGCAACGCTACGCAGTTGTTTGATGCAAATTCTCATAACAGCCATTCAGCGATCCTCAGCAAAAAAAACTCCCAAGATCAACAACTGCACGATCATATCAATTTTCTTTTGCTATTGAAGTTTGTTACATAGAAGAGCCAACTTCTAAATAGGAGTTATTTATATCTGATCATTTGATTCTATCAACCATAACTTGTTCTCCTCCTTGTTCTACCAAGAATTTGGTCGCAATCGCTGATTGCACTTGTAGGTCAACTCGGAAGTACAACCAGTGTCGAGTAAGTTGAGCTAGCGTTAGTGAGGTTCTAACTCGTGGTCGTCACGATGATCGATGTAAAGATATCCACTATTTGAAATTCTCAAGCCACACCGATCGATTCATTCATCACTGAAATTCATCACCCATACTCGTTTTGGGTTTGTACTATCATATGCCAGTCTTCTAATTGAATAATTGTTCTAAAAATCAATCATCAACACACCGCTTTATCCCAAATAACGAAACATTCATCACCTGTTTGCATTCTGACTAGTTCTTCTTCTTTCGTTGTATATACAACACTCACATTAATTCTCCTCACTATCATATTTATATTTATACATCCCAACCTTGTCATTATTTGAAAACCCGAAACAACAACTCATTGATAACACCTCATTTGAAATGACTCCTTCAAAACAAAAGGCTTCCTTACCAATGTCTCAATGCATAAACCCAAACATCTCTCTTGATCAAAATTGTACAACATTCAGTTCGAACGCAGCACTGCTGTGGCTAGCTCCTGAGAATGAGACTGCTATATCCAGAAGGAACAGCACTGGGTCAGCTCAGCCACCTCATCACTCAACGGTTGTTGGCTCTCCATCATTAGTGTCAACGAACAATAACAACAACAACATGAATCCACCCACACACACTGCTACATTGAACCTCAACAAGGGTAGTGTTGAACAACAACACCTCATGAACGATCAATCCTTCTGTTCCTTGTTATGCGAAACGTTCCCTCACTTGATAAGTCCTGAAGTGGTCTTATCACCTCCATGCAGCAAAACAAGCTGCGAAAAACATCACCATTCAAACACAACAACATCCTCTCTTTTAAAGTTAGATGTTGAGAGCCTTGCCAGAGAGTTGAGAGCAATGAATTTCATGGAAGGCGTCGAATCGAATAACGAGTACGACCAAGCAGTCGATACTGTCATCTCGTCTTCTCCTCACCAATTAGCCTCCAACTCTACATCCACATGTGGTTGGTCGCAACCAAAGCAGTCTTCTTCTTCTTCACTCTCAATACCCACATTGACCGTGACTCCACAATCCTCTCCCGAACCAGGTTCTTCTTCATTCAGCATGAACGACCTAGATGCCAATGTGTTATCCGAGATATCTGGGATCTTGAGCTCTAAACACGGCAGTCCAAGAAGAAGATCCAAATCAGACTCAGGAAGATCTCCACAACCAACCAGCAAAGATAAAAAAACAAAGAACAGCAAAAGATCAAACAGTGAAGATGATCATCAAGGATTACTGGTATCACCCTCCTTCATACAGAAGGAAAAAAAGATGGTGCAAATGAGAGGTGACAAGTGGTTAATCCACGTCGAGGACGGAAAGAAGAAGGAAAAGAAACACAATAACACCAACAGTGAGCTTGTTTTCCACACAGTTCATTTTGTTGACAGCCACAGAAAGGGTACACCTGAAAAGCATTGAATTGCTTCTATGTAATGGAGCAGCTGTCAAGATTGATCACTGATATTTTGAAAGAAATATCGCTGCTGTCATTCGTCCCAAAGGGTGTGTATTTTTTTTGTAAATATTTTGGTCAACATTACTTGTAGACATAAACTATCCTGTTCGGAAATGACCCTCCATAATCGATCAGGATACATTTCCATCTCAAACCTCTTTTGATCAACATTTTCCAAGATTTAATCTCCATCGTAAATGAGTGACGAGTGCTGCAATTAGCTTCAGAACATCTCACCTCCAAAAAAATGTCGGTTAAGGCTTCTTCGTTCTTATTCACGATCTGCCTTATTTCCGTTGTTGTTTTTTGTTGCAAGTATTGCCAGTCTGGCACTGTAACAACGACCAACAACACACTAAAATACTTTGATGAACTGGAAAAGTACGGAAAGGATTTACGAAATTACACAAATTTAAGCGCCTCCCTTAACAATCTTCCTTTCGAAAAAGAAGCAAGGAGTTTAATACAAAGCGTTTTGAACAAGGAGGAATCCCTATGGAAAGAATTTGCTTCAGCAAGAACGCGATTGATGATCAGCAGAAAAACAATTGAGGATTTGCGGTCCGAATTGCCAAAGGCTGATGATGAACACAAGCTCATCAAACACTTAGATTATATCGTTCAAGAAGAGATCAAAGTAGATGATGATGATCTCTCTGAAATGTTGACCTCCGCAGAGGAATCCACCCGAACATCACAGGATGATATTAAGGAGCTTCTTCAGGAACAACATCAAGACCTCGAACGATACAACGAACAATATTTGAAGAAAGTTGTCATGTACGAATTCGGATTGGAGTCCAGGAATAGAACAATCTCTACAGTCGCTTCGGTTTTAAAAGATCACTCCTTTAAGACAGCGTTTGAAATGTGTAAAGCGGTCGCAAAGGAGCTCGCAACTGAACTACAAATTAGCTGCAAGAAATTCAAGAAATCTGCGAGTAGATCTAGTAAATTTACATAATCAAGTTGATCAATTCATTTCATTTCACGTGTTTGTCTCAATCTCTCTCGATACGAGGAGAGACAGCATTCAGCTCGGCATAAAAATGTGAAAGAATCGACGGTGATAGGATTCAACTGTGTATCGACTCCTTGATTGATAATGTCGTGCAACAAACGGCAGTCTTCGTATAATTTTTGCCAACCACTTTTCAACTCCATGTTTTCTTCTACCTGCTTTAACTTTAGTGAGGCGTTTTGAGTTGATTGTAAAATGGCCAGCATGGATTCGTTGAGAGTTTCAATGCTTTTTTCGCAGTCATGAAGTAAATCAACCAATAAAGGCATGAGATTGATCTTAATAAACTCGACTTTCTTCCAATATTCCTCTTCTACCTTATTTTGTGGCCAATATCGTATCGTTTCCAACTCTACAAGAAAAGAATTAGGGTTGTTCTCTTCTTGTTTTCCAAACGAGTCATGTGAATCACCTTCGTCTACTTCCAATTCAGTGGATTCGTCACTCTCCATCCTTGGGCTACTGTCTATTTGATGATATTTGGTCTTTTTACTCGATGAAGAGGGAGAGTTTGACTTTCTCTTTGTTTTTGAGGTGTCAATACTTGGTGACGTGTGTCCAGAAAGCTCTGTATTGTCTTCAATAACTTTAACTAAATTTCTAGTGTCCAAACTCTTTGTTCTGGCCTCCCTGTTTCTTTCTATTAAATCTTCAATTTCTTTTTCAGTCATTGAGGCCAATCTCTCTTTTAATTCATTTCGTTTACAAACATTCTTGTATCGATTTGAGAGTTGAATATCAGGGAAAAATCCTTCATATTCCTTTTGTGCGATGAGTGACCACTTTTTGTCATGTTTGTTACAATAATGAAGCAATTCCAAGTCTTCTTCATCGCTCCATCTGTGCTTTTTAGCATTAAGGGTTCGATGATATCGTTGATATAAAAAGTTAGAGGTATATTGATTGTTAAACAATTTACGATTAATTTCTTTCCATTGAATAGGACTATTATTTTCTGTATATTGTCGAACAGCTTCAATGAGCATCATGTCCTGTTCTTTGGTGAGCGTCAATTTCTTCTTTTTTTTCTTGTCATCGACTTCTTCAGGATGAGGTGAGGAGGTTGACTTTTTTGACGATCGTCTATTGCGTGTGGATGATTTTTTGTCTGTTTGTTGTTGTGGATCGGTAGTAGTAGTAGTAGTAGTGATGAAATCCTCAACCATGGTTGTTGAAGGAGAGGAAGGTAGGTTCTCTTTCGAGAAGGGAGTGCTCATTGGCAAGGTAAATGATGACGCAGGAAAGGAAGAATTTCCAGCATTCAACGTCGACTGAATATTAGGATTGATCATGATGATGTGTTGTTGATGATGATGAATGTATTCATTGCTCGGATCTGATCGTGAAACGTTTTGCAAAGATGATGATATATTTACAAAAAGTATTACAAAAAAACAGGGAGAGTAAAACTGTTGTTGTTGATACAAATGCTAATAGATCAATTATTGGGTGCTCACAATGAGTGTGTGATCGGTGATGATGGTGAGTTTCTTTGATTTCTATTTACAATAATATTTCTTCTTGCTCACAGGAGAGTGTGTGATGCGAGAGAAAAAAGTGCTGCCAATTTTGTTTGTGGTTGTATAAATGAAAGGATCCAGTGGTGATGATGATGATCCTACAAATGAATATTGAAACGGTCCTTTCACTACCTGTCAAACCACATGAAGATGATGCGGCATCGTGCACTAGACTCTGTCATTCGCGTGTGTGGGGAGATTTCGCCCGTCCGTCCAACTTTAAAGATTCCCGCTTTTGAAAATGTACAGAAAGAAAAAGACGCAACAATTTATAGAGAGGTACAGAAGAAGAAAACATGATGTTGAGGAAGGGAAGTACATCATCGTCCAAGATGGGAACGAGGACATGGCAATCGGAGGCATCCTCTCTCGAGACGGTGGGTGTGGTTTCATCAGAGAGAAAACCATCGTCATCATCGAAAATAATATCATCAAAAACATCATCTCATTCAAAACAAGTTTCATCAAAACCAACGAGTAGTGGAAATCAACGAAAAGCATCTCCTCAAACAGTTGAAAATGTATTGGAACAGTCAAAAAAGAATTCAGTAATTTCTCAAGCAAAACAAAAAGCACATGAAACGACAAACAATGTTGACAAACTCGCTCTGGAAACTGTAATTTTAGAAGAAGAATTAAAACGATTGAAATTTAATATTATGAAAGAAAAGGAAAATTGGAAAAATGTTCCGTAGGTAGTATTTTGCGACATTAAAAATTAATTAACCCTTAAAACAAGAAAACAAGGAATTTGGAAAAGCTCACAAAAAATTCGAGAAAATATATCAGGACAAACAGTTGCTTCACCATTAATACCATCGAAGCCCAAGAGTTCACAACGTGAGACTAGGCCGTCGTCATCAAGTTCAAGTTACAACAGTGACGAAGGAAAAATTATTAAAATAAGGTCGTCGGTAACAAATTTTCAAGACCTTGGAGTCAAAGCGTGCAACAATGAACTTCCACCATCCCTTAAAACGAAACCCATTCCTGGAACCATCTATGAGGAAATTTGTGAAATACCAGATTCGTCGAATCAGCAACCAGTTCAAAAACAAACAAAACTGGCGGAAGGTGAATATGATGAAGCTCTTCAACAGAGATTGTTTCAAGAAGCAGTTAGGTCTTGGCGAGAAGGGAATTCGGACGCAAAAATTCAAGAGTCACCAGCAACAAGTAGTACTCCTCTCAGAGATGGGACCTATGATGAAGAACTTCAGCAAAAGTTATTCAAGGATGCTGTAATGGCATGGCGAGGAGAACAACCACATGTCGTAAAAGCTCCAACGAGCAATGCGGAAACATCCTCCGATCCGTTTGTGGAAAAGAAATCAAGTGGTCTATCCATGTTCCAGACTGAGTTTGTGGAAAACTTATGTAATGCAACAAGATATACCTACTTTGACAAACATTTTAGAAAATAAATTTGTTATGCACATTTAATTCATTCTCTTTTTTCTAATGTCTGCAATTTTCATCTTCTTTTGGAAGGCAAGTGTGTTCTTGAATCGCTGATGGATGTCTAGCATGACAATAGCAAGTTCTGTTTGCAACTTGTCGAAAAGTTCATCTGGAAGATGATCGTTTTGTCCAGTATTGAAATGATCCAACTTGGTCTTGACCTCCTCACAAGAAGAGCGAGTGATGTTGAGAGCTTTTTCACCGTTTTCGTCAACAAATTCTGTGAATATTTCAAAAGCAATTTCATACTTTTTCTTTTCAACCTCTTCTAACTCGATTTCTAATGCTGTCTTCTTCTTTGGTTGATCTTGCATCTCCTTCTCTCCTGAGGAAGATGAACTAGTTTGATCGAAAAGACGCTCTTGAAGATCATAGGATTGGTTACAAAATTCCTTATACATGGCGACCTTTTCTAAAAAGTCAAAAGATTCAACAGCTTTTTCTTGCTCGCAATGTTTTCTGAATAATTGACGAAGAGAAGGATCTGCCATGGTATCCAACAACATGATGGCATTGGCTTTCTTTAGTCTCTTTTGTGATATTCCTTCTCTATTGATTGCAAGGATGAATACTGTCAAAACAATAGGTACAACGAATAAAACAGAAGTACCAATGAGACCCAAGTTTACAGAACTAGCTGTCAATAAATAATCATTCTTGTTTCTAGCCAAGTCTTTGGCATATGTGAGCAAATTACTCACTACACTTTTCCATGCCAAAGATGTAGATGTGAAATTCTTACTTTCAATCAATTTAATGGCTTCTTTTTGTTTTCCAGCCAGCAATAAATCAACAGCAACTTGTTCATAGGGATTTACAGGAATATTTGATGAATTAAAGTAAGCACTTCCATTCAATAATGTGAGAAAAACATTAGGTGGCAGAGCGTCCACAATTGCTGCAATAGCTGATGTTGCTTTTTCTTTAGTGGACTTCCATCTAGGGATATATGGGTTTGTAATGTTGCTATAGACTGCAATTTTAAGAGAACTTGCAGCCACTTCACTGTACAAATTGGCATCAGCTCTCAGAATTAACAATTCGACTTCGTTAGTAGTTGAAACTGGGAAGGCAATACTAATCACTACAGCCATAGCAATAAAAGCAGCAATATTCACAAGCATACCAATAATGGATAACACTCGAATGCAATTCAGTTCAACCGTGCCACAACAAGTGTTCACAGCAATTTCTTCAGATTTGGATGTCTTGCTTGTTGCTTTGCTTTGTAATGAGAAAACGGTTCTAGTTTCCATGATCACGCTTTGTGATTCCGCCTTTGTTGTGACATCATTTGCGGAAGTAACCTTCTTAATAGACACTGACTTTTGGCTGGCACCGACAGCGCTGTTAACTTTTGAGAGTGGTTGAGCGACTTGGTCGATCAGGTTTGCACCTGAAAATTCTTTCTTCATTTGTTGAATTTGAGGAGACCGACAAATGAATTCAGCCTCGGCGCATGTGGAAAGGATATCATCTCCACCGTTGCTACTATGGCTGATGATATTGTCAGTGTTGTGGTGTTGTTGTTGTTGTTCAGTAGTATTATTGAGTGGTTCATGAATAATAATTACAGATGTGGTTGTGTTGGTAGGGTCGGATGAAGGATTCGTCGTTCGATCACAATCAGCACCCACAAATGTCTCCGACGGTAGTGTGGATGTACATGTCGTTGTTTGGTTTTCTGCCTTTGAAAGTTCTTCTTCTTTATTGATATCCAAAACCACATTAGGGTCATCATTGGAAGGTGTGCAAGTTGAAGGAATGTTAGTGGTGGACATTTGAAGAGTGATGTCTCTGTATTACTATTAACGAGGAATTTCGGTGATGGAGTGTTTGAAGAGAGAAAGCTGCTCTGTTTAGAGTGAATATCTAGGTTTTGGAGTTGTGGAGTTTTTTGTGTGTGTGAAAATGCTTTGTGATTTCGAAAGGTCATTCTCAAAACAAATTCCGGTAAAGGCTGAAGTCTGATTTGTGGAGAGACAAATATTTGCATACCTAAAGTAAAAACCAATTTCCATTCATTTATCATTGTGAGAATGCTTGAACGAGTTTGGTAAGTGTCCAACAATTTCGTTGCGGACCATCTCAAATGTCGACATGTGTGAAATGCACTCAGTGGAAATATCTTGCTATAAATTGGCATTCTACTCCAAACCAATACATTCGCGCACACACACATTAAGGAAAGAGAGCACTTGGAATGTGTTAAAAGTAAATAAAGAAAAAGCCCACTACAATAAATACGTAAACAAACACCAGACTCAATCCATGGAAGTAATTTGAACGTCCATCCCTTGAAATTATATTCAACATCAAAACAGAGAAAAATATGGCCAACAAATTGAAAAGAGGAAACTCTAGAGAGAACACCATTTTCTGATTGCCTCCAAAGAATAAAAACGACCCAAGAACCAATATTGGAATTTGCAGAAGAGAAATTTGAATAGCTGCAACATTGCCAATTTCAAGTGCCAACGTCACATTGTCATTTAAAGCAAACTATTGTGTCAAAGAATTATTGAATACAACACCAATGTGAACTAAATCAAGTAGAGCCACAAAATACTTACTTGAATGGCATTCAGAAATTCTCCAAGAGAAGGTAAAATCGCTACGAATGTCAATCCAGCAAATTGAGAGTTTACGCCAATACTGTCAAAAGCAGGCTCTAGAGATGAGGTCATCACTTCAGCCACAAAACTGTACGCGGCTGTGCACACTATTAACACAAGTATTGCTATCCAAATTGGCCATATACCATCTTCCATTTCTTGATGCTCTTCTTCTTTCGGTTCGTGTCCTTTTGAATGAAGCTGCTTGATCGGTTCCTCTTCTTCTTCACTATTGTTGTTTGTTTCTTCATGTTTTTCTGTGGCAGAGTTGTCACGACTCTTTTCAGGTGCGCTTGCTTCGTTTGATGAAGCAGGCTCTCCTGAAAAAGCTTTCTTTGGTGGCTTTTGCATTAAAAATCTATTAAGTAATAAGAAAGTTGTTTAAATAAACTCAGAGTTGTGTCTAGCTACTTACCTGTGCGTCCTTAGACTGTATATTAATCCAAAAATGTAAGCAAAGGGAAGAATTATGGCCGTAGTGAATGCCAATGGTCTAACCTTATTTTGGTACAACGGTTCATGAATAAAATCTTCTAAGGAAAGGTCACAGCCAACACATCTAATACTGTAGGTGCTGTTAGTGTGATTAGAAATTGGTGTGAAGTTTGATACTTGCAAAATGCTAGGTATCGCAAGGAGTGTGTGAAATGAAGAGACTTTTGCGATTTCTTCTGTGGCATATGGAACAATTTCAATATCCTGGCCATAAATTGTGCTAATGGATTGTTTCTTTGTAATGTCTGAAACTCTCTTGCCATGCAAAGTAGTCACATGTTTTTTGTACTTTTTTCCGTAAAGCTTTTTAAAGGTTGTTTTAGCTTTCTCTACCCAGCTCCAATCCTGGTTTGAATTTGCACTTTTCAGGTACATCAAAGAGTTAATTGACAAATCCGGCTCCTCAATCGTGCGGTTATAGGGAAGACCGCTTAAACATTGTCCACACCTCAACTCTTGTGCGCCGAAAAAGATGAAATACACACATGGTAAGAAAGCTCCTACGACGGCGATAAAAAGTAAAATAGAAGATACACCTGCTGCGTATCGATTAAAGTATTGTTCTCTGTACCTTAGTCCTCCAAAAACCATTGAAACGCCAGGTGTTAACAAAATTGCTGCCAACAAAGCTCCAGTGATTGATTGCATAACAACTCCTTGTAACTCCTTATACAATGCCAAGAAATATAAAATCAATTCAATAATGGTACCAAATGTCGCATTAATCATGGAACCAAATATAAAGCTGGTTTGAGCAACAATGGACTCAACACAATGTCCAATGATTATTGCCAAAGGCATTGCACTCACAATAGAAAGTACGAATATGAGCATACTATACTTGGAGGATAATTCTTCATCCAATCCATAATGCAGACCTAAGGTTATAGGTATGGTAATTAATAAATTAAGAAGGGGTACATTGATAGAGAATAGTCTCCATTTGAAAGCTGAAAACGAAAAAGGTGATGTCATTCGAATAGAGGAATCATCTTCTGAGGAATCATCACTCGTTGTAGTTGATTCGCCATTGATAGATCGATCCAATTTCTCATTCTTAACTATTATTCCATGTCTAAATCTAAGAAAGAACATATTTTTGTTGATATTGAAAATTAACTTTGATATTGGGCAAGAAATTACTGGAAACCAGCATAATACGGCAATAAATCCTTGTATGAATGTCAAAGGAAGTCCGAATAGCATAAACCATATCACATGAATGGCTTTCTTAGATCTTGGTTCGCTTGTGGAGTGATTACTAGTGTCATCACTGAGCAAAGCTCTCTCTTCTGTTGATTTTCCATTATCAATATTAGAAAACACTAGTTTCTTCTTGAAGGGATTTAAAACAAAGAATGAAAGTCTGAACAATCCCTTTCCATACTCCATTCCAAAAATTGAGATCCAACTCAAAACTGAGAAAAAGTTGAACAGTGAAAATAATATAAATCCAATAGTAACAATATAAAAAAATCGTGTGAGTGACAGGATAATAGACTTAATTTGTTCATATGCTTTTCTGAACGCCATTTTGGCTCTATATGCAAATTTTTGCTTGTCTTCCTCGCTCATCTCAGTATCTTCAACTGGACCTACTTCATCCATCTCATCTTCTTCGGTTCCAATAAACGCACCTCTCTCATGGTCGTAAAATGCAAAATTGTGATGTGGTTCTTCGTTCCCAAAGTCAAATACCGATTTCATTCTTCGAATTGAGTTTCTATTGAGGGCATATTAATAAGAAATTGAGGTAATGGTATTAATGTGCCAAACGTTGAATGATATTAAAAGACATACTTACCTTCTTTTCATTTCCATTGTTTTGTGCTTTTTTGATGAAGTAGGAGTGGTCAATATCTCTCCATAAAAAGACAAGGAAGGTCTCATGGGTTTTCGTGTGAAATTAGATCTTGTGACTGAACGAACAAGTGAAGGAGGAGTATGTTCTTTTTCAAAAGACGATGTTGGCACAAAGGTTTTTGAGCTTTTCAATTTGCCAACTGGGGAAGGTGTTGCCTCAGTTTCTTCGTCCAAATCCATCAAGCCTACGGAGGTGGTTCGGATGGTGATTGTGGATGATGCACGATCGTTATTCTGTGGGTATTCTTCTGAGCCATCGTGTTCTTCATCGGAGACTTCATCATCATCATCCTCTAAATATTTCATTCGGAGAGAATTGCTGGCCATTAAATTCTTCGGAGGAGTTCTTGGAATGAAGGATGATTCATCACCTTCTCGCATTGTTGAATGAATCGAGATTGGCTTGGTAATTGGTTCTCCATAAGCATCTTCCTTGAATGTTATTGCTTTCTTTCGTTGTCTGGTTTGCTCCTTTGATGAAGGGGTTGTTGCCGTCGTGTTGGCACCACCACTTTCATCTGCTGTGTCGTGGCTGGAAGCAAATGTAATACGCGCGTTCTTTTTCTTTGAAGACTCGGAAGACGGTGAAGGGTTGTTGTTGGAAGGACTTTCTTGGCAATTGCTCCTCATCTTGAATACCAATCTGATGGCACAGCGAGGGATTGAGATGCCACAATAATGCTGTGGGATGTCTTTTTTCAAACAAGAAAAAAACAATGAAGAGGTTCCTCATGCTCGTGTTTGCTCCTCAAAATACCGAAAAAGGGTCTGTGGAATTGTTTTGGGAAGGTTCTTTTATTTTGGCCTTGTTTTATCTATTCTTCGTTGTGAGGAAGGCGCTTCACTCTAACACCTCTGCCACGAGAGCTAAATCCACCTCTTTCCGAATGATGATGAGCGTTATGAAGGTGGCCTTGGTGAGTGTGATGAGGGTTGTGATGATGAGTGGATGATCCACTTTCCCCAAGAACCGTACCTTCTCTTCCTTTTCCTCTACCTCTTGATCCAGGAGGGAAGTGTGGTCTTGTAGTTGGGGGAACATGTGGTTGTTGGGGTTGTTGCTGAGAGGCAGTCGATGAAGAGGATGTTGCTGGAGAAGAAGATGGAACACTCTTCTTTCTGCTCTTCTTTTGCATGGTTTCAATAATATTCTCCATTTGTTTCACTTGAGCACTGACAGATTGTAACACGGCTGATGTTTTCTCGTTCAATTTCGTATTTTCCTTGAATGCATTTTGTGAAGCAGCAGTTTTGCTATGTTTTTGAATCAATTTTGGTGAGAAGGTAGGATTTTTCAATTCTTGTCCAAATTCCCAAATGTTGTAACACATAATTTCAATAGGCACTTGGCCTAAATTCACATCCAAATCCACTAATATCTTTTTCAAAGGAACAAGCTCAATGGTTCTTTTGTAAGGGGACCATGCAGTGCTAACCTTGTCGGAAGATGGTTGTTCTAAACTTGTCGTTGTGGTTATGGTTTGTTTCGTTTGATCTTCATCGAGATCCACCACAGATGCAGTTGGATTCGTTGAAGACACCGACCAAGTGATGGTTAATTTTTCGATAAAGGATCCTCCAAGATGGCCCTCTTCATCTGCATTTTCTGAGGCAATACTCAATACTTTACGAGGTACGATGCTTTCTATTTCTTTCTCTTCAAGGTTGATCGTTGTTGGTGTTGGAGAAAAGTGTTTCATGGCATTAACTTGCAACTCTAGTCCATACTTTGGAACGTAGATGGTGAAACTTCTTTTACCCAAAGAAAGAACAACTGCTTCCACTCTTTCTACTGAGGCTGAGAGAATGGGTAAAAGATAATAAGCCAGATATTGCTTTTCACACTCGTCCTGGAGTAGTCTTGCTCTGTATGCTTGGTCATTCAAATGCTCAGCAATAGATGACAATTCATGAGCAGAGAGAGAAGCCTCTCTACTTGCCAAGATTTCTTCTTTGGACACTCCTAGTTCTTTGAGTCTATTTTCTTTGATCATTTGAAGAAGACATCTGTGCACAATCAAGTCAGCATAACGACGAATGGGGCTTGTGAAGTGGGTATAAAATTCTTTACAAAGCGCAAAATGCCAAGTATTCTCAAATTTCTTCTTTGGTATTAATCTTTTAGTGAAGTCTGAATGTGAAAGATCTTGTTCTTCATCATCACTTGATTTGCTCTTCTTGCAATCTCCAACAGTAGCATATTGAGCTAATTGCATTTCTCTCAACAACATGTGTTGAATGGTGTGCATGAGCGTCTCATGTTCTTTAGCATTTTCGATGAGTAAATTAATCACATATTGAATGGTCACAGGCTTTTCGTTTTCTTCTAAACCTTTTGTACGTTGTCTGATGCACTTCTCTAGCAAGTCAAGAACAATAGCTTTTTCATTTTCGGCTTCAGTTTCAATTCCTTGTTTAACAACATTCTCAATTTTCCATCTGCAAATACGGTCAGCAAGCATAGCTACAGTTACAGCCCATTTGTCAATTTTTGGAGAAGAGTGCACTCTCAAGAGAGTAGCATCACCAAAATGTTCATACAATGCAATAGCGGCCAGTTCATTTGCAACTAACATCATCTCTTCGATAAGAATGTGAGACTCATTGTGTTCATCACATAGTACCTTGAGAGGAAACCCCTTTCCGTTCATATCGCATTCAAAATTCAATTGCTCGTTCTTAAGAAAGACACTTCCTTTTTCAGCTCTTTGTTGTCTTAATTTTTGGCTCAGCTCATTGAATATTTGAATATCTTCGTAAATTTCATCCAACGTGAAAGTGCCATAGGTTGCTGGTACCTCATCTACTTCGAGTCCAAATTTGACTTTTGGATCAGATCCAACAAAGCCATTGAACTTGTTCTTATTGTAATGAAGAATCATCTTTTGAGCTCTATTGTAATCGAGTCTGCAACAAGATCGCATCATACATCTGTTAAACTTGATCGATTCCTTATCAATTTCACATGTCTCTCTATCAATGATAAACTCAACAGCAATTGCAAATCGGTTAACACCTCCATGCAACGAACAAAGGTTTTGAGATAGAGACGGATCAAGCATATGTTCCACACTATTGATCATGTAAACACTTGTACCACGTTTTCTTGCTTCCTTATCTATTGGTGAGTTCAGAGGAACAAATTGAGAAACATCAGCAATAGCCACAGTAACCAAAAACTTTTGAACATTCTCATATGACTTTCTGTTCAAATCTGTGATTTTTGGAATGTTTTGTTCATAAATAGGTTCAATAGCGATAGCATCGTCTAAATCTTTTGAATGCGTTGGGTCAATGGTGAAAATGCGTCTCGATTGTCTCCAGTCTTGAACTTGAATTAAATTGTCAGATGAGCTTCCTCTGTCAAAGTTGATATCACTGATAGTATCTCCAATATTGGAAATTGAGTTATTCATATCTTGTCTATTTTTGAGTGTTTCTGAATTTTCCTCGAGCACTGATTGAGATACCAAACTTCCTGCAACAGAGTCAGCCATCTTAACAGATTGAGATAATATAGCACTGGAACCTGTAGAAACAATCTCTTTTTCAGCCTCTCTATCTACTTTTCGCTCTGAATAAACATTATCGAACATAATTGGGCAATATTGAAGCAACAAGGCGCGCTTCAAACTCCACAAATCCTTTTTGAATCCTAAACATCCAATCAAGGATCCCTTTGGATAGTTTGAGCCCTTATCCCAAGGTTTCATTTCTACCACAAATATTCCTTCCTCAATGACATGAGATTTAGCATTAAACTTCTTTTTAAACTCTTCAAATTTAACCATTAGCTTTGGATAGGATTTTTCGAGTGGAATGAGCCATCTATAACCTCTAATTTCATCTTGAGCCATTAATGTACAAGGGAAAATCGAGGGAGACTTCTTTTTCAAGACAGCAACTACAACTCCTGTGAATATCACATTTTCTTCTGTTACTTCTACGGCTGCAGTTGATGAGATGGGTTCTACCTTATCTTCATTGGTACTTTCTTTGTTTTCTACAGTTTCCATCACTGATCCAGCAACTATCTTTGTCTTTTCAACCTTTACAGCGACAATGTCACCATGCATTGCTCGATTTCTATTCTTGAGACCATCGATGAAGATGTCTTTCTTGAATGGCCCTCCTTCCACTGTCACGTAGGCTTCTGTCATTCTCTTCTTGTTCACTCTTAATTCGCCTTGAAATAGTTCTCCTTTGTTAATCATCTCAGCAACTTGTTCAAGTTGCAAATGTTCGTCATAGCCTTTTCCGAAATCTCTCTTCATTTGATAAATATTGACAGATGAGATACCTTCTCGTTCTTCTAAAACATCATGAATAGAACCTCCGCTAGAAAGAATTTCAAAAGTTCGTCTAAACTCAGACACAATCACAGGTCCCATTTCGTTTGAAACAACGCTTCCCAAGTCACGAATTTCAAATGGATCCTCAATGGATATGATGATCTGAGAATTAGGAGAAACCTTCTTCTTTGGAATAGGTGATCCATTTCTTAAGGACACTGAATGGGTGTCAAAATTAAACTTCTTTGCATAGAATTCAAAGAACATGTACACTAAATGTCCAAGTGTGTACTTGGAAACCTTTTCAACGTCCATAGCCTTCCATAACGAAGGAAGTTTCTCTAAATTTTTGAAATATTTTGTGTTATATGCATTAATAGTATGAGGTTTGGAAATATCTTCAATGCTGACGTTATCATCTTCAGCCAGCTGTTGAAGAGATGGCAACACCTCAATTGTTTGTAAGAATTGCAAGGTCAGGAGTACATAACTGTATGAAGAAAGAGATCCAGCTGGAGGGTCATTAATATGGCGCCTCTTGGCCCATCGCTTAATAATGTAGATCAACATTTTCACCCGATCCAGCATGTAAGTATCATTAGTAGCACCATAATGAGTTAACATCTTTGGATCTACCATTAAATATGTGGAAATCATCCTAGTATTTACAACTCCCATATAGGTAGCAACACATAAATCACAATCAAGGTTTCTCTTACTATCGTGAATTTTCAATATTGGAACTCTACTGCTCCTCACAACTTCTTGATTTTGAGATTTTAAGTGAGGGAAAAGAGTACTATCGTTCTTACTTTTCCCGTCCATTTCTTTTCTAATCATTTCAAGTATTCTTCCTTGGAGTTTGTTATTTTCCTGAATGTTTTCAAGTCCTTCAAAAGAAACGCACATATCAATGTCACTGGCACCTTTCAAACTCAAATCGCTTGCGTACGACCCATACGTGTAAATCTTTGGTTCATTGAGTTCTGCTGTATTTTGATTTTGGGAAAAGAGGGTTGAGATGATTTTTGAAACTTCCTCAACAAGTTCTTTCTTGGCAAGTTTTTCCTCTTCAGATGGTTTCAGTTCAGTTTCATATAAATGAACACAATCATTTGTGAGTTGCATCATGTTCATCAATTCTGCCTCTTTTTTCAATTTTTCTGGCGATTTGAGTAATTCCTTCTCAATATTTTCAATGTCAGCATGCACAGTTTGATCCACTTCAAGTTGAGACTGAATTTCTTTTGTCACTTCTTCCAAGCGTTCTGTGCCTGTCTCTACTTCAGATTCCTTCTCAGAGGATGACGCGTAGCCATCATTTGCCTCAGGAACTGCAAGTGTTGTTGGACTGGTTGTTGGTGTCGTGGATGTTTTGAATGATCCTTTCTTGATTTGAGTTAGAGATGTTTCTCTGAGGCAAAGGTTTCTTATATCTTCCCAAAGATTTATCCAAGTTAAAACATGTCTAGTGTAAAATGAAAATATCTGGTGAGATAGAATGGGATTTGGCATGACAAGAGTGGCACAGAATGCTTGTACTTGCCAAAGTTGAACTAGTTTTGTTCTGTCTGAAAAATTGGCATGGGTTTTGGAGCCTGTCTTTGGTAACTCATGCAACATTAAGTTTACAAATTCTGGGTCAGTATGATGCAAGGACTGTACAACTTGATACATTATTTTCAAAAATAATTCCATTTTTCTAATTGTAAGGTATTGGGTGAAATGCATCAAGGCAGAATGGTACACAGCGAATATTTCTTTCTTTTCGTTGACTTTTCTACCTTTCAGCGAAAGAGCTGAGACTTGAAGAAGACAAGAAACTACACTGTGCGGAATCTTTTCAGTGTTGTCCTTGAGAAAATTAATCAACTTGGTAATTATGGATACAGGAATTGTTCGGGCTGGCAGTGGCACGACCTGTGCCAAGCCAAGGTTTTTCTGTGTATTGTACAGAGAAGCATGCAATAAATGAACTGCATCAGAAAAAAGCTGAAGCTTGTTGGTTTCTTCTTCTCGATCAGATTCAATTAAGGCCAAAAATGCATCAACAGTTGCAATTAATTGTTTTCGCTTTTGGTCAAGTTCTTGCAGTTCTTCAGCACTGAGATATTCTTCAGGAACTTGTTCTTCAGTGACAGGAGTCTCTTTCGACTCTTCTACAGAAGGTTCGATTTGGGCCATTTGTTGAGTTCTCAAAGAAATAATTGCTTCAGTAAGACTCTTAATCTTGCTAGACATGTTGTCGAGTTCTTCGTGAATTTTGGTGCGTTTTTGGATACATTCTTCGTCCATGTGCTTAATGTTGTTCAATTCTATTAACAGTTCGTCAATCTGTTTTGGTGCTTGTTCATAATATAGTTTTTGAATAGTTTCCAATTGAGATGTAACATTCAGTAATTGAGAGTTGGTATATTCGTTAGCCTTTCTCCAAGCCTTTCTAATTTCATGCTCTATTAAATCGAATAAGGTTGTCTCCAAGGTAGGAAGTAACAACACTGGTTGGTTTTTCACACGCACAATTTTGTGCTTGTCCAAATAAACAGTCGGAATATAATCCTCAACATAGTCTGCATGATGGACATCAGTCAATAATTGGTCAATGCTCATTACCACTTGGACCAATCTAGGATCGTCAGATTTTAAATAGCTCGCAATATTATTCATATTTTGCACGCTTAACATCACATGTAAGCTTGGATTCAATTCCGAAATGATTGTTGGCTGAATAATATCATCCCAAATTGTTTTCGTAATTGCTTTCACATCAATGCTACCACCATACACGGTCTCCAAAATTTCACGGATTTTACGAACGTACATGGGAATATAACTTTCTATGGAAGGTTCATGATGATGATGACTGCTCGTTGGAGCATCCTGCGCAGTAGAACTAGCAGTGATCGTCGATGATGTTGCTACTACCGATGTGCGAGCCACCTCATCAGGAACTGTTGTTGGATGAGTTTCGGATGATTCTGTACCTATGTGCGCAGATGAAGATTGTATCTTTACAAATTTCACCTGGGCAACTTGCTTTCTTGATGGAGGAGGCTTATGATGGGGTTTTGATGTTTGGCTTTGACCATTGCCTGGTCCTTTCGATTTTTCATTCTTATTGGTGTTATTATTGCTGGTTGCATCTTCATTACCACCTGTAGTGCCTCCTTTCGATGATGATCGACCGTGATGTGGTTGCTTCGGAGCCGATTTCTTAGGAGGCCTTGTTGCTCCACCCATATTGGAAGATGATGATGATGAATGAGGCACCATGATGGATGAAGCTTCATAAAATTGATTGGATGAAGTACCTCCTACATCTTCATGATGATGAGTGTCGCTATTGCTTGGAAATGACATGATGATGATTCAAGCCTAGAGAATATTCAATTTTTTTTTTAAAGACAATCACTCTTCCTCTTTGATCGACCCACAAAAGACGGAGATGCACTTGTCGAGGTTGAAGACTTCCCAACGCCAATTTGGAAATTGAGAGTGTTAGCGAGCTTGAAGCGCTTGGTTAGAAAGATTTTTGTGTGAATTCAAAACTTGTAAGACACTAATCATTGTTGTAATTGCATGATCAATCCATTTTATTAATAATAACATTTATAGTTGAGTTGTCCATGTCGATTGAGGCATTGAATAGAGACATGACCTGTTTTCCAAGTACACTTGTTCAGCTTCTCGAAAATGTTCCACAAATCCTCGTAATAATTTCTCAGAAGTCACTTCCTTGTAGCAATCATTGCTCATGTGACACTGATTTGGTTTTCCAGTGGCAGCCAAAATCTTTGAAATTTCCACTCCCTTACCGAACAGGTCGAATGTTGGTTTTTGTTTGCCAATAGTTGCAGCCACAATATCACTGGAGGAGTGAATGCCAACTTTAAGAGCAATTTCTTCAATCTCAAAATCATGGTCATCCTTTTGATGCTCATCATTTAGTTGGGAAGCATAGAGTCTGACAAATCGAATCATTTCAATTGCTGCCTTAATCAACTTTTCCGAATGCCCTGGTTCGCTTTTATCAATTCCTGATGCCAACATATATCCATCTCCGACCACTTTCATTTGTTCAATTCCTAATTTTGAGCTAATTTGCTCAAATTTAGAGAAAATATCATTGAGAGATCGAACTACCGTTCGTGAGGATCTACAACATGTCGAAGGAAATTCTGTTTAGCAAAATGAAAAACAACTAATAACCTACCTCGCTTTTACAAAATCTGAGATTCCCAATAACTCACAATACATGATTGAACATTTAGGTATTGTGTCAACCACTCGTTCTTCTAACTCTAATCTTTCAGCAATACTTTTTGGATATATTTTAGCAGCAATTCTCACTGAAGATTCTTCTGCGGTTGCTAGTGTTCGATAATCTCTCAAATAGGCCACAAAACTTGATTTACCATGTGGTTCCAAAACTTCAGAAACTCTAATTTCAAGAGGAATCACTTTTCCTGTTTTTGTTTGGCCTTTAACCCTAGTCACTCTATCTAACACTCGTTTCTCTCGTGTGTGTCTATATTTTTCAAGATAGGTATCATGCTTCGCCCTGTCCTTTGCGTTACACAACATTTTTATGTTTCTTCCTAGTACTTGATAGGATTTATATCCAAAAGTGGAACACGCTGCACTGTTAAATGTTTGAATAATACCATGGTCTGTTATAGAAATTATTGGAATAATCATTATATCAATAATGGCTTGAGCACAGCGAGAGATCATATGTGCTTTGGAATCTTTCACAAATATTGGATGTTTTTGCATGTAAGCTGCAAAATGAATTTCCTCACATTTCACAACAGGAATAATTCTCGTAGTGAGAATAAAGAATTTGTTTCTAAGAGAGGATTTTCCTCGAAGGGTTCTAGTTTTCATCAAGGTATTCTTCCTTTCTAATTGTTTTTCTTGAGGCAAGTTATTATAATAATTGAGATCTGAAGTTGAGATGGGACAGTCACCGTGTTGTGTATTGCTCGACGCTGCTTCCTCATTTGAATTGAAAAACTCATGAATTGCTTGATGAATTTCACTCACTGAATTGTGCAAAAAGAATTCATGCAAACCTTCTCCGAGTGCTGAAAAGCTGTAAACGCCAAAAGTTTTTTCTGCCTCCTTATTCAAGTATTCAACAGTTCCATTCTTGTCAAACACCATGACAGGAAAACCACAAGCCAGATATTGCGAAACTAAACAATTCACTTTGGCCAATTCGCTGTTGTGGGTTATTTTGACTTCGGTTTCCATTTCATTCAGGCTGACCTTATCTGTTTCTGTGGTCACGACGCTCGTCGTATCATCATGAAGTGCATTTTGTGAGTAGTTTGTAAGCAATCTCTTACTGATTGATCTTCTTGCTGGAGATACTTGAGAAATGACAGGCATACTCTGATTCAAATGTGAGGATTTGAGAAGATTGGTGTTATCTGCAGTTTTCCCAACAATACTGTTTTCGCGATGAAGTGCTCCCTTTCGTGTTCCTGAATTCGATAGTTTAACCATTTGTTGTTGTTGTTGTTCGCTGCCCTCATTCATCGATGAGTCGAGAGCTTTTAAGGCATGAATGGAACTATTTTCTCGTCGAAGTACACCAGGTTTTCTTGCAAGTCCCATCGAAGAATTGGCTCTCAATAAGGATCCTCCGTCGGACGATGATGTCTTGTCCTCAGAGGATGATGATTGAGTTGGAACTCCTGTTGTGTTCTTGCTGGCAGCACTAATCATGACACTATTCTCTCTTCGCAACATGGGTCTTGCATGGATCATGCTTGAATTTTCTCTCTGGAGTTTGGGTTGAGCAAGACCCAGCAAGGAGCCATTCGCATGAGTGGATGATGACGACAAGTACTGATGATTGACTTCCTTGGTGGCAGTAGATTCGCCCCCTCCTTCTCTCGATGATTTGGAGAGAAAGGACACATCCACTCCAGCCAAAATGTTCCTAGAACTTGTTGTATTCAAACTCGCTCTCGTGGCTAAATCTCTTCCCTTTTCAGATAAAAACTTTTGGTAGGCAAGGGTGTCTTCATCGTTTTCTCGTGTTTTTTCGGAAGAAAGAGATGAATGGGCATTATGGATGATGGACGGTTGAGAGGGTTTTGAAAAAGGGTTTGAGAGTGTTGTTGATTGCAGTTGTTGTTGTTGTTGTTGAGGATTGAAATGAGCAAGTAAATTTCGAGTACTCGATGTGTTGTTGCTCACTGTTATGTTGCTGTACTTGTTATGAAGAAATTCTCTCAATGCTTGGTCATCGTCATCATCATCATCACTGTAAAGAGCATGAGGCATGGTTATTGTTGGGGTAGTGACAATGATGGCTGGGTAATTTGCAACGATTGATTGTCACAATGTCGAGTGTTTGAGTTGGTCGGAAACGTCTGTTTGTTTAAAAAGATAAAGAGCAGCTTTGTCAGCGCGTTTTCTGTAGTGTCACTACTGAGGAGTGTTGTTTGACACGTGCAGATGTTTTTTACATACTGGAACTTTGGTTCTGATCTCGTGTCATTTCGTGTCTTTACTTTGAGAGATAGAATTGGATGTACATACGTTTTAAGGAAAGTCTTAATGGCAAGTGATGCCGAGAGAGAATTCCTAAATATCTCTCTATTGCCAGTGACGACAGCGAAATCTCTTGCTGGACATCAAACTCGATGCTCCTAATACAGTGGCATCGATGCTTGTCTCACCATGATTGGCATGACCAATCATGACATCAGGTTTAATTTCTTGGTGTTGGGGGAGAGCCCAGATCATCGTCATCATCTCCTTCAATAATGGAAACATCGTCAATGGATTCATTGAGATCCAAATTGAACTTTGTTTCCTTCTTCTTTTTTGGCTCGTCTCCTGTTGGTTCCTTTCTGAATGAACTGCTGAGAACAGTTTTGAAAGGCTCTTCTCCACTAGTACTCTTCTTTCGTCTTATTTTCTTCAAGTTTCGAGTGACGAGCAGTCGAGTAAGTTTTTCACTCAGTCTCTTTTGTTGGATTATTGTTTGAGGATCTTGTTCGTCTGGATCACCAAGAAGTTGTCCACTTCTTAGTTCGCTCAATAAGTTGATCAATTCGTCAATCTTGGATCTCTCTTGTTGAAGGCGTTCCATATCCTCGTCGACATCTTCTGCCTGTTGATGAGGAGTAATTTTGAAACTTTTGCTCATGGTATCTGATTGATGTCCAACATTAGTGCTATTGTCTTCATCATTATGGTGATCGCCTTGTTTTGCATGACTTTGTTTGAACTCTTGGATCGCTTTAGCTGCTGCCTCTGCAGCATCCTTTTTCATGTTGCTCTCTTTCACGCTGAAATAAGCATCTTCCATGATGAGAATGAAAATGTTAATAACGCTATAAGTGAAGAGGCAAACAAAGGTAATTAAATAAATTCTAGAGAAATAGGCAATAACAATATTTTGACCGTAGAGAGATGAAAAAACATCAATAAGACTGTCTCCATTGGCAGCCGAAAACAAGGTGACAATGGAATTTTGGAATCCTTGAAAATTTGACGTGTAAGAGCCAAACAATACCATACCACAAAGAGCGTAACCAATCAGTAATGGTGCGGCACCAATGATGAATCTTCCAATATTTGGTAAACCTTTTCTAAGGGCCTTGATAAGCACATAAAATTTAGGACTATGCGAAAGGTATTGAACAATGTTTGCCCATACAAAAATTGAACTCAATCCAAGTAGAATATTCGTTGCATCCAATGAAAAATATTGATAGGCTACGTTTGCAAAGACCATGGCGCTTGAAACAATGCAAAGTATGTTGGATATAATTCCCAGAATATGCCAAGGATTAAAGAATTTAAGCTTGTGCTTTAGGTCTGGTTTGAAATTCATTCCCATTTTTTGAGAGGCTTCCGCAATTTGTTCTGCACTTGGTTTACCAATCTCTCCAGTGACAATTCGACTTGGAATTCCAGGACTGTGTTTCGGAGTGGTGGTTTTTAACAAAGAATCTTGAACGTCTTTTTCATCTTCCTCTTGTAACTCATGTAATTCGGATTTGTGTTGCTCCAACATTTGTTGATAGTACTGACTTGTGAAAGTCATGCCGCTAACAGCACTTCCTGTAAAACTGTCATTAAAAATGTCGTTGTCATATCGTTTCAATAATGAAGGTTTGACTTCAACAGGTTTTGTTGGTGGTGTCGAATTAATGCCAATTAAAGGAGTAGATTCGTTGACGAGTGGCTCATTTTGTGGTTCGTCCAAGTTATCGTTACTTTCTTGGTAAACCAATTGGAAAATACTTCTATCCTTTTTCATGGCTTTTCTAATAAACTTAAATGATCTGTAGATCGCACGCGCAATTAAGAACAAGGAAAACAGAGAGAAGATTACAATGAGCAAGGAAATCCAGGTCAATGGAGATGATAGAACAGAAATTGAAATATCTTTTGATGTTTCTGCACCTAGGCCAACATCATAACTCAAAGTAACAGGAACTATTCCTGCTCCTGTTGCAAAATCATAATTCAATGTAATATCCCAAATCAGTAACTCTGGGAAAATACCTTTCGTGTAAACATTTTTGTAAGTAAATTTCAAAGTCATTTCTGTAAAACTGAACATGTACTTTTGTAGTCCCTCTCTGTCAATAATTATGGCTTGGTCAGAGGCAGATGTTTTTTGAGGTGTCTCCTCACTTGCTTTGACATATTTCTCAAAGGGTCCATAAGTATCGTTTTTGGAGAGAAAAAATGTTGAAGTAACTACATCCTTGTTCAATTTCTTCACATAGTCATCAATAGGGTATGAAATGTTTTGATATCTTGTGATTGTCATTTCTATGGGAGAGGAATAATTTAGTTTTGTGTTCATCAAGGCTGCTGTTGCATGATTTCTAGACTCAATTAATTGTTGGAGGGCTAATTGTCTTTTTTCCTCATTACTTTTTGATTTGCTATTATCAATAACCAATTTCTCCACATGAAATTTGGAATTCGAGCGAGCAGATTTAGCATTGCCTAACACAAATGAACCACTTCCATCCCTCGCTGCAAATTCTAAATACGTCGGAGCTCGTTCTTTCAAATCATAATATTGTTTCACAGTCCATCCAATGTGATTCACAATGTCCTCACAATCATCGAAATAAAAAGTATTAAATCCTGTTTTGGCATCCTTTAAAGAAAGATATCCTTGAGGTAGAAAATTATTAGCAATGATTTTTCCTGCATTAGAAAGGTAATCCTCTCTATTTCCAGCAAATAAAAAGAGTTGAGTCGTTACTAGAATTAGTAGTAGCATATGGGTGCAAAATTTGAACGGGAAACGTCGGTACTGTTATTGTTGAATAATTATAATAATTCATTGGTTGTTTCCGAGAGAACAAGTCATAGAATGATTAATAGAATCTCTCATTCAAAACAACATGATCATACCTTTATGAATTTCTGCCAAGCACTCAATCGGAGCTCTTCTCTAATCGGAATCTTGGGTACCAACTTTCGGTAGAGATTGCTCTTTTTAATCTTCTTTGTGAGTTGCATCGTTTCTAAAGTTCATAAAAACTAATAATTCATGGATAATAAACTGTCAATTTAATGAGTGGTGGCTCGGACTTTTCAGTGCTTGAACGAGATGATGAATAGTATATATCTAATTGAATGGATGCGTTTTTTTCGAGTTTTTCGGATGTCTCCAATATTCCCTGAATCGAAACCGGAGTCGGTACCACGACATTGTGGTCAGTCACCCATAAATTCATTGCCCCAACAATTTCGAATAGGATACTGTGTAGTGCCATCTTTCAATAGCCTTCAGGTTTTGAAAATTCAACTTGCTCACAATCCGAAAAATCAAAAATCAAGGACTTGTCGATGAGGACATATTTGGAATCGAACAGAACACCTTCTTTCTTCAACAGAGATAGCTTTCTTTCAATTTCTTGTCCTACAGTCTCACCCATAAAACCACCAACTTTATAATCGCTTTTGATCACACGATGGCACGGAATAGCTGGTGCGTAGGGATTACGTCTAAATGCTTGACCAATGGCTTGGCTGGAATTGCAGTCAATATATTGAGCAAGAAGAGAATACGTTGTGACCTTGCCTTTTGGAATTTGGGTCAATGCAGCCTAGACTTTTTTCTGGAATGTTGTTGGAGATTGTGACATTTTTTTCAAGAAATTGAAGGACTTTTTTGAGTTTGTCCTTACACTGATTATCTTGTTTGCGGGTTGTTTGGTCACACAAACACGAGACAAATAATAAACATTTGTAAGGTTTTCTCAAGGAAGTTGAATCTGTCGCACGAGTTTGTGAACTTGATCTAAAAAAAATGCGAGATTTATTTAACTTACTTTGTGGTGATGAGAATGTTTGTTTGCACGTTCTAACATTCCTTGATATGAGTTCAATATGTATAATACATCGAGTCAATAAGCATTTTCATAATTTACTGGAGAGTACAGTGGGAGATCGATGTATTTATGGATTAAAAGTGTATCAAATTGCGTTCAAAATTCTAAATTATTCATCCGAGTTCAAGAAAAAAGGAATGATGATGAACGAAGCATTGATTTTGAACTTTTTTAACTGGGGACATAAAGCACCTAATAATCAAACAGAATTGGATTGTCGATCATCGGAAGGAGTAGGAACAAATTCATCAAACTTGAAATCATTCTTTCTAAATAATACTACAAACTCGATAGTAAGACGAATCAATATGGATAGAAATAAGCCTTCCTTATTCAAGGAAATTTTGAAAGAGTTTTACTTCTTTCCATTTCATAGGATTGGCTTCAGATCGGAAGCATATGCATCATACAAATCCAAGCATGATGAACTATTAATCGAAAGATGGAGACCATGCAAATTGATAGCACAAATTCTCAAACAGTTTGGCAACTCCATTCAAGATGTAATTGTGGATTTTCAAAATTATCTTATGATGTACACTCAGAATAATTGGAGCCTTTCAAAGAATGATGTTGGGAAATCCGCTGTGATGATAGAAGCAGGTAATCTTTCATTAGAACAATCAAGGTTTATTGAAATACCTGACATCTCAGACTCGGATTTGTTGTTCCACTATCTTGACAAATTTTCTTCTTTGCTGAGGATGTATGAAGTTGGAGTAGCAACCAAAATTTCGATTAAGAGAAGTACTGTCACATCGAATTCTTGGAGAAATCCTCAATATGACATGAAAACACCCACCGAATGCGAGGACATATTCTGTAAGGCTCAATCTTCTGTTCGAGCGATAACACTTGTTGGAGGTTTAAAAAAACAAATAGAATATAATTTGAGCACTGAGTTGAGTGAAATGAGAGAAGAGCTGTTTGGAAATAGCAAGCATCACGCTTACGTATGGACGGCTGGTTGCTCTGCTTACAATGCTCGCCAACAGGTGTTTATTATCTGTCCTAAGGATTGGGATGTCCTGAAGTTGAAGAGCTACGAAAAACATATATCGTTTTGAAACAACAGGAATGATTTTAAAGAGTAAATCCATATAGTGATGTTTTTATCTATCTTCGATACGATATTTACATTTATACATTGATTAATTTTGTACAAAAACCTGGATTCTAAAAGGAACTGTTTCAGGTGAGAAGTAATGAAGGATTTGATCTAATTTGCCAGTAGATAATTCTATTTCAATCTCAAGTTGCTCGGTTTCTTCCATAATTTCAAAATCTCTTACTTGCGAGTAATCAAGCCAGTCTTCTCTGACTACTTCTCCTTGAACTTTTAACGAATAAAAGATGGACCTGTTTTTGTTGACCTCTTCATTGATAATAAAGACCACAATTTTTGCGTCCTTGCTTTTTTGAATCAATATACACTCAGCATAACTTCGATTTGTTGGTAACCCACCTGATATTTCTCGAATCTTGGTGCTGTCAAATTCTAATTCTTCAAATGTGTTCTTAAGGAGAATGGTTGAAGGAGAAAATTCTGGTCTCGTCACGCTCTCATGCATTCCTGACCTCAATAGAACAGATCCATTGGATGAGGTGACAATTTCTTCCTTTCCAAGAGGATCTATCAATGGTGCATGTTGTTGCGATCTTTGCTCGACATCTACATCCACATCTACTTGTAGAGGTTGTGGCTGATCAACTGCTTCCAATTTTGAAACGCTATTCTTAACATCCTCGTGATGATTGGATATGTCATTATCGACAAGGTTCACTGGTAGATACTCTTCTTCACTCCATGTTTGCGTCACAAATGGATGTTTGGCAATGTCACCAATGGAAATCCTTTCATCCTTATTATACCTCAACATGCTTACCAATAAATTATATAAATGATCAGAAATATGTACATGTTCTAATAGAAATGACCAATCGACATTTGGAGTGCTCGAACTGATAGCTTGTCCAAAACTTGGTTTCTCAATATAAACTTGCTCATTCTTTTTTGTGTTAAAAATACAATAACCAGCAATCATCTCAAATAACACGACGCCAATAGACCATATATCTGCATCATAGCCGTATGGTAAATGTTGAGCGAGTTCTGGGCTTTTGTAAGGCCAAGTTCCTACAACGGTTTGCGTAATGTGATCGTTCTCCATTGCTTTTGAAAGCCCAAAGTCACCAATCACCAATTTATATTCATTAAAATTGCCAAACTCATACTCCTCTGGTTCTATAAATACATCATCTGTGCTCTGATTTAGTTTCTTTAACAGAAAATTCTCTGGTTTGATATCTCTGTGAATAATATGTTTTTCTTCATGTAAATATTGAACTCCTGACACTATTTGTTTTAACCAATATTGAATTTCACGTTCTGAAAAGAATGGTTTCCATAATTTTCCATCAGAACAAATCTGGCTCTTGTAATTCTTTCGTGCCAATTGTTTTTTCATGTTCATATATTTTCTCATATTAGTGTCACACTTTTCCATCACTAAATACATTTGTGAAGGAAAATCCACTTGAATAGTTTCCAACAACTTGATGACATTTTCATGCTTGCATTCTTTCATAATTTGAATTTCCTTCTCTAAATACTTGATTGTGACACGTGAATATTTTTCTACTTTGATTTGTTTAATGGCCACATATCGATCGCGTTTCGACAGATTTTCTTGAATTGGTGCTGTGTTATTTTGAGAATGAGCATTTGTTGTAATTATGGAGGACTGTGATGATAATTTTTCTTCAGAATTCCCTGAGTGCTGTTCGAATTCTAAATCTTCTCCGAGATAGACATCACTAAAAGAGCCTGATCCTAACTCTCGATTTAATTTAACAAATCGGTTCGAGATTTTAATTCCGCGAAGAGAAGGCTTTCGTGGTCGTGAATGTCCCCCAGTTAACGTTGGAATGATGAGCAACGGTTGAGAGGATGTTGTTGAATTCAAGAAACGGATGGGTGTTTTGGAAGACGAAGAGGAGGAGTCTTCATGGGGCATGGTGAATGTGTCGTCCTACAAAATGGTTCGTGTTTTTTGGTTTCGGAATCTGAAGGCAACAAACAACAAGGAGAGCGCGTGGAGTCGTTGATGATGATTTTTCAACGATAATAATTATTGAATTTTTAATGCCAAAAATAATTTAGTGATCGATCGTGAATAATGAAATTTAATTGGTCTGCATGTTCACGTTTCGAAAACCGGTTGCGAAAATTTCTCTGTTTTTCAAGTTTTCACCGTTATTGTTTTGTTCAAAACATCTGACCCCATCCACTGCATGGAAATCTTACAAAACGTTTGAAATAGGAACATCCAAAAAAAAGTCTTTGAAAGTTTAAAAGAAGACAAAGGTCACCTGTTGACAGAACATGTAATATCCTTTTAGTGCATCACCTTAAATCAAATCTTGATAAGGAGTGAACAAAGTTGTGTTGCCCTGAAGTCTCTCAATATGCTTTGATTTTACTCCTTTGATTGTAAAGAAAAGCCAAAACGAACAAAACGAATAAGGACTTGTGTCAAATTATTAATTCTGTTAGTTTTATGGACGGTAGCTGGCTCTTTATTGAAGTCATTCAACTTCTCCTCTCAATTGTTGTGATCATGATTTTCAAAAGACTCAGTACAGAATCCTACTGAATAATTTCAGTCTCTTCTACTTTATACGCTGTGTATGGAGGTATCAGAATCATGCTTATAATAGGGAGTCTTGATGAAACGTCGGATCCAGTGAAGAAAATCCTTGAGTTGGTCCACAGGAATCTCCAAACACCAACTTGGATACTCACTAATTGCTAAATAATTGAACGATTTGACCTTTGTTCCTTGATCTTTAACATACTCATTAACAAAGTAAGAATGGGCATCCATTAATGCCCTCTTTTTATAATGCGATATAACATTTAGAAGTGATTTGGACCAACCTCTGAACCTTTCTTCGTCCATTGTTGGTGGAAGTCTATGATCAAGATATGGTGATACATGTTCTCCCTTCTCAATATAGTATATAAACACATAATCTAATTCATGTTCTTTGAGTGTTAGAGAAATGGCTGCAAGGTAAGCTAAACGTTCGTCCTTCAAAACGTTGATCATCGACGAATCCAAGTCATTTTCGCAATGCTCATGTTTAATTATTACAAACACTTTTTCGGGCATTGTATTTGGTAACAAATTGTTGGGTAGTATGTTGAAAACGGACTTGTGAATAATCAATAGGCCAAATGGCTTTGTGTACCATCTTGGATCTAGTTAACAATGAATTGCTCAACAAGAAGAAGCGTTTCAACATTTTTTCCAATCCATTAAAAAGGCAATCTTATTTTGTGTTCGAAAAGTTAAGTGATCATCCATACAAAGCTTTAATTGTTTTTTTTGAAAGATTGTTTTTGCAGTTGGGTTGCTTGAGCTTAACTTGTTTGTCTTTGAAAATGTTTCGCATATCTCAAAGGAAGTTGTATTATTTGGAAGTAATTTATTAAGGAGAGAGGAGGAAGAGATGTACTAATACAAAGAAATGATGATCAACAATATTCCAACTATGGAACTCAAGTAAATGCACCTTGAAAACAAGCTCATTTTCCAATTCAACACTGAAGTTGCATCGTTAATATTTTGTCCATTGTAATCTCTGGTAGGATCAAATGCACTTAATTGGAGGGATGGCACTCGACTTTGAAGGAATGTTTTCAAAAAGTAGGTTGTGTTTGAATACACTCCAATACTGCCTTGTGTGCCACACGAAACATCAGGACCGTAGGAAACAATTCCTGTCACAACATAGTCATTGGTTGTAAAATTAGTTCCAGAATAGTATCTAAAGATTGGACCTCCACCTATGATCATTTAAGGCAACAGTGTTATTCAAAATATCAAAAAAAAAACGTGTCACACTCTTCGAGACATCATCTCAAAAATTGATACTTACTATCACCTGGACAGGCATCAATACCCTGACCTAATCCAGCACAGATTTGCATTGGTGAAACTGTTTGTAATCCAAGATCATTGCACGTGGAAAGACTCACAATGGGGATCTTCGCTTTAAGTAATGAACTAGATATAGTTCCTGAACTATCATAAGAACCCCAACCACTCACAAATACATAATAGGAGAGAGGCATTGATCCTGATTCAATGTATGCAATTCTTGTTTTTTGTCCATCAATGGGAATATTTGATGAAAGTTCAATTAATGCAATATCATTTCGGATGGTGCTGGTGCTGTAAGATGGATGCACAGTGTAGGTTTTTGCTGGCACATAGGTGCAAGAACTCAATGGAGAGCATACAATGTTGTTTCTTCCATAGACCACAACTATATTTGCTGCTGAAATTAACCGTCCGTTGTCGTCATAGAAACAGTGAGCTATAAAAGTGTCAGATTCACATGTGTGTATGATATTATTATTGTTATCAATGAATAGAGGTTAATGAATAGTTTTGAAGAATTTGCATCAAGAATAAGAGAAGGTTCACAGTGACATTACTTTTGGCATATCACAACTTACATGCTGTCATGATGAAATTCGGAGCAAGGATAGATCCTCCACAGAAATGTTCAGCCGAGGTTGAAGAAGTCATGTATTGAATCGAGACAATGAACGGGAATTCATTGGTCGATGCTTTGGTGCCTCCAGATACACGAGTCTTTCGAAGCTGAATTAATTTACTCGGAAGTGATGCTTCTTCTCTATCTTCACTACGCGAGGAAGACAAGAGAGAGGACTGAACGTTCAATGAGGACGACTCGGGCTCTCCACTGACAAGCATGTGAGATGATGATGACAAGAAGAGGCATGCTAATACTGACAGGAAGATCACTGTGGACAATGAGAGGAGAGGAATGAGAGTTTTTGATGACGACATGAGTGTGTAGTACTGTGAGACACTGTGTTCTTCTTCGAAGGTGAGATCGATTTTTTGTCTTGCACTCGAGTTGGGAACAAGATGATGACTTCCGATCAATTTAAACTGCGCAAATGGAGAGTTATTCGCTGAATCAGGTACATTGTGCTTGATAAGGGTGTTACGACTTTTTCAAATAACGTTGCACCCTGAATAATGATGTATATTGTTGTCCGTGATGATGATGACCTCTTAACAACATATAAACAATGCCTTTAGGTTCACCACCACCTTTGCTTGAAGAATATTATTATTGAATGATGATGGTGAACCCTGACCTTCTGCCAGCCCACAAAGCCTCCAAACTTCGCTGTTTCTTGCACTATTAAAACACAAACAAATTAACGTACAAACAATCATCATCACGAAAAACATCATCACAGAATGATCCGTTTGGGTACAAATACACCACCTCATTTGCAACAACAACAATCAATATCGGAGGATTCTCCTCGCACAGCTGTTGTTGGCTCTTCTTCCACTATGCACTCTGTTAAAGTATTGCTCAACAACAAAGCCATCAAGAAGGAAAAGAAGGAACGTCGTAATAGGAAGCATTCAATGATTGAATTGGCTTTTCCCTTCCGAGGCAACCAAACACTCGATGATTTCAAACAATGTTTGATGATCATCAAAGACGGTTTGCCATCAAATAACAACAACAATCAGACCAGTTCAAATCATCATGAACCAGTACGGAATAATGATAACCATCAATCCTCCTCTGATTTGCTCGAGCTAGAAGCCAAAATCCTTGTGAGATTCCACAATGAGAGAAAAGCCTTCAAGATTAAGGATGAAGAAGACTGGCATCATGTCGTTGAAAAAGTTGTTTCAGAAGAGTCTCCAGCAAGCCTTATTAAATTTGTCGAGTGCAAGGTTAACTTTAAAAAATCAAACAACAAACACCACAAAAAGAAGAAACATACCATAGAAAAAAGAGGAGCTCGAAAACACTCCAAAAACAAGTTGCTCAAACGCGAAGAAAAGCTCAAAAGAAAGAAGGAGGAGGAACACCATGAGGAAGAGCTCCTCGGAAAAAGAGTCATGAATTTGGATCTTTCCGATGAAGATGAGAACCATGAAGATGATGAACAACAAGATGAAGAGAAGAAGAAATCCAAGATTGAGAAAGACAAGAAGAGAGCTAAAAGAGAAAAATCTGCTCAAGCCAAGCAGGATGATGTGTCTCTTGTTGGAGAACATGGAGAAGGATTGACCCTTCCTGAGAAAATTAGAAGAATTTTCTTGGATGGAAACAACATGTTTTTCATGACACAAACATTGAGAGATCTTTTATTGAAGAGAAAAAACAAAGGAACGGCAGAGCAATTAATTATTGAAATTGCATCACTTTTTTCATCAATGTCTGAAATCTTGTGGAATAGACCATTAAGCATGCATGTTTGTTTTGATGCCGCAAATCCTCAAGTTATGAGAGGCGATATTGAGAAGGATACATTTGTTGTGTCCTCTGCCTCAAAAGCAGGTTTTGCCACAGCCGATGACATGCTTGTGGAGTTAGCAAATAGACAGAATATTGCTGGTCACTTGGATTCTTGTTTATTTGTCACCTCAGACAATGGTTTAAGACAAAGATTGAAGGAAGTTGGCGCAAAAGTTGCCAAGTCAGGTAAATGGATGAAGTGTTGTTATGCACACTTGTGTTCAGAAACTACTCAATTCTCAATGGATGAATGGATGAACCAAATAGTAGAGGAAGGTTTACATTTGGATTAATTTGTTTCCATACATTAACTTTTCGCCTAATCACTTGTAAATAAATAATAGTATAATAGGTTGTTGTAGTTGATTTTTGTTGGATTTCATAGGAACTAAAACAACAACTATATCGTTTGGTGTTTAATAAAAAAGATTTTACTGTAAATCAAAATTGTTTTGTATTTTCTACATCTACCAATTATACTGAGGAGGTTCCATTTGTTGTTGGTTGAGTGGCTTGCGGTGCTTGTGGAGCATCCTTGTCTGTTGCCACCACAGTATGTTTTAACATAAATTCTTGAACTCTCTTGTCCCTCTTTCTCAATCGATCCAACACATCCTTCATATCTTGTTCACAGTGATTTGAAAGAGCTCTGAAAAATTCTTTTGGAAGTGGTTGAGAGGTGTCATCGATCATTCTTCCAATTTCTTCCTTGTTGAACTTGGAAGGCAAATTCAATTCCATAGGAGAGTCTGGTTTGATATACTTGTTGTAAATGGCTTTTGCAAGCTTTCTTCGAGATTTGGCATTACCTTTTCTTCGATACATTTGAATTTCTTTCCAAGCTCTACATTTTGAAAGAATTATAGTCACGACATGAATTTTGTAATTTCAAGATGAAAAAATCAAATTACAAATGACTTCAACTACAAAAATACTTACAAAATAGACTCAGGACAAAACGATTGCTTGGCAAATGCCAACAATATTTCAAACATCTTCTTATTCTTCAACAATTTCACAAGGGCTGCCTTTTCTCTTGTCAATTGTTCTTCATTTTGTTCTTCCTTTTCTTTTGGTACAAGTGTCACCAATGCTCTCACCACAGGTATCACAGCTGTAATAATATTGTCAGTGACCACTCCGAAAAACAAAATATCACCATATGGGAAGTAAGCATCAGTGAGTGTTTGAACAATTGGAATGAAACCAAAAATCAAATACAAAATCAACCAAATGGCCCAAAAAACAATCACTGATAAAGTTTCCCATCTCAAACGCCAAGTGTCATTATCCTCTCTTAATGTAAAAACAAGTAAAATTGCAATAACAATCACATAGAGAAATCCTTCTAAGGCCACTGCAATCAATAATCCCATTCCCACTCCACATCCATGAGAAAAATTAAAGAAATCATTCGAATAGGTGAATTTTGTTGAGGATGGATTTGAACTCAAAACAAATGTCTCCACAAGTCCACAAATCAACCAAACGAGTAAATGAGCCGCTGAAAGTACAATCACGACAATCAAATAAAACCACCACGAAGTAATGTATTGCATTCGAAGAATTTTCTTTTCCAATGCAATATATTTTCCTAAATCTTCCAATGCCACAGTTCCTACTGTATTTGCCAAGACAGTTTTATGAAGAGCACTTGCTTTGGAGAGTTGACGTTTCAAATTTGTTGGCAATTGATTGCCCTCTCCATTATTGGTAAAAGTGGAAGTGGAGTTGTTGCTATTTCCGAACACATTGGAAGTATTGGGTAAAAGTGGAAGTGGAGAAGAATGACCATTAGGGGTGGCACTACCACTGTTGTTGACATTGAATAAATCTGTTGAACTTCCGGATGAAGAGGAAAGAGCAGGTGGTGACAAATCTTGATGATGTTCCATTTCCATCATGACGGAGCCTGCATCGGAAGTGGAATCGGTATCAGAGTCGGAATCTGTGTCCACCGAATATTCATCATCAGCCACAGAGGTGAGAACAGTCATAGGAACTGGACTGTTATTGGTGGTGGCTACATCCGTTTGTAAATCAGCTCCATTTGAATGAGGATTCGATTCGGAATCTCCACCCGACGTTGTTGCTCTTCTCTTTCTTGATTGTTGTGATTCTTGTCCATTCTTAATCATGGCTGCTTCCAATCGAAACAATTCCACTCGTGTCTTATTGAGACGTGACATCCAAATTAATCTCCACAATCTCAATAAAGTTGGTAAAAAGACGACAGGTGCTGCAAAAAAGTAAAACAAGACATAAATAAAACAAGGAAATACTTTTTCTTCCAATGGTCATTCTCAAGTTAAATAACATGGCAAAAAGACCTGTCATTAATAAACTTGCAACCATGACAGCCACTCCTCGATATTTAATGAGAGGAACGTGTCGTGTGAAAATAATTCCCAAAGCAGTGGCAGTCATGGCCATCACATAAGTTCCAAAAAAGATTCCAGTCACTGCTTGAGAAGAGACTTGTTCTGGACACAAACCATATTCGACTTTTTCTGTTCCATTGTTTAAGAGAATGGGATCACAAATGGTTTCATTGGAGGTTGTTGAGTTGTTGTTGTTGTTGATCGTTGGTGAGGATGATTGTAAGAGAGAGAATAGAATCGTTTGGATCAATGGGGGAGATTCTGGATGATTGAAAGGTATGGTAAATGAAAAGGAGGACGAGAAGGACATTTCAAAGTTAGCAGCAAATGTGGTGGTGGTGGTGGCGATGACTGAATGCTCGTAATTGTAGTAATTGTAATAGTTGAAATAGTTGTAATTATTATTATAATAGTATAGACAGAGAAAATACAAGAATTTTGATGAGGTTGTGCGAGCGAATGTGTGCAGTACTACTAGTAACGAACGTGTGTTCGGATGGATCACACTGTTTTGATCTGTTGTTGTTCTTGTTGTTGAATCAACAATGAAATAATACCCAAAGAGAATGAGGCGATAATGATGAAGATGTGAATCTGTGGTTGGATTCGCAAATGACAATATATGATGCGTGTGTGTGTGTGATTGAGCAATTTGGACTCAATTTTGTCGAAATGCAAGCAACAAGAATGTGTGAAAATCTCACAGAATCCAGTTCAAAAACTGAACCAAATGTCAACGATGACAGTCAAACTTGTCAACCACTTGTTTTTTAAAAGGTGGTGGTGTTAAAAGTGAGAGTTGTTGAGAATTGGTGGTCACAAAGGATGTGCGACCACTCGTGATAAAGAGGTGAAGAGTTGAAGGATGAGGTTGATGACTCTGGAATGCAGAGAGATCCAAATGGAGGACTTTTTTTGTTGATTCTTCCAAGAGTGACGATCAATAACAGATCGGACAGGTGACTCCGAAGCATGACAGAATGAAAATCGACAACCGCCTATTGGATTGTTTTTCCAAAATGATTCGCACACATTGAAAGGTCTTCTTCAGAGTACACAGCGAAAGAAGGAGACATAGTCCGTACAAGAATTGCAACGTTTGGAAAATCATTGATATTGTTGAAGAGGCATCATGAATGGTGTTGACATCAAATGTCTGTAAAATATCACATGTACCTTTTGCGGTCATGTCTCCGCATGATCATTGTGATTGAACAGTGGTTCGAATGATTATGTGTTGTATTGCAAAAGGGGTAATTACTTTTAGATGATGAAAGAAGAACCAATTGGGTTTATCGAGATTGTGAGGTTGGGAAATCTCATCGATGGATTGGTGGTTGTTTTTGGTTTTTCAAATCTTGTAAAGAGATGTACGTTGTTAAGATCTAAATGTATTGTAAAGCGAGTTTCAACAATTATTGAAAGAAGATAATTTTTATATGAAGATTCATTGTTCAATGGAAGATGAATTCATGGTTCTATCATTATTGAAAACAAAACATGATAAACATGATGATCGTTGGTGGTGGTCTTTCCCTTACTCTTTTCTGGGATTATAATCTCAGTACTCACCTCATCCAAAGGCTTTTCTCAGAGCTAAAAAATGTTGACAAGTGGCAGCAAACCACTCGAAACCGAAGATGTTCTCAAACTCTTTTCACTCTATCTTCAAGAATATGGAGAATCACTATTAACGTCATCGGATCACTTTATGAATGTGTGTGAAATGGTCTATCAACAAACCATGGCATCCATGACAACAGCAGCAACATCATCCCTACAGTCCTCCTCATCCTCACCGACAACAACTCTTGAAAATAACAACCAAACATTAAATTCTACATTTACGACTAGTCACATTTCATCACAAAAATCAATCGTTTCCAAACCATTTACAATAACACTCAAAATCTCTCCCGAATTTCTTCGAGAATGTGGACTAGATCCCTTTCTGTGGTTGGACTGGGAAACAAGTTATTCATCACCATCGAGACTCGGAGGTTCTTCTTCTAAAAAATTAGATCCTAAAAAACAAGAGGGATTGATTGAGAGGAGTCTCATTGAGAGATGGTGGGAACGAAGAAGAAAGGAATTTAGAGAATCTATTGAAAATCAAGGAAAGATAGGTAGGTTCAAATTGTGTTGTGATACAAGAAAGAGGATGATGATGTATCATGATTCATCCACAAATGATGATTGTGAAAAATCTATATTCATGGAAAATGGAATGATGAATGGTATTTAACATTATAGTTGTGAAATCTCCCTATGCCATTGATGAAAATCCTCTTCTTACTCTCCTTAGTTCGATTCATTTTCATCATTTGCTCAACAAATCGCGATATGAATTCATGTTTGGACGCAATGCTTTAAAAACACCAAATTCTAAAATTTTGAAAATTAAATTTAAAATTCTTCGCGAGCTCAATGCAAGAATTAAGGAATTTCAAAGAAAGCAGAAAGAGAAGAAGGGATTTTTCTCATGGATTGTGGAACAAATTGTTGATAATGAATTCATATCCGAGTTAACGAATAATGATTTTGAAAAATTTATTTATATTTTTAGAAATTTAAAAGTTATTCAATTAGAAACCAACAAATCAAAAAAGAAGTCATCTCAAGCAAACAACATTGAAGATGTTGAAGTGGATTTAACATTATTTCATAGTTTGAGGCATTTAATCATTCGAGCCTGCTTTACCAGACTTGTGTATATTAAAGGAAAATATTTGGCATCTCAAAGTAAGTACTTGTTCACACTATAATTTGTACAAACGTTTGCTATGAATTCCATTTTTCACACCATCCTGCATGGCTCAACTATGTTTTGAACAACCTTCAAGATGAAATGACATTCAAAACTCTGAATGTCGAGGGAATGACCATTATGGACTCTCAATTTCTTAGAGTAGAAAAGAACATTTTCCACGACTTTGCTGACACTCTTCGAGTATTGAATCTTCTTAACGTTGACGAGCAATTACTATGTGATATATTTGATGATACACGACCGAACTCAGATTCCAGCAAAGAGTTTACTAATAAGGATATGAACTATTTTTCTGCACTGGAGGCGTTGCACATTTCAAATGTATGGTTCAAGAATGGAGAAATACCCAAATTTTTCGATGGGTCATTCTTCCATAACATTTTTGTGAACAGTCTGAAAGTTTTCATTATGAAACACACAAATTTGGAACTTTCAATATTAGACACATTAACTCGAAGAGAAAATAGAAACTTTGTACTCTCACATTTGGTCATTCTCAATCTCTCAAACAACAACATTCATACAATTATTGGAAGAAAAGAAGGCATAAATGGATATAATCTTCAAGTGACTGTGAATTTACCCAATTTGATAGAATTTAATTTGGGATTCAATGAGCTCGAAAGTTTGGATTCATTGACTGGGATAATGACGCCAAAACTTGAAATTATCAATTTAGAGAACAACAAGCTTTGTAACAATATTGCTGAAGGGTTAAAACTATTAACAGCAAACACCCAAAATCGCTTAAAATATATTAATTTGAGAAATAATCAAATAAGAAATTGGGTAGAGATCAAACATTTGAACTACTTTACCAAACTTTGTCATTTACAAGTTTATGGCAATGAAGAAATTTCTACAGGAACATACTTCAAGACAATACTTGCATATTTCAGAAAGAACGTTCCAGTGGATTCTTTATTCATTTTAGATGGAGAAAGTTATTCAAAGAAAGATATCGAAACAGTGTTGGGAATTTCACAAAGCTCAAGTGACAATAGTTCGTACAATGGAGTATCAGAATCGGAAGGAAGTGACGCAGATGCAGAAGCAGATGATTATATGAATGTTAGAAAGCTTGTGAACAAAAAAGATAATGCAGAACAAGCCAAGAAACGAAAACACAAGAAATCATCTCCTGAGAAAAAGAAATCAAAGAAAAAGAAAGCTCCAAAGAGAGTGCTCTCCGAATTTTCTGAATTTAAAAAAAGTGACATGTCTTCTGCATTGAGCAGTGGAAGCAGTGAAAATACAAACAGCTTGAACATAGCGGAGAGAGGATCTTCACACAGTCAATCTCTAGAGACTAGTTTATCACTAAAAATGTTGAAAGAAGATTTTCCTTTTCTAGAAGAGCGATCCAACAAGGTTCTTGAACAATTGCAACAAATAAGAAATGATGGGGGATCTAAATGGCTTACTCTTTTAAACGAAATGGGCTATTTGGATGATCAAAGTCAACAACAATTATTGACACCAAAAAGAAACTCCAACGATATTGCCAAAACGTCACCCTACTCAAAAGACAAGGATGAATTGGAACAATTCATGAATAAGCTCAATAAGAATTCATCACATCTAAAGGCGATGGATTCACTCAGTAACTTTTTATTTGGAAAATTACGGAAATCAGCATCATCAGAGGATCAACAGCATTCAAATGAAGAATCACCTCCTGCATTCACTCCAAGATCTGCAGGTCAACCAAAAACTGATTTCCTTTCTTCGTTGGATATGAAGAGAATTTCAAGATTGGGAAATAAGCAAATTCCAGTGTTAGAAGTTCATCCAATTTATGGAATTGCTAATGCTCCTAATTTTGAAAAATTTGGTGTTGTCAACATGCAAGGTCTCTCTTTCATTAAATCTCGAGGAACTCAATACGGAAGTGATGCATTGGTATCAAAGAATTTAAAGTTAGAGCCAAGAAGTGACTTTTTAAATGTTTCACTCATTGTCAATCAATCCATATTTGTGGCAGGAAAAGAAAACAATCAACAACGTGACAGTGCTCGAGGAATGCAGAGCTCTGAATCAGATAGCAGTGAAAGAAAAGCAAGATATCAACGAAGAAATCGCTACATGAATATTCAACAGCTCAAATTAGAAGCAGAAAAACAAGAAGAAACCCATTCGAATCAGGAAACTACTTCATCACCCACAAATGAAACGGATTCAATTGAAATTACAGATGAACAAATTAACAAATTCAATTCATCTCGAAAGAGAAAGAAGGGTGTGTTCTTGAAAGCAGAAATTGCTGTACCAGAAGGATCCAATTCCCACCTTTCATTGGATCCAAGTCGACTGGCGCGTTTAAGTAGTGGTGGCAGCAGCAATCATGACTCGTCATCCTCCTCTCATCATCCTAAGAATGATACAAGTCATGATATTTCAACCACTCTGCAAGGCGTAGACGATAAACATCCTGTCACAACAAGCACTAAATTATCAACTCCTTCTAATCGAGCATCTATGAGAGAATTTAAAAGAAGAAATACGATTAAGCAACAACCAAGTGAAAAGAAAGAGACCAAAAAGGTACACATTCCAATTCCAAACTCTACTATTGAAAAGTATTTAAATGACGATGACTTGTTGGAGTCACTCCTCAATGAAGATGAAGATGTGGAGACGAAGAAGAGATCTGAAAGTATTTTGAGAGCTCGTGGAAGAACTTTTGTGAAACCTTCCGTAGCAAGTCATTCAACACAAGTCAGAGATTCGACTGAAAAGCTAATCATCATTGACGAAACCAAAACAACCACAGTCACCACTTCAAATGAGGAAGAAAAGGTTTTGGAATCTTTAATTTCAAATGTGGAGAATGAAATGGAACCAACTGAAAATAATAAGAACGAGACAACACTTCACACCTTACAAAAAATTGTTCCAAAAGAAGAATCAAAACAAAAGAAGCCACTTTCAGAAGATGAAGACTTTGATGAAGCACAAGATGTATCAAGTTTCAAAGAAAATCAAATTTTCAGTGCCATGAATTCCATTATTACTTCTTCATCCCTTAAATCAAACACCAATCCGTCTGAATTCAATAGATCTTTGGAGAAGACTGTTTCACCATTCACACAAAAATCCACCACTGAACCTTCGTCTGCTGACAAGATTGGACAGAGTTCAGACTCTGATTTTGATACCTTTAGCAGTGACAGTGAAACAAAGTCATCTTCTGCTGCGTTTTCAACACCAACAACACCAGTGAGTGTTTCCAACAACAAATCACGTTCTCCAAATAGTGTTCCATTGATTACCTTCCCTACTACAACTGAAAATAGAAAATCAAAATCCAAGACCATTATTAATATATTTGGAAAAAAAGGGGTGGATGCAAAACAAAATGATCACCATTCACTTCGAATTGATTTACCTATGAAAGGTTTGCTTGAAGAACCTTCTGAACTATCTACGAGTGTGACAGATGGCATTACCGAATTTGGTCCAATCACCACTTCAACTACTTTTGCTTCCCTTAAACAACAAGAGACTACCACCACCGAAAAAACCGATTCTTCATTCCATGACAATAATCATCGAGAAATTGATAGCCATTCGAATCATGAATCTAACATTATTTCACAACAGAAAGAAATCTCATCTGATTTTGAAACTTCGAGTGACTCTGATTTAGGAGAAGATCCATTTAAGAAGGACAAAAGTACTACTGTCACTGAGGCTTTATCATTTTCAGCAGCAAAAGAGGTTGTCACTTCTCATAAAGAACAAGATTCTCAAAATTTAGAGAACTCTCCGAGAAATAAGAATGACAATGATGCAGAGACAACATTACCAGTGAATACTCATGAGTCTGTGATTACCACCAATGATGATGAGCTTTCTCCCAAACCTGTCATGATGACTACCGAACAAGATTCTCTCAATAATAATAGTGAAACTCCCAAATCACATTCACCGACCACTGCCATCTCATCCTTGTCATCCTCTAAAAAAGTCATTCCAAAGAAAGTCATTAGAAACAAAAATAGGATTCATTCTCCACCTGTTGTGACTGTTCGAGAGGATTTAGATCGATCCGTTCAAAGTAGTACTAGTAATAATAGTAGTACTGTTGATGATGGAGCTTCAAGTCCTTTATCCACTGCATCACCACCAAAATTTGTCATTTCTTCTTCTTCGTTCAATAGAGATCGAAGAAAAACTGTGAATTTTAAGGATCCAGCTGTTGTTGAAAAACAAGTGAAATTTGAAATTCCAAAAGTTGTTGAAAATTCTAAAATTCCAAGTGGTGCTCTTGTTGATCGTGATCATTTCAAAGATACAGTCACCACCACCACTACTACTTCTACTACCAACAGCAACAACCTTCCTTCAACACAACAAGAGACCTACGATGACGATGATGTTCCCTATGAAGACGAAGTTGTGAATCATTTAGAGAATGATACCTTTGTTCCATCCTCTTCTTCTAAACTATCCAACACCTTCTTGATCCATTCTGAAGAAGCTTCTTCTATTCACTCTCCCTCTTCGAACCTTCAGAATGTCATTAATCATTATTCACAAGACAGTGAAGATGAAGATGCCATTATCAAGTCTCTCTTAAAAGAAAGAGAGGAACTGTCTCCCACAAAAGAACAAATCACCTCTCAAATCCCTAAAGAGGAAGTGGATGATGACGACTACTTGGACAAGTTATTGACTTCCTACACCAAACAACGCAAAGTGACAATGTCCAACAACAAGAACACTTTAAAGAAAATGCCGATTCAAAGTCTCGATCGTTCAAGAAGAAGGAATTCACAACAACGAGTGGTCACCTCAGTTGAGGATTTATTGAATGAAGATGAGCAGTGATGGAAATGATGAGTAAGACGAGTAGTCATTACAAGGTGTTGGACACCTTCTTTAGAGAGGCCTCGATTTACTCGAGTCCTGTCTGACAAGAGATTCGTATTTCATCCTTCTTCTTGTTTTTTGAATGTTACACATTTTCAAGATGAGTGGCTATGACAACATGGAATCCTATGAATTGACATGTTTGAAATGATCATCCACCACGAACCACGTTATAAAACTCGTTGTCCTAACGTATTATTACTATGATAATTCTTATGGTAGTTTCAAAAACAATCTCTGAAACAAGCTGTGACGGGTGTCGAATCATCATTTCTCAATTCTCTCTTTTTCACTCACACACTAAAAATGTCGACAAGTGCATTCGGAGGGAAGAAGCACAACATTGCAACACCCTTTGATTTATACGATGAATGTCAAACACCTCGTTATAATACCGAATCATCATCATCTTCAAGGACATTACAACATTCATACAACAATAACAGCAACAACAACGACTACCGACAACAACTCATTGGACATGAAAAGGATGCGATTGAATATTCATCCAAGAGTAACAGCTCGTGTTGTTGGTTTTGTTCAATACAGTAAAAGTAGTAGTAGTAGCAGAAATATCACTCACTATAGCTACTGTAACAATCATGACACATGGTTATCACTTTTGCATGATCGGATGTAATAATATTTACAACAACTATTTTCTTCACATTCTCATCATCCTTATATTTCAATTGGAAATATCTACGAATGAGAATGTGTCATCACACATGATGAATTTTTGTAATTTTCAGCTCAATAATATTTATTATTTTACAATTCGAATGTTCATCTTCTTATTCAATTACAATTTGACTTTCAATTTCTAACTTTTCAATTTGCTCTTCAATGAGTTGGATATTTTCATTGTACTTTTCCACAATGTCATTGAACTCGGATACCTTTTGATGATAGGATTTAAATATTGGCATGTAAGCTTGTTGTTGAGCTTCAAAAAGTGTTTTCTTCTTTTCAAACTTTGCATCAGCCTCCTCAAATTCCTTCTTGAATCGGATGAACAGTTTGGTAGCCTCTTCAACTTCAACTTGTGATTGTATCAATTCGCTTTCATACAAATGAAAAGCAAACATTGAGGACGTTTGTTTTGTTCCTAAATATCGTTCCAGAGAGGAGAACAATACGTCCAATTCCATCGCTTCTTTGACATAGGGAGAGTTCGGATCAATCTGTAATTTTGCAACATTGAGCACTTGGACGTTATGATTGTGGTCAGTAAGGCTCTGAAGAAAACCATTCTCTGGAGTCTCAACCAGATATTTACGCCCGAATGGATCTTCCGTTCGGATCACTCTCTCTGTACTGTTTCTCAACGCAGCCTCAACCTTAAGTGCAACGGCCCTCCGAACTACATCTTCCAAATAGGCTGTTTTGATTTTCTCCTGTTCACTCAACTCTATTGAATCCGCAAATCGAAACAGTAAGGGAGTATCTTCATCAGTATTATTATTATTATTATTATTGGTGATCCCTTCTACTACTCCATGAGAAGTCCATCCAACCATCAAAATAACGAGTATGCACGTGATGATTAAAATTTCCAAAGTGTTGATCACTACTACTACTCGATTAAGGGAACTTTGAAACATTTTTTTTTTACTACCAACAATGAAGCTGAACAGCAATTAGACTTCCAAAGAATGCAAAAGCACAAGTCTTTACCGACAGTCAGGTCGCCATCCATGTTCTCAAAAAGAATTACAATGGGATGTTTCACCTCCTGTACAGAGAATTGAAGAAATCACAAGAAAAAGGAATCTGCAAATCACCAAGAATCAACACACATCCAAAGAATGAAAATCCAAAAGCAGAATAATCCAAACCAGCATGATCACAGGAATATGAAATTATTCAACATCAATTATCTGAAAAAGAACATCTCTCCCAATTACAAACATGCAGTGTGAGAAATATGACAGACTCTCACATCCGACACTTAACACTCTACTCATTAGGCACATTAAAGAGTTATATCGAATTCCAAGTCCTCGTTGCCCTTTTCGTTGACAAATGCCATAAATTCTACTATTTTGACAAGAATGCAGATGGACGACACTTTCAATTTTATATATTATTGGAACGAAAGAGATTTGTCGAAGGTCATCTCAATTCCTTCAAAGATTGTCAATGAACGATTAATTGAGCCGTTGTGTATTTTCTCAAGTTGTTGTAATACTCCCAAGTAAGCATGAACACGTGCCACTTTGGCATTTGTTTATCATCTTTCAAATCTTGATGACATTTAACGTTTCGTCACACCACTCTTCAAAAAAAAAGTCTCATTTGCCATTGTCCACCACACAAATAGACAACACACTCCATTATCCATCTATCTTATCAGTGATTCCTATCTCCACCTATTCATTAACCACAACAACAACAGTAACGATTGTGTTGTGACCAATAATACCCTCCGCTGACCGTTCGTGTGTGATTGAAACAACAACTCATCGTGTCATCGTCCTCATCATCACAACATACAAATTATTACCACAACATCAACAATGGGAAAGGACAATCATAGTGGTGAAGAAGAAGGCTCTGGTTCCAATTCTCGAAAGAGATCCACCATGCAAAAATTGTTTGGCAAATTTAAACAAGGAAACGATCAATCAACAGCCACAGCCACAGCAACAACAACAACTGCTTCTTCTTCGTCTTCTTCGTCTTCCTCTTCTTCGTTGCCATCCAATTCTCATGACTCATTACCATCTTCTGGTCTTCAACATTTGAACAGTTTTGTGAAAGAAGCAATGCCACAAGATGAAGAAGAAATTAATCGAAGATTTATGGAAGCGATTGTAAGTAGTATCTCTACTCTTTGATGTGTTTGGAATGAGGAGTGGACCAATACACATGATTTTCATCATCATTATAAATTTTCTCTGATCACATTCGAATTTGAACATAAAAGGAAAAAGTTGGCATTCAGAATGAACAATCCAAAGCAAATGTGATTGCAAGATACAACACCAATGAATTGAAATGGGATTTTGTTCAATCATTGAGAAAGACTCACGATACTTTTGCAATGGATGAGAAAAACAAAGTCGAATATTATATTACTGGATTAAACAAGTCCTCCAGTCAATTGAGTCCTTCCATGGTATGTTTTGATTATCTCTCAAATCTTTGTGATTAATACTAAATCATCAATGTCTTTGTACGAAATGACTGTCATTTCATGAACTGACACGATGTGAATCAATGTCTGTGATTCGAATACATCACACACAGGACAAAATCAACACAGACAAGTCTCTTCAAGACATGATCAAATTAGTTCAAGGTCTAACTGTTCAACTTCGTTCTCAACAAATTTCATGGCTGGAGGATTTCATTCATCAAGGAGGAATGTATCAATTGACTTGCTTGTTAGCATCGACCATTAATTTCTTTTCCTTTTTCGGTCACTATTCGTCATCCACTGAAAATGGTCAACCTGGTACTCATCAAACCACTCTCAATAATGTTGAACAATTACGATCTGTAATTTTAATGTCCTTTACATGTCTACTCAACTTCAACAAGGGAATTGAAGCATTTCTTCAACAACGTGACGCCATTCGAACAATGGCCTTGGTGATGGATGGAGCTTCACTTAAAAATCGTTCCACCATTTTGCTTTTATTGGCCTTATTGTGTCACCACAGTGGACAAGAAGCATTTGAACTCATTTTAGATGCCATGAATCATTACAAATTAGTGAAAAGAGAAAAGGCAAGATTCCAAGATTTAGGTAATTGGATTCTCAATGAAAATGCATACGCATCTGGAACAAGCGGAGCAGGAACCATCTATACAGGAGGAAGCCATGGAAGAGCTTCTATTGAATTTAGAGTGAATGCTCTCATGTTTATTAATGCCTTAATTACATCTACTGAAGATCCAAAAGTTGCTGCTCGCATTCAACAGGAATTTGTGAATTTGGGACTTGTCACCATTTTGAATTCTATTGACACTGAAGATCCTGATTTAGTAGTTCAAATTTCAACATTTAAGGAATTAATTGCAAATGATCTAAGCCATCACTTTGAAACACTTACATCCAATAGTTCAGATCCTCTCAACATTATTGAAGTTTTGAATGGTCAATTGACGAGTGTGTCTCAAAAACATTTTGCATCCATGTTAAATGCGTTATTACCAATTTCACAGAGTTATGAAGACACAAGAACATCCATTGCTTCAAGAGCTTCTGTCTGTGTGGATAACGATATTCAAGAAGCCAATTTTGCTCTCCTTGCTAAAATTATTCGTCAAATGGTGGAATCGATCGATTCGAGAGGTCGTTTGAAAGATTGGACTGAAGAAACTGAACGTTTGAAACAACAAGTGAAAACTCAACAAACAAGTTTAAACAATTTGGATGAAAAATTGAAAGCAGAAAAAAAGAAACTTGAAACCATGTTGCAGAATCCACAATGTGACTTTTCAAATGCATCTTCTGAGTTTGAAATTTTGAAAGATCTCCTCTCTCCTCTTGCAAACTTTGTTAAAAACAGACCTTCACAACAAGATGTTGCGGTTTCAATAATGAATGTACAACAAGCGACGACGACGACAACGAGTGGAGTGACTCATTCCAAACCACTTCCAACACCACCTGGTGATGTGAAAACATCAACTCAATCCACAGAATCAACCACTGGATCACTGGTTACCACCACCACAACAACGTCACCTCCACCACCACCGCCACCACCATCACTCCAAGAAACTCAATCAGTAGTGATGAATTCATCATCAAGTACAACAACAACAACAAGTACAACTACTGGAATGGTACCACCTCCACCTCCTGGCATGACAACTGGTGGTGGTGTTCCTCCTCCACCTCCTGGAATGGCTGGTGGTATGCCTCCTCCTCCACCTCCTGGAATGACAACTGGTGGTGTGTCACAAACTTCTCTTCCTCCTCTTCCAACCTATTCACCAAACACTAATCTTCGAAATGTTCATATTGATCCAATCAATAAGAGAGTCATCAAAGAGACGGTCTTTATTAAGAAGGGAGTGATTGACAAGTTGAAACAAATTCACATTGATGAGAGTCGTATTAGTGAATTATTTGGTGTTGAGAAGGATTCCACTCATTCCAAAGCCATGAATGCTTCTTCAAATGACAAGGCTGAAAAAGTGTCACTCATTGATGCTAAGAGAGCTTACAATATTGGAATTCAATTGGCATCGATGCGTCTCAATTTTGATGCCATTCGTAAGGCAGTGATCACAATGGATGAAACTGCAATGAGCAAAAATCAAATTAATACTCTCAAAAGTATTGTTCCAACAGAGGAAGAAGTCAATTTGGTTTCTGCCTTTGATGGAGATGCTTCACAATTAGCTGAACCTGATCGATTCTTTTATATCATGAAGGATGTGTCAAAGATTAAAGAAAGAATGGAAGCTTGGAGTTTTAAATTGAGATATGAAGATGATTTGGCAAGCTTAAAACCAGATATTGAAAGTTTGAGATTAGCCACTCATGAATTGAAGGAATCTAAAAAGTTTGTCAAGTTTTTGGCTGTGGTATTGTCAATTGCCAATTATCTCAATGCAAAGGGAAGACAGAAAGATCAATATGGATTCCATTTGAGTAGTTTACACAAATTGAAAGATACCAAAGCTTCAAAGGGCAATGAAGGTTTATCCCTTCTTCACTATTTAGTCGAATATATTGATACTCATCAAAAGGATTTATCAGAATTTTATGATGACATGCCAAATATTCCATCTGCCAAGAAGGCATCCATTGCTCAAATCAAAGAAGTGATGCAAATGATTAAGGCATCCTCGAACTCACTCGGTGAAACTTTGGCTGCCATCGCAAGAGAAGAAGATTCACCAATTCACAAACAAGACAAGTTCATCGAAAAGATGAAACCATTTTATGAACAAACCAAAGCTGATTTGGGAATGCTTGAAGAAAAATTGAAGAAGACTCAAGAGGGTCTTGAAGAATTGGCCATTCTCTTTGATGAAGATAAGAATCTGGTCACAACAAAGCCAGAAGATTTCTTCACCAAATTAGATGAATTCTTCGAAATGTTTAAATCTGCTCGTAAATTCGTCCAAGAACGAAAGAAGAAGCAAGAAGAGGCACTAAAGAAGCAACAAAAGCCAAACACTCAATTTAACGTTAATAACTCAACTGAAAAAGGTGTTTTGGAAGGTCTTGAAAACTCCCTTAGAGACGGAACAGCTTTCAAAAAGAGGAGCTTGCGAGCAAACGCTAATTTGCTTGCGCAAGAATTATCCATGCTAAAGAAATAGAATGTATATATTACCTTATTTCTTGTTGATAAATTATTTCATCTTTACAAAATTGAGTCGCTTGTCATTGGCTTAACAACTGAACAGTTATCGAGACACAATTCTTTAACTCGTGCCTCTATTTGTTTCTCGTCAAAACTTTGGATTTCTTTCAGTTGAGTATAGAGCAAAGAAATGACTTTGTCGTTTGGATCTGATTGTAGGTATTGAGTGAAGACTCGTAAAATCTCTTCTAGCGTGGCATCGTTCACGCTATCCTTAAGGAGGTCAAACGCGCAGGAATACCTGTCGTATTTACTTTGTTCTGTTTCTTGATGCAATTGATAGAGCCATTCATCTTCGTTCACTTTCTTTTCTGAAATTAATTGATAGATGGTTTGTTTGGCGTCGTCTCCGTCCAAAGATAGAGTTTCTACTCCCTTCATAATTGATTTCTTCATTACCATATGAACAGGACGTGAGACAAACCCTTGAAGTGCAATTAAAAGAGAATCATCGGTCAATATGGTTGTTCCAAATGTTTCATTCAAACTTGCAAGTCTCAAAGCATTGCTTGGACAATTTCCAATGCATGCAGCATATTTTGTTTGACTTGTTCCAATATTTCCAACCAAACATTCAGAACGAGAAACTCCAATTCCATATTGTAATGTTGGTAGATTCACTTGATCTCTTAGCTGCTCATTCACAGCCTCAATTTGTTTCCCAAGCTGCAGCGCGCACAACAATGCATTTTTCTCAATATTCTTTCCACTTTCAAACGAGACCATGACAATTTTTGGTGAAATGATGGTACATCTTCCCTTAAATTGTCGGCTGACAGTTTGAACTTTTTGGAAAAACATGGTAAAAACAGCTGATAAATCTGTTATGATTGGATAACACTGTCCATCATAATTCCTCAATTGAATGACGATTGTGGTAGCTATATAGGAAGATAATCCTAATCCTAGTTGAACTGTTTTCCCTAATGTTGCAGATTTTCCAGTCTTATCTGTGGCAACTGACGCTACTGCTGATCTGAGAGTCATGAGCTCTGTGTTTTGGCTTACAGCCAAAGAGGCACTTGGGAGTGAGTTGCTCCCTTTCGAATGACTTCCAATGCTTTGGTGGCTAGATATACTGTTCTTTGACGATTGGTGTTGAAATATTTTTGCTCGCATTTGTCTTAATTGTTCTTCTCTTCTTCTCTCTTCTTCTTCCTGATTCTCCTCTGTCATGTTGTTTAAGAGTGTCTCTGGAATGAACGATCGAATCTCCTTCATTAATGATGCTAATTCTCTAAAAATTACAAACAGGGGTATATATTCTTTTAAAAGATGTCTTAACACTTTTATGGAATCTAATTTCAGGTATCTCAGGTTGTATATTTGCAGTGTAAGTAGATTCAATGGTTTTGATAGGATATGACGTGAAATGATGCATATGGAAGCCACAGATATCAATATAGCCATCAAACAGCATGGCCACACAACCATCGAGATAACTCCTATATCTAAAGCAATGTTTTGACTCCACAATACAATCTGTATGATCCAAATCATCAGACATGTCAATACCAAGCTAACAATTGTAAATAGTATTAAAATAAAGCGAATAGAGCATATCGTATCGATACAGCACGATCTGCCAGTTGAAAAGAGCTCTTGCAAGTCATCCGAGCTAGCTACACTTTCTGAAGGGACATCTTGGTGTAGGTCCTGTGTATACTTTTGAAAGCGATTAGATCCCTGTGCTGAGGATACTGGTGGAAGAGGAGTCACTCGCATGATGAGCTTTGAGGGTCGTCAGAACTGGTGTTGTAGCGACAATTTGTTTTGGTAGTTAAATGGATGGTGATGTTATTGGTGCCAGGCAGTTGCTCAGAGTCGCAACGTTGTCTTATCTCGCACCATGGATTCGCGTACGTCGACTACAACAACTTAATCTCTCATTACCACTCCGTGTACAATTATGTTGTGGTGAACATTTTCAACAATCGCACATGTATATTTGTAGATATTCAGAGTCTAACTTTGAATGTACCAAATTACCCTTCCAGTCAAAACAGCTCATGACAACAACTCGAATAAAATAACCGCCATTCAAATGGCGAAATCTCTCTCAGTTTCTTCAAAATTTGAGTCAGTTATGTGTTTCGGATATTAAAGGAAGTATATCTCGTCGCATTACAAGACAAAGTCAATAAATGGAATATTTGAGTCTGTTTTAGACCCATTCGCAAAGCAAGACAAGTTCGAGACCTTAAAAGTAATCAGAGTAAGGATTCGTAGGATACATCTTGCACGAATGGACAATTTTCAATAGTCATTTCTCTTATTTGTTCTTCCACATACTTGTCATCTCTACCATTTTTCTTAATGTTTGCAAGTTGCGAATGGAGAATTGAGATGACCTTATCATTGGGATCGCTTTGTAAATATGAAGCGAATATACCTTGTATCTCTTCAAGTCTATTCAAGGTTACTTGCCCTTTCAAGCTTTCAAATGTTTGACTATATTTTTCATACTTATTGTTCTCTTCTTGTTGTTGAAGTTCATAAAACCATTCATCGTCTTGAAGCTTTTTCTCAGAAATGAGCTGAATTATGGTTTGTTTTGCATTATCATCATCTAAGGCAAGACTTTCACCTTGAATTATAGACTTTCTCTGCATCAAGTGAACAGGACGTGAGACAAACCCTTGAAGTGCAATTAAAAGAGAATCATCGGTCAATATGGTTGTTCCAAATGTTTCATTCAAACTTGCAAGTCTCAAAGCATTGCTTGGACAATTTCCAATGCATGCAGCATATTTTGTTTGACTTGTTCCAATATTTCCAACCAAACATTCAGAACGAGAAACTCCAATTCCATATTGTAGAACGGGAAGATGCACCTGGGTATCTAGTTGTTCATTCACCGCATCAATATGGTACTGTAACTGAAGGGCACAGAGTAAGGCATTCTGCTCTAAATTCTTTCCACTTTCAAATGAGACCATGACAATTTTTGGTGAAATGATGGTACATCTTCCCTTAAATTGTCGGCTGACAGTTTGAACTTTTTGGAAAAACATGGTAAAAACAGCCAACAAATCAGATACCGTTGGATAGCTTGTACCATTATAATTTCTCAACTGAATGATAATTACTGTACTAATAAACGATTGCAAACCAAGGCCTAATTGAGGTGTATGATGTTTAGCGTTTCCTTTCGGCTCTTTTCTTTCAATGTTTGCAGTGGATCCCAGGGATGGTAGGGAGGGTAAACCAAGCTTTGAAACTGCTTTAGACAACTTTGCGGGATGTCCTGACGTGGCACTTTTGATGCTATGAATGCTGCTGATGGTTTGAACACTGTTTTGTGTCACTAATTTTCTCTTCATTTCTGTAAGCTCTTGTTCTCTTTTATGCTCCGCTTTAACTTCTTTCTCATTAAAAAGGATATCATCATCGGCAACATCTCCAATTAGAGTCTCTGGAATAAAAGATTTGATCTCTTTCATGAATTCTAAATAATCTTCAAGTATTATTGTTAATGGAAGAAACTCTTTGAAAATAGATTTCACAGGAACGATGCTCTCTAATTTCAAATCTCTCATCAAGCTCACTTGTTTCACAAGAGCTCTCAGGGGTTTTGATATAAAGAACCTGGATATGAAATAGCACATGATGGTGAACACAGGAAGGACACACACCAATGAGAATCCAACAATCATGGAAATTATTTCCATGTTAATGACAATATTCTGACTCAATAAGATCATAGACGGAATCCATATCAATAAACCTGTAATGAAAAGGCTCGCCGTTGTCAATAATATGAACACCGTGCTCACTGAACATAAGGTGTCCATGCAACAACCTCGTCCTGTTTCAAAAAGATCGTCATCATTCTCAGTATTATGATGACTATTGGATGAGGAAGAAGAGGCCACAGGTACAAAAGTGGTCGGCATGATTCGATTTCCATGATAGCCAGTATGTACCTCACTTCGTGGAGGAGCAAACGACTCTGTACCACCAACGGAAGGAGGATGAGCGGAGCTGCCTCTTCTAGAGCTCGGAACCGCAAAAACATCAAAGGATTTATGACTTCCACTGTGGCTGCTTGTCCCAATGATCTGAATGCTTGGAGTAGAACCTAATAAATTGCTTGAACTCAATAAAGGGGTAACCCTCATCATGATTTTTTTTAATTGTGGTGGCGAGAGAGTGCAGAGTCGGAGCGATGCAATGTTTAAGGCTTGCAATAAATTTTCTTTTTTTTTACAGGCCCTACACCCATGTTTGGACCGGTATTGGGCGAAACAGTGGTGAGGAATTGCCAAATAAAGAAAGCCACAGCCACATATCGATCCTACTATCACAACATGGAACATGTTCATCATAAATTCATGCAATGAACCTTTTGGATTTGTCTCAAAATTTCCAGACCTTATTCATAATTTTAGCAAGTTTCCATGTTGAGTAAGATCATCACCTGTCCGCTATATAAATGCCATTTGTCTTTAAACAAAATTGCACAATTACAAACTAAGTTCAAATAAAATTTGGGCACAATTCACACAAAGGCCTCTGATCAGTGTGATTGGAACAAAAGCGACGACACAAAAATCTTCTCTCAACAATCCTTTTCATCGTCAAAGGTTTTGAGAGAAAAAACAACAGCAAGAATCAGAGAAAGAACATGTCTGGGCCCATTCAACCAATCAGCAGCAACTTGGCTTCAAACAAAGAGAGCAATGAACGAGAAGGTACTCCAACTGCTATTTTTCTTGATCATCATTCACAACCAACCACCACAGCAACCACGAGTGCTGACCTTCCATCCACACCACCGCCACCACAATCTTCATCTCCATTGATTGGAAATACCACTTCTGACGCGGATAATGAAGAATTTCATGAATTGGTCACTGATCTCAATCGTCAAATGGGAGTTTTGAAATCAAAGAGAAGTATTTTCAAATACTTGTTGTTTTCATGTTTTGGATTGTTCGTTGCATTGAGTACAGTCTACTTTTTGGTTGGTTTGTGTGTCTATTTCTTGGTCGATTTTGGAAACATCACTCAGGGACCATTTTCTTGTCTTTTACTCGATAAGGATTGTTATACGAGACAAGGAATTGTTGTCTGCAGAGCCAAGGTGATCTATGCATTCAGAGAATTCCTCACCGTCGATGAATATCCAAGTGATAGTCCCATATGGCCTTCTCATCTCAGATCCCAAATGACTTGTTATAAGAATCAAAAAACAACTCAAATTGCTCTTCGACCCATAGTATTATACAATCCTTCTGGAATTCTCATTTCATCCTGTGTCTTGTTTGGAGTGGCTGGTTTAAGTCTTGCCATTGTCTTGTCCGTATTCTCTGCCTTCAAAGCAGCATCCAAAAAGAAGAACAAAGTGAAATTCTATCAACAACAAGCCTCCGATTGGATGAGACGTAGAAGATCTTCGACGGTATCCAATGAAGGAGCTGAGAATGCTGAGCCAACTTTACAGGAAGAGACAAAACCAATTTTGACCTCTACTCCACATTACAGTGCCATCACGAATCAATAGATGCATCATGACATTCCTTAGATACTGCACGGTTTCCTCCGACATGTGTGTTTGGAATGAATGTATTGGAATGAGAAAGAGCAGTGCAATATTACCGTATGGAGACTCTCTTGAATGAGGCCATTCAAAGGAATGACTTGCCCTTTTTGATTGTTCATTCAAATTTCTATAAAACATAATTCTATTTCTTTGAAGATGATGCATGTAATTTCTTAATGACTCCATAAATATAATCAAAATTGGGTCGATCTCTTGGATCTCTCGACCATGAGCGTTTCATCAATTCAAAGTACTGATCCACAATTTCAATATTCACATTGAGTAAATAAATGTTGCACCACTCCAACATTTGTTCCTTGTTATGAAATGGAATTTTTGGTCGTAACCCTTTAGACACCACTTGAAGGCAAATACTAAATGGATTGACCAATTGATTTTGAATGTCATGATTTGAATTCAATGCAAAGGAGTCATTATCGAACATATTCATCTTGTCACCTGTGTATTTTGAATAGGGTGACTCTTCAAAAAACAATTCCCTTCATCACCAAAGAGTTGGAGTTTGTTTTTAAAATAATCATTCAGGCATTGAGTTAGTTCATAATTTGGTCATTTGTTTTTGAAATAATATACATTTCACATTGGAATTTGTGAAATATAAATGACAACTTACCACATAATAATTGCATAGCTATAAACATCTGTTCGTTTTGCAAGATCTGATGAAGAAATTGAATCATCTTCAATACTTTCATTAATAGAGTATTGGTGATGCTCTCCTTGACTAAATGATTCTGGTGATGAATAGAAGAGTGTTCCAATGTTGTACGTCATGGTTGATCGATCAGTATGGTTCGAAATCAATTTAGAAGTACCAAAATCACAGACCTTAGCAACTCCATTATCAGCAAGCAAAATGTTAGCAGGCTTCAAGTCACGATGAATGATATTCTTTCCATGCAAGTAGATCATACCAGCAGATATGTCTAACAGTATTTTGAGCTATCAAGATCAATGGTCGTTAAAATTTCATCATCAAATAATTCATCACAAAAAAACACAAACCTTTGTCGTCATGTCTAACTTTTTAGACTTTCCATTTCTGCATTCGGTAATTAATTTTTCTAAACTTCCTCTCTGTAAATACTCAACGACGATGAACTTTTTCGATTCGGTGAGGCACACACCAAAGAATGTCACAATATGTGGATTTCTCAACTGACTTAACAAATAGACTTCCTTTTCAAAATCTTGGTTCACAGATTCTTCGTCTGTGTTTTCTTGAATCACTTTGACAGCAACTTCGCTGGTGCCATTCAAAATTGCCTTAAAGCAGACACCAAAAGTTCCTGCTCCAATCTTTTCAACAAAATTCAATTCATTTGAAGGTATAATGTAACTCTGATGGTGATCATGATGATGCTTCATTGATGCAAGTAAGGGAGTTGTGTCTTTTACAATATAAGAAATTTCTTGACGTCTAATTTTCTTTTCAATTTCTCTTTCAGCTTTTTCCCTTTCATTCAATTTGTTAATTTTAACCATTAGACGCCGAATGAACACGGATGCAATAGTTCCAATACTCACACCAATCAAAAGTGTCAATACAGACATGACAATAATGAGAGGCATTAACATGATGAAGGAACTTTTTTTCCTGCAAGAAGCTACCACTAAATTTGAATACATTTCATAATCAGATGGACATTCTCGAAGTGTGAGATCAATAGGGAATTTGAGCTTACTGAACCTCACAATGAGTGTCACATTATTTGGAATAAAAGTATAGGAGACATCAATTCCAACATCAAACAACACTCCGTTAGCATTATTTGTTTCCACTGAAGTTAATCTTAATAAATTTGTTGCATTGACAATCAAAATTTCCATTATTTCATCATTTTGTGGGATGACATGACCATAGCTGTCATAAAACTTGGTAAATGTCAAATTACATTTTTGACCTAAGAAAATAGAGTTTGTATGTAGTGGAGAGGAGTTGTCATCCATATATCTCAATTGCCATTCCACTCTAGCAATAGTTGTGGCTTTGTTTTGTCCATATCCAGCAATTACCTTATTATCTTCAACATTCAGATTACGTTCCACAAAAATGTTTGTAGAATTTTTTAAGAATAGACCTCCACCTGCATAGTATGCAGTATTGTGTTTGACATCTACATTCTCTAAAATAGCTCGTGTATCTGATTCAATAAATATGCATCCACCCCTGATGGCTGCATTATCATGACAGTCAATATTCGTCATGATTACTGTTGTTTGGGCTTGTTGTTCTTTGCCAGTATATTCAAGAGTGATGGCAAGAGCACCTCCTGAACCGATATTCTGTTTGGAGTTTTCCGTGATACGGGGATAAGTAACGCTATTATCGTAAAATTTGCTCATGGAGATCTCAATTAGTGATGGGTGAATACTATAAATGGCTCCACCAAAGAGCTCAGCTCTATTTCCATTAAATACACATAGTGTGACGAGCACATGAACTTTACGTGATGCAAATATTGCACCTCCTCCTTGAGCTATATTACTTCTGAAGGTGCTTTGAAAGATGGAAGCGTAAGTGGTATCTTTTGTTGAAGATATTAGTATGGTTCCATATACACTCACTTGATTTCTATAAAAGTGACAATAATTTGCTTGTATTTTGGTCACTTCGATAATGCTCATAATTGAATTTCTTCCAATATTATTCTCAAAAAGAATATCATCAAGGTAAAAATGTTCAACGTTTTCTGCTCGAATGGTAGAATCTGTAAAGTTACTGTGAAGGAATTGAGAGTTAGAAATATCGATAGAAAAGGAATTTTCTAAATACAATGCAGTTTTGGCATTCACATTATATACCTTGCTATCTATAAATGAAAAGAAAAATACCAAATTGATATGAATTAGTACTTGTGGTCTCTCCATTACATTCAATTGAGAATCCATTGTGGAAAATTCGGATCTAGAAATGTTCACAGATCTCACTACTGATAACTTGAGAGGCGTTGAGAAACATTGTGTATTAAAAATGGAAGTGTCGTCAATGTCTTTGGCCTGAATTTCTGAATTATAAATGGAGCTTTCATGCAATGAAAACGTATTTGCTCCAGCAAACGAAGCGAAAGAATTAACCATTGTCATATTTTCGAACAATATCTTATCAGGACCAACAAAATCAAGAGTGACATTTTGAATCTTTCCGTCACAAAATAGTACATGCGATGTTTTACATTCAGATGCAACATTTTTCATAACAGAATCATGCATCACATAAATGCAATCTACCTCGATATTTTCCAGTCGTACTCCTATCGCTGCAATTGCTCTCACAATCTGCAGTTGTCTGATATTTGTGTACTTTTCAAAAAGTTGTCCATCATACTTTGAACAATCAATGAATGGTTTTTCATGAGTGTTCAATCCTAGCGTCGATCGTTGATGTGACTCGGAAATAAAAATCACAGAGACTCGAAAATTGTATTGAAAAAGGTAATTCGCAGGAAAGGCAAATGGAATTTTACAATTTTCATCTTGGTTCAATAAATCCTTGACAATAACCATACGAAGAATGACTTGTGTGCATGGCGTAGAGTTTGCCTTCTCATACAGTTGTTCAATGATTGGCACTGAATAATTAAATGCTTTTCGCAATGATGAACAAATAACTGTTGAATGATTGGCATTATCCACCAAGTTGCAATCTTCATTCGTAATCCATACATCATCAGGATTAATAATAAAAATTAATTCTTTTCGAAATGAACATCCCTCCGACATGAGTTCAGAAATGTCATACGAAGAACAATTCACTTGACTCGAAATTTTAAAAGTATTTCGGAAAGTTCTTTCGACATGGAGTGTCTCCTCTGAAGGAGCAAATAATTGTAAAGACTTGTTCGTCCGAGTGAAATTGTTGTTGTTGTGGAGATGATATAGAGACCACTGTGGTATTGAAACATTTTGTTTTGGGTGTGGATTGGCATCAATCATTGAAAAAAACAACAAGAAGAAGACGAGAGAGAGGGCGGTTCTGCTCATTATGATTTTTCCAAACTTGTGCTGTCGGTCAGCATTGGTAAATGTATTCGTTAGTAGGAGTAGTAGTGTTGGTCTTCGTTGAATACTATTACTCGAGCGAATTGATTTTTTGCCTGCGTTGTTATTGCTACCTTGTTGACAATTTTGGGTCGACATCCGCCGGTGGATCATGAGATTTTTTCGTTGTTTCAAAAGGGTAGATAATCACGAGAAGAAATGAGGCGAAATTTTAATGATCTCATCCTCGTGACTCAATTTGTCGAGTTGTTGAGATTGCTATAGAAAATTATTATTATTATTCAAGTGTGCATTTTCCTTAGGTTTATTAATCCTAGCTTTAAAAACACTGAAATTTACACACCCAACTTTTGTTCAAGTTTCATGTTAAATTGTTCACACTGAAGCATGGCAGGTGTTTTTCGAGCAGTATTCGTAGGAAGCAATCTCTTCCGATTGTTCACAAACCATGTCTCTAATTGGTCCTTTGTCATGGACACTTTTTCCAATAATTCTTCCTTTTCCTCATCTGTTGGATAAGGATATTCAGCATGTTGATGGAGCCAGTCAATCAAAAGTTCCTTATCCTTCTTTGAAAAATTGCTTCTCTTTCTCTTCTTGGAGGACGAGCAATCGACGGAATTGGAATCATTTTCTCCATAGACGTCTCCTCTTGCTGCGGTAGAAACTGAATCTTGTGGAGAGTTTGATTCTGCTTGAGAAGAGCTACCTCTTCTGGATCTCTTCTTCAAGTTGGTATTGGAAAGAAATTCTCTAAATTCTTCCTCAATATTTCTCAATGTGGATGATAATTGAGAATCGTATTGACTAAAAGTATTTTCAATTTCATGAAGAGTGGTTGAAAATTTGGCTTCCATAATTTTCTTAAACATGACATCAATGTTGGTGGCACCATTGTTGGAGGAGGAGGAGACTGTGGAGGAGTTGTTGTTGTTGTTGTTGAGAGAAGTTGTATGAACTTGATGATGGTGATGGTGGGAGGGAGAGTTTGAAAGTGCACTCGGAAAACGATGTTGTTGGGAAGTTTGTGTTGTTGTTGTTGTTGTTGTTGGAAGAGCGTAAGAGGCAGAGGAGGTCGTGTGGGAAGAGTTGAATGAAGAGGAAGGATGAGAAAATGGTCGAGATGGTTGTTGATTGTGATGATGAGGATGGTACATGGGATGGTTGTTGTTATTATTCGTCTTTGCATGCTTCATGGACGCCGTGGATGGCATGGCTGTGACCAGCGAAGATTTGATCATCGTTTTAAAAATTAGATGAGTTGATAAGCGAACTTGTGAGTTGACTGCAAGTTTGAAAAATGACAGAAAGAAGAGTTGGTGATGTCTCTTTTTCTTTAGAAAAGAGTGAACAAAATGAGGCAACATGATGCCATTTTGTAGAATGACTTGGCGCTCATTTTGTAGTTGCAAAAATGTCAAGTGTCATTCGAGTTGTATTTATGAACGGCCCAAGCTTAGTGAGCTCATGTGAAGTGGAGGGAATTGTAATTCCGTGTCGAATAACTTCGATCGATGTAATTACAAAACTCGCGGTCAAATTGTATCAGCAATCATCCAAAAGTGGATGTGTGTTCATATTCTTAAGGACACAACCACACAAATGACATAGTTTGCCCTAACTCACATAATTAGACACATAAACTCTTAATTTTTCAAAACTCCCTCAATATCACCCACACCAACTCTTAAAGCACTCAATCCACGATTCCACTTTGAAATTACGACAGCTCAGTTTAAAGTCCATGATTGACGGTCATCCTTTCCGTTCCCCGCCCATCCTAACCGTAATTTCAAGTTCAAAAAAAAACGCTTGTTGCGCATCATCATGATTTCATTCAATCAGGGAAAGGCCACACAAAACTCATCAAAAGGATTGTGGCATCCGAATATTGATACGAGAGGAAAGAAAGGAACATATGCTGTTATTACGAAAGGAGAGTTTGAAGGCATAGTGAGTCAAATCAAACAAGAAAGAGATTCAGAAGAAGAAAAGATGGAGAAGAAGCGACAACTCAAGGAGTTATCCGATAAAAGAGTTCAAAATTGGGGTAACACGATCGATGCTGTAAGAATAAAACAAGAGCAAGAAAGGGAGGAACGGCTCCGAATGAAGGAAGAAGAAAACCAACGCTTGGAAAGAGAAGAAGCATTGTATCAAGCCGAGATCAAAAGAAAGCAAATTGAAAAATTGAACAAGATGAGAATGATGGAAGATGATAGAGTGAAGGGTTTCTCTGGAAAGATGTTATTAGGAGAAGTTTTGAAAGAAAGAGAGAGACAAATTGAGATCAAGAAGCAAATAGAACAAATGGATCGAGAAATTGAAAATGAATGGTTCATGACACAAAAAAGAACAGCTCCTCAAAACCGCTCAAGAAAAGCAGGCACAGGCACAAGAAGCAAAAGAAAAAGCTAAAGAGCTCAAACTCGAGCAAGAACGGCAATTAGAAGAAATTAGGCAAATGCATTTGAAGAGAATTGAGGAGCTTGAAAAAGAAAAAGAGCAGATGAGGCAGCATTTATTGGCTCTGTCACAAGAGGAAGAAGAAAAGAAGCGAAAAAAGAAAGAAAAACAGTTAGAAAGAACAGAACAGTTCAAGAAGGAGAGAGAACTTCAAGAAGAACGAAAGAAGAAGCTCGCGGAATTGGAAAAAGAGGAACAAAGAAAGATAATGGAATTCTCGAAAGAAAAGGAAGAAAAAAGAGAAGAACAAAGGAGAAGAGAAGAGGAGCGAACGAGAGAAAAAGTTAAATCTCGACAGAAGCTTATCGACAAGCAAGCAAGAATGCTAGAAGAGATGAAGGCGAACGAAAAAGAACGATACATCAAACAAGAACAAGAAATGGAAGAGAAAAAGAAGGAGGAAGAAGAACGACAAGAACAAAAACGAAAAGCTTTTATGGAGACAGTTGACAATAGTAGAAAGCAACAAATACAATTCAAAAAGATGGAAAAAGAAAAAGAGAAGGAAATTGACAAAATTTACGCACAACAAGCGAGAGAGCGATTTAAGCAAATGGCCATTGAAGACTTCATTGAAAAGAAGCAACAACAAGAATCAAGCAAACAAGTCCAAGAATATCAACTTGCTCAAGCTTACGAGAAAGAACAAAAGCGAATTGAGGAGCTCAAGAACGTCAAAAAAGAAGCCATTTTGCTGGAAAAAGCAAGGAAAAAAGAAGAAAAGATGCTCTCGAAATTTATTCGAGAAAATATTCTTACAACAGAGCATGATGAAGGGTTGATCGATACTAGACCTGCCATTGATTACGCTCGAAAGAATAAAATTGTGCTGTAATGAATGGAATTTACAAAAACGAATTTCAAATAATTATTTGCTTGATCACCTAAACTCCAGCTCAACAGTAACATGTGTGATTTCGTGGCCAATCGGTCGAGGCAATTTGAAGGACAATTTGATGAGACCACTCTCATTTAAAAGTAGATCTTTCACCAATGTTTTCGAATTTATGTGACTGTCAGAATCATTTGAATTGTGATTTTCCGACAGAGTTGGTGCTGTTTTGAATTGATTTGATATTGATGAAATTATATTCCATTCTCCATGGTCAACATCCACAAAAAGAAGAGCTGAAATGCATTCTTCGATCCTCGATAAAGAGTCATTCCGATGAATATGAAATTCATTGGTAATATGTATTGTTTGTTTCACTTGTATTTCATTTTGTTGTGGAGTCACTTGAAGAGGTTTTAACACACTCAACGCATACGACACACGAACTGTGATGGCATCTGCTCCATTCAGCAACTCGATCATTTTTTAAAATTGATGGTCGAATCAATTTTAATTGGCAATCACCTCTACTCAAATAGACTTGGTACCTCATTGGCAGATGTATTGTGATTTTATATTACACTTATCCTCGACTCGATTTGTGTAATTGCATTCGTGCAAATTCAGTTCCTTTGTGCACACAAATAATAAAAAACCCAATCCAAAAAATTTATTGATGATGATTTAAAAAAAATTCTCTCCATCACACAAACACCGTCATCATCATCTCTTCATCAGCAGAAATGACAGAAAATAGAGAAATTCTGAAGGCTGTTGGATTGAACGAGAAGGATATTTTCAATCTTACAAAGAATGAGGCTTTAACAACAAAATTCCTTCAAACTATCAAGGATCTACAAATACCAATTGAAAGCAAATCAGAGGCTTTCAATTACTCTTGCGGACCTCTCATTTTGAAACTCATTCAATCTGTGCCCGATACATACAGCCACCGATTGTTAATGGCAGAGTATATTGCGAAGGGTAAAATCAAGAGTGGTGTTCAAGTAGAAGAGGCTATCAAATATGCCAAGAAGGGTGATCAATCATTCAATGTTACTGAATTCGAACAAGAAGCTGGTGTTGGTGTTGATGTGAACGAAGAGGTGGTCTCTAAATATGTCTCTGAATATTTTGAAAAGAACAAGTCAAACATTTTGAAAGTTGGACCAAATGCCGGAAAGCATGTCGGAGCTATTCGTAATGAATATAAATTGCTGAAATTTGCTGACGGTAATGTTGTCAAGCAAGTGGTTGAAAAGCAAGTTCAAACATTCTTTGAACAAAATAAGAACTCTGCTGCAGTCGAAGAGCCAAAACAAACAGACAAGAAGGAAACTGTTGCAACAACAACAACACCACAGGCACAAAAGAAGGTCTATAACTTTGATGCTCGTTTTCTTGAAACAGCTGTAAACCCACCTGAACTATTGGAAAAACACAAGCAAGCAACTGGTGGTAAAGTTATGACTCGTTTCCCACCTGAACCAAACGGATTCCTTCACATTGGTCACGCTAAGGCAATGAATTTATCCTTTGGATATGCCATGTCAGAAGGTGGATATACCTATCTCCGTTATGATGACACTAACCCTGAAAAAGAAGAAAAGATTTACTTTGATTCCATTAAAGAAATGATGGAATGGATGGGATTCAAGCCTTTCAAAATTACCTACACCAGTGATTACTTTGATCAAATGTACGACTTTGCTATTCAATTAATCAAAGAAGGAAAAGCATATGTTGATTTCTCATCAAAGAAAGAAATTCATGATCAAAGAGAAAACAAGATTGAATCAAAATATAGAAATACTTCCCCTGAAGAAAACTTGAAGAGATTCGAAGAAATGAAGAAGGGCATGTACGAAGAGGGCCAAGCTGTTCTTCGTGTTAAAATTGATATGAATAGTGACAATTACAATATGAGAGACTTTGTTGCTTATCGTATCAAATACACAGCTCACCCACATCAAGGAGACAAGTGGTGTATCTATCCAACCTATGACTTTTCCCACTGCATTGTTGACTCCCTGGAGAATATTACTCACTCCTTGTGTACACTTGAATTTGAGAACCGACGTGATTCCTACTATTGGTTATTGGCTGCTTTGAATCTTTACAGACCACATGTTTATGAGTTCAGCAGATTGAATATCACAACTGCCTTACTTTCAAAGCGTAAGGTCTTGGCATTGGTTAAGAACAAGACAATCCGTTCGTGGGATGATCCAAGAGTGTTGACTTTGGCTGGTTTGAGAAGACGTGGTTATACACCTGAAGCAATCAAGTCATTCTGTGACGACATTGGTGTCACACGTGTTGAAAATTTGATTCCTATTGAAAGACTGGAGCAATCTCTTCGTATGGATTTAGATGAACGTGCTAATCGTGTTTTCGCTGTTTTGGAACCTCTGAAGGTTGTTCTTACAAACTATGATGCTGACAAGGTTGAATATGTAGAAGCAAAGAATCATCCAAAATATGCCGACAGAGGCTCTCGCCAATTGCCATTCTCAAGAATTCTCTACATTGAAAAGTCCGACTTCAGAGAAGTTGACTCTGAAGACTATTACGGCCTAGCTCCTAATAAGACTGTAGGTCTTAGATTTGCTCCTTGCAATATTCATTGCGACAAGGTTGTCAAAGATGAATCTGGTAATATTGTTGAATTGCACTGTACTGCTGATTTTGAGAAGAAAGTCAAACCAAAGACATTTATTCACTGGTTAGCTCAACCTGCTCCTGGTGTTGATCCAATCACAGCTGAGGTTAGATTGTATGAAAAATTATTTACTGTTGACGATTTAGATGAAGTTGGAGACAAGTGGATGGATTATATCAATCCAAAATCAGAAATTGTCATTCAAAATGCATTTGTGGATCCAGTATTCAAAAATCCAAAGAATCGCCAAATTTACGAGAAATATCAATTCGAGAGGGTTGGATTCTTTGTTGTTGATCAAGACACGACTGATGAGAAGTTAGTTTTCAACAGATCTGTGACACTCAAGGTCGATCCCAAGTTCGTAAAATCATTGAAATAAACGAATACAATCTTATTGCATTTAGTTTGAAAAATCTTTTGGTGTTTAATTCGCTTTTGTTTTTATCCAAAAACCTCATTCAGGCGTTGACAATAATTCACTCCTCGCTCTTTTCGTCTCAACCAAGCTCGTTTGTCGTTATCTGAAGAGGAAGCTTGCTCATAGAATTTTTGTTCTGTACACCTATTGGACAAGTAGTTCTTGTAGTCAGATAGAACTGTTTTTCGGTATTGAGTGTGAATTGTGTCCCCATAAATAGCCAATACTCTAGGAGAGTAATAAATTGGTATTTCAATATTTTTCCCTCTTGGAGAGTAAAGCACAGAACGCTGTTCAGTAAATGAGCCAATTTGTTCGAAATGATAATATCCATTTCCATACATTTCATTGTAGCTTGCTGATGGTTTTTGAGGGAAAAAATTGCTGAAAAATGAAGGAAGCACTGAAAGGGCAAGTATAAAGAAAATGAGCGAGAGTTGAATGCAACCAAATGCGAAAGATGGAGTATTTTGAGCTTCTGTATCTTCTTCACGTTGATACTGTCGTCTCTGCCTCCGTTGATGAGGTGACATGTATACATTTCTTGCTCCAAACATTTGAGAAAAAAGATCAAAAAATATTTCATCTTCATCCATGCCACCTCCATAATAATAAAATCCTCCATTTGTAGGGAAGACACCTCTTCTTCTTCCAAACATGGCTTCCTGCTGACTCATACCAATTTTTTGTCGATCCTCTGTACCATACGTGTCGTATAATTTCCTTTTTTCATCATCGCTTAAACACATATAAGCGGCTCCGATAATTTTAAAAGCCTCAGTGGCTTCTGGCACAGAATTTCTATCAGGATGGAATTTTAGAGCCAGTTTTCGGTATGCTTTTTTGATTTGTTCTTTAGTAGCAGTCTTCTCAACTCCTAAAACTTTGTAATAATCATCTTTTAGTTTCAATAGAGCTAGTACTTCTTGTCGTTGCTCATTTGTGTAGGTTGGAGTTGAAGGAGAATCATCTGCTGCTGAAGATGATGTCTGGCTGCTGCTTGCTGAAGATGATGTTGAATTTGATCGAGAGGTTGATGGATTGGATGATCCATGATTTGAACTTTTGTGATGTCTCTTTGAAAGGATGTATCCGAGTAAATCATCCAATGATTTGAAATGTCTGTCAAAACCATGTTCGGATGGGTTTATGTCTTCATAGAGTTTTTTAGCTTTGTTGATGAGACGAATTGCTTTGTCATAACATTCATCGGGGTTGGATGATGATGATGCTTCAATAATGGCTTCTTTTACAATATGAAGGCATTGAATGGCCGAATCTTTGTTAGCCTCCATGATAGTGATTGAAAATATAAATAAATATATTGAACGTCTTCACTTGACGTTAAAGATGTATGAATATTATTATTATTAAAAATCAAACAATGAGATCGGAAGATCGGAAAGAGTGTCTTTGTCTTCAAAATATTTTTTTGAAAGAAAACATTCTCTTTCATTATCCTCCACTCAAAATTGAAAGCGCAAGCCAACTTCCAAAACACACGTGTTCAACGTTGAATGGAAGGTTTATTTCTCCATCATTCGAATGTACTTATTGATTCTTCTGTCACTGAGTCTACAATCAACATTAATGATGGAAAACAAAGAGATTATGTCAAGATCTTGGAATTGATTTGTTGCTGCTGAGAGATGTGTCAAAAAGTACATTGCTCTTTCATAGTCTGCATGAAGCAATTCTTGTTGATAATAGATTAAAATGCCAATAGTGCATGAATAAAGGTACAAGCGACCATGCACGAGATAACCATCCCAAATTCTTGCAACAACGTCTAATGGAAGAGACTTGCTGAATAGAGTCATGAACCAATCGATGATAAACACAGAAAACTCAATTTGCAATTCCTCTACTAGGTGTTTGTAGAGTGGCATATTATGCTCCCTTAGCAATATTCGCACAAATTTCACATGCTTATCAATATAATCTGTGTTCATGCTGAAGAATGGTATGAAGTGGTTACTGCTGTATAAGGTGTGATAATTGGCCGTAAATGCAGCAGTTCTCTTCTTTGGACCAAATAACAAGGAGGATACAATGGAGGAAGCAGAGGAGGAGGACGTAGTAGCAGAAGTGGCGGCTGCTCCAGCAGGTGTTCCAACCAAACTCATCGCTAGTGGATTGGAATTACACTTAGATCTATGAAGTAAATTGCAAAAACAGACAAAAGCATCATACTCGTCCATATAAAGTAAAAGAGTAGCGACAATGTAACTCATTCCTTGCACATAGCCAATATCAGGTCTGAATTTTGAGTAGCATTCTAAAATTGTTTTGAATGGTTGATAATAAGGACCGTCAGGATATTGGAAAAATTGTAATGCTGGAAATGTTCTCGAAAGATCTACCTGTATCAAATCAATTGATGATGATTGTTTTTCAAAATTGGTAGGAATGTTTCTCTTGTCCTTCAAAATTGCGTAAAGTTCTATGGAGCATTTTCAACTACTTGGGGTAATTATTAATTACTTACCTGGTGTAATTTGTAGCTCATTTCCGACAGACATTGGCCATATTTTGCTTCTTAGTGGACTTGGTATTCCATTCTTGTACCACTTTTTGTACATTGTCTTATCAATACACCCATACTTTTCAATATGCGGCATTATTGTATTGTGCCAATAATCAATATTGTTTTGGATTATTTCTTCCTTTTCTTTCTCTTTTTTGAGTTTTTCCTTCTCTTTCAAAGATTTTTCTATCAATTGCTTTTGTAGTTTGATATTTTGTTGAATCATGTCTATTGTTATTTCTCCATTTTCAGCTGTTCTTAGAGAAGACCTTTTTTGCTCTCCGCTCGACAAAACTGAAGATGAGGTCGTAGAAGATGATGAGTTTGACGTGGTTGAACTGCTCCTTGATCTGAGTTCCGTGCTAGAGCTTGTTGCTGAAAGAGTAACAGTTCTTGCCTCGCTGAACGTTGGTTGTGGAGCAAATTCTTGAAGGTGATGAATCTTTCCATGATGTTCATCATGTTCTTCCCCTTTAGTGTGGGAGTCATGACGGTGATGATGGGCATCGTGGGGTGTTGTTTCTTGATGAGCTGTTGGTGGATGGATATGCGTGCCATCTACATGATCAATTTTGATACTATTAGCATCATGATGAGTTTCGTTGTTTTGTACAATCTTTTGTTGTAATTGGTGATGATGAGCTTCAAAAGCGTCATTGTGATTCAGGTGGCCTGAATTCTTTCCAACCACTGCCTCATCGATGCTATTCGTAGGAGTGGAGTACGTGAGCTCAAACTCATCATCCGATGAAGAACCAGACATGTTGATATTTTGTGATAATGTGTTGTGTATTATGAGCAGGAACAAATCCGTTGGTCAATGTCCACCCCGATAATGGCTCTGTTTGCTGGGAGAGGAAGGTTTAATCTACGATCGTCGATTTTCTTCGAATTTTTTTGGCTCTATCACCACAAGAATTTATCACCAACCACCTCTCATAATTGGCAATTAACGTTTTCAATGATGATAATTTCAATAACACCTAGAGTTGTTTTGATGGAAAGGCAGTAACGATGAATTGGCTCGGAAAGTTTTACACGTAAGTTTGAATCCGACGAGGAATTATAAAAGTAAAAAATTTCTGTTCGTTGGTTTACCTTTGTTGTGAGTGCAGCCGTCAGGAGAAATTACCACTCTCACCCTCATCATCGTCATCACATCGTCCTCCGAGAAGAAATCATAATTTAGTGAGTGAATACTTGGCCAAGTTATCATCACGGATACATTGTAAATTTTATGCTCTGGAATATGGATAATAATAATAACAACAAACAATTATTATCTTCACTGTTGTTGTAAATTGCTGCCACCCAACAATTATTGCGGAATAGTAATCACAACATGCCTCCACAAAATTTGATACATCATCATTTAACAAATCCTTTTGGGTTAAGTTCTTCCATCGACACATCATCCATACGACTCCAGAGACTTTCTGGAGAGATACCTCCTCGGTTAAGTTTAAACATTTCCACCAGAGTGATCATCCTTTTAATTTTCCTTTCAATTTTGACTTTCCTTTGTACATATGTGCCGACAGAAATGTCATTCAATGACGACTCCACTTTCATGTTTGTGAAAGGAGAAAAAACAAACGAACAATTAGCAACCAACTTGACAACACGACAAATAACCACTTCAAGAGTTAAAAAACCTTCAAAGAGAGAGACATCTAATAATTTATCACTTGTTTACAAGAATGACTACTTGTCACAACATCGGTTTACTTATCTTGTCACAACACTGAATGGCCATGTTCATGCAATTGATCAGTTCAACCTTCAAACTCTTTGGGTGGCAGACAAAGTTGGAGGGCCATTGATACGTACTTCCAAACAGTACAGCGAGATCCAAGTCATACCATCAATTAATGGAAATCTCTATTTATACAAGCAAGGAGAAGGTATCCAAAGACTTCCAATGTCAGTGAATGAGCTTGTAAACAAAAGCCCGTTTTATGGAAATGACGGAACTCTCTATGTCAGTTCAAAAACAAGTGACGTTTTTCTTATTAATATCCATACAGGAGAAATTGTGGAAGATTCAAAAGCTGATTATCTTGATATTATAACGCTTGTCAGAGTGAACTACAATGTCATGTCATTGGATGCTCATGACAATTCCCTGATTAAGTGGAATTTTACATACTCTGAAATTTATCCTTTATATCAAGAAAGAGTGGAAGACAAAATGGGAGCTCTTTCAACAGTTGACAATCATTTATATTTATTCAAACGTAAATCGAGCAGAAATATTGCTGGTACCATTGGTCAAGCTGTCTCTCTTGCCTTTGAATCTCAACCAATGTCTGTTTATCGTCAGCTAAATGTTGCTCACAGAATTACTTCAAGCCCTCAATCTGATAAGTATAGAGACGAGTTTGTGTTCAGTAGGATTATCATGCCTATACAGGAGCTGTCAATATCCATCCTAACACAACAGAATGAACAAACGATCCATATCAAGCACAACAAGTTAATAGATTCGTTCTATGCATTAGAACTTCCAAAAAATTTGCCACTAGTAATTGTATCTGACAAGAAAAGCCTATCTCTTCAAAGCAATGACGATGTTTTAACATTGCCTTCCATAGATGTTCAAGAACCTCCAAGAACAACCACTCTCAACAACAAACTTGCTAACAATGACAATCAACTGTTGATTGATAATAAGGTGTGGAACACCAACGATATAATGAATGACAAGAAGAATAATAATTCTCATGACCAAGCAGTTGAGAATTATACTCTAATTGTGGAAAACCAAGATGACATTCATCCAAATATTGTTCAAAAAGATGATCAATATTACTACATATTGAGTGAGGACGAAGAAAGTGGTGCTCAGTTCGATCAGAATTGGCATGAAAAGTTTACTGTAGCTTTTATTAGCGCTAGCTTGATTGCTGTTCTCTCCTTAACTACCATTGCAATAGTGATTTTCATAAAACAACGTGAAGAACGAAGAAAAAAGAGAAAGGAGAGAGCTTCTGAGGAGGCAAAAGAGGCTTCTGAAAAAGCGTTAGATTCTTCAGATACTAATGAAAATTCAACAGGCACAACTAGTTCTTCTTCCTCAGGAGCAATGCCTGTAGCTAGCAACATCAATAGTTCCGAATATACCATTGGAAACATTACACTTTTCTATAATGAAATTCTTGGATATGGAAGCAATGGTACAATAGTATATAATGGAGTACTGAAATACAAGATTAATGATTCATATATTGTCAGAAAGGTGGCCGTGAAGAGAATGTTGAAGGACTTTGTTAAATTTGCTCAAAAAGAAATTTCGCTTCTCATCGAGAGTGATAGCCACACCAACATATTGAGATATTACGCACAGGAAGAGGATGAACAATTTATATACTTGGCTTTAGAACTGTGCAATGGAGGAACACTGGAACAATACTTACAGCAACATCCTGACTTGAGTTATCCTGAAAGACAAAGAATACTTAAACAACTTGTGATGGCTATTGACCACATTCATCAACTGGGTATTGTTCATAGAGATTTGAAACCTGCTAACATTTTGTTAGATGAGGAAGGAAATGTTAAACTAAGTGACATGGGCCTTGGAAAGCGATTGGAACAATATCAAAGCTCATTTTATGAGTTGTCTAGTATCATTAATACACGCCATGGAAATAGCGGAAGTAGTAGTAGCGAAGGAACTGGAGATGATGGCCATGCCACTGGAGGAAAAAAACAAGAATGCTGCCATTGTTGGAACTATTGGTTGGCAAGCCCCTGAAATTTTACTCCACATTGAACAAACTCTTCAACAAATAGAGAATGCGATGGAACATCCAACTACCCAGACTGGTACTGATGCTCCTACCTCAACAATGAACGGATCAACAAATGTCTCAACTCTCCAAAACCGAATGACAAAAGCAGTCGATATTTTCGCTTTGGGTTGTATCATTTTCTTTGTTCTGACAGGAAAACACCCATTCGGAAGAAGATCAGAACGAGAATGGAATATTTTAAACAACAAACCTGTAGCATTGATTGAAGAAGCGAACAATCAATCAAGACACAACCAAAAGAAGAGGAAAAAACATTTCTATAGGATTGATGCTTCTGTTCTCAAATTAATTTGTGAGGAATTGATTGTACCTGATCCAACAAAACGTATTAGTGCAGCACAGCTTCTCAAGCAATGTCTATTTTGGGATTATGGCCTCAAGCTAAACTTTTTAAGTGATGTCAGTGATCAACTTGGAAAAGAGCCAGAAAATATTGTCTACAAATTGCTTCAAGAAAACGCAGAGAAAATATTCAATGGAAACCCAACTTGGGACACACAAATTGACGATGCTGTCTATCAACAAATCAAATCAGTCAGAAAATATGACTACACTCGAGTTTGGGATGTCTTGAGATGTATTAGAAATTTAAAATCACATTATCGTGAATACATGTTACAAGAGACAAAGCTTATGAGATGTGGATGTGAAAAGCTTCCTGATGCCATTTTCGTTTATTTTGATTTGGAGTTTCCAAACCTCTTTCCTGTTGTCTATGAGCTTGTCAAGGAGCATTGGTCGGACATACCACAATTTAAAAAGTACTTCTAGCCCATTTTCAACAATCAGGGCAAAATGATCATGATGTTCATGTTTAATTCTACTAAACGCACATCTTGCTTTGAACTATCAATGAATGAATGATGAGTTGTTGTAGAAAGAAGAAGGTGACACATCGTTTGTGCTGCCGCTAGAGTTTGAAACACTTGTTGGCTTCAAGTAACTGGTACCATTTGTCAATTCTTGCACTTTCTTTTTCAAAAGCCTATTTTCTTCAAGGAGCCTCTCTACCAAATCCTGATGAGCTTGGGATTCCAAATCTCCTATACCTTTTGTTTCCTGAAGATTTTGTGTTGCAGTATTACTTGACATTGGGTATGGAGAAGAGAAATTGTTGGATGCTTGTTTAAACATACTTCTCACGCTTCTTCGTGCTGCTTCGTGGTGCTCATTGATCATTTGATGAAGTTTTCTTTCCTGGTCATAGTGTCTAAGCCTTTCCTCTTTTAATTCTTGCTCCAACTTTTTCACTTCATTCTCAAGTCTATCTATTATGTAACGAAGATCTCTTGGTGTAGCTTTGCTGTACTTGTCATCGTTGGACTTTCCAAAATGCTTGTTCCACTCCTCACAAACCTAGTATGCAAGATTGCAAATTTTTCCAGAAATCGGTCAAACATTCAAAAGTTTTTAGGCCAAAACCAACCTTGTTAAGATGTATTATTTGTGACCTCTGCTTTGAATACTCATTGGCGAATTCAGTTTTTATCATCTCCGTTAATTTTTTAATTTCTTCAGCCATTTCAACCAGATATCTGTAAGCTCTCGTTTTCTCGCTATATTTTCCTTTCGATTTCTCCAGATAGAAATTACAAACTTGAATAAGGTCGTCACAAGTAGCTTTTGGAAGCGCTCGATAAGACACTCCATTAGATGCAGCGTTTACTCGAGGAATTGGAGGTTTTGCGCAATCGTTAATAATTTCGCTTCTTAATGGCTCTTCCTCTTTCTTATTTTTTGTTGACGCATGTTGCTCCCGATGATGACATTTAGGACATTGTTTGAGCAGTAAATTGTAGTACAAAGACATTTGTGATTCATCCCATGCTTTCGGAAAGTTTACAAATTGTATTTTGTCTTTTCCCGATGGTGAATGTATTGAAGAAATGGCGCTTTCCAATGTACAATTTTGAATTGTACCCTTCAGTGGATTCGATTTCAGGTGAGTAGGTGATGATGACAAAACATGGCAACACGAGGTTGATGATGGTGGTGTCATCCTTGCTGCAATGATGAATGGTTTCTTTGATTTAATTTTTTGAGAACTCTCAAGGGATTGTACAGAGTGGCGCCAAAAGACAGTTTAAATTTAAAAAATTTTAAAAGCCTCTCTTCCTGTTCCAGCCAACGCATTGCCATCTCATGATGGCTCTTTTCAATTAAATCATGCTTTTGATGAATTAAAATTGATTATTACTCTCAACATCTCCTCGTTGTACAACTTTGCTCAAGTGTAATTTATTTAAATTATTTGATGAGTAGCAGAAGAAAGTATTTTCAACAAGACATTTCGGAACTAAATGCCAGCATCCATGCTAATGGTCATACATCGTCAGCTTCTCTGAAAAAATCAAATCATAGAACTCCTTACACCTTCTTATCATCAATACAAGAATCACACAAATCAAAAACAAAAGAGTCAAACAACAAAAACCTCTCTCATCCTATTTCCTTGAAGAAACTTATTCCCCAGTGTCACCAACCAACTCTACTACCACAAAAAGAAAATGAGAAAAACCAAATTACTGAACCCCATCCAAATGTAAATAAGACCACTATTCCGGAAGCAACAATGTCATGCAGTCCTCCAACCTCAAGAAAAGAGCTGGCATTTCGAAATCCTTATGCAAGAAAAACAGTCAAAATTTTGCTTAATCAGGATCCTTTAGACTCAAGTTTCTTGTCTTCAACGGCATTTTCACTCGATGATATTCATGGTAACTCTTCAGCCCCGCGCGTGACTCAGGAGCCATTTTCTCCCTATTCTCCAATTACAAACCATTCTTTGTCGACATTGTCACCCAAGCATACTGCCAGAAATTCTTTTAAACTTTCTCCCATAAAAGCTCCCTCCATGAAAACCCTACCCCGAAATTCCAGCAATTTAAGTTTTCAAAGCTTGAGTGCAAGAGGATCCATTAGAAAACAACGACCAACACAATCATCTCTCAATTCAACTCCCAGACAAAGAATAAGGCCCAACGAGCGAGCAGTTGTTAATTTTGAAGAAGACAATGAAGCAGATTATCAATTATTTCTCAGCCAAACTACCAATTCCATATATAATAGCCAAGCGAATGCTTCACAACAAAACAAGGGAGATCCTTACAGTGACCCTTTTGCTCGACCATTGTTCCTTCGTGCTCCCAAAAGAAAAACCAAAGGAGAAACCCACATTAAAAGAGAATACATCACCACTTTAAGATTATTGGGTTTTGATGACATTGACAACAAGGTGGATTTGGATACACTTTCATTCTTCTATGAGCGAAGAGAAAATGATTTCTCCTTCATTGACCCGTCCTTAGGAACACACTCCAAGCATTTGTTGAAAATGTTAAAACCCAGTGAATATGTGAAAGAAAGCCTGGATGAAAAGAAAAAGAAACCTAAAACTGTGAAAAAAGTTGATCCCAAACAATCAGAGATGAATAGAAAACGAGCAGCTTTGTTGGAGAGAGGTATTGATTTGGAATCTCTCAAACCCTCCTATGACCATTATCAAGTGTTAGTTAAGGCAGAGTCCGACCTGACTGCTCTTTCATCTTTGAATCAACCACAATCATCCACGATTATTGGCAATAGAGTCATTTCCCAAGCTTCCAAACCTCAAAACACTTCTCATATTTCATCCAAAACTGATCAGTCCACGTCTAAGAGCTATTCAACTGTGAACACCACCTCGACTGGAGCTGAGCAAGTCATTGTGATAACAGTCCCTCCCACAGAGGCATGCAACAGCTCCAACGACGGCAACACTAATGCAGCATCAGCGGCACTCGTTTCTACTTGCAGTGACGATTTCATTGACTACTTTTTCAATGAGGAACAACTAAATCGGAAACGCTATCTTTCGGCAGAGGAACGAGTCACCAACGATGCCAAACAAATTATGGCCCTAAGCCGAGAGCTGTTTGAAGACATTCCCCAAAAAACAAGCATGACCATAGCCAAGATATTTGCAAATCTGGAACATGCTGACCGTATCAGTCGAGAGCAATACGTGATGAGAGCAAGAAAATACAAGGCAGAATTGCGAAAGAAGAAGCAAGAAGAACAGGAGGAATATGAACGAGCCAAAGTGGCAGTGATGAGCCAGAAGAAAGATGGAGTGATCGATGAAGAAAACCCTTCGGATGACATTACAATGGAAATAAAGTGAACTCGATTGACACAGTAAATCACTGAAGTGATGACAATTTTCATACCGTACCGTCAAGAAATATATCGGTGATGATAAGATATGGTGCATAGTGTTGGTAAATGAAATATATAATTTAATCACCCGTGTGTTATGTAATATTACACCTCGAACACATTTAGTGATGATGAGTTTCCTTGTAAACAAAGTCTACAATTTGCGGAACCGATTGAAGTTGGAAAGCAACATCATCATTAATTTCAAGAACAAATTCGTTTTCCACTTCATGAATAATTTCAGCGCTATCCAATGAATCCAATCCTAAATCTTTGACCAAATGAGAGTCTTTTGTTGGTTGTGCTGTTATATGTTCATGTTTTGAGAGAATTTCAATTACTTTTTGTTCAATCACATGTTTTGGATAGGATGGTGAATTACTGTATTGTCTATGATGAATAATTGATGATACTATTGACGATGATGAGAACAGTGATGGATTATTGGAAATTTTCTTGGTGCAAGAGGATTGGAGAAGGAAACGAGAAGATGAAAGAGCGAACTTGTTCAACATTTTTTTTAATAAAAAAAAATTAAAATTGGCACACAAAGATTAGTTCCGAATTTCAATCCTTCGTGATGATGATGATATTTCATGTAATTCATACCATCAGTACAATAAGGAATTCTTTAAATCAATATTTCATCGAATAGCGCCTTCTTCTTAATGACAAAAAAAGATTTTCTAGATAAAAAAATGACGCCACAAGAAGAAACAAACCATCTGAATTCAAAGTCCGACAACAAGAATGTTGCTACTACTCAAAACGAAGCTGAAGATTGGAAACCTAAACGAATTACGGCCCTTTCTAAGAGAAAAAAATTGTCGAGGAAATTATTGGGAGATGTTTCTGGTTATGATGAAGGTGAATTATTGAATTTGTTTGATGAGGCAGAATTTCAAGGAAATATTGTTCTCATGATGAAAATATTGAATAGGCTTATTGAATGCAAAATTATTTATTTTGATTTTATGCATCGAATGATGAATGTTTATTCGAAATATGGAATTAGAGATTTTGAAAATAATTGTACAACTTTTGAAATAGACCACACTTTTGTGAACAACAAAACTCAGGAAGTGGAGAGAAAAGAGACAATACAAGGAGAAGATTTTTACAACCAATATTCGCATATTATTGAACTGTTTCAATATTTTATTGAAATGGAAGATACTATGTCGCATAGATCTCATGCCTGCGATACAATAGCTGTTTGTCTCTATACAATTTTCAACAAGATTACTGTAGACACATATGGATATATTGAGGGTGTATATATTTCTAAAGGTAGTCCCAAGACTGTATTGTTAACGTCACAGCTAGTTTTTGAAAAAGCTCTTGAATTTCTAAAGCAAGCTCTTAACATGGACAATTTTAATTCGAATTCTGAAAAGCTGAATTGTTATAGACATTTCCAAGAGTGCTATTACTTTTTTGGACAACGCTTGGCATCAAAGAAAGATTCTGAAAAGGCTTTTGAAATGTATTGCAAAGGAATTGAGTGGGTAAAATTCGAATTCCATGCATCGCCAAATACTTCAGGGCAAAATGTAAAGGATTTCATTGTGAATAATAATTTTGTCTCTAAGATTATGCAAAGTATAAGATCGAATTTTGAACCAAGCCTCCAATATTTGACCAAGTTTGAGCACATTATCCAATCCGCTGAAATTACTCCTCAATGTTTCTGTTCCACATGCAAACAATAAAAATTCATCAACATACAATCATTCCCCAAGACAGCACAACATTGACGATAGTGAGTTGAGAAGACGAGAGAATGATTAGGCGACATTTGCATACATGTGAACATAATTTTTATTTAGATGTAGAGCAACAAGCTATCCTTATTGCTTGTAATGGCTTCGAAATCATCCGTCTTGTTTGCAGAGGAAGAATACTTGCCACTATTTGATACGTCTACCATACCATTTTCGTCGACTTTGAGAGTATTTTCATCCATGACATGCTTGTCTGTGTCATCAAGACTATTAGTTTCCTTCAACAAAGCACCACTCTCTGCCAGTTCTAGTGTTTTAGATCGAAGAGTAGGGAAGAAGGACAATTTAGCAGCATTCTGCTCGACGTATTGCTCTGTACCTGTGTATTCGTCACGTTCTTTTTCAGAAAGATAGATAAGGAAATACACATAGTTCCACATATTATGTTCAGTTTTGATATGACTCTCAAAATCAAGTCCTTCGTTAGCATGTAAATCAAATCGATTCTTTTCATTGTGACATATAAAGCAAATCTCTTTCTTTTCCTTCTCCAATTTGTTTCTGTGTTCACGACGTTCACTAAAAGAGTCCAAAATCAAACCAAACAAAACTTCCAACAAAATAACCACTACCACAAAGTAGAAAGCCATATCGAAAAAGAAACGTGAAACATCAAGCGGTTTGGGATCCATAATATTTTCCAAAAACGCTTCTGAACGAACGCTGTAGTTAATCGTTGTGGCAAAACATAAAATAGTGTTGGAACATGCATTTGTGTTGCTAATGATCCATTGGTCCCACTTGAACGCAAATATAGTAAATGCATAAGCTATCAAGGCGAATATGGTCAATACAGAGAACAAGAAGAATTTCTTCTTGTTTTCAAAAATGGAGAAGAAAATATCTTGCAATACATGACTCAATGTAACCACTTCAAATAATTGTAAACAATAAACAAGAGGAGTGACGATTAAACCAATGAGTGAAATTCCAAGGAAAATAATTGTCCACCATAAATATAAATCCGTAACAATACTCAAAAATAACTTCTTCCTAAAACCAGGTTGTTGTGTCGCTGATTCCCATGTTTCTTCCTTCTTGAGCTGGAATTTCTTTTTCACATTTAACATTAAGAAAAATCTCAAATATGTCACAATCAGTAATATCGTTGTTATCAATTGAATAAAACCTAAAACAATGACCAAAATACCAGCAGCTTTCCATTTGAATCCTTGTGTGACCACATTTGCCATAGAAACATCATAGGCAATGCCTGGAACTGGTACATAACCAGCAAACACATCGTATCGTTTGTGATAGAATATCAATACAATGACATTGATCAAAAGAGAGAATAAGAAAGAAAGATTTTTCATATACTTCCAATAACGCTCTAAAAATCTCCAAGTTCTACTCTCCCAACCGTTTTCATTGGACCTATATCGTTCCAAATGATGCATTTCAGTCTTAAACACACGATAGGTCCATTCATAGAGATCAGCTACTTTGGTTTGTGCAGTTTCTCTATTGCAAGAGCTCACAAATTCATCCTTTGTGGTCTCAAGTAGATTGTTACACATCCGTGGCTTCTTAAAATGTACAACTTCAATTTTTGAATCACGAATAATTTCAATAGAACCTGTTAAACTTGCATAAAAGTTGTAGATGATGGTACGGCGTACAGATTCTTCATCCTCTAAATTATCGTTCAATTTCACTCCTAAATACTTCAAGAGCATGTAAATGGCAGTTCCAATTTCTTCACATGAATCTTTTATCTTTGATTTCTTCACTGAAATAAAATCTGCCAGTGTCTTGTACTTTTCAGATTTTTGATCTGAGAGCAATTCATAGTCTTTGGTCAATTTTTGAACAAGTAAAGCATCAGTATTCTTTTGTTCTTGTTTGAAATATTCAATGATCGATGAAGAAAGCTTTTTAACTTCCTTTTCTTTTCTTTTAAGAAGGAATGACTGAATGAAAGAAATTGGAATACACACTTCAGCACATTCTTTCATTCTCTCCATGAGAGGTTCCATATTCAAATATTTTAACTCGGATGCCTGAGCATGCTTATTACCTCCTTCTAACATACTGGTTAATGTAATAATGACAGCTTCTAAAAGTTTCATTTCCTTTCGTGTGGTAATGTGATTCAATCGATCTAATTGAGCTGCCCGTTGTTGAAGAATGGATTGTGAACGTGATGCTCCGAGTGCAGTTGGTGCAACAGGATCAAAGGCAGTGGTCATCTTGTCAGAAATAAAATCATTTTCCAAAATATCATTAAATACTGTATAGAGACCTGAAGAGGAAGAGAGAGTTTGAATGGATTGTTCACATGGGCCTTGAACAAACTCATTGAGAGCATTCAATGCTTGGATTACCTTATCCACATTTGAAGAACTCAAATATTTGAAAAGGTGAATCACATAATCGATACATTCACTCACAAGGTCAATACTAATACGGTTAAATGGTTGATTTTGGAGCATTTGCTGATTTTCCAAGTTATGACCTTCACACAATAATTGCAAAAATCTCAAAACTTCCCAAGCATAGGAAGTTAGTTCTGTATCTAGAATTCCAGTCACTCCTCTCTTTCTCACTTCCTTTTCTTCGAGTATTGACTGCTTAATCTTATTCTTAATTGCTTGGAAGAAGGTTTCATAATTTCCAGTTTTCAACAATCGATTATACATTTGTTGGTTTTCAATATTACCAGACATGAGTGTTTCAATTCCTAATTGGAGTCCATACTTGGTAAATTCAATATTGCTTGAGCAAATTAGTTTTAACACCAGCTCTGGAATGTTGTGATTCACCGAGAAATTGTAATCCTTTTTTGCGTTATATTCCTTTACGATAGATGCAATCGTAGCAATGGAATCAATGAACGTCTCACTCATGTCTCTTGGTACGCCAAATTCAATCATTGTCTTCAAGACATTTACCAAACGTGGCAAGTATTCGCTGTGGAGCTGCAAAAGTTGAGCAAACTGTGGTAATTCATTAGTTTCTCTCTTTGCAAAGAATCCCTTTCTCTCTAAATCATCCATAAATATTTTGTACTTCAATAAAAAGTCCTCTTCGATATTCTTCACAGCAAACTTCTGTTTCATAGATTTGTTGGATTGCTGTTTAATAACCATCGTCATGTTATGTTTTGCAACAGCTAACTTGGTCAAGTTTTTAAATTTGCCATCGGTATCGATACTTGCAGTCACCATCAACTTTTGAATCGCCATGTGACATCTCTTAATGTCCTCTTTATGAGAAGCACTATGGAGATAGATTTCTGTGACATTTTTAAGCAAGTCGTAAATAATTTCCTTAATTTCTTCGTTATTTTCTTTTTGAAGAAGCATCTTGTTGACATTCTTGTTGAATACATTTTCAAAGAAACTTTCAATGAACGGCAACACAACTTTGTAAACGTAATTATCATTGACAAAAACCTCCTCATTTGGAGATTCCTGATTGTAAAAACTACGTTTGACTTGAATGTTAGTATCAATAGACTCAGTAGGTGTTGGAGTTGAGTGAGCACTATCACTTGCTGTACCGTTACCCACAATGGAATCATCAGTTGATTCTTCAGAAATGGCATGTAATTGGGATGGAGGATAAGCAGAATAGTGAGCTTCCTCAAACTCTTTGGGATATCTCATTTTACCATCGTTGTCGAGCCATGATCGCAATTCAGTATTAATCTTTTTGAAGAGTTTCCAAATGTTGACATCTGACAAATCTTGAGTGGATTCCTTCTCAGTGATAAAGTATAATTCTGTTAATAGTTTCATGAGAGGATCTCTGACGAGAGGAATGAGAAAACAATCCGTTAGATGGACAAGCATTTCACTAAAAGGTAAAATAGCTTGAACGGAACCTTCTGCCAACCCAACTTTGTCTCTCGTACAATCTCTTAGCAAATATAACAAGTTAATGTGATAATTTAAATCAGATCCAACTTTGAGATATTCCTTTTCCACGATCATACGTTCCCGTTCTTTCATTAAATCCTCTTCATTATAGAGAACAATTAAAGATCTGTAATCTTCTTTCAGGTTGTTGATAATCTCGTTTTGGTTGGTTGGAATTGAAGTGCCCTTTGAGTCACAAGTTAAAATTCTCAGAAAGTTCAAATGGTACGATTTAGCACCAACAGAAATTATCTTTTCTAGATAAAGTTTGATGAGAAGTGGATCAATCTTATTCAACAAAATTTGATCATTCTCTCTGACAATTTCTGTCAACAATTCAGTGGTATCCACTTGTGGAGATAACAATTCAAGAAGGAACCTAAACTCACGGAATAACTCTTCTTGATTTTTCTTGTCACTTCTCACAAATTCAGTCAGCAACTCAATGCAACAAATGCTGAGTTTAGTCTTTACAAATGCAGGGTAGTTAGTTCCCAAGCATTTAATCAATAGATCATGACCACCCAAGTTTCTAAAGGCTGCTTTAGTTCCCTTATTTTCTTTCATGATTCTAATCAACTGTGTGATGGTGTCTCTAAAAATTACAAAATCATCTGAAGAATCTCCGCCAGTAAAGCTACTTGTGCTTAATAAATTTTGAATTCTGTTAAACATGGTGTAAATGAAATTGTAGGCCTTTCTTGACTTGGAAGAAATAAGAATGGAGACCTTTTGCAAATTTTCTTTTAACTCTTTGGATTGATTGTATGACCTTTGCAATATTTTGAGAGCTTTTTCTGGGATTTCCTTGTTTTGATATTTAAACAAGTAGAGCAAGGGGAATGCAAAATTTCTGCTTGAGTCTGTGTTATCAAATTGGAAAAAGTTAACAGAGGAAGTAATTGTCTTTGAAATAAAATCATTCAATTGTTGATCAGTGATGAGAATCACATTTCTTGCATTATAAGCAGTAATGATAAGAGAAATTCTATAATCGATTCTTAGATCCATGGCATAAAGGAAAATGTCAAGAATCTTTTTCTTGATCTTGATGACAAATGTGTTCTGTTCAATATCCTCAAACATTGTGTTAATATTTCCAATGTCGTTGGTAGAGTCGAGTGTAGTGAGCAAGACACTCAGAAACTCTTCCATTTCTCTCATGGAAATTAAATATTCATCTTGGCCCTCCACAACCAGCTTATTGGTCGAGCTGTCTATTTTGGCTTTCAATTGGAGTGAGTCAGTATCATTGGCGTATGGATTGAAAATACGATACACAAAGCACTTGTAGCCAATTTTCACAAGATTGTAAATGAGTGGTGTACGTTCTGGAGGGAGTTGTGAATTTTGCTTGTTTTTGAAAAACTCAACCAGAAACAATCGTATGGATTTAAAGCGATTTCTGTAATCAATAAATTCTGTTTGCAAGCGATTACTTCCGCCCTTAGTTGTCGGATTGTCGTTGTTATCAATGGGTCGGCTAAGGTTGATAGGAGGAAATTCACCATTAGAAGTGTTGTCCAAATAACAATGTTCTAAAATTCCACACATGGCTGATCTCAGTTCAATTCCATAGTCTTCACTCTCCACAACAGCCATCACCAATTCAAGAGGAAGCAATTGAGACACATACGAAATACCAGCAGCATGACGACCTACACACAACGAAGACAACAAACGAAGACCTTCAATTAAAATTCTGTACATCATACTATCAGTATTTTGTAATTGATCGAGTGGCACACGATCAGAGTCACCTTCCTCTGAATCCTTCAAGACATGGATTGTTCGATTCGTGTCATCGTAGTCTGGCAGATAGAAAACATTTTTGCAATCAATCTTTGACAATAAGTCGACAAGATGCTTTTGATTCTTGGTCACTGGACGATCACCGCTTCTGCAAAGATTGGATAAAAACGACACAAAGAGTGGTTTTTTTTGTTTCGTGGTGATGAGTTTGAAAAAGTGGTCAATTTTTTCTCCTGGAATTTGCTCTAACACCTCCATATTGTCATTAATGATTTCTACCAGGGCATTCGAAACCTCTTGTCCTCCGATATCTCTTGATAAATGATCTTGCATAGTTGTGAAATACTTATCCAAAATGTGTGTACAGTTCAACAAATTTTGTTTAGCCAGTTGTTTGATGGCTCTGTAGCACATTGGAATGATGTTATTTTGATATCTTTGTATCGTTGAGAGAGCAGGGTATTGCGATTCTGAAGGAAATGCAATGGATGAGTTCATGATGGGAGAAGTTATGGACGATTGGGAAGTAGGATCCAATAAATTAATAATGTTAAAAATTGCATCAATGAAATTCAATTCTCTGAAATGATTTTGAATGTTGGTGTATGGAGTTCCTTCTCGCTTCAATGGATCTTCTTGAACTGAATCTGTACACAGATAAATAACTAATTTGAGAGCATTCAACAGTATTTCAATATCATTTCTCTGATATTGGCTATTGTTGTCATAATTTACAAGTATTGGATAAATTTCCTTGATAAGATTCACCTGAAGCACATTATTGACATGCTCTAGAGAAAATACATCTTTTTCTCGTTGTATCACATCAAACCATAATTCTACTAAATGAGACGACTTGTGCACGGCCGAAGAGCTATTACTGGAGGAACCTGTGCTGAGATTGGTCTGAATGTCGTTAAGGACAGCTTTTGACACATCATTGGCACGTAGCCATGTATTGGATTGAGCATGCTTGATTCGAAGTAAGCTTTGAGCAAGGATGGGTTCGTTATGTTGAACCTCTTCGGAATACAAGTAGAATACTGCTGATTCATCTCTTGGATGATCGGTTAACACTAATTTCAGTCGAATCTTGACACGACGGCGAAGATTCTTCCAAGCATTTGTTTTACCTGCCTTACCAGAACTCGAGCTTGCAGAGGATGATGATGCACTACTACTGCTGCTGCTACCATTTGATAGATTAGTAGTTGAGATTTGATGTTGATCGTCATGGACTTCTACCTCTCGTGCAGCAATGTATTGACCTGAAGCAATATGTTTGAAGCGACATGGAGTTGCAGAATACATAATTCCTCCTCTTGAATTATCCAATGCTTCAATTTGAAATAGAGATGTAATACTAGTAAGAGCATATTTTGGGTTGAGATGAAGCGAGCTGAATGAATTGGTGGTTGTTGATCCTATTTGATTAATGGATGGATGATAGAGTGCACCCATTAAATCTCTGTGAATAATTCTAATAACGTCACCTCCTTTAATAAATGCATGAGCCATTGGGAGGTACGATCGATACAATCTTAGAATCCAAATATTATCTGCAGGATGAGGAGAAGCGTTCACTTCGTATTTTTCAAAATCTTTCACAATGAGAGGTCGAGTATATTTGTATTGTGAAATGTGAATGTTATGCTTTGTTTTTTCGTTCATAATAATGACCTTATCACTCAAACGAATTGGTTCTCCTTCACTTCTAAATTTAAAGTGAGGAACAAATTGGAAGTGACACATTCTATCACCTTCACTAAGTGACAATTTTAAAGATGATTTTTCCAAATCAGCATTTGATCTTAGTACGTTGAGAAACAATCCTGTTTTTAAATGATATAATTGAATTCGTTCTCCATATAAAACGGGCTTTCCCCAAGAGCGTTCTCTTTCAATTTCATTTTCTTGCTTTTCACGTAACATTTTCTCTTCTAATTCTGCTAATTGTGATTGAATATGATTGGCAGCAATGACAGATGGTTGTGCTTTTACATGCTGTTGAGAATTGAATGGAGTCATTGGACGTGAAGAATCTTTGTGGTGTAAAAGTGAACTCTGTTTCAAAAGCATGGAATTTGACACTTCATTCATCAAATTGTTCATACTACTACTCATAGTTGACTTTTCCGCACTTGCAAAGTAATTCAAATACTTGTGATATCGTTTCTTTGCACTGTAGGTTTCACCTTTGCAAAGCATAAACAATGCACTATCGAAATTCTTGAGGATGCTGTCATCGGCGGAGAGACCACATCGATGATGTCCAGGAATACCACTCACAGACATGAAACCCACAATGGATGATGATTCTTGATTTGTTTGTTGTTGTGGTTGTTGTGGAGTATTGATGCTCTTTGGTAACAGAAGAGGTGATGATGAATCTGAAGTTATGCTCGTGATGGAGTCTGTTCTCGCATGGTGGTGGTGGTGGTGTTGTTGATGAGAATGTGGTCTTGTCTTTTCCTGATGGAATGGATTGAAGAAGATGGCCAACGAAATGACATCTCCATAGTGTAGAGTATTGGAAGAAGAGGACGAAATGAGAGAAGAAGAGGTTGATGATGATGATGATGATGAATGGTTGCCGTGATTGAGATCCGAGGCTATTGTGGTGAGAGTGGTATTGGTGATGGAAGAGGATGTGGTTGAGGAGATGGAATCCGATCGTTGAATGACCATGATGATGATTTGTTTGTTGTTGTTATTATTATTTCAAGAAGAAGAAGAAGAATAATAATAACAATTGAATGGTGAGGAGGAGGATGATGAGTTTAGGGTGGAATTATTGTATGAAATTCTAGAAGGAAGGTGTTTTTGATGAGAGAAAATTGAATGATCAACACAACAACAACAACAACTACTTCAAATAGAATATTGTTGTTGGATGATGTCGATTGAGAGTGTAGTAGTTCTCGTGTCAGAAATTATTATTTGTAAACACTCTCTCGGAAGAGGATGACCATGCAATCACCACAACAAGATGCCAATTTTTTGAGAGCTCTCAAATGTCAAATGATCAACACTCTCACTCAGGCGAAAGACATTTACATGATGATCCTTTCGGAACCAAATCTCTTGACATCTTCCTCCCACCGATGAGGAAGCCACATCATTGAATTGAAAGGCCAATCAAAAATGTTGAGAAAGAGTATACGACCATGAATAATAATTGAAATTTACAACAATATTTGAAATTTACACTAACCTTGATGACAAACAATAATTGAAATTTACAACAATAATTACACTAACTTTGATGACATGAACCACCTTTAACTGTACTAATTGCACACACAGCCATGAATAACGTTTGAATTTTCGAACAAATAAACGCATGGATAGTGAAATAAAAAAAAATGTTGAGAAAGAGTCTTTCTTTGTGCCTTCTTCCAAGTTGTTCCTCGTTATTGAAGATCAACCGCAATGGCTGCACTGAATTCTGGAAGAAGAAGATGAAACACCCTAGTTCTCCTGGATCATCATCTCGCTTCATCAAATCTAACAACAATATACTGTTCCAACATGATCCATCATCCTCTTCCTCCTTCTCATCATCATTATCAATACACTTGATCCGATCCTTTCATGAGAGTCTTGTTGTTGTCCGAGAATCAACCGCATCAACCTCGGAAACATCTTTCACGAGAGACTCGAGGCTTTCCTCCTCTACAGACATACCCTCCTCTTCACTCAACAACAACAACATTGAGAATTCATCTTCTTCTATCCATCATCATCTCCGATTTCAAGAGACAGAATTGAAATTCCGTAATGCTCTCCTCTCTTCAGTCATGGAACAGAGAAATCGGGACATTAAGTTTTATTGGACATTGTTTACCATACTGGCAAGTGTGGGTTCTGTGGGTTTTGAAGTCTTGTTTCGTATCTTGGAGATGCCTTACATGGGTGCCGTGTATGCTGCCTCATTGTTGGGTTATGTCTTGTTTCAGAGAACAGTGGCCATCTATTCGAAAGGTTCTTGGCTTGCCAAAAGTGTTGGAGCTGTGGAAATTTGTGAAGAAACAGAGACATCACCTGAAAAGTTGAGAGTCTATCGTATGGTGAAAGAGATTGCCGATAGTATTCAATTGAAAATGCCTTCCGTGTGTTATATTGAATGTGAGGAACCAAATGCATTTGCATGTGGATATAATTTAGATTGTGCTTGTGTGACAGTGACAAGTGGACTTGCAAAATTGCTCAATGATATGGAATTGAAAAGTGTATTGGCTCATGAAATTGGACATGTCATCAATGGAGATATGAAAACTGGTACTTTGATTTCTGCAATGATTGGTGCTTTTACATTGGGTCACAAGTAAGTGTTGTTGCAACCATGTAGTTGAGTGTGAATGGTGTGGAAACTATGCCATTTAATATTGACATTTGTTACAATGTGTCATTGATTGTGTTTTGGCATGATTAATCATTTGAAGATTTGCTCGTAATATTACAGCGAAAAACAACAGAAATCAGACAAATGCAAGCAATAACAACAATAGATCACAAAACAAGAATGTGGCACAGGCTGAAAATTTGATATTAATTTTATCCCTGGCCACATTACTTGCAGGAAGAATTATGGAGTTGGCCATTTCAAGGTAGGTTGGAGATCAATTCTCTGTGATCGAGCAATGACATCATCGAACTCATTGTGACCTTTTGTGAATGCAAACAATTTTCCCTATAATTGCATATGATAGACATAGGTAAGTGGAACTGATGCCACAAACTATTAATTTTTGATCCCCTGTATTTAGAGAGTATTCTGCTGATGCAATTGCTTCTGCATTCACACATCCATACTACTTACGTGATGCGCTTCAAAAAATCAATAACTATCATGCAAATCCAAAGAAACATACAAAACGTATTCATGATGGTGGTGCTGATGAGGAGTCCAAAACAACCCTTAAGGAATTACCAAAATATGAATCCATGTCTCATCTGTACATTTATAACGGACTTGAATCACCTGGTTCATGGATATCAACACATCCCTCCACGGAGGACCGATTAGCGAGCTTGGAATCTGTTGCAAGTATGAATGTGGAGGATTTCTACAAACTTACAATGGGCTCGTCAGCCATGAAAGATCAACGAGCAAAGACATCTCTTTTTATTATTATTTCGGCTTATTTGATTATCATTGTGAGCATTGTTGCCTATAATTTGGAAATGTTGGCTCCTTATGCAGAAGAAACCTTTTCACACATTCGACGGGACATGCTCATGCTGTACAAGTTTGTGAATGAAAATATCTTGCAAAAGAAATAAGGCCCACATGAAACGTTTTAACAGACCTATACATGCTTGAATACATTCTGTAAACCTTAAATGTTTTGTATTAATAAGGTGCAAATTTTATTATCTGTTAACTCCTTCAAATCTTTCTTGATAAATATCGTACAAAACGCTAAACACGTTTTGATAACTGGCGTTAATCTTTTGCTTGATGAATTGTACAGCTTCTCTTTCACTCTTGCCAGCGCATAAACGTTGTTTTAAACGCTCAATTGATCCATCCTTTGCAAAGCATGGGAGTCCACTTTGTACCATAACGTGTGAAATTGAAACAATAGAGTCCATATGATCTCTGGCTGCTAAATATCCACGAATCATCAAATCCACGAATAAATTATAGGGTTCTGAGTGTTCTTTATCATCACCAGCTGTAGTTGTTGTGACGTTGACACTAGATGGTGATTGAGTACTTGAAGGTATCATCATAGAAGTAGAAGCACTAGCAGAGCTAGCACCAGCAACCACACTTGACGAAGTGGTAGCTTGTCTTGATTTTGATGACATGGAAGGATCATTCTTGCTAGCTGAAATTGTTGCTTTTTCTTCTCCCATAATGGCCAACATTTCTGTTGTCAATTTGAAAGGAACCACTTGTTCAATACCAAATTTACCTCCTGGAGAAATGTCAAATATAAATCCAAAGTCGATGTGAATGACATGTCCATCCTCATCTAACATAATGTTACCATTGTGACGATCCTTAATACTCAAAATAAAACTGACAATGGAATAAGCCGCCATGCTATGAATGAAATTACGACGAGCTTTTTGGAATTCCACAGTGTGGGTATTACCATATTTTCTGATAAAGTAATTGTAGAGATTGTCTCCTTCATGCAATGATTCACCAATTTGATGTCTACTCTTTGAGTTTGGAACACATTCAATAATTCCCAAACCTCTACCAGTAGTAATCACACGATAAGGGAATAAATATAAAGGTAATTCTAAAATTTCGAAAACTCTCTTGAACATGGAAATAATTTGGAGAGCCAATTGATCATGTCTGCAATCATCACCTGCTTTAAAGATACAAGGAAGTTTGACAATTGGTTTGTCCTTGTAATCATCTTCATTGTCTTCTCCAATGTCAACGCCAGAAGGTCGTTGTTTCACATAGAATGGAATAAGAATAGGTACTTTCTTGGCACTCTTCAACGTTCTACTTCCATTTGCATCCAAGTCAATAATCTTGTATTGAGTGTTGGTTGGAGTATACAGGTTTCGAGATGGTTTGATTAATTTCATCTCCTCTAATAATCTAGCTTGTCGCTTTTCTTTTTCTACTGGGATCAAATCTCCAGAGATGGTTGTAATTTTGTCAAAGAAGTGGAATTCTTCCTTGTACAAACGAATTTGATTGGAATCAAATGCTTTGATAACATCAATGTAGAAAGGCTTCAAAATGGCACTCAAGTCAAACTCTGCTGGCTTAATATCTTGGAGCTCTTCTGGTTTAAGCTCTTTAGCTTCAACAATTTCAGTTCTCAAAGTCCAAATCAATTGATGAGTGAACATGACACTGCTTCTAACTACAGAAATGATGTGTTTCTTGAGTGCATTGTTGTGATCATGGCGCAAGCATTGCACAATTTGAGGAAGATAAAATACCACTGCTTCTGGTGAGAATTTTCGTAGAGTTCTAATGGCATACTGTTGAACATAAACATTGTCCACGAAAGGAGAGTTCAAAAATCTTAAAGCAATTGATAAGGTAGCAGGAGCCCAAATCAATAAATTATTAAGTTCAGGAACGTTTGATTTCACATTTGCCTCTGTGACCAGATAATCTGTTGCCTCTGGAATGTGAATGGCATCTCTTGGGAATTTTCGAACTAACTTTTCCAATTCATCTCTAATGCAATCGAATGGAAAACGAACATGCATTTTGATGGCTAACTTGGGAGAGAAACTCCAGGCAGTGTCAATGAAAATCTTCCACTTGTTGGGAGAAATTTTAGCCACAGAAGACATTGCTTCATCACCTTTTTGAGGTTCATTCCAAATGGTAATTCTTTCAGACTCATGACCAATCAACAAAAGTAGCACATCTAAAATAGCATCAACACCGGATGTAGAGTAAACAACGGTACGAGTATCAGAAAGAGCACGAGTTGGAACATCTGAAAGCTGTGGCACGCTAATTAGACTTCCATGATCACTTCCACTCCAGTTACTGGCTGATGAAATTACAGAACCTTTCACACTAAAGGCCACACTTCGAGTGCGTCCTGAGACACTCATTCCTGAGACACTCACATTATCAGCTGCATTGATCGATTCTCTCTCCTCAAATGAAAGAGGCTGATGACGATTCAACTCTTTTTGTTCTCTTCTGATACGCTTTTGAACATCAGACAAGACCTTGAGATCTTCTTGCACCATGTGATTGGATCCTGGATCGTACCATGTGGGGTGAAGAGTAAACCAATTCAGTAGAGCAGCAAACGTTCGATGTTGCAGAATGGTTGCCATTGGAACAAACTCAGTAAATTGCAAATCAATAACACTTCTTGAAACTTGAAGTGAAAGAGATGCTAATCTAAACCGAGTACCAAGAGAAAAGTGTTCCTTGCTCAAATCTCCAATATTTTCAACTGCTCTCACTAACATTTTCAAATAAATGTCCACTATTTGTTCATTCATCACTCCTCCACTTTGGAATCTCTCTGCCAGATAATTAATCCAAATACGATGAGGATACGTATCTTTGTGTGAAGTAGCATACATGGAAGAGATAGATCGAGAAGAAGGAGTGAATGCATTACCCGAAGACTGAACAGCTAATTCAATAGCATCATCCTTTTCGTGATGGCCACAAAACAGACCATAACCTTTCTGAATTGTGAATTGCCAAGCATTAGAAATTTCAGCAAGAAGAGGTACTGTAAATTCATAACCCCTTGAACCTGAAATCCAATTCCAACAATAAATAGCAATCTCCATGGATTGACGTGTGAAGATGTAAACAGGAGTCCAAACAACCCACTGCAACAATCCAATGCTCAGTTGCTTTTCACTAAGGATAAACGCAGTGGCTAATCTCATAACATGAGACAAGGACTCATAGAACTTGGAGCTTACACTCGCTTTGGTATACTCTTGCAGCAAAGCGCTTATCTTTTCAACAATCTCTGACTCTGCACCTCTTTGGCCAAGCATGAGCTTTAGGCTATTTGCTTCTCCACAACTGAATGACATTACAGAGACTGATTGAGTTAATGAGGTTTGATCTTCAGATAAAATTGAAAAACCTCTCTTGTCGTTCTTCAATGGTTGATTACTAGAGCCCACTGCTTGTAAATGTTCCACAGGAGTTGAAAGATAGACAGCAAAAGTATAGCCGAAGTGTCTCAAAGAGTCAATTTCAGATTGTTGAAATTTGATCAAGTAATGTTGAAGTCCAGATTGTGTCACGTTAGGAGCGGCAGACATGGATTTAGAGATCCAAGAAAGAGAGAAACGAGTAAATCCATCCAACAACTTATTGCGATCTGTGAAATGCTCAGGGAGATAGAATGTTTCATATTCTATTTCTGTGTTTTCCCTTGTTGGTTCATTTGAAAATGGTTTGGCAATTGGAATTTGGTCAAATCTAGAAGGAATTTTGACAGCAATAACATCTGTTGTCTTTCCCTTGTCATTTCCTTCATAGAGCGCTGAAATAATTTCCAGTAGAGCGCTCAAACACTTGGAGCTCCAATACATAGCTGGGAACAACTTGATGATCATCACAATAAATTGATGACTAGTTTGTCGTACAATTTCTAATCTGTGAATGCACATCTTGAACAAGAGAATACACTGTTCCTCAATGATATTGTTCATATCAGCTCTTGATTGTGATTTGATGAAGGAGCACAACCATTGATCAAAAACTCTCTTCAACAAAGCTTGTAAACATAAAATTACCACAGGATTGCTGAAAATTTGATAATGTTCAAGATAGTAAAGTGAGTGCTTCAAGGTAGAGCCGGAGCGTGCACGGAAAAGCTCTAAATTATATGTAGATATTAAAAACAAAACTTCCTCAATAGAAAGTTGCCTGAGAGAGGATGGAGTGACCGCAATATCTTTGCCAACGTTCACACATGATTCAAGTTGTGAAGTAAGGTATGATTTTTCTTCTTGGGTCATGTTCTTTGAATCAATAATAACCTCAATTTCCTTGTTGATTTCCATGAAAGAATGAACATTTCCGTTTAAGAGAATCGGTCCATTCATACCAATAGTTTGGCATGCTTCATAAGTTTCATCATTATGTTCGTTGGGATTAGTAAATTTGAATATAATTAAATAGAACCACATTATACGGAATAAAGTTTGGAAATTTCCAATGTTTTCATCATCAGAAATCTTGTGGTTAACGATATCAAATTTGCATGACTTTGTCAAAGTAGCAACAGCAGGCATCAGTACGGCAATATGCTTGAGCATGTCTTTCTTCTTCTCGTTTGTCTCTTTCATTATTTGAATTTCTCCTCCAAGTCTATTAATTAACTTGATTAGTCTCACTAACAATGCCAATCTTAAATGATTGTGGTTTTTAAGCATTTTGTTCATGATATAAATGGAATCAATGAGTAAGCCTCCTAGAACAGTTTCTGATGAATGGAAAGGATTTTGATAAATTCCAAATATCAATTCAACAATTTCTGAGAAATAATGTCCATTTCCTAAATGAATACAGTTCGACAACGGCCTCAAGGCTACATTATCAAGCTTTCCCATGTTCTTCTTTTTTGTTAATTGACTTGTGAGCACAGGTAGAATAAGATCAGTGACAGCATTATTATCTATTTGTTGAGCAATGGTTCCCAAAATTGTTACTCTACGGTTGTTCTTTCTGTAATCATTTGGGTTCATGTAGATGATGTTCGAAATAGCATATATAGCTGAAGAGCATGTCGCAATACCCCTCTTCTTGAAGTCGTCATTAAGTATTCTGCACAATGTGAGAGTTACTTCCTCTACTAGGCTTTCACTCTTCTCTGTTGAGTCCTCAGAGACAAATTCACGTAATGCTTTAACACTGACAACAATAAAGTTGTCTGATTCCTCTTTGCAAAGTCTTTCAATCGATAAAACAATATCTTTACACATCTTTTCTTCGAACTTATTCACAGTGTGAGCTCCAACAAGAGATGAGCTTGATGTGCTTGATGAGGCAGGTTGAGAAGGGTGAGTGACATTTTCTCTTTTTGCAAAATCCAAACACTCAATCAATACTTTCAAGACATCTTTTCTGAACTTGGGACACATGATAGAACATTGAACAGCAAGATCTGCAGAGTTTCCAAAAGCATTGATACTGTAGTTTGTATCTAGAGCAGAAGGTGATGACTCATCAAGTGTAGATGTTGTCTCGATAATTCTTTTGAATGAATCTAATGATAAATTTCTAAAGGCTATTTGAATTAACTTTGAATAGAACTCCTCGTCAAACTCTCCGACATAGGTAGTTTGAATCAAAATTTTCAACACCAACACAATCATGGATTTCAAAAGTCTTGATTTAAAAGCTTTTAGTTGCTTCAACTCAGTCGCTTGCTTGGATGACGTGATATTGAAAAAGTATTGAATGATGTCAGCAATAGATTTGAGTTGCTCCTTTGAAATTCCTTTTGGTAATCCTTCTGATAGGGCTTTAAATACTCCGTACAATACTCGAGCAGTGTTTTCACTATCAAAGATAACTACAGAAGCAGAATTGTTGTTGTCATTATCAATATATTTGTACTACTTACATTTGCTCTCATAACTCTTCATAATCATGTAACATTCTCCTAAACAAGTATCAATCAATGCTTTACAAATAGTTTGCAAATGAGCCTCTTGATCTGTTACATTTGAAATTTCTCGCAATAAACTCACTAAATGATAGGAAAAGAACTCGCCTGTGATTTTAGCTCTCGGATGCCATTTGCAATGTGGCAAATGATTTACCAATCCAACCAACAATGGTAAAATGTGATCCGTGTGATCCGATTTTGCTTTGGTTTGTGTGAGAAAATAGGCGAGAGCAATCGCAGATTCTTGGCCTTCCTCACTCAATAAAAGCAAATTGTGAGTCTTGTTGTATTCATCAAAATCAGTGAATAAATCACTCTCATCCACGGAGGGTCGATGATGATTGTTGTTGGTAGTATGATGATGGCTTCCGTTCATAGAATCGTTGTGATGATGAGAATTTGAACCGTTGATACTACCTGTTGATACTTGATGGTCATGAATTTCAATAAATCCTTTAGTTTTTACGGAAGATGCTGATGATGGTTGGTTTCCTCGAATAACGCTTGTGGTTGGAAGAATTGGACATTTGTGTTTGATAAAATTCAACTTCTTCTCGACACAGTTTCTTTGTGATTGAGTTTTATCGGTAAGGTTCTCCAATTTGGAGATGCTGTCCACCAACTCTAAAAGAATTTGTAATTGAAAGGAAGGAATGTACTCTCGGATGGAGTACGATTTTGTTGACATTTGGTGGTGTTTACAAGTTGGGTATTTTTTTAATTGGATGATGAAACTCTACAGTGGTGGATCAGAGTTTCAGCGCTGGTTCAACGCTTTGCAACTCGAAGTCTGATATGATCTATTGGTTCGCCATTAGAATACATCCATTCAAACTTTCGCTGTCCTTATTGTGACTTCTCTCTGACTCAAGCTGTTGGTAGCAAAATTTTTCGTTGCAACAGCAGTTGTTGATCATCACGAAAGAGATTTCCTCCAATTCAAAGCATTCAAAAAAAATGTCCACACGCAAAAAACCCACACAACAAGAAAAACGAAAGCGAAACACCGAAGAAGAGGTAACAACGGCCTTGAATGGAGAGACCTCACAGAAGAAAACAAAAACTGTTGCTCCTAATCAGGGTATCAATGGTGTTGGAGCCTATCAAATACCAAAGATGAGGCCCGGAAGCATTTATAGAATTAAACTGCAAAACTTTATGACTTATGATGATTGTGAGTTCTTCCCTGGACCGGGATTAAATCTTGTTCTCGGACCGAACGGAACAGGTAAGTAACAACGATGCTAGACCAAATTTCCTAACAAAAATAATTGTGATCATCAAATAATCACTTTCGCCAGGCAAAAGTTCAATTGTTAGCGCTATTTGTGTCGGATTAGCAGGAAGTACAAAATTATTAGGCCGTGCATCTAAAGTTGCAGATTATATCAAGCACGGGAAAGATAAAGCTTTTATTGAAATCGAGCTTTTTACCAACGATAAGAGAAACGTCACAATCAAAAGAACTTTTGTAAAGAAAGAGGGCAAAGAGACATCTACTTGGAAAATTAACGGAAACAAAAAATCTATGGAACAAGTTAAGCAAATAATTGATGATTTGAATATTCAACTCGATAACCTGACACAATTTCTTCCTCAAGAGAGAGTCAGCGAATTTGCAGGATTAACCCCAGTAGAAAGATTACAGCAAACTCAAGAAGCAGTTCTTCCTCCGGAAGTCATTAAATATCAGGAAAGTTTAATCAAAGAACAGGAAGATTTTAAAAAGAATGCCCACACAATAGACTCCCTTCAATCGACAATTGATACATTGAAAAAGAAAAATAGCCAAACCGAAAAAGAAGTTGAAAAGTATAAGCAAAGACAGGAATATCTCAAAAAAGTAGAGCTTTGTACAATCAAGCTTCCAATTGCAAGATTTAAACAGATGCAAACTAGAGGTAAAGCTCTTAGAGAAGAAATACAGCAGAAGAAGCAAGAGTATGAAGTGCTTCAAAACAAAAACGGTCCTCTTAAAGATGAGATTGATCTGTTGCAACAACAACATCAAAAACTAGAAAACGAACAAAAAAAAGATAAGGAAAAGATTAATTCTTTGAAACCGCAATTTGAAGAAATCGCCAAAAAGATTGAACATTCATCGGCCAAGATTGAACAATTTTTACAAGAAATTACCTCAGCTAAGCAAAAGTCTGAACAAAGAAAACATCATATCCAAAAGTTAGATCAACAAATCAACCAATTTCAACAAAGACTCAGCACCTTCAATACTGAATCAGCCAAAACTACCATCGCACAAAAGTTGAGAGAGCTTGCTAACATTAACGAAGAAATGAGCAAAATTACAGATCGAAGATTGGAGCTTGGAAGAATTTTGGATGCAAAGAAGCAAGATATAGAAGAGGTTAAACAAAAAATTCAAAAACTCGACAATGAAAAGCATCAGCGTTTGAAAAGGCTTGGGGGCAAATATCCTTCCGTTGTTAAAACTTATGAATGGTATCGAAACAATTTAAGAGACTTTAACAAACCTGTCTACCTGGTTCCTTTAGAGATATCTGTTCTTGAGAGCGTTTTTGCAGACTATCTCGAGATGCATTTACCAGAATATGTCTTTAGATCATTTGTATGCGAGGACTCTGAAGACAGAAGTAGGCTCACTCAATATGTTGAGGAGTGCAAGTACAATATAACTATTATTGATCGTGCACCAGATGCCTATACACCACAACGATTGGTTCCTCAAGAAAGGCTAAAACATTACGGAATGTTACACTATTTAGATCAAACGTTTGAGGCTCCAGATGTCATTAAGATGGTTTTAAAGGAAATTGCCAGAATTGACATTGTTGCTGTTGGTGGTGCCAATGCTAAAATTGAGGCCTTCCTAACAGAAACTCCAATTAAGTGTGCTTTCGTTCCAGGGCAGCAATATCTTATGAGATCATCTCATTATTCATCAAACACTTCCACCAGAGTGCTTGACATAACAAAGGCAAAAGTGTTTACAGCTGTTGATCTCACCGAAAAAGAAAGTCTCAATAAGGAGCTTCAAGTACTCGTGTCAGAGAAGCAAAACATTGACAAAGAGTTGAATGAGGCAAAAGAACAAGAACGTAATTATCAAACAAAGAAAGAAACTTTGGAATCTCAAAGAAAGGAAGCAGAGAAGAAACTCAAAGAATATGATTCCCTTCAAAAACAAATAGCTAACTATGAAAAACAAAAAAGGGATATACTCAAAGTTGCAGACAATGTTGAAGAGACTGAAAGAAAATGCAATCAAAAAATTAAGGAAGAGAAGATTTCACAAATCGCGTTGCACATTCAATTGAAAGATTGTTGTAAGAAATTTAATGACTTGATGATCAAGAATGACAAGCGTCCACTATCTGCATTATCTCTAAAGAAAGAACTCGAAGAAAAAAGAGTTCAGTTAGTTGAGGCAGAACGACGTACTAAAGAGCTGGAAATGAACATCAAAATATTAGAATCTGAGTTCAGTTCGATCAAGAGCACTTTAAATGAAATTAAACAAGATATGGAAGAGCGTATTAATAGATACGGCCAAAAGAATGGCCTTGACGAACAACAGGTACGAGATCTTCTTACTGTCTTTCCTGAAAGTGAAGAAGAGTTGCGAACTGAAATTCAGCACTATCAAGACGAGGCTGAAAAAATTGTGGCAGATGAAGCATCTATTGTTGAATATGAGAGAAGAAAGAAAGAAATTGAAGAAAAAGAACTTCAACTTCAAAACTTGAAGGATAGAGTAGCCAACATTTCCAACACGGTAAATGAGTTAAAAGAAAAATGGCTAAAACCTCTCAAAACATGTGTCGACAAGATTAACGAAACATTTATGGAGTATTGTAAACACATTGGAATTTCTGGCGAGGTTTGTTTAACCGGTAACGATGAAGATTTTAGATCTTGGGAGATCGATATCAGGGTCAAGTTTAGAGACTCAGAAAAGTTGTGTTCGCTTTCCGCACAAAGACAATCTGGAGGTGAAAGAAGTGTCACTACCATTCTTTACCTTCTTTCTCTTCAACAGCTCAACAAGGCTCCATTCAGAGTGGTCGATGAAATCAATCAAGGAATGGACTCTGTAAATGAAAGAAAGATATTTTACCAAATGTTAGATTCAAGCCAGGGAGAAGATATTCCACAATCCTTCTTGATAACACCAAAGTTACTACCTAATTTAGTTCCTAACAATGCCAACAACCTAACCATTTTATTTATTTTCAATGGACCTGTAAATATTTCCCAAGATCTTGTAGCCAAATATTTCTCCAAATTCGACAAGTCACTTGAGTGTAAGAAAGAACCTGGAACAGCAAGTGCCTTCAATCACAATGCCAGCGACAGTGAAAGTGACGAAGAATAAAGCCTTTGTAATTGCAAGCACAACCTTTCTGAGTTGTGTTTTGGAAGATTGATGAGAACTCTCCTGTTGATCACTTAAAAATGCACAACACTCGAAGAAGAATAACACCAACGCTTCTCACTGAAGCAGATGAGGGATTGGAATCATCAAACACAAGCAACTTGCGAACATCCAATGAAGAAGACAATCTTCCATACCAAGAGAAAATAATCATGTCATCGGATATTCGAAATGGATCGGAACCAATTTTAAAAACCAATATTGATATTTCTTTATTATTTCATGCCTATGGAACCACCAGGCGACACAACTCTAAAGAAGGAAAATATACATTTCATGTTTTACCCCCTTCTATAACATTGAAAAATTCAAATTCTTCAAATCTAAATGTTGTTTATGAACATAGAAACTATTTAAAAATTGCTTCCATGACATGTCCAGAAGACATTCGTAACAAACTCCATCCGAGTTTCGTCCACAAGTACAAATCTTTCAAATTTCTTGATGAGTTTCCTTCCATATCGGAATCAAGTTTATCGATCTGTAATTACCAAGATAAAGATGCAACATTGAGTATCAAAGAGAAACTTGAGATCTATGGATGTATTTCAATAACAAGTTCAGATAGTAATGCCTATTTTCTCATTGCAAAAGATGGTACTAACTCGTTGAAAGCTTTTGAATTTGATGAAAACAGTACTTTTAAAAGACAAGTCATTCTTATTGAAAATATTTCGAGTCCCATTGGAGCAGTTGATGTACAAGACCCACTCGTTCTAGTAGCATCAAATACCAGAGTTTACATGTTCAATATTGCTACACTTGCTTTACAAACCGATGTTACCTCTATGGATTCCTTCAATATTACAGGAAAAGATATTTCACTCTGTTTTCCCACTTGTATCTGCGGAAATCAAAACCAATTTTATTTAGGTAGTGAACAGGGCCAAGTCATCTATGGCCGATTTCAGTCACAAATTGAAGCAAAACAAGTGTACTCCCTCAGACAACCAGTAGTTTCAATCTTTCATCTCAAACTTGACAGACAAGAACTGTTATTAATTGTTGGAACTCAAAAGATAGTGACGACTACAGTGATGAATAACGCAATTTTCGCGATATCATCAGGTTCGTCTTCCAAATCTCAAAAGAAAAAGAATTTCCTTACTGAGCAACAAGAACAATCGCTTGTTGATATGGAAAATAGTGAAGAATGTGTGATAAAATGTTGCCTTAATCACGACCATTCTCTGTTGGCCACCATTAGTACTTTAGGAAATGTGAAAATCTTTCGACTACCTTCTCTAGAATTAATATTTTGTGCCAACTTTAAACACACAACAAGCAGTATTCAGAGAGGAGTTGGAATCAACACAACTCAATTTGAATGTGCCACTTTTTGCTTTGCTCGCAACATGAATAATCACAAATTGTATCTGGTCCTCTGTACGACCGATGGTTTGATTTATTGTTTTTCTCCCATCCTTCTGTAAACGAAACGAGGATCTCCACCGTGGTGTTGGATGAGTCTCATCAGTCACTGATGTTCGAGAGAATTCCCAATCCAAAAAATTTTGAATGGACAGCTGTTCCTGCAAGAAAGCAGCAACTTGTCACTTGCTGGTGATGCAAGAAAAAAAACAATCACACGACAACAACAACGATACAACCACCACCATGGAGAACGATAGCTTCTCTTCCGATTCATCCGGTGATGAGGAAATGGTGATGATCATGACGAGTGAACAAATCGAAAAAAGCACTCATTGGAACACGAACATCATTGCACCATATGCAGCATTTGAATCATGTGGAATGTTGCTCAGAAATTTTCATGCACGAACAGGAAAATTTCTCTTCCATGTCATTCCTTCTATTATTACCTCACGAATCATTTATGGTGTTGAACAGAGAAGAATTCTCGAAACTGATTTACCAATTCCGAGAAATATTGACGATAATATTAACACACCTCTCTCAGATGGAGCATTGTGGTTCACTGTCCATGAGCTTGCACATTACGACAATTTAGAAGAACTACCAAATTTTATGGAAAAACTTTCTGCACAAGACACTCACACTCCATCCACGTATGAGATCGTTGCTCTTACATACAAACAAGGTACTGGTGTGGAATGGATCGTTGTGAAACATCAAGAAGAAAATTCTGATCTAGTCAAAGTGTCCACTTTACAGAAAGATACACAGTATGAACCTGTAATTCTTGAAACAAGTAATAGGGCAAACATTGCAGTTCATGTGACCACATGCACTCCAACGCCATGTATTTCTTGTGTTTACAGAAACCAAAATAACAAATTGATGTTGAATATATTTAAGATGGGCGAAAAGCTTCCGTTTTTTGAAGTAGAAGTGAAAATGCCTCTTGGAGACAATGAGGTTACAAGTGTGACAATCTTGGAATCTGTAGCCGAGTATTGGCATTATCTTTTTGGCTTGTCAAATGGAACAATGGTTTTTTAAGGCAAAATACCAGTAGTAGTAGTGGTAACAGACAAGCGTTTTTGTTGGTTGGTCCCAAATTAACACATCTTGGATCTATTGTTTCTTTATTACAAGTTCAACAGAGAATTGTAATTTTGGGATCAAACAAGCTTGTCATTACAAAATCTGACGATACCCAAAAGTTAAAAAATCTGTCGCGCTCGTTACCAAATGAAAAAGGTAACAAGAAGCATATTATACCAGGGGTATTTTGGTGTAACCTTGCAGAGCATGAAAATGAACAAGCTCAAAGAATGTGCTTGAATGCCAGCTCTACACTTTTAGCTACCATCACCAACCGGGGTGTGTTGCGAATATTTCAAGTTAATTTTAGTGACGGCAAATACGAGCTTGCATTCCAAACCTCGTTTGTTCATGAAGGTGGAACTAGAAATTGTCTCTCTTTGTCATTTGACAAGAAGTTTGCAACAGGCGACAAAAAAACCAGAGAACTTGTCGTTGTTTGTTTTGAGCAAGGACTTGTTTATGTTGTAGAGCCTATTTATCAACATGCTGTTAAAACAAGCAACATCAAGCTCGATTCAGACGATCTTATTGAACTTTAAGTTGTTCATTGATAAATATTTTACTATGGTGAAACTGTACATATTGGTGTTTTCATTATTGCCGTCATTTCGAAATGAAAATTCATTCATTCCGAGTGCCCAACAGGAACGGGTGATGACACGACATTCTTTGGAATTTAGTATTCAAATAAATTAGGGAGTGAGAGGAGAATCTATTTAGATTTTACGCCAGTGGATCCAAATCCGCCTGCTCCTCGTTCCGTTTCATCCAAATCATCAACTTCTACAATATCTGGCAAAGCAATTTGCTCAATCACAAATTGTGCAATTCGGTCTCCTCTCGCAATTTTAAAGTCTTCATCACCATGGTTGAATAACAACACTCCCAAATTTCCTCTATAATCGGAATCTACAACACCTGCACCAACATCTATGAAATTCTTCACAGCCAATCCCGAACGTGGAGCAACTCTTCCATAATAACCATGAGGAACGGCAACAGCCAAATCGGTCTTTACCAAACATTTACCTCTTGCAGGAACCACATAATCATAGGCAGAAGCCAAATCAAATCCTGCAGCAAATTGAGAGCTACGAACTGGAAGAATGGCAAATTCGGAGAGTTTCTTGACTCTCATCAATTGTGGAGTGGACATTGGTGGTGGTGGTTTTATTTTTTTTGAAAATGTTTTTTTTAACGGTCGAAATAGGCGCAACTCGAGCGCAACACATTTAGTGGCAAAGGTCACCAAATCCAAACAATTTGTGACATTAATCAAGATTCATATATTCATTGACTTGTCATGAAATATTCACACTATGTCCTCACTTGGAAGACTCCTGGAGCAATTTGTTTAAATGAATATCCATTCTCAGTCAAGTATTGCTCCACAGCAGGTAAGAGGACTGGCTTATTATTGGCTGAGTGTTTTCCTGTTCCAGTCACAATGTTAATCTTACGATGAGGTTCATGTTTAGAAAGATATTCATCGAGAGTGTCAATAGCATCTGAGAGTACCAATCCGTGCAAGTCGATGGTTCTTGGTTTTCGAATGAGACTTCCTCCCGTTTGTTCTCGTAATCGAATTTCATTTGCCTTCTCTCTGCAGTCTTCGACAATGAGACTATACTGTCTTGCCTTACTCATGAATTGAGTGGCAAGACCGTGATTTCCTTTTTGTTGAGCGCTGACAGCCAAGTCCATAAATTTGTCTCTGAGTTTGCTATACTGGTTGGATGCTTGTAAATAACTTGATTCCGTGTCTACGAGTTCGGGTAATTGATAATGTTTTCGTTTTTGCATGAGTTCATCCAAAGCAACATGAGAAAGGGGTTGTTTGACAGCTGGCTTTTTGATGTCTACGATGTTGGATGGTATGACTGCTGATTGAGGTCCAATGGTGGTACCATAAATAATTTCTTCTTCTTTAGGTTTGATTAATAAATTAGATGGTGAGTTGAGAAGCTCATTTGATTTAAATTGTGCTGGATATAATTGACTTAGATATTCCACAGTTGCTGTTAAATTTTGATCACATTGTTCAAAAATTTCCATTGCATGATCCAGAGAAATACTCTTTCCTTTGATAATTTCTCCAAGTTTTTGTCTTTTCATTTCTAAACTTAGTGTGACAGGAGCAGATTTCTTAGAGCCCTGTGAATGACTAGTGTTGCCGCTAGTATTAGGTATATTCGTCGAAGACGAGTTCCATCTCGATCCTCCCACTAGTAAATCATTTCGAACCACACCACGAGAGGTTTTCTTTTTAGATCCTTGATGATTCGAAGATGATGGTTTGTTTGTTTGACTTAAAATGGCCATCGTTGCTTCTTCAACATTATTGTCACATGCAATTAACATGGATTCGATTAACGACTGTTCAATATTTGGAAACATTTCTGTCAACATGTTTAACTTTTGTTGTCGTTCTCTATTTTCTAATTGCATCTTTTTCTTCTTTTCAATATTCTTTTGTTGATTTCTTTTTTGCTTCTTCTTTTTCTTTTCTTCTGGATCATTTTGTTTGAAATAAACAGGTAATTCTTGTGCCATTTCAGTAAGAGTCTTGTGTTTTGGATCCTCTAATACTGCAAACAATGATGGAGGTTGTTTCTTTTGTTTTTCAATTGATTTCTCTTCTTCAAAACTTTCTGCATTGTCATCGTCATCTAAGAGAGCTTTTCTCAATACGCTCATACATGAAAACAAGTCCTTGTCGTTTTCCTCATATAAAAATTGAATGAAATCTCGATCCACAATACAGTATTCTCCACTTTCATTCTTGACATCTTTGAACATGTTAAAGAGAAGAGAAATGTTTTCTTGATCGTTGATATTAATCGGAGAGTGAAGTGGAAAATCTTGATAGCCTTCACTTCCTTCGAAATTGGCAATATTGGAGGCATCGGCCGATGATGAGCCGACAGACGACGTTTGGTCGAATGTTGGATCGGAAATGATGAAATAAAGCTGTTGATAAAATTAATTTTGTAAATTGATTATTATTAAACATTAAATATGCCAAATGAATGATATGATAATAAAATATATATCGAAGATAATGATTACTCGATTTTACCGACCTGATTGATCGTTTGGTCAAAATCACATCCATTCTCTTGATATAACGTTTTAATCACCTCTTCATCAACAAGTGGAGAAAATTCCATAATAATGGTTTGTAAAATCGGATCTAGTATCTCTCCACCACTTCGGGAGTTTGAAGATGCATTGTTGTGAGTCTCAGTGATTGCAGAAGACGATGATGACATTTTTTCGCTTACGGTGATGAATAATTTATTGTGTAAATTGTTCCTTCTTGAAATTTAAATGGCTTTTCTTTTCATATTCCACTAATTCATCATATCGATCTGGTTGAGTGATATTGGACATGCAAAATAATAATAACTCATGTATGAAATGATGAGTAAAATTATTTAAATATGATTCAATTTGATGTTCAAATAATTCAATTTGAGGACCATGAGAATAATTTCCTAAATGTGGCGACCAATCGTTAATTAATTTCAAATAGCAAAATTCTGGGCTTGATAATAAGCCTTCAATATGACACTGAATCATTCCGATGGAATATGATCTGAAAATTGTTTCCAATTCTCTCTTAATAAATAATTTAATCCTCATTTCCAATTGAATTTTCTCATGGATTGATTTGTTTATCTTTCGTTTATGAATATTACTATTAAACAATGAATAAAAAGGATCTTGTTGATAATATATAAAATGTCTAAAAGCATGTTGCGGTATGGATGGCATTATTGTTGTCCCCAGCTTGTTGTCCATCGAGTCCGATGATGAATTTTCATGGTACAAGCATGTGATTTGAAAATGTTTCTTACTAAATATATCATGGATGAGATGAGTGGCCACTGCATTGCAGAGAGGACACTTGGTACTTCTCTCCAGCCACATGGCAATGCAGTGGGTACAGAAATTGCAATGTAAGCATGGCAACAACATGCCAGGATTATTTACTTCTTTCCGAAGACAAATGATACAATTCAATTCCTCTTCTTGTTGTTGAGGTGTGTTTGGTGATGGAGTGGTGATCTCTTCCTTTGGTGGTGGATCTTGGTGTTTGAACATTTTTATTTTTCATTCGTTTCAGATAAAAGATTATCGGAGGAGAAATCCTTGTCATCCATTTGTATTAAACCAAATGGCAATTCTTATTTCAGGTTGTCGTTCTGGGTGGTTCTTTCCAATGTTCTCATCATTCTACAAGCAAGAAAATACAATAAAAAAATGAACGAAGAAAAGAAGGCCGAACTTCGTGCCAAAAACGAGCAGGCCTTGAAGGGGAAGAGGCCCGATGCTTCTTTCTTTAAATCATTAGATTCTTCAATTAAAAAGAATAGTGCATTTGTGAAGAAGATAAAAACTCTCTCTGAATTACAACCGGATCAAAAGGGGTCATTATTGCCGGATGTAAGTTTTATTACCGAAATGTATGATCATCACAGCGATGAATTAATTCATAATTATTTCATATGTGGATTCTACAAATTGCAATCAATCGATGCCATCATCGGATTCTGTAGATTCAAAAACTAAATCTTCGTCGGTTCATCAGCGAAATTGTACAAGGATTTTGTGAAATGCCACTAAAGCCGGAAGACATTGACTATGTTGTAGACATTGCTTCCGCTCTCCATCAATTGTATGCAGAGTTCTCGGAATCATTCATTTCTTCAATCGTTAAATCATGCGCCACTCAAAACAAGGATACTGATAAGAAGGAATTAAATGTTGCAAGACTATCTGTAGTATTGATGATTGTAACTAAATTATTTATTACTAGGATGCATGATAATTTTGCAACCATCAACAACGTGTTGAAGGGTCTGGTAAGTTGGATTATTAATGCACAGATTGAAAGAGGTTGATTATCGAAATTCAAGATTCAAATGCACAAAAAAACATCACAAACCGGAATTTTAATGCCATTCCTTACTGAGTTTCAACACGACTTTCTAATTGGAAAGCCGTATGATCCATCAAAATGCGATATTACGGAACAAGAACACAAACAAATCAATGAGTTGTTTATGCAATTCTTCGATTCTCTGTGTGATAGATTAAGATCAAAACAAAAAGAGATTGGTGACGAAGAGATATCGGGAGAGAAAAAATCTTCTTTGGACGAAAACACTGAAAATTTAGATAAGGAAAAGAAAAAGCTCAAACAATGGAAAAAACATTATGATGTTGCAAAGGAGTAGGTACAATATTTTACGTATATTAATTTTAATTTACCATTTAAAAGGGTTGCCGATATCTTGAATGCTAAAATACCGGACGACATTGAAGAGGCATTGCAAAAGGTTGAAGATATGACAGCTAAAAACGAACAATTAGAAAAGAAAGACGTTTCCACTGAGAATATCGATCAATTTGTTAATGAAAGAACTCGCCAATTTTATGAAATAATTCCAGATCTAAATCAATTAATGCAAGAAAAGAATGAATTGGAGAATATTGTCTCTATTGACGATTTACTTGATAAGCTTCCAAAAAGGCCACCAATCGATAAGGTTGCAACTACATTAGCCGTTAGATATTTGAATCAGAAGACAAACAGAACAAAGCTCGTCAAAAAGATGTTTAGCGTCAATAGAACAAGTTTAGAGTTGTTACCATATTATGGAAGACTTGTAGCTATTTTGAACCTAACCTACAAAGATATTGGCAAGTCATTGGTGCAATTATTAGAAGAAGAGTTTAACAAGTTGTTTGAGGAACAAGACCAAATTAAGATTGAGACAAAGGTTAAAAATATTAGATTCTTGGGAGAGTTAATTTTATTCAAGATTTGTCCCGAGGAGACTGGTATTGAGTTTTTCAAGAAGTGCCTTTCACAGTTTCATCATCACAACATAGATGTTGCATGCCATTTTTTGGAAGTATGTGGAAGATATCTCTATGCCAAGCCTACAACTCATCTTACTATGGTTGAATTGGTTTCAAAAATGATGAGAATCAAAGATGTTAAGGTCTTGGATGTCAAGTACAATACCATGATTGACAATGCATATTACAATACTGTCATTAATGAGCAAGAAGCTGAAAAACAAAGAACAGTTTATGGTGAAGATGATGAGCTTACACAATATGTGTTACATCTGCTCTTGTCAGAATTGAACAAGTATAACATCAATACTGTCCTGAAACAGCTAAGAAAACTGCCGTATGACAATTTTGAAGTCATCAAGAACATTGTTAAAAGTTTACTCTCCCATATTAGAGAGTGTGCTTACGGAACTATTCACTTGATGGCTAGTGTTCTGGGCGGACTTTCGAGATATCATGAAGAAATTGGAGTTGTAATCATTGATTTTCTCATAGAACAGATTAGATATTCATTGCAACAGGAATATTTGGATTATATCGAACTGGGAATTAATCAAAATGCGGATTACTTTGCTTCTAGAATGAAATCCGAACAAAAGAGATTGATTGACATCAAATTCTTGGGAGAATTTTATAACTATCAGCTCATCGATATCAACGTAATTATGGATGTGTTGTACATGTTGATACTGTATCCAACTCCTCTTGAGCCAGCCAAACAAGACACTTTTAGATTGAGACTTATTTGTACACTGTTAGACACTTGTGGTCCATACCTAGAAACTGCTGCTGACAGAAAAAAAGTCGATCGTTTCCTTTTGTATTTACAAAGATATGTACTTAGTAAGCAATATAGATTGCCAGTAGACTTGGAAAACATGTTGGCGGACACTCTCGACAATGTGAAACCAAAGCTCAAGTGGCCAAAGAGTCTGAAAGACGTGAATGACAAAATTGAAGCGATTGAGCAAAAGAAACCAATTCCACTTCCTGGGCAAGGAACGCCAACAGATCTTCTTGCATTATGGCCCATTAGTGACAATGATCAACCAGGCGAGCTTGGAGAAGACGAAGAGGTTGAAGAAATGAAACAACTCGAAGAAACAGACTTACCTTCTTGCAATGGAAACAAATCAGTAGAAACAAACGATAAAGAGGCTGAAGAGCTTGACCATGAGCTCATGGAATTGGTCAATGAGAGTATTAAGGAAAGAAAGTTCATCACTAACAACACTATCATGAAACTTGGCACCAATATTCCAAAACCTCAAGAAATGCTCAAACAATCAGCAAACACTCCAACCAATTTACCTCAAACACAAAGAATTACCTTGCTCTCTAAACAAGGAAGAAGTAACAAGGCTCACGAATTATTTGTTGGAAACTTTGCTAAGGTCATGAAGAAAGATTCAGTCACATCTCAGCCACCTTCTTCCCCCAACAGTACCAACAACGAGTAGACGTGTTAGTGATTCGTGGGATTGTGAAATTACAACTGATATCATCAGGAATGGACATCATCTCGTTAATGGTACAAGCAAGAACTTCACGGTACTCGAGTAGTCGTCTTGAAAACTGAGATGGCTGTCAGCCAATATTGATTAATAATATTTGAATGAATAAAAACTAATGACATTTCAATTCCATCTTCGAACATGCCGCCATTTTCTGTTAAAATTTCAAATTTTTTCAAAAAAAAAATGAAAAATGTTGAACCCGTCACATCACAAGAGCCAACAGGCAAATATTTGCATCAACTTCTTCGGAAATTGAATTATGGTGACTTGGAAAAGTATCCATCATCAAAGGTTGAAAATTATAATCTTCCTGTTGATCCGAGCGTATTGGACTGGGTTTTTCATTGCAACAACGATTCAACAAAGTTCATTTGCAAAGTTTGTGATTCCATCTCTCAAAATTACAAGAATAGCATCCTCACAGAGAGTGAAATATCGGAATATGAAGATTTGGAGAGGTATGGCACAGTATTACTCGGAAACGAATTGGATCAAGCATTAGAATTGGGAAGTTTATATTACAAGAGCAAAGATGATGTTGATATTGAAGAATTGGAAAAACAACTAGAAGAATTAAATGATGAATTGGATACTCTAGAAAATAGTTTGGAGAAAAGGAAAGTACAACGAGATAAATTAGAACAACATTTTGGCACACTCAAGAAAAGAGGTTCTAGAAATGAGCCACTCGAAAAAAAATCATCCATTCTTCAATCAATTCAAACACGAAATTCTGAATTTAACAAATCACTTTTGAATACCAAACAAAATGTCGATGAGTTTGTAAAGATCATGACTAGCTCAGAATCTAGCACAAACTTGTTAGCAAGTTCTGATTTGACATCAATTATTGAGGGAGATACAGAGCTTAAGAAGGAGATTGAACATTTAATCCATCGATACTATGAAGAGATGGAATCTCACCAGCAACTCGAACAAGAGGATGTTAATAATACTGAAAACGAGCAAAGCAAACAATCCAAAGAACTCAAACGATTAGCATCCATGTAAGTTTTTTTTCATTTCACTCTCCCTAGTTTCATGTACGAAATGCGTCAATTTGTAGATACAAAATCACAGAAGAACAGTACTTGACAGCCCTTGTGACGAATAGAAAATATCAAGCTGCTCTAGAATGTGTGAAAAATCAAAAAGACCACATTCAAACATACCAACACTTTGATGCTACTACCTTAATAGAGAATATTGACAAAACCTCAAAACAAATATCCTCCATCAAGGATATAGTAATTCAATATATCAATGTAGATATCCCATTACTTGTCAAAGATTTGACCGAGCTTCATTCAATACGTGTCATTGATGGAGACTATTCTTTGAAAATTGAATCTGAAAAGAAGAGGAACGAAAAGTTAGATTACATCTTACAACATATTTTGAGAAGATTAACTTGTGCGGATTTGTTGAAAGAAGCTTTCAGTTTGGAATACAAAAATATTTATGACAATTACTTGTTAATTACATGCATCATTATTGAGCTGAATGAGATTCTCACCAAGTATGAAAAGCGATTGCATCATTACCAACGATTACACGAGTTGTACACTATTGACCAGCAACAAGAAGACGATCAGCATGATATCCTCCATCCAATCTTTGCTGATTTAAACATTTTACTGTCCAACGATCATGAAACATTTATTTCTAATTGTAAGTCTGTTTGTGATCACCATGACCGAAACGACCATTCCTAATTATACTATTTATTCAAACAGCATACCTAAAAACAAAAAGCTTATCACACATTTTGTTGACCTCTCTCATCGAAAATAGAAAAGAAGTAAGCACTCTCAAACAACAGTTGGATGAACTTATTGATAATGTGTAAGTTTTTGTCATAACAACTTATTTAGAACCCTCTATATTACCACATCTCAAAGTGTGCAAAGAAACGAAAAACTTGAACATTGTCTTTTCCATACCAAGCTTTCCTTCCTCAAAGAGAATGAGGAATCACAATCGATGCTTCCAACTCCAATGCTCATTCCCAAAGAAGTTATTGAACAAATGCAATCTCTCAAGATTCAAACTGACGAGTTGAGCATTCTCATGAAACAGGTATTGGAAGAACAATCACAGAAACAACATTTATTGCAATCGGATGAATTTATTCAAAATGAACGAAGTCTTTCGAAATTCACAGATCTCCTCAAACACGAGTAGATTAAACGAACGACACACATTGATGTCTGACTGAATTGATTTGGCTCCCATCAATCCTTCCCCAATTTGTGCCATTGTACAATTTTGTCATACATGTGTTCATCACTTCCTTTTGTTTCCCTTCAAAAAAATTGTCACAACCTCAACGTTGTACCTACTACCGGTGATCACCTTTTGACAAACTACAACAACAACAACACTCGGAGTGTGACTTGTCATTCAACCTTGAGTTCATTCTTCAATCAACAACAACAACATCATTGAATCATCATGGAAGACCTAAAAGATTCCACACTAACACCAGCATCACCGTATGAAAATTCACATTCTCCAACGTGCTTTGTCGATGAATACGACGAAATTGATGATTTCAATAATGTAAATCATGACGAAGATCATCATCATGAACCTCCTCCTGTGATTACTGCCTTTTCCTTTTCTCCAAAAATACAAAAACCATGTGTGATCTTTGATCCGAATCCAATTTGTGATAAAAAAGAAGACCAAGCTCGCGTCACAGTGGCAACAAAACTGAACGATCCTGTTGAATCATCTGATGCATTGATCCACAATAACAACAACAACATTAATACTCATCAAGAAACTCCCACAATGATTGTGACTGAGAATGATCATTCACAACACGCAAATGTCAACCATGTCGACAATGAAAGTTTTTCATCACACGATGCACTGAATCAAAAATTGAAATATCATGATTTTTTGATTGTTGAATTGGGAGAAGACTATGGATTTATGAAAATGGCATTACCAAGAGAACGATATGAACCAGTGTATGAAAATGTGAGAACTGGAAAGATTCATGTGTTAGGTAGGTTTACATGTTGAATGTTGTTGTTCATGACACACATTTTGTGGTATGAAATTTAAACATTTGAAAGGAAAGGGAGCCTTTGGAATTGTTATTGCATGTTATGACAAACAAAATAACAACGCAAAGGTTGCTGTAAAGAAATGTATTAATGCACTCAATGTGGTTCCTTGGAATATTATTCGAGAAGTTGAATGTATGAAACATTTGAGAGGTCATCGGAATGTCATTGAACTGATTGATGTGTATATTGAATATAATTCATTTGACAAGGAATCGTCTGATATTTATATTGTGACAGAATTGTGTGAAAAAACCTTGTGGGAATATTTAAACGAAAAAACATTTCCTCAAACTCCATTGTACGAACATGAAGTCAAAAACTTTATGAGTCAATTACTGTCATGCTGTGTATATATGCACAGTGCATCTATTATTCACAGAGATATCAAACCAGAGAATTTGCTCATGAAAGGAGAAATTCTGAAATTAATTGATTGGGGAAGTGCAACCATGTGCAAAGAACAACAGACGGTCGAACATTTGGAATCAGTTTATGTTGTTACAAAATGTTATCGACCACCAGAAGTGGTGTTGACATCGGAAGAACAATCACCTGCCATTGATGTGTGGTCCATTGGATGTGTTTTTGCAGTAAGTTTTAGAGAGTCAAACTTGATTGAATTGTTGATTCATATTCACGTTTTATTCGTCATGACGATACACAGGAATTATTATTTCTACTGGAAGATCCTCCCTCAAGACAACCCTTATTCTATGTGAAAAATCCTGGTGTGGTGGGAACGAGAGAGCACTTGATGAAAATTGTTGCAATATGTGGCAAACCTTCACCTCAGGATATGCTTGGTTCTCTGAAAGGAAAAGAATACTTTCAAACGTTGCTCAACAAGACCAATCAACCAAAAATTCCTTTGGACGCAATTTTTGCAAATGCCTCTCCTGAAGCTCTTGATTTATTAAGCAAATTACTGACATTTAATCCTGCAAAGAGAATTACTCCTGAAGTAGCATTGAGACATCCATACCTGAAAGGAAATCGATACATTGATACCAATAATTGTGATGAAGAGTTTCAAATTAAGCTCTTGTTGGATAATATCACGATTGTAGATCGCAAAGAATCTGATCGTTGGAAGCTGCCACAATGGAAGAAATGTTTCAAAGAGTTGCTTGTCGAGTGGGGTAATGAATTAGCTCCAATTAATAAAACAGAGGACAACTGAATTGTCATCTATTCTCATCGAACTAAAATTAAGCAAACAAAACAAGGTGCATCAATTCTTGTTTGTGCTTTTTCTCGAAATCTGCTATTAATTGAGTAATATCGTTTTCCCAATCGTTGCTATCATTTAAATGTTTCACGAATTCTGCAATTGTTTTAGCATTTCTCTCAGCTTCTTTATGGTTATCAATAACTTCGAGGTTTATCACGTGTATTGGTCTGTCGTAATAAATATTATTTGATACAATACTGTCAATAACCGCTTCAAACACTCTGAGTTCAAAAGTAACTACAACATCAAAATGCTTGGTATTTTCTTGCCACTTTTCTGGAGCTGGCTTGATTTGAGCATTTCTTGTTAACATTTTTAACAATCCATTGTTTGTATAACTGTGTAAAATTACAAGTATAAGTGGTCATCAGAACATTAATTAATTTTGATAACTTACAATTCCTCATCTTGTTGTTTCAAATCGTCAAACATTCTTTGGTATGGTGTACCAAAGTCATAAATATTCGGAGTATCTCTTGTTTTACCAGGCAACTTGACAGATGAACCTGTACCAAAGCTACTCACAGTCATTCCATACTTCTTTGAAAGCAAATAGTGAGCAGACATGGATCTGTTTTGATTAGAGGCACAAACTACAGCAAGACTCAGTTTTTGTTGTGCTACCTGATTTGTTCCGGTCGTATTAGTTGTTGAATCTTGTTGTTGTGAGTTTGATTGTGAATCTCTGTCGTAATATCCACCCACTCCTCCCTCATTTCTATCATAATATCCATCATCCTGTAAATTTCTACCACTACCACCTCGGTTATCATTGTAAGGGCCCCTTCCTCCGTGTGGCTGGCGATGACCACCTCTCTGATGATGATGAAATCCTCCACCACGTCCTCCCGATCGATACTCGTTGTTCATTTTTTTTTTATTTTGTGGAGAGACTTGCTTTCATCATCGTACGAGTTGGACAACAAAGCCACATCATCCAATATAAACTACGATTTTAAAGGACAAGTCATTCAGAATAACAAGACAGAGTTGAAGATGATGATGAGATGAGGATAATGCCATTGTTTCTAAAAAAAATGTCCCAAAGTGAATATTTATTCCGAGTGTTCTTTACTCACACCAAAGATTGTTTTATTCAATTACCAGAGCAATTGATTGTAAATAATCCAGAATTTAATGAAAAGACCAGTGAGTCTGTTCATGTATTTAGAATTATCGGAAAGTCATCTCCACAATATATTGCTTGGAGTTGGCATACACATAAACTCGGAGCTGATAACATTGGGATTCCTTCAACATTGGCGAATTGTTTGCAAATTCAAGAAGATGATACACTTCGGATACAGCAATTAACCAACGTTCCTGTTTGTGAGAAGGTATTTGTGAGACCAGCAACGGTAGATGATTCAGAAATTTTAGAATTTAACCAGAGCAGCATTGAAGAGGATTTGCTGTCCCAAGTTAGAATTGTTCATAAGAATATGAGTTTTCCATTATATGTGAATAACAATATTATTATAACTTTGAACGTTTATCAATGTGGATCGAATGAGAATGATGACAATGTTTATATCATCAATAGAGGAACTGAATTTATTGTGGAAACAAGAACTCAGTTTGAAGAGACAAAAACCGAAAAAAAGTTTCATTATGTTAAAGCGAAATTAGAAAAGGTATCTAGCGTTTGTGATAAAATTGACAGTAATGGCAAATCATTCGACGAGTCTCATGATGATGATAGATTTGTCTACATTACTGAAGATATTGCTTCCGAAATTGGACTTGAAAATGGCGACATAGTTCAAATATTACACTTAATTTTCATTCGAAAAAACATTGTTAAAGATGACACTCAACAACAAACTCAAGAAGAACCTAAAAATGCACTCGAGGCAATGAAAGAGTTTGAAGAAAAGAAGGAGAGAAGAGTAATTTATGCTAGAGCCATAGTTTTGAACAAATCACTTACCGAAAATCTCTGCTATATACCAACTGTTTTTGCCGGTAAACATCTCACTTGGATGCTAGGCGCAATAGAGCATGCAACAGTGTTTTTGAGATACATCGAAGAACCCATGTATCCTAACCATGCACATACCATTTATGTGAGACCTTTATGGAATCATACATTCACTAATGAGGACCAAATAATGTCTCTAAACATGGCTAACAACCCTCTAATAATTGACTCGTTTGCAGAATGGATCAAACAACGCAAAACTAGTTCCATTCTCACTGTTCCTTCATTGATATTTGGTCAACGAAATGTAATTGAACTACCTCGATTTGGAAAAGTCATACTCAGTATTAATGAAAACATTATCATTCCATCAAAAGCACAAGAAGACGAAGACGAAATTCCGACATTTTCCGAGTTTGTTGGCAAGTCTTCAGTAGAAAACATGTACTTATTAACAGGAGACGAACCTACATACAATGTTTTTCCAATAGAAGAACCTATTCGATTGGAGCACCGACATTCCATTTATTCACACATTCCTGACATTGTTGAAATTACTGAGATTAACGAGCAAATGGAAATGATGCTCAATCGTCTCAAAGTTGAGTTTTCATCTCAGGCAATACCATATAAGACTCGCTTAAACCTGTCTCCTCGATCACACTGTAATGTGATAATCTCTGGTACTGTTGGTAGTGGAAAAACATACTATGCAAAATCATTGGCTCGCCATTGCAACGTTTATACTGTTTATATTTCATGTGGATCAATTGCTGGTGATAGAGTTGACACATTGAGTGCCAAACTGAACAGCTATGCCCAAGAAGCAATGATTAATTCTCCTTCGATCATTATTTTCGATGACATTGAAACAATCTGTCCTCTTGAGCAAGATGAAGTTTTCCCAGATATTAATGTAAGAGTGGTGGCATCGACAGTTATTGAAATTTTGAACGCTCTTTCTGCATTTAGCACCAGTCACGAAAAACGAGTGAACGTAATAATGGCATGCAAATCTTTAGAAGAAACACACAGCATTATTCAAAATAGCAGACTCTTTGAACATAACTTTTTACTGAGTGTTCCAAACAGAGAGCAACGTAAAAAGATTTTCAAACGATTTTTAGAGTTTGTTCCAGATCCTTCCCTGATAGGCCAGGAAGAGGTTTTTAACTTTTCCATGTACCACATCTCTGAACAAACTCTGGAATATATCGTTGACAAAACAGAAAATTACTCACCTGTTGATGTTAGAAATATTTTGGAGAAGATGATTAACGTCAAGTTGCAAGGAATGATCGAAAGAGGTCTTTTTGAACATTTAAATTCTAATATGGAGTTGACAATTCAAGATTTCCTCAATGCATCCAAAGACTTTATCACACACTCAACAGAAGGAATTAAATTAACAAAGAGCACTACTTCCTTCTCAGATATTGGAGGCCTAAAAGAAGTGAAAAATATTCTCACAGAGACTTTTATCTTCCCCACCAAATATGCTTCCTTATTTGAAAATGCTCCAATCAAGTTAAGATCTGGTCTTTTAATTTATGGTCCTCCTGGATGTGGTAAGACCTTCCTCGCGAGTGCTGTTGCTAAAGAATGTGGACTTAATTTCATTTCGATCAAGGGCCCAGAGTTGTTAAACAAATATATTGGTGCGAGTGAACAAGCTGTTAGAGATGTTTTCATGCAAGCGGCATCAGCTAAACCGTGCATTATTTTCTTTGACGAATTTGATTCAATTGCAGCTCAGAGAGGACACGATAATACAGGTGTTACAGATCGAGTGGTGAATCAATTTTTATGCCAATTGGATGGAGTTGAATCAAGATCAGGAGTGTATGTATTGGCTGCCACTTCTAGACCTGATCTTATTGATGCAGCCTTGTTGAGACCTGGTCGTCTTGATAAGTCTGTATGCTGTGACCTTCCTTCTGAACAAGAACGAGAAGAAATCTTGCAGGTCATTAGCCGCAAGCAGACAAATATTACATTAAGTGAAGATGTGAGCTTTAAAGAATTGGCAACACTTACTCCCAACTATACAGGGGCAGACTTACAGGCCCTATTTTTCTCTGCCACGTTAATTGCGTTCAGAGATCACTCTCATCAAGATGCCAACGCAAAGAAGAAGGATGTTCTTTTTTCTAACTCTGATAACGATTTTTTCACGCTTCTCAATACCAACAAAAGTGATGCAAAGAAAGGAAAGACCTCCCAAAATGTTGCATCTGTTGTGAGTGACGAATTGAGCCAACAAATGAAACATATTCAGTCGAGTCTAAGAAAATTTGCAAATCAAGAACAGGAAACAAAGAAGATAGATTCACACGCCGACGTGGTCCGTATCAATAGGGAACATTTTATGGAATCTCTTTCAACAAGTAGAGCCTCATTGAGTCAGGACGATATTGACAGATTTGACTACATTTATTCGAGTTTTAGAGGTCAATCTGATGAAGATTACATCAAAAAGTTACTTAATCAACAAAAACGAGTAACTTTAGCTTAATAAATTCCTTAATATCCTGTTGCTTTATTTTGTAATGGATGTCATTCGAGTGTCAGGACACGTTCGTACACAAAGTTCTTGTGTCATGCTTCACCATCACGTGTGTTAAAACCACCATCTTTAAAGTCATGATATTTTGTTAACCTTAATTTGCCAATGAATAGCCATATCCTTAAAATTATGTGACGACGGTAAAAACTAAATTTCCGAAATAATGGACAATACGTCCGTTATTCTCATTCCTTAAATTCTCATCTCCCTTTCCAGTTATCAAGATAGTTTGTCCACTTTTCATTCCAGGTTCAATCTTCACCTTAATTATTTCTCCACAAATGACATGTCTTGCTCCTTGGCACTTGCCACAGTCAATTGTATCATGATGGTTGCAACATTCGTCACAAACAACTCTTCTATTGATCATGAACTTTTTTCTTTTTCCAGCAATTAAATCTTCTGGAGTACACTTGACTGTGTGCATAATATCCATATTTGTATCAAATTCTTTACACACAACATTGCGATTTGATTTTAGTGTAAAGTTCGAATCGTATTGCTTCCTCTTTACAGGATCCATGAGCACACTATAGGCTTCGTGAATGATTCTGAATGTAGATTCACCATTTGGATTTAAATCAGGATGATACTTCCGAGATAGTGTTCGATAGGCCGATTTAATTTCCTTATCACTAGAATGAACAGATACTCCGAGAACATCATACAATGTTGTTGAAATATTCTTCTCATGACATGTAGAAGAATTATTTGAAGAAGCAGTCTGAGGTCTACTACTAGTACCTGTAGCATCACTACGACTATTGCTCTTTGAATGAGGAGCCTTTAGTCTCTCGGAACTTGTTGTTGTTCTGGAAGAAGAGGATGTTGCTGATGAACCACTACTACTATTGGCACTCGTTGTTGGTGTGGTTGTTGCAGAACTGGTAGCCTTGGAAAGAGGAGGTACCACACAACCATTCATCCCCACAAACAAGTATCTCTTTGGAGAGGTTGCAGCAACACAGGAAGAAAAGGCTCTTGAATTCATCATGAAATGTTTTAATAATGATGATACAATAATTATTTGTGAGTTTGAAGGATTCAATAGAACAACTATTGAATTATTATTGTGAATTATTATTGTGGATTGACTTCGAAAAAGGAGTGGTGTTGTTCTCTCTTTCGCAATTTTTTCACTCACACAAAATCTTTCTGCTTCCTCTCTCTTCCATAGGTGTTGAGAATGAACATTTTGATTGAATGTTGGATTGGCCTAAAAAAGGAAATTTCGGAGTTTTTTTTATAAATGTAAAGGATGGATTGTTTAGAAAATTTGAATCTGGTTGAAAGTGTTTGCGAGTGTGTAAAGAGCCATCGGAATGCATTCACCCTCGAGTATTATTTTCTGTGTGGGAGAAAATCCATAAATTGGTGGTGATGATGATCGAGAGAAAACACACATGAAGATATAAATGGATTCAACTAATTTATCATCATTGATTAAAAAAAATGAGTAAAAACTCGAATGTTGTGGTTCTCATGAATCATCATGACTCGTTTCGGAGGAGAAGGATCGGTTATATGGAAATTTCCTCCTATTCCATGTTGTTGATGTCCTTGTATTTTTATTATAATATTTATATTCATAACGATGGACTATCTGTCGAGGGATCGGAATTACAACCATCAACAACTTTATCTGCAAATCCATCATCATCACCAATTTCTAATTATAATATTGCAGATTTCTTGCTAGACGTGGGTATGGTGTTTGGTCCAACCATAGGTTATATTGACCAAATCCGAATTATGATCCGAGATAAAACATCTAACGGATTTTCGAGGCTGTCCTGTCTCATTCTTCTCAGCTCCTCATTGTTGAGAGTGTACTTTTGGTATTTGAAACAATTCTCAATTGTTATGCTTTTTCAATCCCTTGTAATGATTGTATGTCAGTCAATACTCTTATTTGTGGCAGTGCATTATGGAAAAGAAGAGAAAAAAGCTGAGGAAAAAAACGCCAATCGTGACACAAGCAACTTATTGGTGGAGCCTGAAAATCCAAATGACTTTACATATCTCATCAAGATTGACAGAAACAGGTTTTTAGAGGAGTTTTGGCAATGGGATGAACCAGCATATTATGTTTGGACAGTTCTATTCTTCATGATGTGTGTTGGAGTTATATCCCTATTTTTCTATCCAATTTTTCCAGTCGCATATACTGAGCTACTCGGATTATTATCTGTGATGATAGAAGCATCATTAGGTACGTAATGGCAGCTCATTATTGTTATGTTATAATTTCATCGTGACAATTTGACCATTCTATTGAAAACAGCTATTCCTCAAGTGTTTACCAATTTCAAAAGAGGCTCCGTTGAAGGGCTCTCCCTAATACTTGTGGCCACATTTGTGATTGGAGACACTCTGAAAACAGCTTATTTCGTGGCTAAACAGCTTCCTTATCAATTTGTGATTTGTGGAGCATTCCAATTATTTGTAGATATGATCATGGTCATTCAAATTATTTATTACAACCTCATTTCATCAAGAAATAATATGATAGAATTATCATCCAATGAATCTCACCATGAGGTTTCAGAATCATCGGCTATAATATCAGAAGCAACAACTTCAGATCATGAAGAGGATGAGACAGACTTGGAACAAGGTGCATCAGACAAAGTCGTTGGCACATCAAATGAGACAAAGGGTGAATCTGAGATTAACGCGTCTCCTCAGTCAATTGAACTCAAATCAGCAGACAATTAATTGAATTCTACATTCAATAATATCACATATCACATTCTTAATTAAATTCTTTAAGCTTTCCATTATTTCTTGTAAGTTGAGTTGCTTCTGAATAATAGTCCTGTGGCAGGAGCGTTGTTCTCGATATTACCTTTATCTAGAGGAGGAAGCTTGGAACTTGTTGGAACTTGTCCTGGCTTCTTTTGTGTTGTTGACGTTGGTTGCATGTTAGGTGGTGTTTGCTTTGCTGCTAATGGATTAATAACTCCAATATTCGGTTGTCTACCAAATGTTTTGTTGTAAATTTCTTCCTTATTCACCAACTCCATTTTGTAGTATTTCATATCTCGAATTGTCTTTTGAAGAAGAGCTTCCTTTTCAGCTAAACCTTGTTGAAGAACCTTAATTGTTTCAATATCTTCTGGTCTACTCTCTCTATTTTGATATTTAAATTCCCATTCTCTGATCTTTTGCTCTAAATTGGCACTTCTTTCTTCCATGAGTGTTTGGCTTCTGCTGAACTCGAGTTGCAAACTTTGAGTTTCCTTAATATTTTCTTCAATAATGTCGTTAATTTTTCGTTTGTATTCCTCTATCAATTGTTTTTCTCTCTTCTTGGACTCTTCTGTCATTTGATTTTGCATTTCATTAAAATCTTTGAGAGACTTCCGAACATAATCGTCGAACTCTGCCTGTTTTTTGTCTAATTTATCTAGATATTGAGCCCTTTCTGCTAGGAATTTGTTCTTCAAGGACTCTTCTGACTCGTACAACTTTTCATTATAGGACTTGATGAGCTCTTCCATTTTCAGCTTGTTTTCTTTTGTTAAATTTTCAATGGATTGTTGTTCTCTTTGTTTGGCTTTGTCTAGCTCCTGTTGGTGCTTTCCTTCCATATTCTGAATATTTTGTTTGTGATCTTCTCGTAACTTGTCCATTTGTCGCGCTAAATCTTGTTCTCTTCCAATCCCTTCTTGTATTTGGGATTTCAATTGTTGTATGTCACCCAATCTCTGTTGAATTTCATTTTCTCTGTTTTTAATTTCTCTGTGAAGGTCAGTTATCGTAGCTTCATATGATTCAATTAGAGCTTGTTTTTCCATTTCTTTTTGTCTTTCAAGAGCCTGTAACGACTCAATTTTATCCAACTCGCTCTTCTCCATCGAATTGTTGTGGTTGGAAAGCATTAGTTGGATGTCTTCAGTCTTTCGTAAAATTTCTGCCTCAAGATCAGATATTTTCTTTTGGAGAGTGGAAATTTCTTTTTGCAACTGATCTACCTTTGCTTGCCATAGTTTCTCCACGAGCTCCTTCTCATTTTGGCCATTCTCTTGTAATTCTTTGATCAATCGCTTTTTCTCACCGTCAAATAACTCTGTTAATTCAGTTCGTAGGTTTTTTAACTCGTCAGAAAGCCTTTTGTCAAATTGATTTTCCAAGTTAAATTTAAGTTCTGACATTTCCTTCGCTTTGTTGTTTGCAGCTATTCTTAACTCTTCCTTTCCTTTTTCTATCGTTAATGCTAGCCTATTTTCTAGATCCCTGATTTCTTTTTGAAGAGTTTCCACTCTCAGTTTTTCGTCAAGAACTTTTTGCGTTAAGAGCTCTAATTTTTGATTAAGCTGAGCTTCACGTTTTCCAGCTTCTTGCAGTTTGGAATGAAGATCCTCCAAGGAAGTGTTGCTATCACGAGACATTTGTTGTATCTGCGTTTTTAAATTAGCTATTTCTAAGTCACGCTCGTCGATGATATCTGTCATATCCTTTTTCAATTGCTTGTAATTGTTTTGAGAGCTGATAGCAAGCTCTTCGATTTGCTTTTGAATTTGGCTCAGTTCTTGTTTTGATTTTGCTGAAAGTTCCTCATATTCCCTCTTTTTCTGCTCAATCGCCGACTGCAGTTGTTTTCTCTCAGCGTCAAATTCAGCCATCAATTTTTGTTTCAGTTCGAGTAGCTGTTGACTTGAACTCTTGTTTATGTTACTCAAGGACTCTTCTTGATCTTTTTTGATAAGTTGTATCTTATCCTCGTACATCTTTTTCAGTTTTTCGAGCTCTTCTGAGAATTTCTTTTCCATAAAGCTTTTTTCATTCTTGTGTTCAATTTTCATGTTTTCAATGTCATGCATCAGCACATGCTCCTTCTTTTTCAAGTCAGATATTATCTTTTCTTTGTCATTTAACTGAGAATGCAGGCTTGTTATCAGTTTGTCTTTCTCGTCGATGGATAAGGCGTTTTGTGTTAAAGATTGTCTCAGCGAGTTTAGTTGTTGTTCGAGTGATTTTGCTTCAGTTTGTTTGGTTTTGAGTTGCTTTTCCAAATCCTCTACTTGAGTGAGAAGAGCAGATTGTGACATTCCATGAGAATCCTTTGCATCTTGCAACAGTTTTTTGAGGTCTGTCACCTCTTGCTCCCATGCTTTGATATCTTCATCCTTCTTGTTGAGATCCAATCTTAAAGACAATATCGTTGAATTTAGACTCTCTATTTGCGTTTCTAAATGCTGTTTTGCTTTTGACAGCCGTTGAATCATATCATCTTTATCCTGTACATCACGCGTGAGTTGACTAACTTTTCCATTGAGCCCTGCTTCAGTTTGCCTCAAAGATTCTAGCTCTTTGTTCAGTCTTGCAATTATTTCATTTGTAGAGGAAAGTCGTATGTCAAATTCTTCTCGTTGTTGTTCAAGTGCTTTTTTTCGTTTTTGGGCTTCCTCTTCTAGCAAGGCTGCAATTCTAGTTTTTTCATCAGATTTCATTTTCTCGACTCGCTCATTGAATTGTTTTTCCAATTCTGCTCGTAATTGTTCTTGCTCGTTGAGCATTCTAGTGAGCATATCGTTGTACTTTTTGTTATAAGTTTGTACTAATTCTTCCACTTCTTTGTTGTGTTGAAGTCTCATATCGGCGTCACCCTTATTTTTGTTTTTTTCAAGCTCCTCCGTGAGAGTTGTAAACCTAGTGAGTCGTTGATTGAACTCGTCTTTGGCATTCTGAAGAGTCCTCGTCAGATCTTTGACTTTTTCTTCATACTCTCTTTTAAGAATTTCCTCTCTCTCTTTAGCTTTTCGTTTGAACTCCTCAAATTCGTCCATCGCCTTTTGTCGTTCTTGATTATGTTTTGTGGTGAGTGTCTTTACGATGTCTGTAATTTTGGTGTCATTATTCTTTTTTTCAATTTGATCCCGAAACATGGCCAGTTTTGCTGTTGTGTCTCTAATAATCTAGTGGTCGAAAAGTATTACGTGTTGAATTTAAAAGTTATCGGAATAGTAAAAGTTATATCAATAAAATCAAATCCATAATAGTTAATGTTTAGATCATCAATAATAATATTCAGAAAGATCCATACATCTTCAATCTCGGATTCATACGCATCCGCCAAAGAGTTTAATTGAAATTCATGATCATCATTTTTTGTATTCAAATGATAAATAACTTTAGTAAGTTGAGCAATCTTCTTGCTCATCTTGTGATGAAAATCGGGAAAACCATTTGCAATCTTATTCGCGCTGACGTTATTTACAGCCCCCGACGATGTCTTTGAGGATTTCATCATGAATTTTTATTGAGATGGCGTTACAGTTTTTGGCGGCAAATTTTTCAATTCTGCTCTCGCGGGGTTTTGTTCGTGCGCGAAAGCAGCCCCTTGCGCCTTATTCCTATTGGGACAAAACAGCACAGGCATGTAAGAGTGTTCAAGATCGACTATTTCAAAATTAGCCAATACATATTTTTCCGATATATTATTAATAATCTATAACACAAAAGGTGCAAATTTCCACTTCTCTTTCTTTAAAGTGGCCGCCAAAAGGAGAAAAAAATGCACCCACATTACTTCCCTTTAATCTTGTCCTTCGATCATATCTTGATCAGCACCAAATCATTACTATGGTTGTCATCAATAGTGGGAGAAGTGGACATTTCATTATTTCATGTGCTTTATATCGTTAAAATGTTGTGGTATGTCCATGCAGCTTTTGTTGCTTATGAACATCGATCCGAAGCAAGAAACCTGCGACATCATATCATGCTGTTTTTAATATTCTTTTTTGTATCATCGGAAGGTGGAGGCGCAATTGTTGAATTAGTTCTTGGCATGAAAAACTCTTTTATCGGAAGTAATTATAAATTTGCTACTTCTCTCATTGTGTGGGTTCTCTGTCATGAGCTATTATTCACATCGAGAAGACAAAAACAGCTATTTTGCTCATATTTTGAAAAAGGTTTCTCAAAATATCCTTTGGAAATTTTGAACCAATTTCGTTTAGGACTAGGATTATGTGTGGAATGCATTAGTTATGATATTTATTTGCGAAGAAAAAGATTTGGGGGATTTCAGCCTGAAGACTATCACTACAAGTATATATTCTTTGCAAATCCTTTCGAATTTATTGGTCATCTCATCAGTGTGCTTTTATTAGTGATGATATCCATGACAATAAGGTAAGTTTGATGTCACAATGCATGAATGGCTGACATTAATATTCGTTCAGCTGCTTTTTGGCTCCCTATTTTGCAGAAAAATACATCAAGCAACAAAAGACATCTCTGAAATCAGTGATTGAACGATTCAGCCCAGATACAGTGTTTTACATCAAGCTTTGCTTCTATGCGTCAATCATTTTAATCACATGCCAAGATTTTCTTGTGGCAAGTCACACGGTCAATATTGCCGGTGTGTTTGAAATTCCTATTATACATTTAATCCAATTGTCTGTGGTGCTATTTTTCATCTTATATCCCATTCTAGTGAACGATTTGGGATGGTTCTCAAAATCAAAATTTTAAGCTTTTTATTTCCAATCAATCAATTCAATATCTCAAAATTATAGGCTTTTTATTGCCTAACGAGATTGTAATTTGTTTAATAATGTTATTGCCATGATGACCACAGAGAAATACACAATTTATTGCTTCCATTCCATTGCTTTGTTAATTTGATAATAGCTGGACAAAGCACCCAAAACAATGAGTGTGAGAGGAATGGTCTTGTTGGTTGCTTTGAAATAACGACTTACACCAGCTCCGAGCAATGCAATAGAGGAAGCACTCGCAAGTACATGACCTTCAAAATGCTTTTGTTGCGAGATGAGATAAGAGGAGAGAGCAAAGGCGCTTCCGAGAGCAAGTCCTGCAATCAAAGAAGGTTTGGATCGTTTGTTGTAGTAAGCTGCTACTCCACCAACTGAGAGGAGAAGAGCCATGGTGTTGGATATGTGCTATCAATATGTGAGTAGAGAGGGATGATGATGATTCGGTCAAAAATTGAGAAAATTAAATTTTGGTGCACCAAAAGCCTACCTGTGATCCTGTCATGGTCGAATGTGTGTTGTGGGTGTTTGGATTTTTTTGTTCTGGAAGTGCGAAGAAAGGTTTGTCCTCTTTATTTTTGCGAGCAAAATTGGAGAATGGTTGAGAGAAACGACCTTCTTTCTCTCTTGTTTCTTCATGTGAGATCATTTTCGAAGATTGATTGTATCAGTATACTGATGAGTAGTATGATGATGTTTGAGGATTTTCTTCTCCTGAACGTTTGAAGAAGACGAATTTTTAAGGGAATATTTTAAGCAACATTTAAAATTAAAAGGAGTCTGTGGAATCCAATGATCTCCTTCTCTATCAAGAAAAGAGGATGGACATGAACACTGCCATAAAGGAATTTCCAATGATCTTGGATTTATTCGGAGAAAACAAATACGAGATTGATGTACAACGGACAGAATATGTGCATGAAAATGATAGAAATACGAAACTTACATTGGATAGAGTCACATACTCAGACGATACTTCCTTCGTTGTGTTGTCTCTAACTTGCGATGTTGAGACAGAACATTGTAACCAAAGCTCTATTCAAAACATTTATCCTTGCAGAAGCAAAATGGTTGAGTTTTTTTACCACAACAAGCGTGATTGATATGACCATTTACTCCTAAATGGAAGTGTGAGAAGAATGGACTATAAATCCATGAGTATTGCAGAATTTGAGAAAGGAAGTGAGATAGCTGAACGCTATAAGAAGGAAGCTGAAGAAGTGGTAAAAAAACTGATGGAAGAAAATGCAAAGTTAGACGAACCTGAATATTCTGATAAATACATTAGTTTCGTGAAGAGAAATATTTTGAAATATGGTTGTCGTGTTGTTTGTGATGGAGAAGATGATGAATATGATGAATAAATTGTAACATCTTCCATGTTTCTGCCTCATGAACAAAGTTTTATTACAATTGCTCGTCACAAACCAAATCATAGCACGGATCCAATCCACGCACATGGTGAGATTCGTGATGATGAACAGTAGTGATTTCATGTTGTTGTGATTGTAGACTACAGTGAGCTTGGGAAGATGCATGCAATGACTGATCTTCATTCATTGCCTCCTGATTCTGATGTTCTTGCTCACGTTGAAAGAAGGTGTACAAAATTCTGGCACAAATAGCGACTTGCTCTAAGGTATACCCAACATGTTCTTCCATATCGATGGTCCAGTAGTGAGTCAGAACTTCATCAAACAATTCTGTTGAGGACTCTGACTGTTGATTCAATCGATAAGAGTTCACACTTGGCTGGTATTGATTTTCAAACATGATTTGGCCAGAATCAAAAGGAGCGTCGTATTGGTGATAAAGAAAGAGGCCCAAAAGAAGAGACGAAAGAGCCATCAAACTTGGGTAATTAAGCATGGTGATCCACATGGAAATGTATGTATGTTCAAAATGATGCTCTAAATGACATGGTACAATGATGTTGAAGTGTCTCTTTAGCTGCTCCAAAGAATCATTGGATTGCCTTATGGAAAGAGTTCCCAACAGTGATGCATCCATTACCATCGACGAATATTGTTTAACAGTTTCCTTGAATGTGACGAAATGAACGTCCTCCTCATCTTTCATCGAGGAGTCATCTTCATAGAGACCATTTCGGTTTCTGTTATCTGTTAGCATGGTTTCCAAAAAATCGATGGAGGGAGTGTCTTCAAGTTCCCATTCCAGTAAATCCAATACGAAAATTTCCATTTGTTGAAACTCTTGCTTGGTGTACATGTGGCAACAATACTGAATCAGATTGTCGAGTTTAAGCTTGGAGTCTCCATAGGTTTCGTCTCTCTTCGTAGCGATCCACAGACAGCATGCAGCTAAGAGCTGTAAGTATTGCTTGATGTTGAAGAGGCCTTCACGGGCATGATGATTTTCAGAAGTTGCAGAGCCTCCCACAACTCGGTTCTCAGAGTACAATTTATACATGCACAAATCCATGTAGAATGTTGCAACATGAACTGTTCGTTGTAGAATGGAGACAGCATACTGAATCTCAAAGAACCAATCGCAAACTACACTCCTATATCTTCTCATGTAGCTTGAATTGATCAGTTGTTGATAGACTGCACTAGTTTTCCTTGTTCTTGATTGATTCTGTTTGGAATGTAAGGCATCGAAATCCTCTCCCCACAGTACAAGCTGTTTCGTGGGCTTTGAAATTTGAAGGCTTGCATATCTTTCATAGAGTGGAGGAGAAGACAATACATCTTCGAAATTCGTTCTTAGAGGGGAAACATTGACGGAACATTGGGAAAGCGTTCGTTCCCGGAACAATGATGATGGCACAGAATCGGAGGAAGCATAGGAGCCATCGACTGAGGATGGAGATTGTTGCTGATCGTTGAGATATTGTTGATGACTTCTTACAGTAGAAGCATCCGATATGGATTCATCATCCTTATAGCTTGGCTGTTGAGCTTCTTGGCCATAGAAATATTTCGAAGGAGTGTTGTATTGAGTTTGTTGTTGTTGTTGTTCGTAATGATGAGAGTGTGGTCGAGAGTGTGCAGACAGTAAGGGAGATGAATTGGATCTTACACCTTGTGCACAATGGAATTCGGGAGTTCTTCTTGGAATATTCATCTTGTTATGGTCGTATAGATAAAGGTGGTTAATAAGGATTTGTCTGATTGCAATAGAGGGCAGAGAAGAAATAATTTCGGAAGAGGTCTCTCGAGGATATATCAGAGTATCTCACTTATAAATGTAATTGGATAGGAAAGCCTTTGCACTGTGGGGCAAGAGAGAATATAAGGCTTCGGTAGAAGTGGTGGTGGTAGTAACAATAAGGAGGATGTAGGTGGAACCTTCTCGGATCGAGGACAATGAGAGTTCTCTCTCTTTTGTGTGAGGCTATCACTCGCTCTTGAATTCTCAGAGGGTGATGATGATGATGGAATGTTCCAAAGTGAGATGAGAAAAAACCAAGACGACTTCCAAAGTCCACTTGCTGTTGTTGTTGTTGTTTTTTTTGGAGATGTACTATTACAGAAAAAGAGTGGAAGAGAGGGAAAAGATCTGCTCCTGCAACAATTCCCCCAGAGAATGTTTTTTCGCACCGATAGGCAGCTGCTTCGGGTTTGGATTTGTAGCACGGTACAAGTCGAGATCTTGAGCGAGGAGCGGTTTGTGTCGATGACTATTAATGAACAATCGAAATTTGCGTGTTGTAGGTGTGAGTGGCGCCACCTTACCAATTCTTGCTTTCGAATACAATCGATCGAATGGGAGATTGGCAATTCGAGAGAGAGAGACTTTGAGTGGTAATGAAGAGAAACGAAATGTTAACGGAAAACGTTGTAATTACGCTCAGTTCAATGTGTAATGACTCGTTGCGATAGAATTTGGAATCTTTTGAAATCAAATGCTTTCACAATAACTTGCTTTGTAATTACAATAAGAACAACAGAGGGGGCAAAGCAGTAGGAGTGAGCCTTTGTCAAAATTTGAGCCCTATTCCCAAGAATGGATATTCCAAAGATTGGATGTGTTGATTTTGGAATTGAGTGAATTGAAGGCAAGTATTTGAGTTTCGTGGATGATTCTTATTGGTCTGAAAGGAGTTAATGTCCGTGGAGGCGTAAAATGATCATGACCAAATGGATCCATTTGGTAGGATACCCATTGAGATCCGTACGATAGTAATATGTGTTATACAGGAATGTGCCCATAGAAACTTACCCAAATAGGAATTTGCTTTTTGTGAAAGTCCTCACACACTACTGATGAGAATATATATCTATAACGATGGTGATCCGTGTCCAACTATTCGGCGATACCACCGTGGTGAAATATTGGAATGATCTTTCTGTTTGAAAAAGTTTAATAGAAGAGAGAAAGAAAACTCCAAAGAAGATGACACCACTGCAAACGCCACAAAGCAATTTGACAGGAGTCAGTGAACTTGTGGATATTTTCTTTTTGCGTCGCGATTACCAAGTCATCATCTCGAGAGGGATTATGTAGGGTGAAAGAAGAAACGTTGCAACATGCTCATATGCCAAACATGTAAGAGGTGTGGATATAATGCACCTGTCACTTTTAGGGAATTGCAATTCGTTTACTTGCCATGAAAAGTTGGAAAAATAACAAGGCAAGAACGTGCTATGCGCGTCTCTCGGATTTTCATGCATTTGCACTCGGAGTGACCAAAAGGTTCTCAAGATCTCGCAAGATGTGACACCTCCTACTTTGAATTAGAAACTTCCAAAAAGTTTAAAAAGGTGATGAATTATTTTGGGTCACAGGATGACCCTGTGCGTGTGCAATAATGATGATAATGGAAAGCATTAAAGATCTCAAGATGATGTGATCTTTGGTGAAAGGACGAACGTGTCATTATTGCAACCATTCAAAAATTATAAATCCTCCGCTCAATACAACAGTGTACACTCATGATCATCATCAGTCACTCATGAGAATATAATGACTCGTTACATGGGAACTGCTTGATCTTGTTCATAATTTCAATCAATTTTTCTCCATTGTGCAATAACGCTGTTTCACCATTGTTCACTCTTCATACAGTAATGACATTCGAGTTTTTTTAATTTTTTTCGAATCGAAATTAAATGTTCAAAGTTCAGTGTGTTTAATTTAAATTAAAATGGGCAAAAAATTTAGCAAAGCACCTTCTAGAACGCCTTCTTTCATCATCCAGCACCACTCTTATTCTTCCTCGTACGTGATGGCAGCATCTGATTTTTCATCCAAGAGTTTACCCGTGCTTTCGGAATTGGATGATTTTGAAATTTATATGCAAGGCTATTCTTCTAAAGGTGCCCTATTGACTGGTTCGTTTGATCCGTTCAATACAGCAACTCATTTAAACAGTAATCACAACAATAATAATGGGAGTGGTGATCAGGATGGATCTAATTGCTTTTTGCAATATTCAAAATTTGAAAAACCAAAAACAAGACCATTGCCACTTCCAAAACATGAAACGTTAAAATTTATTGATATCGGTCTGCAATTTACGACACTCCTCACACATTCCAACAAGGTGTATTTATTTGGAGACTTTCCGTATGTTTCTTTTCTTTTGAGCTAATTTCTGATTGTTGATTTTAAAGATATGGATCACGATCACTAGAGGTAGACAATCCAAAGACTGGAAAGGTGTTAAAAGTAAGACTGAATCATAGTGACACTCAGGTTAATTTGGTCGACAGTTTTCCAGTAGAGCCAGTAGAAATGTTATGTGGGGAGCAATTCGTTTCAGTGAGAGATTGTATAGATCGTATTTGGTATTGTGGTATTGCTAACTTTGGTACAGGCTCATCTGAATCATTTTACTGCTTTGTGGACCTACGACTTAGAGAGGCCATTGACGGTCAATCAGACTCTGGCGATTTTTTAAACAGAAAAATTACTCACTTTCGAGTTGGTGGAAGACATATTTGTGTCTGTATTGATAATCATACTATTTATTCAATTGGAGCCAATTATTATGGCCAACTTTGTAATGATCAAAATGATACCTACGCATCTGTTGGTGATACTTTACAGAACATTCAAGAATACAAATTTGTACGAGCTCTGTGGAATAGAACAAAACAATATAGAGTAATGGATATAGGTTGTTCTGGTAATATGACATGCGTCGTTACAACATGTGGTCGAATTTTCAAAACTAGCAATGTAAGCTCCTCGTTTTCTTCTGAAAATGGCACCTTGAATGAAATTAATATCAATGGCCTTCCACTCGCAGTGTCTGGAACTTGGACACATATCTTGATTCATACAAATAATGAACAAGTTGTGAAATTATCAGACTCTCATCAAATTGAAGATGTTACACCAATTTCTTTCAAGTATAATTGCCCTCCAACAGAGCTAAGGTTTTCAAAAGGAACCAACTCTAATGGAGAATATTATTTACATACTTCTGATACTCTTTATAACTCGACTGGAAATCAAGTGTTAAAAACAAGTTTACCAATTTACTTTTGCAAAGTAACGAGCGAAATAACAATGATTTTGTGTGGCAGTGGAAAATCAGGAAAGAAAGTTCGAGAATTCTTGAAAAATTTATATCACTGCAAAGGTTTGCATGATGTTACGGTAATTGCTCAATCAACAGAGTGGATATAAAATTGAATTTCCATAAACAACTTTTTTATCCATCATATTTACCATCATCATCATATTATTCTGTCAAATCTAGCAATGCCTTCTCCAGATCGAGAACAGAACTGAAATGAGTCCTATTTTTCAACACTTGCAACTGTGCCTGCTTTTGAGAATTGGCAATCTTCTTCACGTAATAGAGAGGATTATTCTTGGAGATCATGGTATCGTTTTCAGCCATGGAGACAATGACTTTCCCACTCACATGACAGATCGAATCCAATTCAAATCCCCATTCTTCGCTTAACAACACTACCGAGGACTCCTTCATGCCAACACTGAAAGTCATTGGATCAATCGTTGTCTGTGATGTGCAAACAAGCCAGAATACTCACCTTGTCCAATTGACAGATCTTTTCATTTCATCAATGATCAACTTGGCTTGATCTGTTCCCTTAAGGGCTCCATATTCGTGAGGATACATGCTTTCGAAGGCTTGGACAGGATCTTTCAAAACTAAGGGCATTAATATCCAGTCTACAAGAAAATCTCGAGTATAGGTCGACATTAGCAACTCATAGGCAGCTCTTTGCAGCGCGTTCAATTCTCCAAAGGGTTCATTATCGACCGATTTCATTCCAAAAGGAGCAAATAAATTCACATTGTTCACATATGATGACAGAAATGCACTCACAGCAGCTTGATAGATTTCATTAAAGCTTTTTGACCTCACCAATAACAGTAAAATTGCTTACCTGCATAGGGTGCTCCCATGGAGGCTCCAATGACATTAAACTTTGCAATTTTCATCTCTTCCACCAGTAATTGTTTCATTAATTTAGAAAATTCTTCCAATGTCACAGCATGCAATGAAAGACTCAATCCCCATCCTGGTATCGTGGGTGCAATGATACAAATGTCATTCTTGAGAGCCATTTCTTCAAATTGTGAAAACATGGATCCCGTACAACCATTTCCATGAATGGCTAGTATGGCTCTACTATTATTGGTCTCATTACTCGAAAGCGTTGTTGCGCAATGACCATATATGAAATATTCCAACACTTTCAAGAGCTTTTGAGATCGAAGAGTTTCGTCTTTCACGATCATTCCGTGAGCCACTTTTTTGAGAGGATGATGATGATTGTTTTGAGATTCTATCAATTGGATAAGATGGTTTTCATTGAGTGATGAGAGCATGTTTTTGTATTCGGAGAGAGCTTGTTCATTCCGACGATTTAAATAAAACATTGAAAGAGCCAACAGAAAAATAGCACAAGAAATAAAAGATGTAACTAGAGACATTTTTTATGGAATATATCGTTTGAATTTTCCCATTCTGGATGATTTTCATTGCCATGTGAAATGGTTCGACATCATTGTTTTAAACTATTGAGCTTCATAATCAAAAAAAATGAAGAAACAAATCTCATCGGTTTTGATTGAGTGTATTGCCTCCCAGCAACACTCTTTCCGAATGGTGTTTCGGCCTCATGGCTCCTTGTTTATATTACCATCTAGCACCATCATTACGACATCCAGCAGCAGCCATCTTTTTCTTCACAATTATGAATTTCCGAAGAATATTATTAAATCGTATCATTTAAACTTGTTACAAAGAAATTCAGCCAACAAGGAATTGGATAAATACGAAAGAATGACAACAAAGGCTAGAGATTTATACCACGACAAAGAGTATGAAAAGGCCATTAATATTTGTACTTCAGTTCTTGAGGCAAAACCAGACTATCATAATGCTTTCGGAATTCGAGGACTTTGCAATTATTATATTGAAAAATACGAGTCAGCCATCTCGGATTTGAATAGGTATTTAGAAGTAAGCTCTATGGACTTTGATACTACCCTGTACAGAGCATATTGCAATTTCAAATTATATCGTTTTGATGAAATGTTGAAAGACTTGAACGCTATTGTGTTTGTTACTTCTCCAAGTGAACACCCTACTCGATTCATTGCTTCACGATTATTAAGATCCAATTACTATTTAATATGCAGGGATGCGGATTTGGCTTTTGCAGATCTTCATGCAATTGAAAACCATCTCGGTCAACCAAACTTTATTTTGAGTTTGGACCAACAAGCTCAATTCTATGAAGGCATATCACTCTGTTATGCTGCACGAGGTCTGCATGAAAAGGCAGTGTTTTATTTGACAGAGTTGATCGAAAAGGTACACAAGAACGAAGGCCAAAACAGAGCCCTTAACCTTAAAAGAGCATTTTCTTTGGTTGAATTGAAACAATTCGAGAGAGCTCTTTCAGATATTGATGCCTACATTTCAGAAAAAGGTATTAACGAAATGCCGGCTATTCTCATCCTCAGAGCGAAAGCTCTTCATGGACTTGGCAAGTTCAAAGAAGCGCTGACAGACCTTGAGAAACTAAACAAATCTCAAGTTTTGAAAATGCATCCTTATCTCATCGATGAAAAATGGTTAGAAGAATCAAAGAAAATACGAGCAAAATGTGAAGCAGAATTATTGAAGAAATAGTTTTACTTTCAATTCGTCATCTCCTTTTTTATGGCACGTCAAGTGACATACGTTGCACCTTCAAGTCGTCAAAAATTAAAATCCCAAAAAAATGTCAATCTCTCTCCGTATGTATTCTTTGTATTTCATCAAATCGCTCATTAACACTTGATGATTCTTGGTATGAAATGATCATCATCATCACCAACACATGCTTATCGTATGATCCCTCTGTCCTTCTCTTTTTGATGATACACGGTGCACTCCTCCGACATCATTTGTTGTTGTTGTTGTTGATGATGGCTTAATATACAACTTACGATCCGTCAATGATACAATGTTGTTGTTGAATATCTCCCTCCTCTGTAATTCCGCGCAATGATTCCTCCTATTCATCATCATCGTCATCATGGACCGATCCAAATCTCTCTCCCTTCCACAAACACTACAAACACTTTCTGTTCCTCCTATTCATCTTTGTGCCTTTATCGTCATCTTCACTACAGAAAACACTTATGGTGGTGTTCCTTGCACCGAAAGAGGTCGTTCCACATTCATCTCTGCCGCTCCATCAAAATTCCCAAACAAATTCACCTATGGATCTGGTAATTTTGTTCTCATCAGAGATTTGAACAATCAATTGGACATTGATTATTACACCCAACACACCCATAAGGTCAATGTTGCCAAGTACTCTCCAACTGGTTACTATATTGCTTCTGGTGATGATGCTGGTAATGTTCGTGTTTGGAGCACAGAGAATGTTGACAAGACACTCAAATTGGAGAAGCGTGTTTTATCCAAGAGTGTTCGTGATTTGGCATGGACTGGAGATTCACAACGTTTGGTAGTTGTTGGAGATGGTAAACAAGAATACGGAGCGTAAGTATTGTTTTTTAACAAAGTCATCGTGTTGTTGTATTGACAAGTGGCACATGTGAAATCATTATTGTCTTCAAATATTAATTCTTTGAATCATCACGATCATCATTTAGTGTCTTTGCTTATGACATGGGTACCAACACTGGTGAAATTTCTGGACATTCCAAGGAAGTGCTCTCATGTGACTCTCGTCCTGAGAGACCTTTCAGAATTGCGACTGGAGGTGCTGATTTGTCATTGAACTTTTACACTGGTCCACCATTCAAGTTTTCACACTCCAATAAGGATCATGAACGTTTTATTAACTGTATTCGTTATGCTCCTGACGGAAGCACTTTTGCTTCATGTGGTTCTGATAAAAAAGTTCTTATTTTCGAGGGTAAAACTGGTGAAAAACTAGGAGAATTATCCCAAACAAATAATCACAAATTGTCAATTTATGGTTTGGCTTATTTGGACAACAAGCAAATTGTTACTGCTTCTGGTGACAAGACTGTCAAATTGTGGAATATTGACACAAAGGAATGTATCTCAACTGTTACGATTGGTGACAGCACTGGTGATATTCAAGTTGGTGTTTCAGTTATTGGTGGTTATCCTGTTTCACTTTCCTTGAATGGTGATTTGAACATTCTCTCAAAGGACTGTACTAAGGTTGAAAGAAAGATTTATGGACACAATGCTCGTGTCAATAAGGTTGTTGTTGACAAGAAGTCTGGTGGTAGATACTTTTACACTTGCTCTACCAGTGGTCAATTAATCAAATGGGAGGCAGGTGTTGGAAGCGTTGCCAAGGTTAAGGGTGAAGGTCATGGAGAGGCCACTATTAACACCATGGCCATTGTTGGTAACAAGTTGGTCACTGCAGCTCAAAACAACGAAGTATTTTTCACAGACCTTTCAACCTTTTCATATGAAGGCTCAGCCATTACCTTGTCTGGCTCTCCAAATGATATTTCTGTTTCTGCTGATGGCAAATTGATTGCAATTTCCACTCACGTTGGTGCCACTTTGCTCAGTTCTGAAGGAAAGGTGTTGTCAGAAGTCAAGATTGAAAAGGATCCACAATCCATTTCTATTAAGCCTGATGGTACTGAAATTGCAGTTGGTTGTAAAGATAAGAAGGTCCGTGTGTACAAGATTGCAGGTCAAAAGATTGTTGATAGTTCAGCTGAATATGCTGAAAACACTGCAAAGATTCAAAAGGTTTCATACTCTCCTGATGGATCTCTTTTGGCATCTGGTGACAGCAATTTCGATGTTGTTGTCTATGATACTGCAACATGGAAGGCCAAGTATAGCAATATGACCTATCACTCTGCTGCAGTTGTTGATATTGATTGGAACGACGATGGAAAGTACATGCTTACTGCTTCATTGGATAAGAATTTAATTGTTTGGGATCTTGCAGCTGGAAAGAGAATCAAGACCGATATGGCTCACCAAACTGGTGTTTCTGCTTGCGCTTTCCTTGATTCTGAATCATTTGTTTCTGCAGGAGAGGACTTTATGTGCAAGACATGGAGGTTCAAATTCTAAACATTCTGTACTGTAGTGTAGCATTCTATTGCACAATAAATTATCATTGTTTTGTTGTTGTTCTTACTAGTAATCACATTCGCTGGCTTGACGATATCCAAAAATTACTCATAAGCGAACATCGTGTCGTCCATTTCGTTACTATAAATACTATCACTCAAGTCAATTCCAACGAACTAGAAAAAAATGCAAAAATGGTGATCGAAGATTTAGTTTCGAGGATTATGGTTCCGTACCTACAGCAATACGTTGACAATTTTGATAAAAAGAATTTAAATATTGCTGTTCTGAAAGGTGTTGCATCGTTGAAAGATGTAAAACTCAAGGAATATGCACTGGATAATATTTCCGACACCATTCCATTTTATATTTCGTTTAGCCATATATCGCTTCTAGAATTTGATGTGCCCTACACGAGTTTAAATGCTAAATCAGTGGTTTGCAGTTTGAAGGATGTTTATATTGTACTCCGACCAAAGATGAAACGGCCCTATAATCAAGACGAAGAAAAACAACGGCAACGAGAATTAAAAAGGTATCTTCTGGATCAGTTTGAAAAGCAACAACTAGAAAAGGAAAAACAAAAAGAGAATCAAGAAAAGACTGAAGAGGGTTTTTTTGACAAGTTAATCGAAACAGTTTTGAACAATTTGAAAATCAAACTCGAAAATATTCATATACGGTTCCAAGACGATGACAATTGTGTTGCTGGTTTCTCATTGGACAGTATGGAAGTGAATTCCACAGATTCAAGTTTCGAAAAGAAATTCCAAAAAAATTTGGGAGAATTGACCTACAAGCTACTGACCATGCAAAAGCTCTCTATATATTTAAATCCATGGTCTGAACAAGAAAAGATTGTAAATGATTGCATTCAAAATAGAATGATGAGCGATCAAGAGATCATTCAGAAAATTAATTCAATACAAAATAGAGTGTATCTATTGAAGCCAGTCGATGGCTGCTTAAAACTTACCATGCAAAAACTTTCAGCCTCTGGAATAGACTTAAACAAGCCACAATTTAACGCCGTTTTTGAGTTTATGAACGACATTCAAATGTGCTTGAGTCAGAATCAATATAATTCCATATTCAAAATTATCGAGTATTTGACGAACTACTCGGTGCAGAGTCAGTACAGACATTTTAGACCAAACAAATTTGATCCACTTGCGTATTGGAAATATGCCATCAATTGTGTGATGCACCAAAGAAGGCAAGAAAGAATGAGCAGAATTTATGAACAAACTCTTGCTGACACTTGTAGAGAATATGTCAGAGTTTACAAGGTAATTGTAAAAGTACCATGGGTCCAACATAAAGCGACTCCAAACGATGTAAATATATTTAAGAAATTTGAGGAAGAGAGATCTATTCAGGAAATTCTATATTTCAGGAAATGCGCTCACAAAGAGATTAATCAAGAAGCAAAAAACTTTGAAGAGAATAAGAAACGAAAAAGTAGTTGGTTTTCAACTGAAAAATTGCAAGAGAAAGCAATCGAGCTCTCTGATAAGGTGAAAGAAGAATTGTACAAATCTATTGGATTTGAAGAATCTGCTCCTGTAGTTATGCCTGATGACTATGTGAAGGTGCAAGTGCATGTAGATTTGGCAAAGCTTTCCTTCCTTGTATACCACGAAAAGAGTGATCTCATGGAGTTGGTTGTAGATAGATTTGTGTCTGATATCCAAGTACTTCCTCATAAGGCATTCAGGGTTAGTGCTTCAATGGGAAATTTCACTCTATATGATAGATTCTCAGGCACTCTCTATCCTGAGTTCATTACCAAATCCAAACGATGGTCAGAGGCCGCCTCTTCTAATTTACTTTCTATGTTCTTGGAAAGGCGATCACCAATAGAGAAAAAAGAAAATGAAAGTGACATCTATTTTTCACTTAATTTAGATCAGATAGATATAGTCGTCAATTTTGAATTTTTCCAAAGAATATTAAGCTTCCTTTATTTTGACAGTGTAAATATCAAGAGGTTGGAAAAGGAAGCAAAAAGGCAAATCAAAAAAGTGTCAAAGATGGCAAAAAAAGAAATCAAAGAAGTATTGATGCAGGATGATACGACGGTAGACTTGTCTTTGAATATTAAGGCTCCACAATTAATAATCCCATGGAGCGTATCGGATCCAAATTCTCGGTTCCTCCTAATCGATTTTGGTATGTTCACTCTCAAGAAAGACACCAGTGTGCCATTGCGCGAGAAATTTGATATTAACATGGAGAATATGGAAATTATTGTTCCATTTGACATCAATGCTGTTGGATATTTATCTAACGAGCTGCACATTGACAAGTATGATGTCATTCTAGAAAAGGCGTCGTTTTCAGCAAGCGCCATGAAGTACAAATCTGCCAATGTTGAAGAAAAAGTGCAAGTCATTGTTAATGTGCCATGCATCAATTTTGTGTTATCCAAAGAGAGCATGGTTGCGGTAGCTGTACTAACACAACAGATTGCAGAATTTAATCAGAATCCAACTGGAACGAAGCAAAAAATCAATGATCTAAAAATTATGGGATCACTCCTGGTCAATCATGATGACTCTGGCTTTGCACCATTCTTTGTGGAAGTGAGCTCAACCAAGAAGATATTCTTTTATTCAGATGAAAGCAAGAAATATTTGAAAATTATTGCTCACCTTAATAGCCACACCAAAGTATGGAAGTCAGACAAGTATGAGAATACTTTTTGTGTGATGCTACCACAAAAGAAAGGCTATCAGACCAAATATATCTATCTACAGTGCTCCTCTGCTGAGGAAATGGAAAACTGGGTCACTACTCTAACTATGTTTATTTATTCATTCAACACAAACTTCTTTGTAGATGACTTTGCTGATATTTTGAAAGAAGTAAGCTTTTCTGACGATGAAGAAGAAGAGGAGAAGAAAGAAGGAATTTTAATTGCTATCCGATTCAACCTGAATAGTTTTATTTTGTCCTTGTCTCACCATGACGTAAATTTAGCTTCAGTGAATTTCTCAAACCTGCAGGCCTACTTTAGGCAATATCACAATTTAGATTCGAATTTGTCTCTTCACCTCCACACCATTAATGTCAAATCAGAGGTTATCAAGGACAGAGATTTTTATTTGATCAAATCCATTGAAAGCCAATCAGATCAGGACGAGAAGGAGCATTTGGTGAATGTTAACTTTACGAGATCGATTGATCCTACTTCACCCATTTATGATCCAACATCTCAAATGAAACTGAACGTAGCATTCAAAAGCTTACATTGCTTCGTTGAGCCAGCCATACTTTCCAGTTTTATTGACTATGGATACGATTTACAAGATATTCTGGATCAAATTACAGCATTCAATAAGATTAATTACTATTCCTTTGTACCTGATGAGGATGAAAAAGATACTGGACAAAAATTTAGTGACCTGGCTAGAATGTTGCTCGAAGGAAACGAAACGAGTTGTAAACTCTTGACCATGCAACTGGTTGCAGGCGAGTCTAATATGCTCATTCTTAATAACGGTGCAACCATTGCAGAGGTAGTCATTAACTCGGGAACTAACGTTTCTTGTTTCGTGGATTTGGAGACAATTACAATATCAGGTAATTTGAGAAATATTCAACTGTTGGATCATAGTGAGCCAACTTCGTTATACAAAGAAATTCTTGGACTCTATGATAACAGTCAAGATTCAGTGGTCACTCTCACATATAAGTATGTGTTTTCGAGCATTTCCTTAGCTGAATTGGTTGAACAAGATCCTGAAAGAGACTTAATTCAAAGAGGATCCATCAACTATAGGCAATTTCTGTCAATGGATACGAGTGCCATCAAATATGTACACATTCAACGGTTCTACAGAAAAGCTCAGAGCTACATTTCCGGCCCACTACTCAATGCCCTCAAAAGAGAGTCAACAAGAAACAGAATTAACTTCTCAGGACTAGATGGAAAAGACATTATTAGCAAAAGAATTATTAACAACCAAATCAAGTTGAACATCAAAATTACCAGCCCTGTCGTAATTTTCCCCTCCAATTTCCAATCTAAGGACCATTTTCTTGCCCATTTGGGTAACCTGGAGGTAGAAAACTTTTTAATTGGAGACTCTTCAAACCCCGTCGATCATGTCAAAGTACTTCTAAATGACATTATGTTAGAATTTGTGTCTTCTGCATCCAGTCAACGGGAAAAAATTCTATCAGACATCCATATCAAAGTCAATGTGAAAAAACCTATTATTACGCCATTTACAAAGACCAAGCAGAATAATGAATTTGACATTGCAAAAGAAGTCGTGAACGTTGATTTTTCAGACATTGTGTTCAATTTAACACATAGTCAGTATCAGACAATTTTTGATTTCATTAATGGAAATATTAGAGACGGTATGAGAGACATTAACGAAGAAAGAAAGTTCTATCAATCCATTGGAAAACTTGTAACTCGAAGAAAAAAGAAGGACATAATGATGAAAAGAGTTACATCAGAGAGGGCAATTGACAGTATGTCCTCAAGTATTATAATTACCGATGTCCATGTGACAGCTCCACAAATTTCATTAGTGATTCTTAAAAAGAATGGGTCAAACTTTGCAAAGTTAGCTGTGACTGATCTTCAACTTAATAATAAGATTGATATTAACGAATGTATTCGTCTACAGATGACTCTCGGTTCCATTATTGCAAGTGACATGAGATCGAACACTTCAAACGTTTTTTCCAACTTTATTGAATTCTCAGATCCTACAGCTTGTTTTTCTCTCCAATATGAAAATGATAGATTACAGTTTAAGGAAAAGGTTAACCTAAAACTTAGTGACCCAAAAATTGTAGTAATTCCTGAGCTTCTCCTAGATTTCAGACATTTCTTTTCAGATACTCACTACTTCCAAAATGATACTCTCGACGAGCTCTTATTGGTTGGAACTACAGTTGATGAAACTGCCGAGTATGACACAATTCTTGAACAGAATGAAACTCCAGAAGAGATCGAAATTAAGGCAAAACTGGAGCTTAAAGGAGACTTTGGAACCCCAAGAGTCATCATTCCAGAAAATTCTGAAGACTCTTCAAGCAAATTACTTGTCCTTAAATTCAGTAGTGAGCTTGACTTTAATGCTACTCAAATTGGAAAATCAGAAAAGGGAGTATTTAAAATCACTGGTCTCACCGTCATTGTTACACATGGCACGAGTTCGTTGCCTCTCCTTGAACCTACTAACATTGATGTTGCCATAATGAGATTAAAAAGCCAAGAGGATGTGAATGGACCAAAGGAAGAACGAGTCATTAGAGTTTCAATTTCTGAAGGAGCAAGCGCTAGATTATCTTATCATGACGTGAAAATGTTGTATACGATTGCAGAGCAATTCAAACAAAAATTAGAGATGCCCTCCGCTCTCTCACAGCAAGACATTACCTCATATTTACAAGAGGTCGAAAATAGTGATGTTAAACCTCACACTGCTCCAATTATTGCAAAAGATTTCAAGAAAATGATCAGTGAGGAACTTTTACCGCAAACGTTAGTGAACAAGTTTATCATTGAATCCAAAACAATGAGTGTTTTAGTTGTGGATGATCTTAGTGGATTTGACATTCCTATTATTCGACTTCATCTCAGTGGATTTCGATTCAACTCAATGATCAAGTCATTCAGTACAAATGAATCTAACATATCTGCTTACTTGGAACTTTTAATTCATGGTGATTGTTATAATTTCAAATTGGCTGAATGGGAACCCATTATTGAGAAAAACAAAGTTCCCATTCATTGCATGTATCAAAATCAAAAGGAACATCCAAAGCATATCGTTCAAGTAGAATGTGACGACATTATTGATTTGAATGTTACATATTCTTCCTTGGAAACCATACTCTCAACAGCACAAGCTTGGGCCAAAGAGTTGAAACGAGAAACTGTCTCAAAAATCAAAAAGCTAGCCATTACCTTTGAGCCTTTTTCGATTGTTAATAAGTGTGGACTGGCCATAAGTTTCAAGGTTGCAAATGACTTTGTTGAATTGGAACAAGACAAAGAAGTCAGATTTTCATTTCCAACAAACGCAGCAGAGAAAAAGAACTTTGTGACTTTACAAATAGGCCCAAACACAATCAAAACACTCGTTAACAAAAACGGTATATATCCTCATTCCTTGATACTAAAAGATAAAGAATTAGGACAGCTAGAGTACCAAATATACATTGAAGTTAAAGACAAGAAAAAACGAAAACTGATCATTATTCATAGTGGATGTAAAGTTAGAAACAAAACTGACAAATATTGGCAAATTGGATGTCACGTTGGGGAAAAAATTTTGCCTCTTGCATTCCTTGCTCCTTACTCATCACTCTACATACCTTCACAATTTGTAGTTGAAGATGGATGTTTGGCAATTAGACCTTGTAAAGATCAAGTTACCAATGATGAGGCATTATCAAGCGAGTACAAGTGGACATCAAATGATCCAACGGTGTATTCCTTGAAATCGTTCAGGAAAACCCATGCAAAAACGATTCTCAGTAGAAATAAGCACATGACAATCAAAAAAGATCACATGTATTGTATTCTTCACTCAAAATCTGTAGCGAACAACAAGACGAGAATTAGCATTATACCACCTTTGGCAATTCAGAATGTACTTCAAGAGGATGTTCAATTTGCTCTTTTTGGAAGCTCTTCAAAAGATGCCAATGTTAGAATTGCGAAATACAGCGATACCATTCAGAAAGGAGATACTAAATATATTTACAAGATTGACATGCAAAAACCGAAAATGTGGATCCAAAGTATCATTAATGGATGGCAAACAAAGGACATCACACTCATTTATACATATGGAGATTCACAAGAAGAAACATGTAATACCTTCTCGAACTTTTTCATGGATGGACGAATCATTAATTTACGATACGACGTTTTCAGTACTGAAAATGCCTATGTTAAAATTGTAATCTACTGTCCATACTTGATCATGAATAATACGCAGCATGATTTTGAAGTCATTGAAGTTTCAAAAGAAAACTACAAGCTGGGTTGTTGTACTACCATTGACGGTATTCCTGCCACCATGTTTAATTACTACAGTGAGAGCTCTTCTATGATATTCAGCAAAAAAGTATTCCTAAAGTCATCCCAAGGTTTTGTTTCTAATCCATTCTCAATTGACTCAGTTGGAACTCCATCTGAATTAATTCTGTACCATGAGAGCGACAAAACCAAGATTCCTCTCAACATGGGATGCTTTGTTAGCTTGGCGAAAGGAAAATATGAACGAACAAAAATTGTAGAAATCACTCCAAGATATTTGCTCATCAATGACATTCATTCGAAAGAAAAAAGCGTGAATATTGAGGTTAAACAATTTGGAGATGACTCTAATATTTTAACAATTGCAAAACAAAAATCTTGTCATTTCTATTGGACAATTGATTGCAACAAATTGGATAGCAACGAAGCAGACAACCCCTTAACAATTCACTTCCGAAGAAAAAAGATTCCAATGATTTGCATTCGCCTCAAAAACGTTGACGAAGAGGAACCATTATTCAGCGAATGGTCCATACCGTTCTCAATTGATACTTTGGGAGAAATTCCTCTCATTATTGGAAGTAATTATATCACTACAAAGATCATGCAAAATAATGGTTGTATTCAAGTCTCATTCACCCGAGCTGCTCTACCACCATACTTTATCGTCAATCAAACATCACATTCCATCTCAGTTTCTCAAGTTTATACAGGAGAAAACATTGTAATTGCTCCAAACAAAACCATACCCTATATGGTTCCTGATATCAAATCGAAGCACTCCATTTATGTCACACTGGGTGAAAAGTTTAAGTTGGGAGCTATTGATATCGATAAAATCAAGAAGAGCAAATTTATTCCCATTCCACAACTCAAGACATCTATTTTCATTCGATTAACAACTTACAGAGGCTACACACGAGTCATCAGCTTTCAAGAAAAAGATGTAAAACCAAATCAACAATCATTAGATGCAGATCAAGACGATTCACAACAAAGCTTGGAGCTATTTCAATCATACTTTTATATTAAGGGCATTGGGGTTTCCATTATTAATCAAAATCAAACAGAAATTTTATACGCTCATGCTGATAACATCTCTGTCAATTGCAACATTACAGAAAATAATAAGCAACTTTTGGAAGTTAAAGTCCACAGAATGGGTATTGATAATCAACTCGATCATTGTACATTCCCTATCATGTTTACAAATGCAAACAAATTAGGATTGAGAGACTTTTTACATTTCAGCTTAATTATGGACACCAAAGAAAAAGAATTTGATTACATTCCATATTTATCTCTTTTAATGCAAGAAGCTAAAATTGCCATTGATTTCAAGCTCATTCATGAACTCCTAAAGATGGTATCATCATTGCAAGGAAAAAAGACAAACCATGAAAAGCAATACATCATTTCCAAAACAACAGAACGACGTGAATTAGATTCACACGAACAACCACCACCATCACAACATGAAGAAATATTGTCTAGTTTCAATTATAGCATTCATTTGAAATCACAACTCAATGATCGAATGATTTACTTTGAGTTGTTACAACTTCATCCCATCAAATTGAATTTGAGTTTTGTATTCAATGAAATTCCCAACGATGAAGAACAAGATTTATCCATTATATTACGTACACTTGGAGCACGATTAAGCATGAACATTGATGAAGCCCCCATTCGATTGAATGCACTTATTCTCAATCATCCACCTCTCTCCTCTCGAATACAACTTGTTGAAAACATTAAGGCACACTACACGAGATATGCCATTTCAGAAATGTTTTCAATTCTTGGAAGTTTTGATATTATTGGAAATCCAGTGGGTCTCTTCAATGATATTGATAAGGGAGTTTATGATTTATTCTATGAACCCATGGAAGGCATTACAAAATCTCCAAAAGAATTCACACTCGGTCTAGCGAAAGGAACGACATCGTTTTTCAAGCATTCCATTCATGGTACATTTAACACGGCTTCAAAAGTAACAGAATCCATTAGCAATGGTATTAGTTTGTTGACGTTGGATGAAGACTATCAAACGAAACGAAAAGAAGCAAATCATTTGAGTAAGAGACCAAAACATATTGGTGAAGGATTAGTTTCTGGAGCACAATCACTCTCAATGGGTCTATTGGAAGCTGGAACAGGTCTATTTGTGAAACCTATTGAAGGTGCTAGTAAGGAAGGAATTTCAGGATTTTTGAAGGGAGTTGGAAAGGGAATTATTGGAATGCCAGTCAAACCCATCACAGGAGTATTGGATTTTGTGTACAAGACAAGTGAAGGTTTGAAAAATACCACACAATTCTTTGATAGAGAATTTCAAATCCATAGAAAACGATTTCCTAGATTTGTTGGAACAGATAAGAAGTTGAGCAAGTATGACGGAAATGCCTCTTTTGGGTACTATGTGTTTTCTGATCTGATGAAACAGGGAATTATTCCAAATGGCAGCACCTATGTGTCTCATTACTTTTTAACAAGCAGTAATGATGTTGTGTTTTTGAGTACACAGCACATTTTTCAAGTTTCTTGCTTGGCTTTACCACCTGCACAACACAATGTGGCCACACATCACAAGGTCACCAAATATTACTCATCACAAAATCCACCCAAACCAGAAAACGTTTTGGATAACTTCACATTAACATGGATTCATGAAATCAAAACCATCTCCAAGCTTGATTGTTCACGCAACAACCCGAATTCAATTGTTTTAAGAGTGAAAAGTCAAACTTCATGGTTTGGTTTTGGGGATCTGTATGATGACGTCGTTATTGAAACTGAACCACACAACAACGATTTGCTTGCAAAACTACACCAACTGCACAAATTCTAATAAATTGAAGTTTACTTTTACACCACAGCCAAATTGGAAATTTCTCTCAAAATATCTGTAACATTAGGAACGTGCGAATAATTTGGATCTTGCAAATCCTCTGACCGATATCTCACATAATTTTCAACTCTTTGTGAAGTAATATTTCCTGCTAGCCTTTCTAGGGTTGGAAGGTATCTGTTTGCAAGTATTTGCAAGAACAACACTTGGGTTCCCTTTCTTTGTTCATTCAACAACTTTTCTAATACTTCAAAGAAATAGACAATTCTCTTCTTTCCTGTTGTGGCTAGATAGCGCAGAACAATTTTAGAGAAATATCTAATACTATGAGGATCCATTTTGGAAATAAGTTGGATATGATTCAATAATTGAATTAAAATAGTAGTATGTCTTTGATAGAGGCTAACTCTGCAAAGTCTGTAATAGAAAAGTTCTGGTCTCACATCAGCAGTGAAAGCGATTTTTCCAGATTCTTCGAATTTGACATCCTCAGAATACAAATCTTCTAATTCTTTGGTTGAAAAAGCGCCAACTTGTTCATCATCATCCTCGTAAGTATTGGCAATAGAGTCAAATTCTGGTTCTTCTTCAACAGGGAAAGACTCTCCTCCGTTGTAAACAAAGTCATCTGTCAACATTCTCTTTTCAATAAGCTGTTGATAGTGAACATAAATACTCTCAAGTTGATCTCGTTTTTTTGTTGCTGCAAGTAAATATGAGAGAATAGCAAAGTCCAAATGTAAAGGATCTCCACTTTTCTCACGTGCCTTTTGATCTTCCAAGAATCGATTAAATACATCCCAAACCATATCTGGATTATCTAACTTGAAGTAACCTCGCATGAGTGCAGTATAATGCTTTCCATAAGTAGGGAATCCCTTAAGCTTAAACAGTTGATACATCTTTTCTGCCTCAGGCATTAAACCCATTCTTGCGTAGGAAGAGAGAGTAGTATAGTATAATGTTAGATCCGGTTCAACCTTCAATTCTTTCATATCTCTCACAGCCCTCTGTACCAGTTGTGGTAAATTCTTTTTTCCAGCCGATGAAATAATTGCATTGAAAAATATTTGATCTAGCTTAATCTTTGGATGTTTGATAAAGTTGTCGTAGAGCAATAAGGCATCTGACACTCGATCCGCATCTATGAAACCTTGAATGACCAAGCAACATGTATAGCTAGTGATTTGGCAAAATGGATCATTCTCAAACATTTTTGCAATAGAAAGAGCTTTCTCAGGGTTGCCTATTCTAAAACAAAGAGAAATCATTTTGTGGTAAGTGATACGATCCGGCCTAATCTTTGAGTCTGCTCCACTACTGGCTGAATCGTAAATAGCATTAAATAGCTGAACGGCTGTTTTAAATTGATTCGTGTCAATCAAGTTTGTAAGAAGCTTGTTGAAGAATGCAGTATCAGCCGATTCCATTTCTTTTGTCATTTGAATAATTCTTTGAATCTTTTCATATTGTGGAAAATTGCTCTTGATAATTAAATCCAAAAGTAAGGTGTAAGTTCTAATGTTTGGTTTTGTAGCTTCATTTTGCTTCATTTCGGTGAGAAGTTTATGGACCAACCCCATATCAGTAAAAGGAGGTTTTGAATACTGAGAAAGGACACAGTTATAGCATTCTACCGTCTTGTATTCTTTGAATAATGGATTGTTAGTTTGTTGCAACTCTCTAAATAAAAAGTATGTGAACTTTGATTTCAATCTTGCAAGATTGTGATACAACGCGGTGGAAATAACAACCTCACCAAAGTGCTGGTCCAATGGATATAATTTTCTAAATCGTTCATATTGGGCTTTCTGATATGGAATATTCTTTGGAAGTTTAAACACAGATTCAATGGTTTCAGTTCCGTCTTCCAACTTTACTTTTTCTGCTGCTGTCGAGAGTAGAAACACTGTGATTAATTGTTCTTCATCCTTGCACAGGCTTAAAAGTTGGACAAACAGAGAAGGTTCGAGTGGCAATTGTAAATGATTCAAAAACATGTCCAACCAAAAGTAGACAGTGGTTATCGGAATTTCCTTTTGAGCACATCTCATCAAGTAGAGTATAATTCTTTTTGATAATTTTGCTTTCAGTTTCGAGTCAGCCATCATGGTCTCCAGTTTTGCTTTTCTCTCATCACTCATAAACTCTTGGTTTCTCTCCTTTCTTCTTGTAATGAACTTATTAGGGGTACTTGATTGTTTGGGATAAGTGTTGTTTCTACTGGTGGTATTGGTGCTATCGGAAGCTTTCGGAGAACGGGTACCATGTGTTGTTGTTGTTGTTGTTTCCAAAGCAAGAGCCTTTGCTAAATGATGAAAATTGCTAGTACTTCCAACATTTAAAATTATGGAAGTACTATGAAAGAAAAGTTTATTCAAATGGGATGCCAGCGAATGGTGTTGTGGGTGGTGAATGGATGACGATAGAACCGCAGGTGAGAGCTTCTTCAACATTTTTTTCATGCATTTTTGAACGAATAAACTTCAATCATTTTTACCTCACAACAAAGCTTTGAATTTTGGTCTAACTCGCTGCAGTGAAAACATGAATGTTGTATTGTCGAAATGAATCTACGGGAAAGAAAGCAACGTTGGTGTGATTCAATCTCAAAGATTCCATCATCATGTACATTAAAATAAATATTCATGTGGAATTTGAAGTGATTTTTTAAAATATTCGAAATTAAAAAAATGTCTAGTCTTCTCGCTACTATCACCGCTCTCGAACAACCCAAGGAAGGATGGGGTCCAATTCATCATCAAGCTTCATCAGACTCTTCAAACACCAAATCAGAAATTTTATCCCTTCCAACCAATTTATTCCATATTATTCCAAGTAAAACGAGTATTGGAAAAATTGCAGATTGGACCAGCGAACCACAAACAACAAGCATGGGAACCAGCACCGCAAGCAGAGAATATCAAAGTACATCATCTCAAGCTACTTCTGCTGCAAGCAATGTTTCCGGCGCCATTGCTCCACAAGATGACTTTAGTTTAGTCATGTCTACTCAAGGCCAACGAAAATCGTACAACTATGCTCAAAAGAGAAGACCAAACCAACCACAAACAAAGAGTTATTCTCAAGACCAAACAAAACAAGCCAAACAACAAAGAAAAAAGAGAACTACCACAAGTTCCTATTATCAAAAGCCAAAAACTCAAAACTACAAGCCTTCAATTAAGGTCAAGAAGAGTTGGGTTTTGGTTGACAAATTTGCTTTCGGTACTTTGAAAAAGGCCACAACAGATCCATTGGATAGCGGTAAAGGATACAAGACTCCGGAACCTGTCGATAAATATGTGTGTGGTAAAGTCGGATACTATGATAAGAAGTTTGATCGAGCATCAGCAAAACAGCCCATTCCTTTGGACAATCCAAAGACTTTGGCAGGTTATATTATACGTCCTCCTGCTTCTTCCGAAGACCCAACATTGAGCAATAAGATTTCACCTGAGGCTAACGTTTTTGCTACTGATGATGCCATTGCGACCCTCATGGCTGCAGCCAAGTCTGAGTTACCTTGGGATATGGCCATTCGTGTTAGTGAAGGAAAGATCTATTTGGATATGAGAAAATTGGAAGGTCGTGCTATTAACTTGTGGCATTCAGTTTCTGAAACTTCTGCTAATCCTCCACCTGCAGATGAAAGTTCTGTTCAATCTGTTAACTCTGCCTTCTCATTGAGTAAAGAGGCTACAATTGTGAATGCATACTTCCAAAAGGCAGCATTCAGAGACGATGATGTGAAGGTTCTTGGCGATCCTGTTCCATTCTCGACAGGAGTGTTGAACATCGCTTACAAGTATCGTGAATTCAAGTTGAGTGATACAATCACACTTTTGGTGAGATGTGAAATTAACGGTGCTTCAAAGGAAGGAGATGAGGAAATGACCTTCAAAGTTTTGAACGAATATTTCCCTCCTGATCAAAATCAATATCAAACTGGTACTGACTGGAAGACTACAATGGAGTCCCAAAAGACATCAATCATTATGGCAGAATTCAGAAACAATGGTTGCAAAATGGCTAAATGGACCGCTCAAGCACTCTTGAACTCTAGCAAACAATTCAAGCTTGGATTTGTGTCAAGACAAACACCAAAGAATGCAACAAGCCACCTTATTTTAGGAACTGAAAAATATAGACCAGAAGACTTTGCAGAACAACTTCACCTTAATTTGTACAACATGTGGGGTGTTGTTAAAGTCATCATTGAATCTGTTCAAAGATATCTTCAAGAAACGAACAAGCAAGACTGTGAATTGGTTTTATTGAAGCATCCAAATCGAGATAGATTGGACTTGTATGAAACTCCTGATGTTGCAGAGGAAGGAGAGGATGAAGAAGCATCATTGGCAAGTGACGAAGAGGAAGCTGAAGATGACGAGTCAATTGTGGAAGATGAAGAGCCAACTTCAACCACCCTTTAAAGTTAACTTATTCAATAAATAAAATGGAACAAGCTTTATTTAGACACCGAGTCTCTTCTTAGTCCCAACATTCGATAAATAAAATGTCATCTTCAAATCAAACGAATTGAACTGCTACTTGGCTTGACTTGAATCAGTTGTTGTTGTTGTTTGGGAATCAGCCATTAATTGAACACTATCGTCGTCTCCACGTGGAGTGAACAATTCAAAGAAGCTTAGAGTTCTTGAAGGAGTTGGTCTTTTCGTTGTGCCAACTGTAACGCCACTGCTGTTGGCAATTTGTTCTTCCTTGTTTGCCATGGAAATGTACCCTGAAAAGATGTCAAACAAAGTCACTGCCAATGTTGTGAATAAAGGTCCCTTTAGCAGGCCACTTTGCCCAAAAACATAAATGCCTAAAATTATGGAGACACCAAGTAAGGTTGGATTTCTCTTCTTGAAGAATCTAGTGAAGAGCATTGTATCGATAGCATAAAGAGATAGATGAGAAAAGAGAACAATGACCCATGAAATGGATACAAATCCATCTCTACTTAATAAATAAATTGTGGCTGGTAGCCAAATAACCCAATTGCTAATGACAGGAATGACCGATAGAAAGAAGGAGAGAAAGCCTATGTGACATTAAGAGGTATGAACTAAGGTAATAATAGTGTTGAGATGAAAACATACCAAATATAAATACAATTTCAAAATCAACAATGTAGAATGAAAGTATAGTAATGAGGAAATTGATCACACCAAAGGAAACCAAGTAATACAATGTTTTGATAATGTTTGTGTCAATGCTTTCAATAATCACAGTGCTTTCTTCTTCAGTCAAAGGAGAAACTTTCTTTGCTGTTTCCACAAAAAATTCATCATGCTTCACGAAATAAAATACAAACAATATGAAAAGAAATGATGAAAATACTAAAACTTTGAGATTTGAAATTAAATCAACTAAGGTTTGGAAGAATGTTTGAAGAGATGATCCAAGAACATTGATGTTGGATGCCACCCATCCTAATAAATATTGAATGAGAGAGTAAATGTTATCCTGTAAATAAATCACTTGCTTTTTGCAAAATTTGCTTCCAAGTAAGGAAGAAAGAGTGTTGTTTGCAGATTTTTTAGACATGACCAGTGATGTAATATTATGCAAAAAATCATATTGCCGATTCGCTACACTTAACATGAGGTCACAATATGATTCTGCTGTTTTCCAAACTGTCACATTTCCAGTTTGCTGGGTGAGAGGCAATAAATTTGATTGATTATTCGTTTGCTCCACAATTGCATTCTTGTAATTGTTAATACTTTCCAAAAACACATCCTTGTTCTTGTCAATAAAATCACCAATTAATTCTGTAGCTTTTTTGGATTCAATATATCCTGTCCTAGCCACCAACAGAGTAATGGAGATCAAAACAAAAGAAGCTACAATCATTGTAATAATAGTGGCCAAAGTATCTGTTGTTAATAAGAAAGGACTTAACAAAATCATTGCAACAACAATATAAATAAGTGTGAATATAAATCTTTGGCCATGATTGTACTCAAACCATCGGATCAAGAAATTTGTTAGAAAGTATGCATAATTAGCCCAGAAAAACAATGAAAATATAATCCGAATTTTATAATCCACAGATGTTGAATATGAAACTAGAAAAGACTTGATCGGTTGTTTAAGCTTTGTTAATAATATACTTGTGCACATGCTCCAAAAGATGATGTGGAGATGAGGCTCAATCAATAAATAATTGTTGTACAAGATGATGCTAGCAAGAAGAAGGAAAATGGTACCTCCGAGTGTGTAGAAGGTATATCTTCGGACTCTTTCAGGGAGAGGCATGTTTGTTTAGGTTGTGCATTCGAATTGAACACACAAGTTCCTATTTTTTTTATTGTTGTTTATTTGAAAAATTGCCAAATTTATCGATACACAACAGAAGTAGACCTGTACGTATATGACCTTCTGGAATCGATCATGATCAGGAGACAATACGAGCACGTGTTCATTTTTTCATTATACTCACCGAATCATCCACACTTACTCCATCAACTTTTCCTGTCATTGTAAGGATTGATGAATCAATAACATTTCAAATCCAAAAATAAAAAAAATAGAAAACTCGAGAGTGGTCATGAGTAATCGTCTCCCGTTCGGAAGTGGTAGCCATAGACAGCAAAGATCCTTCTTTGCTCGTATTCAGCCCTCTTCTTCATCCTCGCCTTCTGCCTCATCGTCATCTTTAACACAAACTGCTTCCCAAGAATCAAAAACATCGGATGCTCATTCTGCTTCGGAACGATCAACTTCAATTAATCACGCCATGATAGACGAACATATGGAAGGTAGTAGTGGCTCTCAATCGCATCTTCTAAAGAAACATCCATCCCTTTTAGAAGATTCTCCGTCATGTTTTAATATTGATGATAAATCAAATTTTATTAAAGTAGATAAGAATATGGTTACGATTAGATATACAGGAAGAGGAAATCAACAACAAGAGATTGGATCAATTCGTTCAAACGTTCCGTTTTCAGGAAGAAGTTTAATTGATTATTTCGAAGTTCAAATAATTTGTGCTGGAGACCGATCCTCCATCATGATTGGACTAACCGATGAGAAGTCTGATTTTGTAAATACACGACATCCTGGATATGATGCAAACTCATTTGGGTTGTTTGGATTAGATGGTGCGATTTATACGTAAGTGTGATTTGTAAAACATTTGAAAATTCCATTGCGAACCATTTTGATATACACATGCCTTTGCATCAAACAACACGACACACAAAATAGTAATTCAAAAAAGGTGAAACCTATTACAACAAAATTTGCAGATGGCGATGTAATTGGTTGTGGAGTAAATTACAATCAAAAGAATATTTTCTTTACAAAGAATGGAACGTCTCTAGGAGTTGCATTTCAGATAAAGACATGTGGAAGACTGGTACCGACTGTAGGCATGCATTCCAAAAACGAAGTGGTAAAGGGAGTATTTTCCAACTTCCTCTTTGATCTAGATTCAATGATTGAAAACGAACGGAAAAATGTACAACAATATGTGGATAGTATTAAATTATTTGATGATGACGCCACCTCTTCTTGGAGTCAATCAATTTCTGACAAGTCTCCAAGTCAATGGCAGTCAATTGAGAGAAAAGAAGGAAGTGAATTGGACTTGTTGGTGAGAGATTATCTTTTTTATTGCGGATTTAGTGATACTTTAAAGATATTTGAGCAATCAGCTGCACTCAAACCCACTCGACCTTTGTCTAACATGACAGGCACCACAGTCACTCTCGATAACTCATGTGAAACCAGAAAAATAATTTGTAAATTAATTGAGGCTGGTGAAGCCCAAAAAGCCTGCATCATGATTGAAGAAAAGTTTCCTGAATGTCTGAACGAGTATGATGATGTAAGATTACGCCTCTATTGTCAAATAATGATAGAAATGCTTAAAAATCAGCAAGTATTAGTGGCTTTACAGTTTTCAAAACAGAAGATAGCAAGATATATCTTCAACAACACTAATACAGATCAGTTTGATGGAATGGCGAATGGATCATCACCAATGTCATCCAAGAAAAAGAAGAAAAATGCAGCAAACCTTTCTAAGCTGGCTTTGGAAACTGTTGGATTACTTGCATTCAATGAGTTGTCTACCTGTCCCTTCCCTCATCTTCTAAGCCAAGATTATAGAAATGAACTGTCATCTCTTGTAAATCAAATGCTATTGGCCTATTTAGGTGAGAAGAGAAGTTTCTCATCTCTAGAGACTTGTGTGAGACAATTGGATCTCGTACGAAAGGCACTTATTGAGAATGGATCTGGAAATTTGATTGATTACGATTGTTAAAGGCTACTCATCTATTGTAGAATAAAAATTGTTGTACATATCCTCATCAAGCGCTTGAATTGTTATTAATTTAATTAAAAACCAGATGCACTGCATTCACTCCTTCTTCCATTCACACCAGTTTTGTAAACTCAAGTCCTACTCAGTTTTAAACTTTAAAAAAATGCTCAAAATCTCACACCCAAATCTTGAAAGATCAATCTTGCTGGCAATGATGATCATCTTGTCCGCGCTTGTGATCCGTGCTGATCCACTTGAAGATCAACAACATCCACCCAAGAATATACAAGTCGATCTCACTGGTCATCAAGACATTCATCAAACAGCAGAGACTCGTCCTCTCATTATCATTCGTGGTGGAATTGTAGTAACACATGACAATGAATTTCCAGCCAATGTGGTGATCAAAGACGGAAAAATCATACATATTTTCTCCCGTACCAATCCTTCTTGGAGCATTGAGTATGAACACCAAGTATTATTAAATCAAGACGGAATCGATGTGTCATTACAAAATGTCAAGATTGTGGATGCAACTGGTAAATATGTCATGCCAGGAGGAATTGATCCGCATGTGCATTTGGCTCTTCCTTTCAGTAAGTTTCGTACGAATGGCTGACTTTGATCATCATTTTGGAAATCATGAACGAATGGATGATCAATGAATGTAACTGATTGTTGAAAATTGACTTTTGGAAAATGGTTTTAAAACGACAATTTGTAATGTCCTTCAATGATCAATCACGACACACACAGTGGGTACTGTGAGCAAAGATGATTTCTATCATGGAACACGAGCCGGTATCAGTGGAGGCACAACCATGATTATTGATTTGTAAGTTATGAAAAGTCATTTTAAGAATTGTTTGTTGGAAATAGAAATTGCGTGTGGAACAATAACAATTGGAACAATAGTGCCATTCCACAAAAAGGACAAAGTTACATTGATATTGTCAAGGAGTATAAAAAGAGAGGTGAAAAATTAAGCTGTGCAGATTATGGACTTCATGTTGCCATTACAGGATGGGACGAAAACACTGCACGTGAAATGGAAGAACTTGTCAAACATCATGGAATTAATAGTTTTAAATTTTTCATGGCCTATAAGGGAGTACTGCAAGTCGATGATGCAAATTTATATCAAGGATTTAAAAAGGCCCTAGAAATGTAAGTTGTCATATTCATCACTTGAAAATGTTGCACCGACAACAATGATCAATAATTCCAATTTGTTGAATGGCAACCACAGTGGAGCAATTTCTCAAGTGCATGCGTAAGTAATATAGTTCATGAGATTCATAGATGGAGTACAAGTGAATCGTTTTGTAATTATTTCAAATCCATTCCAAATTTCATTTAAATATTCATTTATGTTGGTATTTCTCCCTCACTCACACGCACCACACCATAGAGAAAACGGTGATTTGGTTGTGGAAGGACAACGAAAATTATTCGAAATGGGTATTACTGGCCCTGAAGGTCATCCACAAAGTAGACCAAAGAATGTTGAGGCTGAGGCTGTTCACAGAGCTGCTGAAATTGCTTACTCTGTTGGAAATGCTCCTCTTTGTAAGTTTCTCAGTGAGAAATGAGCACTCCATTGAATCCTTACATCATCATTTTCAATTATTACTATTTAATTATTATTTAATTATTATTGTTTTTTACTTTTTTCAAACATACAGATATTGTTCATGTCATGTCCAAAGATGCCATGGATGAAATTGCACGTGCCAAAGCAAAGGGTTATAGAATAGTTGGAGAACCCATTGCAGCTGGTCTCACTCTCGATGAAAGTGTTTATTACAATGGCGATTGGCTTCAAAGAGCAAAATACGTCATGAGTCCACCAATTCGAAGCAAACAAGATCAACTCGCTCTCATTGCAGGTTTGAAAAACAAAATTTTGGATTTAACAGGTACAGATCATTGTGTGTTCGATTCTGAACAAAAGAAGATGGGTCTTCATGACTTTAGAAAGATTCCAAATGGTATCAATGGTTTGGAAGATCGAATGTCCGTTCTCTTTGATAAGCTTGTAGCCACTGGTGAATTATCTCCAAGTGATTATGTGCGTGTGACGAGTACCGAAGCCGCTCAAATATTTAACATTTATCCACAGAAAGGAGCCATTCAAGTAGGATCTGATGCTGATATTATTGTATTGAATCCAAATGCAACAAGAGTCATTAGTGCCAAAACACATCATCAAAATATTGATTACAATGTGTATGAAGGATGGAAGGTGAGAGGTGTTGTTGAAGTGACCATCTCCAATGGTCGAGTCGTTTGGGAAAATCAACAGTTAAATGTGCAAGCTGGTTCTGGACGTTTCATTCCAACACCACCCTTTGGAAAAATGTTTAAAGGATTGAAAATAGAACAAGCTCAAAAGGCACCAATTAAGGTGGAGTTGGATAATGAATAAATGTAATATAAGTCACCTATTTTGTATTTTCAATCATGGTTTTGTCTTGTGGAGAATCAGTTTTTTGACTTTTCATAAAGAAACCACAAGCAAAATATATTCTCCTCAAGACAAATAAGAGTTAATTCTCTCAAAAAGAACGAGAACAGAAAGAAGAGCTCCATCAAACCTGCAGCCACAACGAATAGCCATTCATCCAGGATAGTCCTCGCAACCAAAGTTGTAAACAGTTCCAAATTCGCGCAGTCGTTCGATCTGGATTTGTGTTGCTGAGAAAGAGCAATAAAATTATATCAATCACCAAAAAAAACAGTTTTTATTAAAAAACTCCAAACAACCACATCCATCCGCAACTGGTTTCTTGGCCTGCTGGATTTCTACAAATTTCTGAAAGTCAGCAGGAACTAATGGCTCTATTCGCTGTGGCCTTCGTTTCGAAAGAGTAAACAACAAAAATTCATTGTAAAAATTGTCTTTATTTCTGTTCCAACTATGTTAGTTATGAAAAATTTCCGAGTAAAGTTAATCAACCCATTAAAAAAAAGATCCCGAGGATTTATATTGAGGTCAAAAGGTATCCTGTTTAATAATAAAATTCCAATAATCACATATATTCTAATTAATTCGGCTTCTTTTTTTCTTTCTTTCAGATGCATTGTTTAAACGTCGACCCTTCGATAGTCTAAATTTTGAATCATGAATCTTAAAAGATCAGTCAATATTACGTTGGAATGGTATTCCTGATTCATATTGATTTCAGACACAATGTGACAGTTGACACTAAATATTTATATTCGGTTGCTCTTACTGTGAAGACAAAAAAGAATTGATCCTCTCAAGAAGAATGAGAACGGAAGGTTCATAAGAAAAAAAATGGACAAAAACACGTCATCGTCCTCGGGTCATTCAAATGGTGCAGACCAAGAAACAACAACTCCCCATGAAGAAGAAGGTTCAACAACAAATAACAAGACAGAAAAATTAAAACAACAACATCATGATGAACAACAATCCACACCTTCATCAATTATTCCGAAACAATCACTCGAAAGATTTCAATTCAAAAACACCATCAAATCTGGTGGATCCATTCGAATCAGACTTAACAGAGAAAACAAATTTATAAAAGAGCATGATATTGTTTCAGGCAATATTGATGTCAAATTAACGGAGGGTTTAGATTCATCTCTATCCAAAAAATTGATTTTGAGATGCAAAGCCTTTGAGCGTTGTCTCAAGAAAAGTGAGAATGGACAATTCGAGTTGGAAAAAGAAAAAGTATTTTGCTTGGATTATATTTTGATCAAGGATTTTATGAATGAAGATCTTGAAATTGGCCAACACTCGTATCCATTTACCTATCAATTGCCGGATAGAATTCCGACAAGTATTTTCCATGAAAGAAATGGCATTCAATTTATCATTTGTTACAAGCTAAAGGCTTTTCTAGTAACAGAACATGATGCAGTAACATTGCATCCTCATTCTCCTTCACCTCCAACAGAACAGAAAAATTCCCATGATCATCCCCATTCATCTGCCAAAGAAGCAATGTCAACGACGTCGATCACACACCAAGAAAAAATCTTCCAAGAAAAAGTCACAAGTTGTTGTAAAGAACGAGGACTCATTCCACAAATGCAAAATAGAAAAATCATGCATATTTTTCGTTAGTGAAGCTTATCCAACACTGGAGGGAATTGGAAAATCTTCCATGCATTTTGAAACTTCTAAAAAGTTTTTATTCTCCTCGAAAAAGATGAAAATTAGTTGTGATTTTGCAAGAAATACTTTCAGAATGTATGATGACGATATTGTTTTTACTCTCCACGTTGATAACGAATCATCGAAAACAGTCAACAAAATAGTTATATCACTTATACAAACATTTAAATGTTTGGAATCTGCCATTAAAGTTTTTGATTCCAAAACTGAAGACATAGATGAGAATGTGATGTTTGAGAAACAATTTGATGAAACTGTTGTTCCTGAAGCCAAGTTGGAAAAGAAGATAGTATTTGAGATACCTTCTTATCGTGATATGTCAGAAGTCAATGTTAAGAAGACTGAAGGCAGCAAATCGATTAATGAGCAATATGACGCATTTGAAAATAGAAAATATTGGCTTCCAAGTGTCAACAACTCCAAACTCATCCACGTTTCATACACCATTAAGGTTACTTGTAGCGTTTCATTTGGACCGGATGTTGTGCTATCATGCCCCATCTATATAAAGCCCTCTGTGACAGGTCTTCATTATCCAAAGAAGGATTAAAACAACTGTCGTATTGTAAACTAAACCAAGTGTTCTTCTTTGGATGCTATATTATTTCTCCACACATAAAAAATACAAATGAAATTGTTGTATGACATGAAACGGTTGTTTTCTAATTGTTGTGGACCACATGGAAAAATTATTCTCGTCGGAAAGAAGTCTCAACGCGATTCGGATGAGATTTGTATGACTTGTTGTTCTTTTGGAATTTTAAATTTTGATTTATTAGATTTTAATGCAACGGATGAAGAAATTGTGTTTGCAAAAACCATCAAAAGTTTTCTAAAATCACATAATTTTCAATATGGTTTTTATGGAAGCACATTTGGATTGCTCACATGCATCATGTACATGTTACTCAAAGAAGATTGTGAAAATTATTCTTTATTCAAGTTAAATTATTTACTGCAACATTTGATACCTGGGTGGACGAATGAATTTTTTGATCGACAACAAATTCCTGTGCAAGCGCTCACATTGAAGATCCTTCTGCCCATTGTCAAAACCAAATGGCTTGGAAACAAATTATTAAGGCTCAATTCTCATCAGGTGGATTTTTTAAGCGCTCTTTCTGTTCGAATTTTCTCTCAAGTAATGTTACCGAAAATGGGTTCATCATATTTTGGAAGAAAAAACGATATAAATTATGTGCTATTGTATGGAGAAGGAATAACGTATGAAGATAGTGTGTTGAAAAAAGGGCTAATTCTAAATATTCCTTTTCCTGATATTGTAAAATCTTTCACACAATCTGAAACCATTCAAAATAAGCGGATTATAGTATTCAAAGAATCCATTCTACTCAATTTACCAAAGAGTGAAGAAGAATATACAGAAAGCAATATTGGAGCAATGATTAAGCTGAAATCTTCAGGTGAAGGAAATACTCTTAAAATTGTTAAAGAGAGAATCAATGAGTGGAAACAAATGGGCATTGAGGTTGTCGCATGCCAAAAATTGATCGATAAGCCAATTCAGCTCCTCTTGTTGAAGAATGGCATTATACCTGTTGAGAGAATTTCACAATTTTACATGGATGATGTCATCCGACTGACCGGTGCTTCTCCTCTTACCTCCATTGTTTTTCCTTTGCATGAATCAGATATTGGACATGTCACTGAAATATCAGAAATTCAAGTTATGGGACGCAGGTAGGTGTAAAGAATTTTTCAAAATGTTTTCTCAAGGTGGTACCACAGTTGTATCTATTTCACAAACGAAAACATTGAATCAGAGGTGTATTCTGTATTACTCTGTTCTCCATCACATTCGCAATCCTATGAGTTAGAACAGATCATGAGAAATACACAAACAGGTCTCAAATTACTTGTTTCACAGTCTCACGTTGTGGCTGGCTCTGGTGTGACAGAGTTTTTGCTAGCTCAATATTTCGAAGAGCGCTCTTCGGATCAATCGGGACTTTTATCACTTCTCTCCTTGAATAGGGAAGTGGAGCTTATCACGAGAAGCTTACAAATGCTGAGTAAAACCATTGCTCAAAAAGAATCATCAAACATGATGTTAGAGGAATACATCTCGTGCATGAAACAGAAGAATCATGATATTGTGAGCTCTCTCCTGCCGTCCAAGCAAGCTCTCGTCGTCAAGCCCATCTATTCATGTTATTCCTTGTTTTCTCAGGTGAGCGAGACAGAAGTTATGGAAGTTTTGAAATATTCTATCGAAGTTGATCGTCAAACACAAATGATGGAATACAATATTGAGTCACCACCACATGAAAAGGAGGAAAGGAACACCATTTTAGACATTGCTTTCGCAAAGAAGCAAGCCATATCTTCTGCTTTTCAATGTTTTCACACCCTCATGCAATCAACACCCAATTTCAAACAGTGATCACGACTCGAAAACAAGACAACAAATTTCCTTCGAATTCATCGATTTTGGACCATTCATCTCACACACCGTTTTAGTTTTGATACTAAAAAATTTCTCCTTTCACATGTACACAATTGTTAACAAAAAATAATCATTTGAATTTTTAAAACGAAATGCTACCCCAAAGATCACCATTCTTGTTTTCATTTCCCATTCAAATTGATCGCCTTAGTGAGAGAGCACGAGACATTCCAAAACCGAGAGAGCACGCATCGCAAAAAAAAAACCAAAAGATCCTCCGTACGATTTTGGTTTTCAGTCAAGACGCGCACCGCGAGCGTTTATTGGCTTGTTGTTGTTCATTTCTTCTCAAGCCTTCCGCAGAGAAAACGCTAAAGAAGGAGAGAAATTGTGTTCATTCATCAGCAGCTTGTGTGTGCATACAACAACAGTTGGTGTGATTCACTCCTCCTCGTCGTCATTGTGAATATTTGATTGAGTGCAATCAAGGGTCACAAGATCTGTGTGTTGTAGTATTGTTGTGATCACTTATATCACTTTTTGGCAATCGGATTGAAAATGTAAGTATGGCTTGATGTTTGAAAACAACATGTATATCTATTCATGCATAAATCACAGAGCCCCAGGACATCATTGATCTTGAGAATCAGCACTCAGAGTTATTTTAGATTTACAATAATCAATTTTTCAATTAACTTATTTGAGAATGCACTCAACTCCCTATTTATTGAATGTTGCATCTTCAACGGCAGCAGCAACTCCTGTATCATCCACACCCTCTCACTTTGTAGTAGATTCATCATCAATATCAGATGGAAAGACAACTAACGATAGTAGCAATAATAATTCTTTCTTGTTGTTCCATCAAAAGAATATTTCAAGTACTTCTACTATTAACACCAACCATGCAATTCATCATCATCAAGCCTGTAACTTACAATATGTTGGATCCAACGGCAATCAACACAGCAACACAGACACTGGAAATGTGCTCCCTATTGGAAAATCCCCAAGAACAACTCTCGACAATAGTAGTCGTGTGGGAATGGATATCACCACCACAACCACTTCTTCTTCGTCTCAGGTAAGCCTTTTCCCTACTTCGCCCTCATCAGTATCTCGGAGTTCAACTTCTACTTACTCACTCTCGACCTTATTGGAAGAACGTTGTTTGATACAAGATGATGAGCACTTATCCTCTGTAGGTTATAATTTAGACTCAAACAAGACCAGTCAAATATTGGTATCCTCCTCCTCTGCTTCTCCTTGTTTGAAATCAGGTCAGGCAGCCTCCACAGCCAACATTACCCACTCACTCACCACTACACATTCCATTCACCCAACAACAACAACAACACAAAAGTTACAACTCTTAATACCTAACAGCAATAGTTTCCAGTTGAATACTACACCTCCCACACTCGGTAAGGACAGTCAAATCTCGTCGTCATCTTCCTCATCCTCAACCACGACCATTCTTTCATTTCCCAACTCACCTTTAAGCAATAGTAGCAGCACCACCAGCACTCCTAAAAGCAATCCTACCACTCCAACAACCCCTAACCGATTATTGAATCACTTTCCACCCTCACAGCCTCGATCTTTGATTGAAATTCATCTCAAGAACAATATTGCATTCAGCAATGTGATATCCCAAAAGTCTTCAACAGCACTGAAATCGCCTCCTCTTGCTGTGTCAAAGTTTGAGAGTTCTTTCGAAATGATGAACAGAACAGGAGTTAGCACCACGACAACCTCCTCGTGTGGTGGTGGTAGTTTCAAGAAAACATCATCCCCTTCTCTTATTACTCAACCTCGTTCATCGACCATCATCAGAAAATCATCATCACCCAATCCATCCAAACCATGTACAGTAACGGCTACACCTACTGCAACGACCACCTCTCCCTCACTACAACAACAACAACCCCATCATCATCCATTACCTGCCTCGATCAATAGCTTTATTCTTCCCCCATGTGTACTCCTGGATTCTAACCCTTCACAGCAACAACAACAACCATGTACCATAACAACAATCACTACCTCTACGACTACGACCTCAGTGAGCACCACCACCACCACCAGCAACATTTTGATGCCTTCTCAATCATTTGGCACAACTGCAACATCTCTGTTGCCTTCCTTCACCAATCCTGCCTCTCTTTGGATGAAATCAGAGAGTTGTGGTGGTGGCTCTTCCTCTCCTCTCAAAGTGCCTAGTCCAAGTCGAATTCAATCTAACTATATATACAGCCCCTTTACGTATAACTTTATTAAGCAGAATACTCCCTCACGAAATGCAAGACCTTTCACCAAGAATGCTCAACAAAAAACAACAACAAACGATTTGAACGATGAAAAACAAGCCATTGAGCGTTTGGAAACATTTTATTTCAAGAAGAGTGAGTTACTAGCCAGTCATTTACTTTGTAAGATGGATCACTTTTATAGAGGTTTACTTTCGTGTATTCAAGATATTTTACTAAGACTCATGGATCTTAGTAATATCACGGATGAAACAGTCTTGAAGAAACTCGATCGAATTCAATGCATGATAAACTTGAAGAAGTATATCAGCTCTCGAATCAAGGACTTTGACGAGTGGCCTAAATTTTTCGATAGTTGTATTACACAGGTTTCTGTAGAAGATCTATCACGCTTGGAAGACATTGAACGATGTACCAATAACTTTAATGTCATCATTACTGGAAAGGAAGAGTTGTCAAAAAATCTGAATTTGGCAAGCTTAAAAACACGGCTCAATGACCACCAGATGTTCCAATACATTACACAGTTCGTCGCTACATGTTGTTGGACAGATAGAAAAACCATTCCTATGGATGTCATGAACTGTTTAAAGTTTTTCGCGACTGTTCCAACTCCAGACAGTGTTGATTTGCTCAAGTTGGCAAAAAAACAAGACGATCATTGGGTTCGATCATGCACTTCAACTATATCTTCCTTGCAGGACTTGGCAGATTATCAATCAGACTCTGATGACGATGCTCCCATGAGAGATGCATTCTCGTTCAGTTTCATGTAACACAACTCCTCTATTTATTTTACACTGATGTTTGTAATATTTGTGGAGGCTACAAATACCACCATCTGATCATTACCAGCATTTTCAATTTCTGGTGTTGCATTGAAAGGTAGAAGGACAACATCTCCCTTTACGAACTTTTCACCGTTAATCAGTCCTTTACCCTCCAAAACAATTGCTATTGAAATTGCATTTGTTGACCATTGATATTTGTCAAATTGATTTGGTAAAACAATTTTTTGTACCTTAAACTCAGAAACGGGTGGTGCATATAACGTCTCGAAATCATTAACCTTCTCACCATTACACTTCATCTTGTCCAAAGCACAATCATCATAGGTCAACATTTCAACCAGTGTTTCTGTGTCAATAAACTTGGGGGTAAGCCCAGCTCTTACAACATTATCGGATGAGGCCATACATTCCATACAATCCCCAGAAAGATAAGCATGAGGTTCATTTGGGCCAAGAAATAGTCCTTCACCAGGTTTTAAAGTGACATAGTTCAAAAAGAACACTGAGAAACATCCAATGTCATTTCCATAATCGCTGTATAATCGTAAAATCAAATTTTCAAGACCAGATTTCGTTTCACTTTGATTCAAGCGGTTAATGAGATGTGGGAGATGTGTCTCAACTTGAGACTTACTGCTCGTCATTAGAGCATGGAAAAGTTTTTGAAGAAGAGTTTTACGTTCTTCTGCAGATAATTTGGCAATATCTTGTTCTTTTAAAGAAATGACGTGCTCCACCAATTCGTGATTCTGAGATTTTAGCAATGCTTGCAGTTCTTTCACTTGTCTAATGTTGGAAATGATTGTTTCCAATTTTTGGAACGCACACAAGGCTTCAAAATCGGTCAAAGCACAGCACAATTCTGGTTTATGGTAAGGATCCTTGTAGTGTTCGGGATCACTTTTAAACAACTTCTGAGCGAGTTGTTCATCGGGATGAGCCTGGATAGAAAGTGCTTGGTTTACAGATAACACTTTGAATAGGTACGGAAGGGATGCAAATTCATATCCTCTGATTTGAAAAAACTCTGAAATTTCTTCGCTAGAAAAGTAATTACTGACTTGACTTTTCAGGAAGGATGAAAGTAATTCTGATGATGGTTGTACTTTTGATGGAGCATTCGGATGAGTGCCCATCCATAATTCGGCATAGGGTTTATCGGTATCAATTTTTTTCCGATGGATTGTTTCATAGTTCTCTTTCACGAGATCACACACCGAACTCTGTAGGCCTTTCTTTCCCCAAGCGTAGTGTTGAACGGAACACTCGAGACGTTGCATTTTTAATTATAAAAAAAAAGATATTTTTTTCAACTTTCAGAATTGGAAAATATATTGAGGGCAAGGGTTAAATCATCTCCATTGGTTGTTGGGGTTGTTGTTGTTCCTGTTGAATCGTTGCAGTGTTAGTGGTAGTTTGATCTTGATTCATTGTTGTTGATAGTGGTGTGGTATCTTGGGCTTGTTGTGAGGTGGATGATGCAGAATGGCCTTTCAACTTTCGAAGCAAGTTTTGAATTCGCTGCTCTTGTTCAGGTGGGACTTGCCAAGTAGTGGGTGCTGATAAACGATCAACGTTTTCCAAAACAACAATGGTCTTTTCCGCAAGTGTCGAATCTTTTGGAATTTTGATATTAACTTCACTACTAAGAGCATACGTAGGGGTGTTACCTGTTGATGATGGAACATAGAATCGCTGTTTGTGGTCATAAAGAATGTGCTGCAAACAAAAATCAACTCCTAGTAATCGCTTATTGAAACATTGGGGATGACAACAGAGTGGCACTTTCTTTTCTTCATCCTGATATTTTTCGACCTTCTCGCAATGATAAATTTGTTGATTTTCGGGAGGAAAGTTCACGGTTGGCATGACTATTATGCTTTCTTCATTTCTGTTCACTTGATTTTTAGGATTATAATAATCATTGAAGTTGACTTTTTTGAGACGAATTTTGATGTCTGAGTTAATATTTGGATTTTGTTCGAGAATAGCATTGGCAGCAATCTCTCTTTGAATTAGAAATTCATTATATTTTCTTTCTAATTCGTTTCTGACTTTTCTGTGTCTTTTTTGATACATTTTCAATAAGGTCTCAATGTGATGTTTTCGAACTCGAAGAAATTCCATCTCTGATAGATGCTGAGAATTTTTACCAAATGAAAGTGCAGGATATTCTTCAGTGCCTCCATCCTCGTCTGTAGGCTCATCAGATTCTGTATCTGAACCACTCAATTCATCTGAAGATGGTTGTTTCTTGTTAAACTTTCGTTTTCTTTTGTGAGGGGGTGATTTTTTGGGTTTGGGTTCTTTTCTTGGATCAAAAACACGATTGACTCCCGTGTATTCATCTGAATCAGTATCCTCATCATTATTGAAGTTTTCATATGGATATGGTAAAATGTTTTCAACAGTGGCAGAACCTGAAGAAAGTACAGGAGCCGTGGTTGATGATGATGCAGGTAGGATTGAAGATGTTGTAGGTTCTACCGTTGAAATTGGCTTCTCTGAAGTGCTGCTGGTTTGAGCCTGCCCTAACGAGGAAGCAGCAGCCTCTTTCGAATTAGTTGTGGTATTAGATTCAGATTTAGAGGCCTTTTTTCTTCCCTTCTTTGGTTTTGGCTCGTTTTCTCCAGAAGCTCCTTCCTCCGATTGTTTCTTATTCTTTTTTGAGTATCCAGATTGACCCTTTTCAATTAATCCTAGCTTTGTTTTGTGAGCAACACAATATCTGGCATCATCCTGGTCGATTTTGACTGGATTTCCGCATTGTTTTGTTGATGAAAACTCACACTTCTTGAACGGAGCTGTCGGATCTTGAAGGATATGTTTCACACAAAAATCAAATCCTTTCATCGGCTTTTGTGTACATACAGTACCTCCATACGCACACAACTGCCGGTTATCCTTTGCCGACGTGTGCGGCTTCTTTGGGTGCATCTCAATGCCTGTTCTATCATAGATTGGTTTTCCGTCGTCCGTAAATCCAACAGGTTTACATAGATTTGATGATGTTGTATTGATGGTCGACGACTCGTCATTTTGCTGTTGATGATGCTGTTGTTGTTGATCGGTGCCATCCTGTGCGGCTGATGAAGGCTTTTCTTTTGCGCTCATTTTTTTCTTCTGACTGAACACTCTTCTTGCCCTCAGCTGAGAATAACAAACCTGAAAAAAGACAATTCATAATTGGAAAACTCCTGAAAACAATAGTTTTACTCTTTCCTACCATTTAATAAAAACACAATATGAAAAAATATGCATAACTTATCTTCCACATTGTACCCTGAAAAAGAGCAAGAGAGTGGCAGCATCAACGCTAAAGAATTCACTGAAGTGACAATCCATTCACCTTCGTGTTCCATTTACCATCCTCCTCAAAACCTTAGTAAACGTCACCACTTGGCAATACCTGATCAAAGCGAAATGCATCCTAACCACGATCAAGAGGAAGAGTCTTCTTGTAAACATCACGACGACTTGGAGGAGAAAGAAATGCGTGTTTCTGCCATGGAACTTCTTTATGAATCAAAAGTTGGTAGAGTGTTTGTAAAAGGAGCTCGCTTTGGTATGCGTTTCTGTGGTGTTTTGTTGGTGATAACTGCTCTCGCTCTGTTGACCTTGAACTTTGGTTTTTACTTTGCTGTAATATTGCCAATGATGAATACACAGTGGTGGACATATTGCTTTCATCTTGTATTTGGAGTTTACATGACCATCTCTGTATTCTTTAACTACATTCAATGCATTCGAATCAATCCAGGAACAACTCCCAAAGAATGGATTCATTCATTGGGTGTTGGTGATTTAGAGTCATTCAAAAAAAGTCCAAAAACTATTCCTGGAAAAACATGGAGTAAATGGTGTGGACGATGTCAACAACCAAAACCAATGAGAGCTCATCATTGTCATATATGTGACACATGTGTATTGAAGATGGATCATCATTGTCCTTGGTTGAATAATTGTAAGTGATATCGACTAAATATTTCTTTCAGTAGTTGAAATATGTCGTTGACCTTTTGTGGATGAAATATCATTTACCTCATAATTAGGTGTTGGACTTCAAAATCACAAGTACTTCCTGAGTTTTTCTGTATTCTTGGCTGTAGCATCAATTTACCAGTTCTTCATGATTGGTTTTGGCTTGGTTGGAGTGTACACTCCAGATCCTCTTTTGTTTGAAATGTGGGATTGGTGGGCGTTGATAGAAATGATTCTTTCTGGCTTGGTGGGAATAACCATGTTCATATTCTCTTCTTGGCACATATACCTTGTGTTAACAAATCAAACCTCAATTGAGCTTCAATTTAATAAGGATAAAGCAGATGGAGACAATCCATTTGATGTGGGTATTCTCCAAAACATACAGCAGGTATTTGGTCTATTAAGCCCACAGCCTTCAGTTCTGTGTTGGATAAGGTTACTTCTTCTTCCTAATGCTCAAAAATCTCATCTCGATGGAGTGATCTATCCAACGAATCAGCGAGAAAATGTGTAACATCATTGATCCATTGATTTACAATAAATTGAATCCTACAAGATTGTACATGAGCTGTCTTCATGTCGTAACATTTCTCGTAATTTTTCTGGAATTTCGCTTGACGAAATTGGTTTTGTAATTTCTGCGATGGCATCATATCTCAAATAAACAAGCATGTATGCGGTATTAAATCCTCCATAATTTGCTTGTATGGCCTCAAAGGATGATATTTTTGTGGCTTTCTCATCATCGAAAAGATACCACTCTTTGGTGTGAAGATCCTCGCTTACATTAATTGCAACAACGTAGTGACCACTATGTACGCTTGAACCTTTGTGAATGAGCACAGCATGGAGAGAATAAGAGTACTCCTTCTTATTTCCATTCTTTTGCTTTACAAACTCTGTTAAATTGATGTGGTCATCAAATTCATACGTGTCAGTAACCTTTTGTAAGGTACCCAATGGAGTATAATCAAATCGTTTCAGATGAAGCATGAGTACTTTTGGTAAATGTGTAAAGTTTGAATACTTCTTTGCATCTTGGAGCCCATAGCCCTCTGCATGATATTTGTTTTGCCCTGACAAAATTTCGGGTTTTACATATCTTTTGAATGATTCATAAATATTTCGACATCCCTTTACATCAAGCTGTATGTCATAGAATGTTTCTTCTTTTACACTTCTAAACTCAACATTAATGCACTCAACTCCGCTTTCCACTTTTCCTAAAAAGAGTTGGCTAATACTTTTTGAAACAGAGGTATTTCTCATCTTTTGCTGCAAATCGTCAAGCAGCACACGAGCAACTTCTTGAATATCGTGTTGTTCAAAAACTTGATTGCCACTCCAACCAAAACTATCAATTAAACATCTTGTAGAAACTGTTCCTGTGTATGAATGTCCCTCTTCATGTGGGTCACATGCCTTTTGTAAGTTATAAAAAACTCGAGCAATTGCTTTTGAAATTGAATCAACGTCTTCCTTATCCATCATCATTGTAAATACGCTTCTTCTAAACTTTGGAATGTGGAAGAGAGTTTGTAGAAGAGAATTTAAGCTAATCGTCACAATTAAAATAAAAATTGAAATATTCGAATTTTATGCTCAAAAGCAACTCAAAATACTTACTAGCAAGTGGCACCTTCATTCCGAAGTCCTGCATATACCTTTACTCTCTTCACTTGATCCACACTTTTAGTTGCTGCAGATTGCTGTGTAAATCGAGACAACACTTGTTGCTCCTTTTTTGCTCGACTTAATAAAGAGACCAAGATACAACCGCCTCCGACGAATAAGAACCACTTCCAAAAGGAGAGGCTAGTAAACATTTTAACGGCTCTCTCAGGACTTGATTTTAAATATTGTAGAACATTCTGAAAGAACGTTGTGTTCGTTTGTTCCTCTCCACCATTATTCGGAACAAGAGAGCGAGGTAATGCAACTTGAACGTATCGTTGTGGAGAATACATGTGCATTATTGGAGCCATTTTTTTCGATTCAATCAATTTTGTTCGGCCTTCAGTCAACTTTATAAATCATGCAAGATGTTGTTTCCACACCAAAAGGGGGTCGAGAGGGTGCAATTCCGATTGTGGATATCTCTTTCCTTGGTAGTCATGAGATTACTCCACCACTATCCAAATCAAAAAAATGCAAAAACCAAGAAGGTTTATGATTTTCAATTCTTTGAGTGGAGATGATGATGATCTGATGGCAGAGTTGAATCCGAATAAAATCACGGCTCCATCACCTTCCCAAATGCTGTCTATGTCAATAGTTTCTCCTCTTTCTCCGACACAAACCGCAGTCTCACAACTGAGTATTGAAAAGATGAAGAACACCTTATATCATATTGTGATGGGACCCATTGATAGTGATTTAGATCAAATTACAACCATTGGAAAAGACATTCCACGTCTACTAGGCCGCATAACCGTCAATGATCACATTAATTTTAATCCTTCCAATGATGATACGAAAAATGTCATCACAAGCAGCTCAACAACAACCACTCTCTATCCAATGGTGGAAAGAAAAAAACGAATTGGAGAATTTTTAATTGTTCTGGTGAGAGAAATACTTTTGCAAACTTCTCCTGAATTGGAACAATCGATTGGAGAAAGTTTGGCACAAGAGGTTGATTTAGAGCTACATTCAACGTTGACACAATTTGTGGTCGATGCATTTGGGATAAATTGTCCAGGTGAGTGTTTTCACATCATTGTTGTTTCAGAAATTGAAATAACTGTCACATCTACGTATGTGAAATATCTCTTTCTAGTCATCCAAATATTACGCAGCATGACTCAAGATGGAGCAGCACAGCCCATCGTTTTCATGAAAATGAAAGCTAAAGAACAGCTGGGTCTTGAATACGTAAGTTGATTCCATTTTGATTGAAGTTGTATGAAAATATTGATCTTGTGATTATGATACAACGATGTTTCACTTTGGAACATGAATGAAACCAAATGAACTTTAGTATGACGGCAAACGTTGGAAAATTAATGTTGCTGTTGACACAAAGGACTATCAACAAACAACAATTGTCACGCACACTAGGCTAGAAAAGATTGTTGGGAAAAATAGGGAAGGTCAAAATGAATTAATTTGTACTTTTACATGGAAAATAATATTTTCATTTTCTCGATTCATCGATCAAGAGAAAATTATACAATCAAAGAACATTCAAGAATTGTCTCTCACTGAGTATCAAAAAGAGAATAATTTTTTACTCAACTCGTTGAGCTTGAAATTTGGTGAAATTGAACAATTTAATGAGTCGCCAAATATTGCTCGCTCAGAGAGCAATCCTTTATCCAAAGAGGCTTGGAGTAAGAAAATTTCCTCACTTTTTGATGGCTTGGAAGAAATAGAGTTTAGTAATTCACAATCTATCTGAGTCGCATTCTTCATCTTGTTGTATTTCACAGTATTAAATCATTGTTCGTAATATGAGACAGCAAGCTCCTTTCAAGTTACCGCCATAAACCGTGATTTTGCATGATTACAATAATAGCTTCCATTCTTTCCCAAAAGCAACATCTCACTTGTCAGTTGGCAAAATTGCACAAAAATTCTTGAAAAAAACATTTGCAAAGGTGCTGACCAGATTTTCACGTTCACACTTTTGTTGCAGAAGAAGAAGCCCAAAAATTATTGTTGCCTTTTCCGTAACGAACTCTCGTCGCATTGTTGTTAGAAAGATCAACCAACAAGAAAGCTGTCTCTTTTCATCATCATCCCCATAATCGTTGATGCGGAAAGAAATTCCAAACGCTTTCATTTCAACAACATTAGATCTTAAACACTATCTCTTATTTCAACAATTACTAGTACCAACAACACGACATCGCGTTGGTGGTCTATCTTCTTCCCATTCATATTATACTCACTCACCCAACAACACACCACAACTAGACTCTATCAACAAACCGCGTTTAAAATTTGGTTACTAGTTGTGTCATTCATATTTTCATCATCATTATGGGCAACATTCAACATCAACTCAACCAACATCATCATCATCATGGATGGTTCAAGCAAAGCCACAACAACAACAACCGAAGGCTTCGCCATTCTCCTCCTCATCATGATGGCACCGCTTCAGAAGTTGCATCCACCAACGCAAGCACCAATCTGACTTCCTCTCTCGCCTGTTGGACTCAATCTGCTCCAGAATTCACTCCACACAAACAACACTTTCCTCATCTCCTTCTCTCTGTTGATTCTTCCACCTCCAACAACAATAATAACCAACAACAACTCACGCTCGATGAGTTTTTGGAGCTAGAAGATTGTGATCCAAACATGAACAATGAACACCATCATGAACAACCAATCAATACTACTACTACTACTTCCATGACATCGTATTCCAACAACGAGCATCATCCTGATCATTTGATCCAACAACAACAACAAACGCTTGAGATGACCAAAAAGAAGAAAAAGACGCGAAGATTTTTGTTGTGGACCAGAAAACGAAGAGGAGAAAAGGCGTCTCATGATGATGAAGAACAAGATCTTACCTCACATGTACGACAACACTCTCATCAAGACAATACAAGCATCAACACTTCGAATAGCACGTCCGCCATCATGATAGACAACCGTAATCGTCACAACAACCACACCATGAACTCATTGTCGTCGTCTATTGGTGGAGCCACTGTATTGACCAATACAAATACAGCAACAAGTGTAGCTGGATATACAACCACCAATTCAAACACAACCACCAATTCCTTGTCATCGCCACAAATCACAACAACAAGTATTGCTGGTGTGGAAGCCAATGAGCTAATGATGCTTTTGAAAGATGAAATTGGTTGGAATCTCTTTTATGAATATTGCGATAAGGAATTCTCAGCAGAAAATTGTGAATGTTTAGTCGAGATTCAAAAATTACAAAGCAAAATTGCAAGAATGAATGGAAAACAACGTCGTCAATCGTGTCGTGATTTACATAAGAAATACTTCTCTGGAGAGAGTATACAACAAGTGAATATTTCTGGACGAGCAAGGCAAATGACAAAATCAGTGGCCAATTCAAAAGTCATTAATCTAGAGACTGCTAATGAATTATTGATCCAACTGAGAAGAGAAGTCGTGACAAATCTGAGAGATACATTTTCAAGGTTTGTGCTCACAGATGAGTACATGATGTGGAAAGAAATGATGTTGAATCCAGAGTCCATCTTCAATGAGTAGAACGAACCACTGCGATAAGGACTGCCTTGATAATTGACCTCTTTGTGAGAGTGGATGATCATGCCAGTCCATGAATGAGAGAATTGACCCAGGATTTCAATCAACCTTTTCGTTCAGCACGAACTCGAAACGCATAAATGTGAGAATTGTCTGGAGAAGGCAGTGTTGTCCTTAACATGTGACAAAGGCGCTTTCCAAAGATGTTTGGATTTGACAAGTAGACCCACAATGTCCTCATTAAGCATGATATACCATCAAATAAAATTCATGTCATCGCACAATATTGACCTTCCCGATTTATAAGGTTCCTCTGCAGTTTTCAAAAATTCTGTTCACACAAGGAGCGAGACACAATCAACACACCAACAATCTCCGTAAAGATCTGAATTTCGTTTTACAAAAAGAAAAAAATGGTGATGAAAAACAAAGTCATTGTGGATGAGGAAGAGGAAGTCATTACTCAACATGAAAGCTCGTCTACTGCTCATCAAGAGGAAGCAGAAACATCAAGCAAAATAAATGGAGAGGAAGAATCAGAAACTGATGATGATGAGGAGGAGGATGAAGAGGAATCCGATGATGATGAAGAAGAGGAAGATGATAAATTATCGGAAACACCCATCACGAACGATGATAATGAGAGTATTGCCAGCAGTGCACAACAAAGTACCACTACCTTGCAGGAAGGAGAGAATAATCTTCTTCCAACCAATTTGGACGGAGCTGTGGACGCTTTGTCCCTGACAAGTGCAACAACTATCACCAACGCAGATAACCCTCAATTTAAAAAACCTGCTCGAAAACGGAAGGATAAAGCTGATGAAGCAATTAAAAAGGTACTAAAGAGAGTGGGTATGTTATAGTTTAGAATCAATTGAATTAATTGATCAAATGAACTTGATTGATAATTATTTAACAATTCTTCATCATCGTGAATGGACAATAATTTTGGAATAATAATAACTACAATTTATTCTTAAATGTAATCTTTTCCACAGAATCTGCATCAATGAGCGGAGATGGAAAGAAAAAGAAGAAACGACCCCACAAACATACAACAAATGAGTACAAGCCATACACATCCAATCATGTTCCAATAGTGAGAAGTGTTTGGTCTTCAAATGGAAACTATCTTGTTATTCCCAAAGATGTGAAAAATGTTTCGGAATTTCTCTTCACACGACCAACAAAAAAGAAAAAGAATTAGTTAATAATCGAAGTGGCAGTGGATGACGATATTGACGATACTACTCTCCCATCAAAAAAAATGTCCAAAGCGCGAGTCATCCTCCAAAATATCACTTCTGCCAATTTGTTGATGGTACGTGGTATGTCTCAATTTTATGGGGTACGATCGTCATATTCCGAAAATCAAAGAATAATGTGGATGAATGGAAATCAACTGTGAATAATCGAGGAGTGGTTTTATACCTTTCTTTCATGAAAGGATGCACTTCCGAGGATGTCTCAAAAATTGTGAAACAAATTCTTCAATCTAAAAGTATTTCTACAGGACTCGATAGTAAACAAGCAATTTGCGAGCTGGATAATTTTGACATTGTGATTGTTCCACAGGCTTCAATTGCTGGAAAATTGAAAGATAAAAATTTTCAATATTACCAATTAATAGACAAAGACACAGGTTTGCAATTGTACGAACATTTTGTTAAAGAAGTTCACTCCATGATGACAGGACGAGAGGGTAACGTTATTATTTCTGGTACTTATGGAAATAGGCAAGGATTGCAGTTTTCATCAGATGGCCCCTATTGTCACATTTTCGAAGTGTAACTGATCGTTAAACTCCCAGTTGAAATTAATTTATTCGTCATCACTTTCCACGTTCTTCTTATTTCCTTTCTTTTTTCTTTCTTTTCTCGTGGGTTTTGTTTTTGGAATTTCAATGTTTTCTTCTATTTCATTTTCTTCAATATTGTTTGTTGATGACTGTGGTTGATGAGACTTTGTTTTTGCAACTGGTGCTTGTTCGTCTTCGTCTGAACTTTCTTGCCCTTCCTCTTCTGTTAAGGTTTGCTTGTTTTTCTTTGCCTTTTTTAGCTCTTTTTTGCTTGGCTTTTTTGGCTGACTGTGCACCTCCTCTGCATTGTCACTTAGCGCCTCTTCATCTCCTTTCTTGGAGGGCTGTTCATCATCTGAATTGTTCTTTTGCTGCTTATTCTTTTTAGACTTCTTTTTGTCCTTCTTATTTGACCTTTTCACAGAGGAGTCTTCATTTTCTTCATCGCTCTCAATGTGATTCGTTACATTCTTAGAAGACTTGGAAGTTTCTTCAAACTCTTCGTCACTTTCCTCTTTTTGTGCTTTTGATTTTTTCTTGATTTTTTTTGTGGTAGTCTCTTCCTCGTCACTGGCCACCTCCTCAGCTGTCGCTTTGGTTTTCTTTTCTTTCTTTGACTTTTTCTGTTTGCTATCACTTTCCACAGCTGCTTCCTTCTTTTTAGATTTCTTAGATGAAAGATTTTCCTCTTCGTCATCTTGTTCTTCGACAGGTTCTGTACTTTCCTCTTGATGATCAGCCTTATTTTCGACCTCTGCCTCTTCAATTTCGTCAATAGTAGTGTCACCTTCTTCAGAAACAGCAGTGTCTAACACTTGAACTTCTCCATCATCTTGAATCAAATCAAAAATATCTCTATAAAGACCTGGATCTACAAGACAAACAATGTTTGCAGTCTCGCTATCCTGATCATAATCATCTTTTTCAATTTTCACTTGTTCCTCTTCCTTGTTTGAATTTTTGAAGAGCTGTCTCAATTTTCTTACATTTTCTTTTCCAGATACTGTACATTTCAAACGCATATGTGCTCTCTCAATTGGAATTTTCTTTTTCAATTTTCTGATTGCTTCCAATGCTTGTTGTTTTGTGCTTTTACTTGGTTTGACTGAGAAGTGAATTTGTTCTTTGAGTGCTCTTTCAATAACCCCTCCAGGATATGGTCTTTGTGTATCGGGATTGATACACTTGTTGGTGATGATGGTAACAATATCTTTAAACATGGATTCATACATTAATTCTCTCTCTTTAGGACTCACTTGCAATTCTCCTTCTCTCAAAATAATTTTGCAAACTTCTCTCGTGTCCGATGTGTTGAAATATTTCAAGAGATCACTCTTTTTAGCAGCCTCTCCTTTTGAAACATTCGTAAAAACGGTATCAATTTGTACAACTTCATCCAAATCTTTTTCAATGCCTTTTCGCCAAGACATGACTTTGTTCTTGTAGCAAGCAATTTCAAAAACTGCTTTTTGTATCTTCATTCGTACAACTGCCACGTTGGTGTGCAGAATTTGATTAACTGGTGTTTTCACTAATCGGGACATAAATAAATAGCAATAATTTATGATGTACTTTTGTGATGAATTTTTTTGAGAGGTAAAATCAAATTCGGAATGCAAGCTCGGAAATGTTTTTGAAGTTGCTAGAATGATCATTCCTTTGCAATCAGGTCCATTCAATAGTCACTAACAAAATCCAAACTCAAAATTTGCAGTGTGCCAGATCAATTTAAGGGTAATAACAACACAAAAAGTTTACCGACGACGGGACTCGAACCCACGACCCCAGGATTAGAAGTCCTGTGCTCTATCCAACTGAGCTACGACGGCTTGTGATAAGTCTATAACACATCTATATTAGTCTTTGCGTGAATAAGATCTCGATGCGGAAATTGGTCCCTAATCAACGGGAGTTGTTGGATTGTTTGTTTCTCGACAAAAATGAGTGAATTGCGAACTAGAAGAACAAAGAAGAAGCCCTCCAGACCTCACGAAGAAGATGACATGGTTGATGATGATAGAACATTAAATTCCGAAGAGATGGAATACCCCCATACTCACGGTTTGGACGATGGGAATACTCTAGTGCAAAATAATGACGATGAGGACGATGAGAACAATATTGGCAATGATGACTACAATGATGATGGTAACAATGAAGAAGATCTTGATGATGAAGATTACAGTGATTCATCAAACCAAGACAACGATGAAGATGATGAACTTTACAAAGAAATTCATCAAATGTTGGAAGAAGAAGAACTAGTTGTCAAGAAATCTCAAGAAAAAGATGTATTGAATAATTCCCAAATTGACGATACCTCAAAACTTCGTCTTTCTCTGACACAAGAAAATTTTGAAATTAGTCTATTATTTGAAGATTCGAAACCAATTCTGTTACCCTATATATGTGAAAATTTTAATACTTTTTTTAAATTATGGAAACATGGTCTTGTTCATATAGATTTGAATAGTACAATCATCGACTATCATGTTCAACATTTAGTTCATTATGTGTCTCGTAGCGAATATGCAATCAGTTCCAACAAATTTCTAAAAATTATTCTCATTGATATTTATGAATATTCTACCATTTCCAAATTATTGTATTCCATTCTCATGAAAATGCAAGCGTTTGAGAAGGTTAAAAAGAATCCTTCTAAATCATATTTTTTCAACATGCTTTCCTCTGAAAATTCGGATGTATTTCATGACAATAATTTTTGTCTAATTGCGAGAGGAGTCAACGAAGAGGTTTTACCAGTATTGAACGACATTTTTCATGCCTCACATCAAAACATGTGTGTCTTTAATGTGGATAACACACCCATTTCTTTCAATAATGTGACATTTACGAGTAATGGATATAATTCAATTCTACCAAACATTTTATATCGAACAATCAATACTACCAACGTAGATCAAGATATTGCCATTATTTCGAATTTTCTAATGAAAAACATTTCTCTACAGGGAAAGAACAGGCAAGAATATGAAGATTTTATTGAGCTCGTGTTGAGGACTCACATTCATATGGAAAAGAATGTTCTAGTCTATGTAAAACTCATTCCAAACTTGTTCCACTATTGTCTCAATGAACTGACCAAAGACGGAGGTACTGTAGAGAGAAGTGCTTCAAATTTGTTCAAGAAAATTAGAAATTTTTCATTTCACCAACTAGTTGTCATGTTTGACATTTACAATGTCAAGACACTGGATATGAACAATTCAATGACAACTCACCACCCAGTAGTAGCAATGGATGGGAATTCGATGACGACCGAAGCAGGCACAGCAACGAGTATCACTCAACTCGTCTCAGAGTTGGATCTTGTCAATAATACTGGAATTGTCGATGGTGAGGTTTTAGAGAAATTCATTATTGTAGCCTCCTATATTGCCTCTCGTAATGCCAAACAATGGGATGCTCTATTAGACAACAAATCCAAACCAAAGCCACAACGAAAGAAACGTAAAAAAGAGAATGACAGTAGCTCCAGTACCACTAAGATTGACACTAAGAAGGTGAACAAGAATCAACAGTTCGATATTCCTCGTTTACTGTTCATCCTGAGAAATTTAATCAGTAACTCTCCATATGCTGAGAGGTATAGTGGAGGTCCTGATTTCATACCTCACATTTCCAATTTAATCAGCAAGAGTATTCTGGAGTGGAAAAAAGAAGTGGTGGAGAGCAATATTGATCGTTCTCAACAACAACATCAACTCACTCTCTCCAGCAAGTACACATATTCAGTGGTGAGAGAATGTGCAACAGAAATCAACATTGCTACTCTTTTTGAACGTTATTTGAATGAGTAAAAAACCAGCATGATGTTTTCAAAGATTAATCTCCACTACAAAATACAACTGGTCAAATGGTTTTAAAAAACGAAGACATGTGAAGATAATTTCTCTCTTGTTGTGTGAAAGGTGCGTTGGAGATGAAAATCATCATAAAGTTGAAGCAAAGACCCAGATTTTGTGTTGTAAAAAATTTTTCCTCCTCCTCATCATCAGGGTTACCCTCTCCAAGCGTTCCTTCGTTATCATCATCACCACCAACAAGGTTCCGTCCCATTCATTCATAACCGAAAATAATTTTCAATTTTCCTTCCCACTTTCACCCCTCTAACATCATCCTCTCTAATTTTCCAATAATATTCTCAATAATGTCATCATCAGCAGACCAATCACCAATGGATGAATCATCAACAACACCAACAAACGAGGAAGAATATTTCGAAGACCAACCTCCAGTTGAAGAGAAGAAACCAAAATCAAAACCAAAGCCTTTAAAGAACAAGTGGAGATTTTGGCATGAGAAAGTAACAACAGGAGACGCTTGGAAGAGTCTTGAACACTTGAGTGATTTATGTGAATTTGGAACAATTCAAGAGTTTTGGAGCTGTTTTAATAATTTGCCTGATCTTTCTCATCTCAAGGTGAAAGAATCATTTCACTTGATGAAGAATTTGAATGAACCAACGGATGTTACCACTAAAGTCCAACATTTAAAGATTGCACCTGCTTGGGAGGATCCATATAATGTCAATGGTGGAGAATGGGTTTTCCGTATTCCGAAAGAAGTTTCTGATACTGTGTGGAGAGAGTTGGTGCTGGCTGTGATTGGAGAACAATATCATTCTGTTTTGCAACCTGGTGATGAAATTTGTGGATTGAGCGTTTCTCAAAGACCCACTGACAATGTGTTTAAGATTTGGAACAAGGTTGTAGGAACTGAAGAGGACCAGAAGAAGATTTATTCGAGAACTATTGAAATTTTGAGTGAGCAAATTAAGAATATTTCCGATAGTATACAGACACCATACTACAAGAAACATAAGGAATAAATGATTAAATTCGTTATTCAAGTTGGAGGTGGCATTATTGTCTTCATGACACTATGATTGTACAGTAATAATGATGACAAGAGATCAAATGTTGATCCACGGCAAATTGTTATGCATTTGTCCTTTTGATGAATAGTTGTATGAATTTATTGGATTCCTGTTCTAGATTTGTTGACAACACCTTTTCATTAGTAAGTTCGTCTATGAATAATTTGAGGGCCATATTCGTTGTAATCTCCCTTCTTGATCCACATTTGGTTGAAGGATGAAAGAGAGGAGAGGACTGATGCGCCATACCAAACAGCGTTCACAGGATCTTTTGACTCTATTAAGCTGACGATCGTGCTTGTGGTGGCTAGTTCTTGAACTTCAATGGTTACTCTCTTTGGAAATCCATTAATAGAGGCTGTACTTCCGCAAACAATAACATTTGACAACATTTCTTTCTTTGTATCAAATTCGCACTGACTAGCACACTCAAAAAGAATGGTTTGAATACCAGGAATCTCGAGTTCCTTGTTGTGAGCTGAGGGGTTAAAGAAAACCTCAGTTGGCAAAAATCTCTCAATCTGTCCAATCCATATCTTTTTACCGTCAGGAAGAGTATAGTCCTTATAGTAATTTAAAGTGGCAGACTTGGTTTTAGCTTGTTTTTTCTTGTCTCCTGTTTGATCACCGGCATCCGCACTACCTGATTGCATGGATTCCTCAGTCTTTTGTTTTAACTCTTGTGACATTTTCAATTGCTTAGAATATTCGTAGTTTGTTGTAAAGACTACCTTCCGTTTCATTTGTTCGATTACTTCATCATTAAATGTATTGTTGAGCTCTTGTTCATTCATAGACAAAAAGTCAGTATTCAGAGTATTCTTAGTGGTAGGTTTTGAATGTGAGGAATCATCAGAGGTATCCATACCATCTAATGGTTTTTCGGAGGATTTTTGTGACTCTAGTTGCTTGAAGATTAATTGCTTAAGATAGTCATTCACATGTTTTCCTCCAATATTTACAAAATCAGCGGCATGTGTGAATGCCAAGCCTTCATATATTGGCGTAAATCTTGTTTGTTCGTAGCCAACATCACAAACAATACCAGTAATTTTACCACAACTGTATAAAGCTAAAAGACCTTGATTGGCGATGTAAAATGCTGGTACTTCATATTGTTCAAAAATGTGTTGAGTTATCTTTTCAGTGTGTAACTTGGGAGCAAGAGGATGTTCAGACATGATGACACTCATTTCCAATGGCGAAGAATCCAAATCATGTTCGGGTTTTTGAAGAGCATTAAATCCATAGCGCCAAACTTTATCCATGGCATCAAAATCATTGATCAATCCTCTTTTCATTGGTACCTGCCCATTATGTAGGAATTCCTTGTCCATCGTGTAGAATGTCTCGAGTGGAGTCTCATCACCCGATAATCCAAATCTCATCTCGTAGGAGCCATTATCAACCACCACAGATTTACTCATTTTTTTTGGAATCATAAAAAAAAAAATTTATATTCTTGCACACTCCACATGAAGAAGGTGCCAAACGATGACTTTCACCACCACACGATCCACTGATTCCTCCGAACCAGTATCATCATCATACACCAATCATGACCAAGAGGATCCTCTTCATTATTTTAAAATTGATTTATTTCAACCTGAAGTGCAAGAATATTTGGTACAAGTGATGGAATTGAAGGAGGATGGAGGAGAGTGCTTGAAAAAGGCTTTACAGACACCTCCGAATATTTCAACAGTACGAGTGAATATGTTGCACTTTAGAAAAAATTCAATGGATGAAAAGAAGAGTAATGACGAAATCATGGAGCAAGTGAGAAAGAAATTAAGCGAAATTTTGGAGCACAAGTATGAAGTGAAGAGAGATGAAAATGTACCAGATTGTTTAACTGTAGGTAAAATGTTGGAAATATACCTTGTTTTGGAACAACATGGTGGATTGACAATTGTTATTGCAATATTTAGATACCTGTAAAAAAATTATATCCCAGTTTTGAAAACATTACTGAATGTAGGTGTTAGATATTCGGAACACATTCTTACAACATGAAATATTGTGATGAAATATCTCAATAATTGAAATGTTATTAATACATATTTAATATTCGACATTTCAGTCATTGTGGTGGATCGACTATGTGGACAAGCTGTTTTGAGGGGAGCTCATGTATTTAGCCCTGGAGTTTTAGCAACATCAAAGAATATTCGCGTAAACTCAGTAGTTGGCGTGTTGTGTGACGTACAATCTCAGACCCTTAAGGGTTTTAAGTTTGAAAAATCAATCTCTGAAATGCTTAGTAGTTCTTCCAATAACAATTTTATTTATATTGGTAATGGGATTATTAAAATGGAAAGAGCCAACATTTTCCAGACAAGAAAAGGCGTTGCCTTAGAAGTTACTCAGCCTCTCTTTGAGACGTGCCCCCTCAACGATTTATCACAGAAATATTATCATGAATTTTTTGCGCAAAATATTTGCTCAATGGTTGTTTCTCATCTCCTAGAGCCAC